CTTTTTTTGATCTTCATTTTTAATCAAAGAATACTTGATTAATAATGTTTGATATGCACTTTTAGTTTCATTAAACACATTCTTCTCTCTATTTTTGCTTATACTACTTTAAATTGCACAAAAAAAACATAAAAAATGAGCTTTCATTAATTATACATCATACAGAAACAGAAAAACAATATGCAGCTTCCATAATAAACGTCAGGCAAAGAATAAATACACACAGTAAGCAAGTATCTTTATCGCAGTATAAAACTAAGGTCGAAAACTTTAACCCTAAACCTGTAGACATTATTTAGTCCTCGACCTTAAAAAGTAGAGGGTGAAGAATGTCATTTAATCTGCCATTTTCCGTTACAACAGCCTTTATTATCTAAAAAAAAGCTGTTGTAGGCAATAAGGTAAATGGTCTGATATTTCTTCTGAATCTAGTTGTGATTTTACAAATCGTTATTATTTAAAACTGGATTCTCATTTTTGTAATTCTCGGTGCAATGCTCTTTTAATATTAGGACTTGATCCTAAGACATCTTTTACAAATGAAGAGCTTAGAGAGGCATATAGAAAACGGTTATTGCAAGTTCATCCCGATAAACAGTATAAAAACTCAATATCAACAGAGTTATCTTTGAAACCAGAATTTTCCGATGAATATTGTCTATCAATAGATGATATTCGTCAATCTTTTTACCGGCTTCAGCAGGAACTGCTTGAGACTTTGCCAAAAGAATCTATGACATCTGTTTTTTATGAAACAGTTTATCTTGAAGACTTTACTTATTCTGTTTGCAATAACGAATTCTCTTTGAGTTGTCGTTGCGGAGATATGTTTATATTAAGTTCTCAGGAAATTCAAGCAGGTGAAGCAATTGTTTCTTGTAATGGATGTAGTCTTTGGATCCGTGTTATTTCGAATATCATACCAGAGTAAATAATGAAAACTGGTATTTTGTTATTGATTTTTTGGTAATAAATCGTCTTTTATTTGGTTCAATATACGTATTATTAAAAATTAAATTCAATAAATCCTTAAAATATTGTTAAATATTTCTTTATTGATTTAATATAAAATTGATATTATCTGTTTAGAATTGGGTTGAAACAATATTAATGACTCTAAAAGGGTTTTCTGTTGATTCGAAAGATTACTATAAATTGATCTCAGCTTCGGATTAGAGATTAAAATATTGTCGATATTTTATCTGTTTTGTTATTACTGTAAAAATAATACGTCAATATGACTCTAAAGTTTTTCATATAATTTCTATTCAAATAGAAATTATTCAAATTTCTTTTTTAATCATTTGCCTTTTTCTTATGATTTCTTCGTTCCCAAACCTGAAAAATATTAAATTTGTTAATAAATATATATGTGCTTTACTTGAATATAACTTTCACCTAAAAAAATCATTTCTTTTGGTATTTCTTCAACAAATAAATCCTGAATTTGATACCATGTATCATTAGATTTGTTACGGACATGTGTTCGAAAAACCCGTTTATCTCCTTCCATAGAAGAAACAGTTTCATGCACAATATTTGCAGAAAGATCATATATTGTAGATACATCTGGCGGCGGGACAGGATCAACATCTATTTCAAATTTTTAGTATTTAGATGGTCAATTAAGTTTTCGCTTACATCCTCGCATATCTAGGTCTTTAATAGGAAAATTAACAATTGTTGGGTTTTTTTCATTTCTCCAGTTATTTTTGGTAAATCTTTTAATATGAAAAATCAAGAAAGGAGGCAACTTTACAATTTTATAGCGTTTTCTTTGTCCAGAAAGTTCTTGTGATGTTATACCATCATATTTTGCAAGTAGTGTAGATAATGCAACCTATATGTTAGTAAGAAATTTCTAAAAATCTAGTTAATATTGAGACCTGTGGGATAATATTGTCTTCAAATTCATCTTGGAATAAAGGTGGTAAAGGTAAATCTAATGTTAGAAATAGAAACGGTAATATATTTTCTTTAATTTCTCTTCCAATTTCAAATCGCAATCGATCTGCATCATTTGCATCTGATTTAGCAATAATCTGCTGACTTTGGATTCGTACTCTTCCTTGAAATATTCTATGGATTACACTTGATTTTACTTTTGTTTTAGATTTTCCAAGATCACGATGAATGATGTTCAAAAGCCATGAAAGAAATTCAAGAGGATCACTTTGTTCTGTTAATTTAAACTGTTTTCCCGACACTAATGATACTTCTTGAAGAAGTTCGTGAGGAGATACATGTCCTCTGAATGCTTTGGCGTTCCATATTTTTCGTATAAGAATACTTAACCTTTGAACTTTTTTTGATATTTCAGAAAAAAAAATAAATAAATATGTCTTTACCAAGTTCACTTTTTCCATCAAAATTCTCTAAAATAAAATAATTCCGAAATGGTGTTATATGTGATAACGCTTGAATCACACAATTAAGATAATTATTTTGTTTAATATTATTTAAACCCACAAATCCTATTATTTCATATAATCAATTCCCATTTTTATATATTCAATTTACCTGGAAAATATCTTTTATTATCCAAATCATAAGATGGCTCAATATTTATATCCATTGCCATTACTTGTTCTTTTGTATATGTCGGATTCAAAACATATTTAATATCATCCAATGCATTTGTTTGTACCTCATATGATTCTGGAAGTACATATATCTTAAGACTATGAAGGTTAATATAAACATGATGCGCTTCATCCAAACTATGAAAATATGCATGAGAAGACCTTCCACGACCTAATCCAGTCAGAAGAAAAATGTAAAAAATAGCAAAAATCCCTTGAAAGTACTTCCCACATATAAGGCATGCATAAACATTGAGATTCGATAGAGAAATTGAACATAATTTTTCAAAATCAAAATCTAATCGTGTTCGATCTACCTTTTCAAATTTTACAAAAAATACTTCAATATCCAACAAAAATACCGTATCAAGGTACATATCCAATGGAGGAGTAGGTAATGGCTCAATTTCTTCCTTTTCTTCTCTTATATTTTCATCTATTTGTTCAAGATCATTAGAAGTTGTTAAATCATCTTTCTTAAAATCTTCTTTTTTTTCAAGGAAAAAGGAATCCTTCTTTTCTTTCTTATTTTTCTCCTGATTATCTGGTTCTTCTTCATGAATTAATGTCTCAAGATCCTCTGAAATTTTTCTTTTTAACATTTTGAAGATTCGAACTTAATCTTGACTTCGAAAATTTAAAAAAATCTTAAATATGACAATTTTTAGGAAGAAATTTATTAATTATATGAAACTTATTTATACGGATCCTTATTCATATAAGTTATTAGTTCGTTGTTATTTTTCTAGGAAAAATAGTTCTTTTACTGGAAAAACTTATTATATTACGACGCCTATTTTCTATGTTAATTCAGGTAAAGAAGATAAAGAAATATATGTTTTTTAACTTTATATCGTTTTGTTTTAGATCCTCATATAGGCCATTTGTATAATTGGGTTTTTGCTGATGTAATTCAAAGATATCTACGACTTAAAGATCAATCTGTTATTTTAAGAATTGGAACTGATGAGCACGGTATTAAAGTGGAACATTTATTCATTTTTTAGGATGATACCAATGCCTTATAGGTAGAGAAGGCGGCTTTAAAATCAGGTTTAAGTCCTTCATTATTTTGTGAGAAAATGTCGGAGCGTTTTAAATATTTGGCTAAATTAGCAAATATTGATCATAAAGATTTTAGTCGTACAACTAATCCTAAACATTGTCAATCTGTCCAATGTTTTTGGAAAGTTTTGAGGGATAAAGGATATATTTATGAAAATAAACATGAAGGATGGTATGCTGCACGTGATGAAACCTTTTACCCATCTAAAGCTGTTAAAAAAATACGGAATTCAGATGGTGCTATGTCGACTGTAAATGTTTTATTATTTTTAAGTGTTTTTCTTAGTCATAGTAGATTTCTATTGAGACGGGTGCCAATGTTGAATGGATTTCTGAAAATAATTATCATTTCCGACTATCTAAATTTAAAAATCAGTTATTGGATCATTACAGAAAAAATCCTTGTTTTGTTATTCCCAGATCCGAGCAAAATAATTTATATCATATGATCGAGCAAGGATTAAATGATATTAGTATATCTAGACCAAGCTCTCGCTATTCATGGGGTATTCGAGTACCTGATGATGAGTCTCAAACAATATATGTCTGGTTTGACGCTTTATTAAGCTATATAACGAATGCGGGATATCCATGGAGTAATTCGATGCTTGGTGAATGGCCCGCTAATGTTCATTTGATTGGTAAAGATATTCTTCGGTAATTTTTTTCCTATACTATATTTTACATGCTTATTATTTCTTTTGTATCAGATTTCATTGTATATTATGGCCAGCACTTTTACTTGCAGCGGATTTACCCCTTCCTTATCAAATAGTTTCACATTCGCATTGGACAATGAATAATATTAAAATGTCTAAATCACTTGGAAATATTGTTGATCCTTTTTTTAAAATTCAAACATTTGGAATTGATCCTGTAAGGTATTTTCTTATAAAAGAGGGAAGATTGGATAGTGATAAAAGTAAATTATATAATTTTTATTTAGTTTCTTTTTAATATTTTTAAGATTATGATTTATCTGATTTTATAAGAAATTATAATGTAGATCTTAGAGGGAAGTTGGGAAATCTTCTATTAAGGGTCTATTCCTCTCATTTTGACTTAAAACGTGCTTTACTTTGTTCAAAAGAATATGTAGATAAAAATACTTTATTTCAAGAATTCGATGCAAATATTAATACAATTGCAGAAAAAGTTGATGATCATATGTCTAAATTTCAGTTGCATGCTGCCTTACAGTCTATCTTTCATTTCATTACCTCCATCAATAAATTTTTCCAAGATTTCGAACCATGGAAATATTATAATCAGCCTGATAATGTTGATCCAGTTATTTATAGAACATTAGAAGCGATAAGATTATCTGCAATTCTTTTAAAACCTTTTATTCCTGAAAAAGCATCTGAAATATTAGATCAATTAGATGTTCATCCATCTCGGAGAAGTTTTAAATTTTGTAAATTGGGTTTAGACAAGACATACTTACAAATTCAATCTAAAAGAAATATGCTTTTGTTTCCAAAATTACCTTCAATGTATTCAGAAAAATAAAATTATTAAAATTTAACTTTTATGTACATATCTAAACATTTATATATCATATATTAGACATTAGACATTATACTATGAATGCTAAATTTCACTTGTTCACATTCGAGTGTTGAGAGATTTAATAAGACGATAGATCCAGTCTCACTAAATACTGGAAGAGTGATTAAACGTATTTTCTGTCCGTTTTCACCTAATAATTTTAAGCATTATAGAAAAAGGTTTATATATCAACCTTCAATAAATTTCGTATCAAATTTCTCTTGATTTCCAAGAAAATATACATGAGGAGCTTCTAACATAACGAATGGATCCTTTTCAGAAAATGGATAACACCCTAAGACTTCATGAGAAATGTTTTAAAATTATTAGTATAGAAACATAAAGTATCAGGTGCTGTTGGTGCACAATGTTGCCATCTCAATGTATATTCCATAATTGTTAATTTATCAATTTTATCAGTATATTTGTATATATCGTTAATCGTTTGTCCACTAGATCCAAAAAATCTAGCAAAAATTGTTATTTAACAATCAATAATAAATATTCTAGAGTACTTTATTCCATCTATCTCTATCCATGCAGGGTTTGTACAAATTGTTAATGTAGACCCAAAATAATGCTTGGCATTTGGAAGCATTGAAAAATGAATTGGTTGTTGAGGCAATAAAACATTTGATGGATCCGATTCCCCAGGCATAAGTATTGTAGATGTTGTAACACATATATTTGAAAGAAATGTATCTAGCATTTTTATCGGTATAGGATTATATGTAAAAGTATTATTATATGTTTTCTCAAAAATGTCAGAAATATATACTCTGAATTAATTCATTCTTACCTTTTTATCAAATTCATTATTATTTTTCGATGACCCTATAGAATTCCCTGCAATAATAAATTGAACTATTTGGGAGCTAGCTATTTGATCCTAAAAAAGCACTTAAACCTAAATAAAAATATGAATATAGCATACCTTACGGCCACCAATTTCCCCTGTCAAATATTCACTAAGAAGTAATAATGTTAATGAATTGCAAGTTTTATCTGTTATATTAAGCCCGGAAACAAATGCGACATATTTATTAGTCTTAGTATCTAGAAAAAATTATATACATTCTTAAATATGGAAATATATACCAATTTCCTTAGGTATTAGACTTTGATATGGTAATTCAGGAAAACAAATGTCAATTACTTGAAAATTTCCATTTCGAGTTTCAAACCCCAATACACCAATAACACATCCTGTAACTAAAAATTCTTGAAGTATTTTTGGTCCTACAAGACGAATTCTTCCATATTCATCTTCCAATATTACATCATTATTCGTAGAATCAATATATTTTTCATTTGTAGATGAAATCATCCAGTACTATGAAAAAATGGTTAACTTTAGAAAAAAATCAAAAAATTATACATCTTTTTTAATATCTTTTAAAATATTTGGCTTCAAAGGTGCATCAATATAAACCGTCCCAATAATCCAACATATTTCCCCATGAACAATATCTAACAAACGACTTGCGCGTTTTACTTTTTTTTTTTTAACAAAAATACCATCCCACTTTTCTTGTGCCTTATGAACAATCTTTGGTCTAATATGAACAAGACGTAAAAAATAGATATTTGCATATTGTTGTTGATATGTTCTCTTTTTTCTATTTTCCTAAATCTACCCCTCTTAACCCCATAAAAAACTCACATAATGTAATCCTCTTGATAGAGAAAAGATAATTGTACATTTTCACGCGTCAAATACGGTTTATTTATATCATTTAAATCACTATAAAATATGAAAAAAAGGCTTAAATTAATAAAAAAAAAAATACCCAGATGAATAATCATCTTCAAATGACATATTCTAAATGTTCTATAATGATAATAATAATATATATATATATATAACCTTAGATTTGTTTTTATAAATTGCTTTTTTTTAGAAATTTTTTTAAAAAAAAAGATAAATTTCAATTTTTTACATCTTGTTCTTACTCGTTCTTAGTAAATTTATAAATATTAGCTCAAGATAAATATTAGCTTAAGATAAATATTTTTCTATAACATCAGTAAAATGTTATTTATATAATTTATAAAATACAGATAATCTTTTAAAAAATATAAAATATATTCTCCATTTATTAATGAGGTTTTCTTAAGTTTTAAAAATAGTTGAATCTTACATCTATTTATATTATATTTGTTTTAGAGCTTAATCTTTAAATATCTTATATATTATGCGCTATTTTATATATATATGCTGTAAAAAATGAGATATTTAACATGTTTTGATTTAATAATTTAATATTTGTTGTGGTTATTTTTATCTTTTATATTTACGATTGATAAGAATTTATCAAAATAGGAAATAAATTCCTGTGCGCCATAATTAATAAGAAGGGGTATCCTTGTTTTCATAAAAATCGGAATATTGTTTATCTAATAATCTGCCAATCAGAATTCAAGAAATGTTGATTGGATAATTATTTGAATCAAAAAGGTCTTTTCTGGAATGTTTACATATCATAAGTATGCGCCACAATTTATTTTGCTCTTTTGATAACGCATAAAAAAAGTTACAAAAAAATATAAAGGGAGGCCAGTCCCCTCTTCCTTTCTTAATTACTCTCGATTAAGATAATAGACTATAAAGATATTTTGCATATTTTTGGATTGAAGAATTTATCACCATGCATTTTCATATTACTAGTATATGCATAACCATTGCAATGTTTTTTGTTATGATTAGGGGAGCTGCTTTTAGCGGGACGCAGCTGGGTAAGTTTATGGGAATATTTATAGGTTGTCTTATCAAGTCTAGTTAAACGGGATATGAAAGATGTGAAAGAAGAAGCGAATAAAACCATTTTGAAACCATTAGGTGAAGTTGCGAATCAAACTGCTTCTGGTGGTCCTTCGAATTTACAAGCAAAAAATGAATCAATTTCTCTAAGCGCTAACGTTAGCGTTAGCAGTGAGCCAAGCGGATCTATTCGTATTTCAATTGCATCTGCTACAATCGTTTTCGCTATATTAGCATTCATAGGATCTCTTGCATCTTTTTGATTGAATAGATTCATTGATTTTTTCAGTAATTGCCCTTGATGGGCTATTTTATCATTTTTGTTGACATACGTATCTGTTGATAGAAAATATATAGCTTGTTTTTCTTATAATTTATATTTATTCTTCAACTTTTCTAGTACAGTCTTTAAATTTCTTTTTTTGAAGATAAATAAGGGTTAGGATGTTTATCAAATGAGCCTTTTCAGTATATTTGTATCAATAAGATTTTATCTTATGAATTCTTTATATTTTTAATCTTGTTTTTTAAGGATTGAAAAAATCATATTTTTCTTATATTTAATTAACTATTATATATTAAAATTTTTTAACGTAATTATGTTGTGTTTTATAGAGTGATTACGAATATATACTTATTTTATATACTTAAGTATTATCGTTCAATTGCTTTTCATTAGGGTTATAAGAAAAGTTCATTTTTGCTCATTATTGATAAATATTTTTGTTTAGTGATGGCAGATAAGGAGCTAAAATTGTTATTTTTTTTTTTTTGCAAAGAAAAGTTGATAAAAATAGACTTGATAAAGTTGAATTTCACTTGGGGTTAGCAAATACAAGTATTGAATTAGAAAATACATTAAAAACATATTTATGTCCTACGCTTTTAAAATTAGCAAGTCCTTATGAAAGTGTTAGGAAAAAAGTAATTTAATCTTGCAAGAAATTAAATTTTAGATCTTATGGTATTAGGTTCTTCAAATTTGTACTCATATTCGTCTGCGAATTAAATCAAATGAGGATATAAAACTTCCAACAAATATATTGTTGGAGCAATATCATAGTGAAACTGTTGGAAATTTTGTGAAAAATTTCACTCTTTTATTTTTAGAAACGGCTTTTTTTAGATTAAATGAAGAAGTAAAAAAAGAATCATATATTTTTACATTTTGTATTCTTAAAATCTTTAGGAAAAAAAAAAAATGTTATCCAAATTAATACCAGGAGTTTCAACTTATTTTATTGAACATAAAAAAAAAATTACATATTTAATTTTGCATATTTTAGAAATATATGGCGATTCTCATAAAACAAATATATGCGGATTTGAAAATGACCAGTCTTTAAAGTCTGTATTTGATACTTCTTCAGAAGATTTTGCATTTATGGCAGATGTATTTAAAGATTTATCGCTATTTTCATTATCATATTTTCATTCTTTATCTAAAAAATTATCTAAGGAAAAAATTCAAGAACTTTCATCTGTTAATTATCTTAATAATGCTAATTTGTCATTGAATGATGCAAATTTTTCTTTACAAATATCTATTTTGAAAAAAACATGTCCAGGGTTATCTTTTGATTCTTTTAAATTTTTGACTCCAAAAGGATTAGATACGTTTAACATAGATGTACTCAATAGAATAAAAATAGGGGTTATTCAATTTCTTTCTACATCTTATTTTTCATTAGATCAAAAATTCGTTACATTTATTATTTTTAAATTTGACACTGATTATAATATTAGTTCTTTTGCTGAGGCTTGTCTCAAAAAGTTATCTGTTGATCTAGAAAATGAAAAAGTGATTAATGGAATATATAGCCTTTTAGTTGGAGATAATAATGAATTAGAGACAGTCAAGAGAAATCCTGTTTCTGCTCAGATTTATGTACATTTAATAAACCTCTTGACTAAAAGTTATTTCGCTGCAAAAAATGCCGAAAATATACTTAAATTACTGACTTACGGTTTACAAAGTATTATATTAGTATCAATATATAAATATTTAACGTTATTAGATAATGTGCAAAAAATAATACAAGCGACAATTGCTTTTGTTAATTGGATTGCAAGGTATATTTTGTTAGATCGAAAAACATGGTTTTAATTCTATAGAATATCACCCGATGATATTTTAAAGCCTATTATTCGGCCTACTTTAACTTTAATAACAAATTATATTCAGAATGATGAAGATAAAAATGAACAATTGAAAGAGCAATTGTTTATGTCTTTCGGGCTTATTGCTAAAAGAGGTTTTAATTATATATTTTTTTTAATTTTTAATATTTTATAGAAACAAATTATATAGATATTTCAGTTTTAAAATTTTTATTTGATTCTCTTAAAAAGGAAACAAAATCAGTTAGGTTGTCTATAGAACAGTCTCTTTTTTTAATAATGCCTCGTTTTCAAAATATTCAAGAGGAATTATTAGAAGAATTAAATTCTTTGTTGTTTCAAATTATTATTTCCGATCATATAGACGCACATTTTTCTGCACTTCGCTATTGTTTAGCAATTTTTCCTTTTCATGAAAGTAGGGCGAGAATGCTATGTTTAATTTGTTTAAGAGAAAATTGTATTCCTAAAGTTAAAGAAGAGGCAAAAAAGGGACTAGATCCCTATTGGTTTTTAATAATTAATCAAATGAAAGATGTGAAGCAGAATCAAGATAATGTTTTTTCGAAAAATAGCTATAATTTTTCTTCTTTTCCTGCTTTTGAAGATCTGATAGAAACACTAGAAAATCAAAAATTAAACAGTCATGGTGATAATTTTTTTAGTCGTTATTTTGAATCACTGTCACCTAATATTAAAAATCATATGATGAAATTTATTCGGCAGACTTTAATTATGAATCTTCTGCAAAATGATGAATATATTCAAAATTTTAATCCTTTAAATACGGCATGGGAAGAACAGCTTGATATTGCTATTAGTGATAATGAGGTATTTAGAATAACGTATAAAAAAAAGATCGATATAGCATGGAATAATAATACTAAGTTCAAAAAATATTTGATTAGTTATTTTCTATATCTTCTTAAGAATTTTTGTGAAACACCTTTGGAGTTTGCATATGATATTCTTGAGTTAATTTCATTTGGACCTGATGATTTAACACTAATGTTAACGGACAAATTTGATTTACTTCAAGCTTTTCTATTATTGTCTAAAGAAAATTTGGAGTACAATGTACCTCATATTTTAGGAATTGTTGGAAGTCATTATAATATATCAATTGAAAGGATTACGGAATTGTTAATACTTTTTACTCGTTCTGAAACATCTCAAACTAATCGACAATCTTTCTCAACCCATTCGTCTTTATTATCTTTGGGATATATATTAAGTCGTTTAAAGCTTAGAGGTCGTTTAACTACAATTAATATTGATTTACTATATCAATGTTATAATTTTATTATTGAAAAAGTATCTTCAGGTAATAGACTTGAAAATATTTCTGCTCTTGTAGCACTTGGCGAATTAAGTATTTTTGATACTCTTTCTGACTTTAAAACTTCAAATCAAGAGAAATTTAATTCCTTAATTACGACAATCATTGATTTATATATAAAATCAAAAACAGATATTAAACTTCGAGAAATTATAACTACTACTTTAGGAAAGATTGCAGCTACCATAGATCCTAAGCAGCCTGAAATTGATGCTATTTTAAATTGTATATTTGAAAATTATCAGACCGAACATGTTTATTCATATTTTATTGACGGAGAAGCTCTTTCATGTATTGCAGCTGGATGGAAGTCCAAGTTTTTGTACAAGTTTGTTGATATGTCTGTTTCAAGTATTCCAGAAACCTCAAGATCTGAACATATGGACTTTATTTTGAAAAAAATACTTCAGGAGTATATAATAAGCACGAAACCTTCATTAAAAAAAGTAAGAAAACTTAATTATTAATTTTTATCTAATATTGTAAGGCATCAATAATATGGCTTTTGTCTTTAATTCGATATTGTGGAGAATCCTTAAGTATTCAAGTAATTTCTTGATATTATTATCTGCTTTGCTAAAATGAGATTAAGGATAATATTTTAATCATGCAAAATGCTTTTATACTATTATTATCGGATAAAGATAGTAAGATTTGACTATTTTGGTGCTGTTTAATAGTTTTTTAGGTTTTATTCAAGAATTGGCATCAAAGGGATTAAAATTACTATATGAAAAGTGTTCTGAAGAAATGAAATCTAGTTTAGTTAATGATCTTATTTTATGTCTAACAAGCAAAAAGAAAATTAAAAGAACTATTACATCAGAAACAGAGTTATTTGATCATGAAATTCATCGTGAAAACAATACTTCAATATCAACATATGGTGATGTATTATAATATATTTCAGAATATTCTCATTTTAAAACTGCTTTTAGGTCTGTAGTTTAGCAACAGAATTAGGAAATCCTGAATTGGTGTATCAATTTCTTAACATTTCTTCAAATTCTACTATTTGGCAAACTCGAAAAGGTGTTGCTTTTAGTATTAATGAAATTATTTCAAGTAATACAAAAATTGATATTATAAAAAATAATCCTGAATTATTTAAAAAAATGATATCTTGCTTGTTCTTATATAAATTTCATCCAATATCAGATGTTAAAAAAGTAATGGAAAATATATTCAATATTTTTGTTAATTTGGAAAAAATTTCAGAATTTAATAAAGATATTATGGATAGATTATTAAAGGGACTTGGTGATCAATCGTGGTATATTCGTGAGGCCAGCTGTAATGCACTTGCGGATTTTCTTCAAACACAAACAGTTGAAAGTATAGAATCTTACTTGGAAGATATTATAATAATGAGTTTTCGTGCAATTGATGATGTAGTATTAAAGTTTTGACATTTTGTTACTAATTGTGATTAGATAAAAGAAACAGTTCGGTTAGCAGCATCTAGTTTATGTCGTTGTATTACATCTTTTATTATCAAGAATATTGGTTATAGAAACAATAAAAAAAGTGACCAAAATATTATTTTAGAAAAGAGTATTCCTATTTTTTTAAAAAGTGTAATTTCAGATATTCAGGAAGTGAAAGGATATGCCTTAGATACTTTAATAAAAATATGCGATACATCAGAATTGTCTCTGAAGCCTTTTATTCCTGTGCTTATTGATAATTTACTGAATTTTCTTACTGAATTAGAGCCTCAAGCTATGAATTATTTAGAATTAAACGCAGATAGATTTGATATGACTCAAGAACAAGTAAGTGTGATAATTTTTTGAAATTATATATTCTGAACTTGAAGTTAAATGATGCAAGGGTTTCTTTACTTAGAACTTCGCCAATTTTGAATGCAATTGAATCTTGCATAGATAAGTTTGATGAGGAAGTAGCCCGGAAAACTATACCCCTTCTTCTTAATACTACACAGAAAGCTGTTGGTCTTCCTACTAAGGTATTTTATCTTTTTTATTATAAATAATATGAATTGTGATAGCTGGCATGTTCCAAAGTTATTATAAGTATTATTTTAAGAAAAAAAGATTACGTTTCTTTATATGCAAATGATATATTCCGAGTTTTTCAAGCATGTCTTTTTGATAGAAATCATACCGCAAGGATTTCTTTTTCTACATCTTTAGGATATATAGCACGTATTGCATCAATTAAAAATTTGACTTTATTGGATTCTAATTTGAAAAAAGTATATTTTGAAGAAAAAGGTATATTAATAAGTTTTTGAAATAATGTTAATATTTTAAGATGAGAAAAAATTAATAACTGTTGCTTCTGTATATAAACATATATCGATTTATGCTAATGAAAAATTTGTATCCTTATTTCATTTATTTCTTCCAATTGTATTTTTAGGTAAACATGATCAATTTGAAAGTGTTAGTTTTCAATTTAACGAAATATGGAATGAAAATGCTGGAGGTAGTGGATTTATGGCTCTTCATTCGAATAAAATACTTGATTTTATAATTTTTGGTCTAGATAATAATCATTGGAGATTAAAAAAGATATCAGCAATTGCTTTAACTAAAGTTATTGAATCTTCTAAAATAGATGAATATTTAGATAAGCTTATTCCAAATCTTATGGATATTCTTGAAGGGAAGTTTTGGGATGGTAAAGAAGCAGTTCTTAATGCTTTTATTACATTGTTTGTTTACAATGAAAATTATTTATTGGATAAGGCATATTTAATCCAAAAAACATTTGATGTAATCGTGCTTCTTGATATTATGTATTATATTAATATTTAATAGATTTTGGTTCGAGAAACAAAAAGAAATAATATCAATTACCAGCGGCATGTTTTATGTCATTTCAATAGATATATGGAGCTTTATTCAACCCCTGAGAGTTTTGAAAATATTTATTCAATTATAGAAAAATATATATCTAATGATTTAGAAAAAAAAGAAATATCTGAAGATAATGAAAATTCAAAGTCAATGTAAAAAAAATATTTCATAATTATTTCTTATATTATTTAGGGGATTAATTCTTCGTGAACATAGTTTAAATATAATTGCTAGTGCTTTTTATCCAAAAAGTGATAAAACATGTATTGAAAAACGTTTCTATTATTTTTAATAATATTAATTTTAGATACTTGTTATGTAGAATTGGTGAGGATCTGGAAAGAAAATATTCAATTAACATGGAATATACAAATAGCAATATGCAAATCTATTCAAAAGATTTTTAAAAAGAACTTTTTAAATACTTTTTTATTCGATCAATTAAAAAATAATGATACATTATTAGATAATTGGAACATAATTTACCATGCTCTTTGCAATAAAAAGTATGAGAGCGTGCGTAATGAAGCCGTGAAAGCAGCCAAAGTATTTATTGAATCATTGAAAGATTATAATGATTCCGAACTTAAATCTAGAATTCTTAAGGATTTTAATGAATTTAAATTAACTGAAAATTCATCTATGATTAAAGCTGACTTAAATCATATCTGTTTTTCAGGTTATTGATAGCTTTGTAATTAATATTATAAATAGAGTTAATATAAGAAATCGGTATGTGAGTTTTATAGGTGTGCATTCTTTTTTGATTAGAATTTGTTAAATTCCATAAATATCTAACTTTTTGATATATTTTTTGAAAAATGTTAGTTATAACATTAAATGTTAATCTATTATAAACCAAAAATTGATATAGATTCTTCCTATGTCTAGTTTTTTTATATACGTGATCTGCATTACTTGTTTCAAGCTATTTTTAAGTTATCTTTAAGATTTAAAAATATATCATAATATGAAATATGATTTTTATGTTTTCGGTATTAATATATGTAAAAAAAACTAATGTTTATCCTTATAAGTATTATAATATTGATTTTTATCTCTACCACTATGATGATGCCTATAATCATCTGAATTTTTCCTTGAGATTGAGTAACTAGAATGATATGAATCCTCAGTACGCCCTTTATACGAATTCCCTGATTCGTTTCCCTTAAAAGAATAATTATTGCTTCTTTTTGTTGATATACTTTTAAATTTCTCTTGTGATTCTTTAAAAGTGGTATTTTTTTCATAGGTTTCTTTTGATCTATTTCTAGTTGGTTCCTCATGTATTATTTCCCCTGTTGCTTTATTTATTTTCAAAACAGGAACATATGTTTTATCTGCTTGTTTTTTTGTAATACCTTTTCCCCATGCTCCCAATTCATCCTGCTCTTTTGAATCATATTCTTTTGCACCAATACCTAAAAACTGCGCTCTTCGAACCATCCTATTAGGCATTTTTGTTTCCTGTTTATTTTTCCCAATACCTTCCCCTTCTTTCCATCCCATCCCTCGTAATAAAGCATTACCAAATTCCTCAACTGGAATATTTTCATAATCCTCCAATGTTGCCGGATCTGGCAAACACATAATATCTCGTTTATATAGTTCATCTTCTGTTAAATTTCGAGCATTTGTTTTCCAATCTGTATTAGACGTCATAGGTAATACAAGATTTGATTCTGTTTTTTGCCCCTCTGCTTCTGCTAATAATGCTTTAATAGCACATTCTTCCTCCGTATCTTTTGCATTAAAAAGACATGAAGTTGATGTATTTGATACTTCTTGACTTATTTTTTCAGATGGATTCTCTTTTTCTTTATCAATAAATGTTAAACCATATGTTTTCAAATCTTTTTCTTGGGAAATAACTCCTCCATTTTGTAAATACTCCTCGTTAGCAAGATATAGCTTCTTTTCACGGTATTTTAGAACTTCTTGACGCCAGTCTCTATTTTTAAGAGCCGGTATAACTAATGGTTCTTTCTTAGAACTTCTTTCAGGATTTAATGATAAAGCGCCAGAGTCATCAAATCCACTTAATAATTCATCTTCTATTATCTCCTCTTCTTCATCTGAATTGTTTTTAAAAATCTTTTTTTTTGTATATGTTAATGACTTAGAATTTCCCCATTTTGGGGCTATTTTTGTTGGTTGAAAAGATAAAGAAATTGGTTCTGGAGATTTATTCATTTCTAATTCATTTCTAATTCATTTTGAGGCTTTTAGCTGTTCATTTTTTCCTTAAAAACAGCATTTTTATTGACAAAATATTAAAGTTTTTATCAGCAAAAAATAGCGAAGTTGAATATTTTTAATCAAGAAATAATATAGAAATGTCTATAAATTTTATAGGAAAAAGATGAAGATTAATGTAATAATAAATTAGAAATAAAAGATTATTTTATCTATTTTTTTTTCCAAGAAAAATTTAAAATATAAATTTGGTTATAAAATAAATTACCTTGAAATTTTTATTTAAATTAGTTGTTTTTAATTGATAGGATTTAATATATGTGTTTTGTATTATTTTCTTTATATTATTTGAATTTTTTTCTGTAAAAAAGATTATGTTAAGCTTTTTTTGAATAAATAAAGAAATAACTTGAAATATGTCCATAGGATTATGTATTAAGAATTAAAATTCAACGTTATTCTGTCTTATTCTATACGATAAGTACATTTATTAGAAAAATGTATCATTTTTCACCATTTGTATGAATATTTGACATTTATATGTATGATATGTATTTATATTCGAAATAATAGCGTTTTTAATGTCTTATTTTCCAAAATAACTTAATTCATCTAAATATCTTGTTTTTTTTCAATAAACATATTCTCTCCTTCTCCTAAAAGTGTCTCCATTGTTTTTTCTATCAAAAATCCTAATCCCATTCAATTAACATTATAAAGACTGCTATTATCTACCAAATGCTAATAATGCTGTCTCATCTAGGCTTTCAAAAAGCTGTGAAAATTGATGTTTTGTACAATAAACTGAAATATATTGATATAATGACCGAAGTAAATCCTATATCATATTAATACCCCTCCAGCTATCCATTTCCATTCAAAAAACTACTGAATTCGGGAGCTGCACTTCTGGATCTGCTGAAACTATTTTTAAATGTTCATCAGGTCCACGAGGACGCTGTTTTTTTAGACGAGGATATTCCGAGCTGTTTAATGGCTTTGTATATCTATGTGGATCAAAAATCTTATCAGAAACTGCGTCATAGACATTTGCTTGTCGCTTTTTCATTGTTTATATTGATATAAAAATATCCGAGTTATTCAATTTGTGCAGCTTTTTTCTCTCTTAAAAATATAATTTACATAGAAATAATAGAAATATGTTAAGATTATCTTAAAAAAGTCTATTTTTATGCCTTTAAAGCTCAATTTATGTGAATTTTGGTAATTTTTTAGTCGTTACTATGACGACTTATTAAAAGCAGGAGAATAAGCAGCAGAAAAAACTGGTGAAAAGGTAGGTTTATATGTAGGTTTATATGTAGGTTTCATATGCTTAGTTATTTAGATGGATCGTTTCCTTTTTCTTCGGTCTCTTGGAGCCCAGTCGTCGTGTATTTTGCGCCGTATGCAATATTTAAGAAGTATATGGTCAATGGATTCAGAACCAGTTAAACGGTTTAAAAGGAAGCATTTTGGAAATATTCAGGCATTAGTTCTTGATAACAATGTAGAAAGATAGTGGGTTTTTTTTGATACTAGAAATTGTTTAAAATTGGTGTTTTTAGCCTTCTTTCTGGGGGAACAGAATCATTAGTATGTTTGTGGGATTTAGAGGGGGAAAAAGATAGAGAGGAGACATGTATAGATCCAATTGCATTTATACCAGTGTTAGTTGTTGTATTTTTTTTTTGAATTTTTATGGTGATATATTTTTGTTAGTCATTCAGGTCATAAATATGAGATTTCTGATATTAATTGGTGGTCTTTTGATCAAAGTTTATTTACAACATCATCATTTGATCATCTTGTAAAAGTTTGGGATACGGATACTATGCAGGCATTATTTTATTATAAATGATTTTATAAAACTAAGCTATATTTAAGGATGTGTGTTCATTTGATCTTGAAGATAAAGTATACGCTCATAGTTTGTCACTTATTGCAAGCCATTGCCTTATTGCATGTTAGAGTGATGGGTTTTGTTTTAGTATTAATTGAGTTTGTAGGTGGCACTGATTCATCATCGATTCGTCTTTGTGATTTAAAGACGGGCGCATTTACACATTCCTTGAGGGGGCATGAGGGGAGTGTTTTAACAGTTCTTTGGTCTCCTAGAGATGAGTATACTCTTATATCAGGTGGAAGTGATGGATCGGTAAGGCTATGGGATGTTCGTCGTGCTATTTCTTGTTTGAAATGTTTTCATCAATATAATTTACAGATCGATTTTGCAACCCAGAGGAATTGTTCACATAATGGCCCTGTAAATGGTTTAGGTTTTACAAGTGATGGTTTTTATCTTGTATCTGTTGGTCACGATGAAGTTATGAGGCTATGGGATTTACAGAATGGTTTGAATATGTTTATTCATTATGGCCAAAAAATTAAAAATACACATTTTCAGAAAACAAGTCCATATATCACTCATTCTGATGAATCTGAAACTCCACTTACATTATTTCCTTCTAACAATTCTCAAATACATATATTCGATTTATTTCATGGCAATTTAATTAAAACTCTTAATAGTATGGAGGGGAAAGTGTCATGCGTTATTGGTAAAAAATATTCAGCGGTATCTTTTTCTTCATTACTGATATAATGGATATTTATCTGTTTTAGGAATTTTATTCAGGAAATGATCATCAAATTTTCACATGGCTTCCAAAAAAACCCACTTAGTAAAAATATATATCAATTAAATATATTCATATGTTTAACGTTTTGTTGATTTTGGTTTAACAACTTATAGAATATACTGGAAATGATTATAATAATATGTAAGTATTTTTCTAGATATTTTTTTTTTAAATAGCAATTGATTAGATAATGTTTTTGGCAAAGTGAATGACATTTTGGATTCTATAATAACATTTTATGATCGACATGTTTTCAGTATAAACTTTACTAGGCTGGCAATTTTAATTAAAAAAATAGTTTTAGATAATTTACATAGAAATTGATATGGACTTTATCAATCTTTTTTTATCATTTTTCTATTTATTTAAATTATATGGATATACTGTGAATGTTTATTCAAGTAATTTAGAATTTTGACATTGACAATGTTTATCATTAAAGACATTCAAAAAAAATCTTCTAATAATAATTGGAAATACATCAATAAATAATGATTCAAAATGATTCTTAATAATCTGTTTTTACTTTTAAAGGTAATTTGGTTTGGTATCTTTCAAAAAATACAAAAAAAATAAACCATTAATTTATTTACTATTTAATAACATATATTCAATTATTTTTTTTCTCTAGTTAACTATGTTTTTATATTTTATATATTTATTTTTTCATCTTTTACCTTGTAACCACCTTAACAGCGACCAGCTGCAATATGCTTTTTCTCTTTAAACCTTGTGGATTTCCACCTCAGATAAAGAAGGTATTCACTGATTTGGAGATGTTTTGTATCATTTTTTAATGTATGTTTAGAAATGGTTTATTCCTATTCGTTGTTTAACACATTATGTTCCTCCTCTTCATTTACCTTGGAATTGGAAAAAAGAGGGTTTCCCTCCTTTATATTCTTCTAAAGGCCTTGAAATTGCTTATTTTCAGAAGCAGAAGTATCATATAGATGAATTAAATAAATATATTAAGGGTATTATGAGATTGGACCAATATAATGTTTATTGGTGATTTAGGCACTGTTTATGAGGATATTGGAGATGTTGAAAGTATTGCACATCAATCGGCTAATTGTGCATCTCATTCTTATATATATAATCATTCTTCACAAGCTTTTAATAATCATTTTTTTTTTTTAGGCTTAGTTGAGATATATAGTATTAGTGATAAAACTTATAATTATTTAGAAAGGTAAGATAAAAGGGCATAATGAGCCACCGAAGCACTTTTTAGAATATCTTAATTCAAGTTTTGGGGATTTTCATTCATTTAAAGAGCACTTTATTTATATAGCACTTTCAATATTTGGATCTGGTTGGGTATGGTTAGTGGAAGATTTAGTTCAACAACAACTTAAGATTTTTCCGACATTTAATGCAGGACAACCATATCATCAAAGACGATCTATTGCAATGGGTCTTTCTGTTGGTCAACCTGTATTAAATGATGCAGTAAAACATGATATACAAGTAGAGACATTGCTTGTGCCTCTTTTAGTTGTTAATTGCTGGGAATATGCATGGATACATGATTACGGTGTTTTTGGAAAAGAAAAGTATTTAAGATGTTGGTTTGATTGTATTAATTGGGAACTTGTGGTAAAACGACATGCTGACATATGGAAAACAAATGAAACGAATGATACGCTCTCGAATAATGCATAATATTATTTTTAATTTCAAATAATAATAATGTATGAAGCTAATTGATCATGGGGTGTTATTTCTTTGTAGCTTTTTTCGAATTTTTTAACAAATTATATATATATATCGTCTTGACGACACTTATGTATATTCATTTAGTATGAAACGGACATGGCTTGATGGTGTTTTGAATCAAAAGTTCCTTTTATACACATTTGTTGTTGTTATTACATTGGCAGTTACTGTTCATTTATGGTCTGACAAAATTTGTTTGCCAGGTAATTTTAAGAAGTTTTAAAACAATATTATTAAATCAAATATAGATGAATGGTCAGATGAAATGTTAAGAGAATGGCTTCAAAAGGTATAATATTGTTTTATTTTTCTTTGTTAATGGATATTTAATAGAATCATATTTTTTTTGAGGAAACGGATAGTAGAGAAGTTTTGATAGAAAAAGTAAAAATATCATTAAAGAAACAATGAATTGTAGTATTATCATTATCCAAGTGTGTATGGATATTTAGCAATGTGAATTAGTATGTATTGCTATTATCTTAAGGTAATATGGCATATATATGATATGTGTAAAAGTTTAATAAAGTTTTTTTTACAAAAAAAATCAAGAGTTATTTTTTACATATATAATAGATAAAAAATATGAATATACTTCTATGGTATTTTATTTAGAGAGTTATTTTATAATAATATTTAATTAATCTTAAAATATTTAATAAAATTATATAAAAAGCAAAAGTATGCAAATGATTCCTATTAATATATTTTTGCATGCTTTTGTTGTATATTATTATAACAAAAAATATTATTTTTGTATAAAAATATTTTTAGGATAGATGTACCCTAGCTATAGTCCACCTAAGCTTCAATCTTATGCTTAGTAGATCTGATACTTGGGTAAGCGCTTAAAATGTGTCTTTTGCTCTGGCACAACATCAGTGTCCTTCATCATTATAAACTTTGCATAAAGGAGTATCAGATTGTGCATAGAAAGGCTACCTAAGAGCAGTGAAATAACCATTCTGTACTATATCTATAACAAGTTTATCTATTTGAAAATTTCGTTTAAAAATATTAATATATATATATATATTAAATAAAAATAAGGCATGTAATGATTTCAAGATAATTAGAATTGCTTATTCATTGTGATTAAATATCTACATCTTTATTTAGATCAAAAATTTTCCATTGTTCTTCTTGTTCAATCCATTTTTTTTTTTCTCCTAATACTGTGATACTTAAATGTTGCTGTGATATTGGCTTAAGAATATATTTCTCCGATACTCGATATAAATCGTTTATATTTACTTGTAAAAGACGTTCTCTGTATCTATAAATATTTAATAAAGTATAAATTAATAATAAAATATTAACTGTTGGCGCATTTCATCACTTAAAGAATTGATAAAATAAGGCAATCCCTCCTTATCAATACTAATAGGAGCATCTAATGATTGAAATACGTTTAACTTGGCCTCATCGAGTTCTTTCTGAGTCCACTTGTGTTCTATAGCCCATTGCCCAGAATTTGCAAAAATTGATAATGTTCTTTGAGGAGTTGGATCTCGATAGCTATAGAATCCAAAAATTCCTTCCAAACTATTATATGAAGCTCCACTACCATATGCACCACCTTTTTCACGAATTTCTTTATGTAAATATTGCTGAGTAAGTAATTTGGATAATATCTGTATAACAGGCCCATCCTGATGTATATATGGAGTCCCTAGTAAACAAAGAGATACAAAATTAACAGAATATGGTAATGGAAAAAAAGCTTTATTGCCAAAGGACGGAGTAAATTGAGGAAATACATTTTCAGGTTTATGATCATCTAAATTTGCTGGAAGACTTGAGAAAAACTTTTCTAATTCCTTCTTATTCAAACTTATGTGTTTATCACTGCAAGTAATGAAAACTTTGAGCGATTCTTGAAAAAATGTGTATTTTGAAATTTCCTAGAAATTTATAAGTTCTTCTTTGATAACAATAATATATACCTTAAGTTTATCTACAACATCTAATAAATCCTCTTTCATAGAAAGTTTACTAACTAACTTTGCTTGAGTTATTCCACTCATTGTTTCTGAGAATTTCTTAACAAATTAATATAGATTTAATTAATAATTATACACTTACTCCTCCTAAAGTTAGTGAAGAAGCAGAAAAAGCACGTGCGTATGAATGCCCACTTTCTGAAAGTGAACTCATTATATTGCTATTATTAATAGATATTAATGATCTTAATTTTTTGACATTATCAAAATTTGTTTCCAGAAGTAATTTACGAAATAAATCATACATAGATTGTATATTATGGGACAAGCAATGACCCGAAAATAACAATCCTTCTTCTATTGTATTTAAATCTAAAAATTTAAATAATAAAATTTTAGAATAATAAGCCTTACCATTATATTTAGTACTAATGTAAGTAGAAACATTCAATCCTCCTGTTTTAAGTTTAATTTCATCTTCTAAGTCCGACATTGTTTGGGAATGAGTTCCTAAATTAGTCAAAACCTTAAAATATCAATTAAAATCTATTAATTCTTCTAATAAATCACCTCAGCAAATAATGGTAAGTAAGGCTTAAGATATTCTGGAAGATTATTTAAAGGATTAATTGCCCTGAAATATGTAATTTCTGTAGGAACAATTCTCCATTGTACATTCAATTTCCCAATTTTTTCATGAAATAATTCAACCTTAGAAATATTTTTTGCTATGTCATCAATTGTTAATGTTGGTAAGCATGATACATCTTCCTTAGTTTCTTGATTTTTCAATAATTCTAAAGCTTGCATTTGAATTTCTTTCTTTTCCTCTAAAGATAAAGAATTTACTTTAGTCATTAAAGACTTGGTTTCATTTTCAGATAAATCCTGCATATATGTCTTTGATGGCATCATTATAAATGAAAGTGAGTTTGTATTATTTAGTATATATTTGCATATTAATGATTTTAAATATTGATTATCACGTGTATAATCTCGAAATTTAGCAATAATTTCATTAATAGATAACATTAAAAATGGATCTGAATTATTGAACCACCCTGATTGTAAACTTTGCATTAAAGATATACCGAAGTTTGCTGACTTATGTTTAAGACTAAGCTCTATTTGATGAAGTATAGCATCTATTTTATGCTGTTCAAATCCCTTTTCTGCCACTTCTTCTAATACATTCCTAATTTCCAATTCAATCTTTTTAATATTATCTTTAGCAACGCCTTGAAGACCTATTGAAAATATTCCTGTTTTAAAACTTGTATCATAACCTGAATTTGGAGACCAATCTGACCCAAGTCCTGTTTCTATTAATCTTTTATATAAAGGAGAAGAATGTCCATCAAGTAATAATGAAGATAGTACACGAAATGAAAAAGTTTCAAAAACATTTGCTATATCGTTAGCAGAGAAAGAAATAGACATTTTTATTTGAGAGTCCGGATCTGATACTACATAAAATTAGAAAGGTTTTGAAATAATATGAACTAACAAGGATCAAAAGGAAATATATCATATATTCTTCTTGGTGACTTAAACGGTTCAATATTTTTTTGAACATTTTCAATAACAGTTCTATCAAAAGAAGATATTTTAGAATTGATAGCTTCTAAATGCTGGTCTAGAGGGAAATCCCCTTATAATTGTTATTATAAAAAAAATAAGTGAATGAATATTACCATATGTAAAAAATTTAGAATTTGTTGGATGATAATATTTTTTATGATAATTAACCAAATCCTCATGAGTAAGATCTGTAATGACTGCTGGATCTCCACCACTCTCATTTTGATAAATTGTATTTTTAAACATTTGCTGTTGATATCGAATATAAAACAGATAAGATGAGTTAGACTATTTAAATGTAAAAAGGTTTTCATAGAAAAATAGAATGAAATAACCATTTGGCCTTTCATTTCGTTATATACAACACCTTTATAAACGATAGGCGATTGTGGATCTATTATATATTTGTTAAAAAAAAATGTATAATTTGGCTTTGAAATAAGAAAAACCTTTTGGATCTTCGTTTTCTAGACGCCATCCTTCTTGTAAAAAGTCTGTTTTTCGAAGTTTTGGAAATAAAGTCGCATCCAAATAAATATCTCGAAGATTGGAATAGTCTATAGGATTCATTGTCGCAAATGGATACATTGTATGATCAGAACATGTAAAAGCATTCATAAAATTTGCTAAACTTCTATTTAACATCTTAAAAAAAGGATCTCTGACTGGATATTTTGCTGATCCACATAATGCTGTATGTTCCTACCAAATTCATTAATAATAAAATAAAACCAATTATTATTGAAACAAGAATATGAGGTACTCCAGAACTATTAGGCGGTGGTGTATGAAATCCTATTGCAAATACATTATTTCTATCGTTTTTCATAATATGAAGATGTTCTGCTCCTGTCTTTTCATGTTTTAATAAAACTGCCGTTAAATCAAGCTCCTTAATATATTTTTTCTGTTTTTCCTTAGAATACTCTTTTTCTCTATCAATATAACTACTCTTTCTACTAAATATCCATGTAGTTGATCGCCTACTGTCGGCAGCTCTTTTCCCTTTGAAATTACACATTTTTTCCTCTTAAAAAAACTGATACATGAATTTCCGCAGAAATGCTGAATTACTCTTCTTTTTATATTCATCCTGTATTATTTATTGCATTTTCTCTCTTTTTTTTATAGTAATATCTTGTCGCTGACATTAAAAAGCGGGTTGACTATATTTAAGTTAATTTTTTTATACACCTTTTATATATAATCAATTAGCTTTCAATGTCCTGCCCAGTTGTAGATATTAAAGATCGACCCCATAATGATATACTTTTACTCTTTGATGTAGATGGTACTTTAACGCTTCCAAGAGATGTTAATATTCCTTAAAATAATAATTAAATATTAAGCAAATCATTAGATTATTAGCCAAGAAATGTTTGACCTTTTGGTGGAGTTAAGAAAAAAAGTAGTAATTGGATTTGTTGGAGGAGGTGACCTTGAAAAGCAGCAAGAACAGCTTGGACTTAATAAAACGCCAAGTAAATATTAATAAGCCATAATCATTGTATAAATCAATTTAAGTTATTGACATGTTTGACTATGCATTTCCTGAAAATGGATTGATAGCTTATGAACAAGGAAAGCTTTTAGAATCCAAGGTATCGGTTTTTAAATATTAATTGATAAATATCCAATCTGTAATAGTCCTTTATTCGTCATCTAGGCGAAGAAAAGTATAAAAACTTTGTCAATTTCTGTTTAAAATATATTTCTGAATTAGATATTCCAATTAAAAGGTAATCCTAAAAAAATGATCAATGTTATTAATAGCTCATTAGAGGAACATTTATTGAATTCCGTAATGGAATGGTAATATTCATTATACTGAATATATTTGAAAATATCTAGATGCTCTTTTTTTATTGTAAAGATAAATATTTCCCCCTTAGGACGTAATTCAACAAAGCAAGAACGTAATGAATTTGAAGAATATGATAAGAAATATCAAGTACGAAAGGAATTCATCTGTGCTCTTCAAAAAGAATTTTCCGGTTATGGCCTTACTTTTTCAATTGGTTTGTTTATGTCTTTTTTTTTTTTCATTTTATTCAATGTTTAAGGCGGTCAAATTTCTTTTGATGTTTTTCCTATAGGTTGGGATAAAACATATTGTCTAAAACATCTTCAGAATAAGAATTTTAAGATTTATTTCTTTGGAGATAAAACTCATGAAGTTTGTTGATTTGATCTATTTAGAGTTGATTGATTTTTTGTTCATATAGGGCGGCAATGATTGGGAAATCTACAATAGTCCATTGACAATTGGATACCATGTTAAATCCCCTAAGGACACTGAAAGAATTCTTCGTGAATTATTTTTTAGCGATGATACTTTTTCTTTATAAGTGCTTTGTTTTTTCCTTAATTGCTAATATCTACTTAACTAAACGAACATATGCCAATACTTTATAATCAGAACTTCTTTCTTCCTTCATAAATACTTACCCAATGCTCCTCCTCCTGTAACAATTCCAACAAGCCATTGAAATGTTTGAAGTTTGATTGCTTCTGCTTGTGTTTTTATATTATTGATTTCATTTTCAATCCGTGTATCCGTTTCTTTAATCTTTATCTCATGCGCCGTATATTCATCTCTAATTCTTCCTTTCTCAAGATTTAAATCAAGACGTACATTAGAAAGTGTATGATTGATTTCTTCCCGGAAACTACTCTTTAATTTCTCAAGATCCGCTGCAATTCTATCATATTCCCGTCGTGTAGATGTAATATCATTCTTTTCCAATGTCTGAAGCTCTGAACGAAGCTGTGAAAACTCCATTTTTTGCATGCAATTGATCTTTTAACCATTACATCTGTTTAAATCATTTTGGGACAGAGATTCTCAATTTTTCTCTTAAAAAAACTATTCCACTAATCTCCTCTTCCCATTAAACTACATACCCTTTCTTGTTCCTCTTTTGTTGCCATTGTTTTTGTTAAATCATGAAAACTATCATTTATACTCAGTTATACTCAAAAAAACTCCCTTAAAATTACTCACTTCTCCTCCATAACCGCATGAAGTGCCTGTACAACTGCAAGACTCTGTTGTTTCGTAAATCCCTCCTTTTCAAGCTGCTTTACTAGCTGTAATGTATCAAAATATTTACGTGCTCTATAACTTTGTGTAGAAAAACGATAAACTGGCCGTTTAAAACTATTATAAGGCCTTGAAATACTCTGTATACCACGTAGAATACCGAAAATCCCCTGTTTCCACTGAATCATAGCTTTTAACTTAAAATCCTCGTATTTCTTATTATATCGATTTCTGCTCTAAAATAGAGGCTTTGAAATCCAGGTATAAAACCTCTTTATTTCATGAATTATAGACATACTAATTGTTTATAGGAAGGTAATATTGTGCAGATTATATTGTGTATTTTTAAAGCCTAAAAACAGAGTTAAGACGTATAATAAGAAGGAGATATTTAGGAAAAGCAGAGTGTAGAAGAAGAAAAAATGAGAGTTCAGATTATTTTTGGCAAGGAATTAGTATTTCATGAAGGGTTATGTAATATTTGTAGATGCTTTGGATGAGGGCTTTCCAAAGATGGCATTACAGATGTGTACAAAAATTTTGAAAAAATCACCAGAATCGCAGATACACCAGGCATTAAGCTCATTATCTCTTGTTCGTATTGGGAATTATGAGAAGGCGTTGGAAATTTCTGAAAATTTGAGGAAGAAGTTGCCAATAGATGAAGATGTTTTAAATGTTCTGCAAATTGTATTTCAAGAGTTAAATATGGCGGATAATGCAGTTGAAATGTTTGAGAATGCTTTAAAGAAGAAGTCAAATGATGAGGAATTTGTTAGGAATTGGTTTTTTTCTATGGTAAGGACTAATAATATTCGTGGACAACAAAAGGTATTTAGAGTGTTATAAGAAATGTATAATGATATTTTTTTAAGGCAGCAATGAGCCTTCAGAAGATTTTTGGAAAGAGAAATTATTATTATTGGGCGGTGATGTCATTAGAATTACTTAAGGTGTGTATATATTGAATAATTATTAATAAATATATATTTTGTAGATGATAAGGATGAATGAAGGAGAAAAAGAGTTTTTTCAGACACTTTCATATCGATTGATTCTTAAAACGATTGAAGAAAATAATAAATTATATGGATTATCTTCTTCAGAAGAATTGCATTTGTGTATTAAAGTTTTATTGTCATGTAATAAGTTAGAGGATGCATTGGGGGTTTTAGAAAGTGATATTTATAAAACGTTTATAGATGTTGATTTTCTAAGGATTAAATTGGATCTTCTTTTTGAATTGAAAAAGTGGGAAGTTCTTTTTTCTCAATGTCGTGATTATATAGAGAATGGGAATAATGATTGGAAAGTTTTTGATATGCAGATTAAGGCTGCGATAAATTTGGCGGAATCTAATCCTTCGTCTAGGTTTGTCTTGATTTTTTTTTGATGTCTTAAATTGAATTAATAGCATACTTTTGGATTTAGCAAATTATTATAAGGAAAAGAAACAAAAATTTCCATATTTGCGAAATTTGGGTCTTGCTTCTTTAAAGTTATCTTTTTTGATCTCTGATAATGGCATAACTGATGATAAACTGAATTCTTGTATTGAATATTTTGAAATATTTAGTTTAAAAACTTCATGTTTTGAAGACTTAAGGCCATTTGTAGAAAAATTAGAAAAAAAGTATCAAGATCAATTTTTAATGCATATTTTTGAGTTTTGCAAGGCTAAAGTAAATGATATGGTAATTATTTCTTTTTTTTTTTAGTTAAAATATTAATGATAAAGAAAAAAAATTATATAGAGGTGTTAAAAAATGTTAAGAAGTTCGAATATCTTATTAATTATAACGAATTCAAGGATGAAGAGACATGTGTTGTGTTTTCATTGCAGCTAGTTAAGGAGTATGGAAATTCTTTATTTTTGGATGATAATTTAAATATCACTGATAAACAATATGGGGATGATTTTTTGATTTTATCTGTGCATGTTCTTATTAATGCATTTTTTATTGGAAGTATGAATTTGTACATTATGTTTGAAATCTATTAATTTTTTTGCAGACGATCAGAGTTATCTTATACAAGCGATTTTGTTTCTAGAACTTGGGCTTCTTCATAGTAAATATAATTTTCAGTTTAAATTGTTGTTGGTTCGTTTATATTGTATGATAGGTAAAAATTATTGTTTTTTTTTTAGGAATTGTTAAACATTTTAAGGTGCATTTTCTTTAGCACTTTCTACTTATCAGTCTTTATCAATTAAACAAATCCAATATGATACATTAAGCTATATTTTTATGACAAAGTGTTCAAATTATTATCCTTCAAAATCCCTTCAGAATGAATTAAGGATTTCAAAATATATCTATATATCTAATATTAAGGAAGTTCCTGAAATGCTTGTTTTAGCTTATAAAAATGGTTCATATTCAAACATTGATAATTTCATTGAATTTGCAACTAGACTTAATAATAGTATATGGAGACATATGTTAAGACACGAATTATTACATTTGTCTTATTTAATAGACAATAAGATTTCTGATGAAATTATAGGAAACAATGGTAATGAAATTTTGGATTATAATTTATTTTAATTAATGTTATATTTTAGGTTTTACTCAAGAAGAATATTATGACAATAGAGACTTTACTATAATGGTTGATTTTGGTACTATTAATGATAAATCCAAACAAATAAAAAATAGAGTAATTTCAGTACCTGATGTATTTTCTAAGATTTAATATATTATGATTAATTTTATTTAGGAAAATTGGCTTAAAATACAAAATTTTAAAATGTCTTTTGTCAATTTATTGATATCTGGTACTATTGAGGATATAAAAGCAAAATCTATGTCAGATGAATGGCTATTAGATGGATTAAAATTTGATACTTTGAGTGAATTTGAAATGGAAATGATGTTTCTTTTTAAGACGTTTCTCTCTTTTTTGATTCAAGTAGCTGATCAAAAGGCATATGATATTGAAGAAAATAGACTAAAAGAATGGATTGAAAAAAATCTAGTTATTTCACTTACAAATGTTTCAAACTATAATGATAATGTATTAGAATACTTCGTTTTTTTATTAGAGGTAAATTTATTAATCAACATATTTTAAAGTTTATGCTTTTTAGAGTTGTAAGAGTATATTAATATTTGGAAGCTTTATCAAAAAATCTTTCAAAACTTTGAGAAAATTACATGCTGAAATTAAAAAAATTGAGGAAGTTGTCAGAAATTTTTATAAGGATATCATTTTATATGTTTCCTCGTTGAAAGATAAAATAGTTATCGCTGATTTTACTAAATTCGTTGTTTTATTTGAGCCAAATCTTCAATTATTTAAGGTAAATATAGTATAAATAAATATAAATTTTATAGATTTTATAGATTGATAAACATTTTATTGAAACGAGATTAGAAAAGATAAATGATAGCAGAAGAAATAGTTTAGATAATCTGGATAATATTGTATTTAACATGAAAACCTAAAAAAATATTAATATTTTATATTTATATTATAATTGATTTAACATACGAAATATGTAAAATATATCCATTAATTGTTTATTCGTACATCAATCAGATCTCCATTTTCGAAATCATAATAAGAAATAGATAAATTGGGTTCAAGGCATTCGCCTTCAAATGTTAATATAATATGAGCATTGGTATCAATATTTCTAGATGCTTTAAATGTTTCTATGAGTTTAGAAATAGTTGCGCTTGCATCAATCGATAATTTTATACTTTCGTTGTTTTTGTCTCTTAAAATTAGTTCAATTGGCGGATCATCAATAATAATATATGTCATAGACTTTAATGTTTTTTCTGTAGAATTAGAAAAATCAAGTATATCTTCGTCTTTTAGTCTTTTTCTTTTTTCTATTTCACTTATAAGGTGCTTGTATTCCTTTATGGACATGGCATCTGTATTAGTATTAAGAATTATATTGTTTCAATTGATGGTATTTACCCATTGTAATTTTAGGACCATATTTTAACATGTTAATTCCTTTTGGTGTAACTGATTCAAATATTCTTTTTTCTCTAAATACTAATACGATTTGATTATAATATGATTTATCAAGTTTTTTACAAGAACAAAATGAGTCTTTCATAATCCTGAATGCTTGATTTCCATGTATTTTAAATAAAACTGGTTCTTCCCAGGATTCTGGAAAAAAATTGTCATCTGTTTTTATATTTCTTTTTCCAACCACTGTTATTTCAAAAATTTCTATCTTTTCATTATTTTCTGTAAACTCTTCCGCTTCTAGTTCTATTGTATCTGTATTTTTTATATTATTTCTGATATATTGGTCACATGTTTCAATATTCGAATTATCACAAACATAGAAATTATTGTTTTCCTTTTTTTTTAAATTATTTTCCTCTTTTCCAGACTTTATATTGATTTTTGCTTCTTGTGCTAGATTCCTAAACGTTTTTAATATATATTTGCCATAAACATAATCTTACATATACATACGGTGTCCTTCTTGAATAATTTGTTTAGATAAACGAGGAGGCGGCGTAAGACTAATACTTCTTTTTCTATGAGATGGCGATGATGATGATGATTCTGAATGAGATTTGTCAGCTGTTTTTTTGTGTGTATTTTTATGAGTTTTCTTTGAAATGTTTATTGATCTATTTTTTTTCAATGATTCCTTAACTTTTGGAGAAATAATAATTGATAATTCTTCTACATTTTCTGATGAAATACTTCTAGGTGATGATAGTGTATTTTCATCTGAAGAAAATGTTTCTGATGATGATATTTGTGTTGGATCAAAACTACTTCAAATTTATAGATATAAAACCCATAAAAAATAAATATACCTAAAATCATGCTTTCCATTGTCTAATATATAAAAATCAGAGGTGTACAATAGCATCTTAAGGTGATTTCTTACAATATTTATATTTTATTTCTGTAAAGGTTTCTGGACCTTTAAATGGGGCTTTTTTTCGGCTGAAAAACATGATTTCTTCATCATATTGTTCTTCTATCTTTCTGTTATCTCTTTTTCCTTGAAATCTGCTTGTTTTTATGTCTTTTTCCCCGTTTTTAGAATTGAACATATGATGATGTTGAATGTTGTATAAAAATATATGGAAATAGTTTCAATAAAGATATTATTAGATAATATATATGATGTTTGTGTATTTTTTAAAAGGTATAATTTCTTCAAGTGTTTACGAATATTTTTGTTTATTAGTATGAATAAAATATATTAATAATAAACAATTAAATCTTTATGTATAAAAATGTATTTTTATAAGTTTATATGTAGACTTTGGCTTGATATTTTGTATAAAAAATGTGTTTAATGGAGAATATATGATTTGCATTTTATTTGTTTTTGTTTGATTTTATATGTTAATTCTTTTACTTTTTAATGAAATGTATGATGAGATATCTTCAAAATAGTAGAGATTTGTTCTAGTAATATAAATAAAATGGGAATAAAATATTTGTTAAATTGATATATATATATATATATTAATATATATAAGCAAGATATTAGATATGAATTTTTATTTTATCAATTATTATTTTGTATATATTTAAGAAAATATGAATTTATGTTTACATTTATATTTTGAACATTTTTTAAGATATATTTTTATATCTTGTTTTTAAAAATTTAATTGGAATGAGAATGAGATTTTTGTTTTTTTTTTTAATTCTCATAGATTAGAAATATTTTTAAGTATGTAAAAAATGGAAAATATGTATTTTAATGATATTTTATCAAGTTTTAAGAATATTTTATTGACTTTTTATAATAATGTTTTTATTTTAATTAAAATCCTAAAAAATGATAGAATTATATAACTATTTGTTTATGTTAGATTAAAAATTTATAGATTTTATTAAAAATGATAATTGAAACTATGAATTTAAAAAGATATTTTATTATTTTAAAAAATTTTTGGGTTAGGAATGGATTATTAATATCTATAACATTCTTTTTTAATGGGAATCTGGCTGATTTTATACATATTTATAACAATTAAAATATGATTATTGGTATTTGAAGTTTTTTAATTGAAATATGTAAAATGCATAATTGTGATGTGTATCTAAAAACTAAATATTTGTTTTTAAAGATAATTGAAAATATATTTAATATTTATATTGTATTTGTTGGTTTTAAAAATTTTAAATTTAAAATACATTTCTAAGATAGTTTAACAATATTGATTGTTTAAATAAAATGATTTTATTATAAATTTTGATTATAAACATTTTTAGAAATATTTTACTCATAAATTTATAAACAATATTTATAATTGTTCGATTTACAAGTTAACTAATATATATCTTATAAACTTAATTTTTATAAATATAACCATTCTAATTAAAAATTTTTATTTAACTTTATATTGAAAATATTACATTATTAATAAATATTAATTACAAATTAATTCTTAAAATATTTTAGAAATTGTTTTATAAAATCTTAATATTTTTACTTTCTTTAATTTTATTAAAGATTATACTTAGTTTTATAATATAGAATCTTATGATTTAATTAGAAACACTTATTTTCTATAAAAAATTAACAAATCTTCGGATTGATGTCTATATATACTTGATGATAAAAAATAAATTAAATAATGTTTTTATATTAGAAACTTGTTTATTTCTACTGAATATACTGTTAAATTATTGAAATTTTGTTAAGATGACAAAAGATCTTTTAATGGATGAAGCAATTTGTCAATTTTGTTCAGTAACGTTTGCAAGTTTAAAGGATGCAAAGTATTACTTGGATTTATCATGTATGGATCTGGAACAGGCTATTGAGTTATATTATGAGTCAAGAAATGTAAAAGAAGGCATAGAAATGCCATCAGGAGAGAATATTTCTGATGATAGCTTTGTACAAGCTATTGAAAAAAATACAGAAAAAGATGTATTTAAGGGTCCAGATGTATCTAAGAATGATAATGTAAATGATTTAGTGGTGGAAAAATGGAACAATACATCAAAATCGAATACCTCTGAAACTATACCTAAATATACACAATCTTATTTAAATAGTAAGATTTTATTTGTTATGGTACATTATTAAGCTTTTTTGTTTTTAAAGGGATAAGAAAGAGTGTTTTTAATCAGTCTTTTTCAAGAGTATGGGAAGATGATGAATTTTCTGGTAAGTATTGTGTATTTTTTTGTATATTTTTGATTTAAAAAATAAGCTGCATCTAAAGAACGTTCAAAAAAAAGTAGAGCTTCATATCTTTTTAGACCCCCATTTGATATTATAAAAAATATTGATTTTGAAAGTGCTAAAGAACTGGCTAAAAATAAAATGTTATGGGTGATGGTAAATTTGCAAGATAACACTGATTTTTTATGTCAAAAATTAAATAGGGATCTGTGGAAAGATCAGAGAGTGAAAGATGTTATTCTTAAAAATTTTATTTTTTTACAAGTATTATTGTTTTTTTTGTTTAAACTTTATTTAAAGTATTGTTTTAGTATATTTCAACTTCATCAGATGGTATATTATATCAGCAATTTTATCCTATAAAAGAATATCCTCATATTTCTATTATTGATCCTAGGACAGGTGAAAGGGTAAAAGTATGGGATAGTTCTCTAATAGAACCAAATAACTTTCTTATGGATTGTAAGTTTTTGGATATTTTTTAAGTGTTTTAACTCTTAATGATATATAGTACATGATTTTCTTGAAACATATTCTTTGGATCCAGATTTTAAGAATCCTATTACTCAAAAGTTATCTGCAAAAAAAGTATAAAATTATTCTTAGTTAAATTATTTCATAACTATAAATTAGGTAGAAGATATGTCAGAATCTGAACAGATTAATGCTGCATTGATTGCATCATTAAACGAGAGAAATAAAATTAGTAATCATAAAAGAGTCTCTAGTAAGGATGAAGTAATTGTGATTTTTGATGATTCGGATGTTAATCATAATGGTTATCTTTTTTATTTTATTATTCTGAGTTTAACTTTAAAAGATATACAAAAATCTCCATCTTTATTCGAAAAAATTCCAGCAGTAACACCATCTGAACCAAATGCTATGTCTAAGGATATTACTAATATTCAATTTCGGTTTTCAGATGGATCAAAAAAAGTCAGGTTGTTCAATTTATCAGATAAAGTCTCTCGGCTATTTGAATATATAAAGTCAGAATTAGCTACAAATTCTAAGGAATTTGAGCTTGTATTTAACAGAATAAAGCTTATTAATGAGCTTGATCAAACACTTGAAGCGTTAAAGCTCAAAAATGCCAATATTACCGTTGAATATATATAGATTATGTAGTTCAGTATTATATAATCTTTGTTGTGCATGGATATACTATTATAAAACCTCAATTGGTTATTAAAGATTCGTAATAGGCTTAATAGCGAATTTATAAATAATGATAAATATAAATAGAATAGTATACAGAATTTTGTATAATACTTTGAATATTATGAATCTTTTTAACGCCATTATATTTTAAAAAAGTCTTTAAGACAATAATTTTTAATTTTATGTAAATCCAGGTTTTGTATTTAAAATCTCAAGCATTTTATTTTAAAAGCTAAACTACTCATATATATTACATAGAAATCATAAATTGACCTGCATTGAAAAAACACAAGTTAAAACTAATGAAATTTCGTTTATTTTTTCCATCTTTTAGCTATTTAAATTATCTACTCAAACGTTTTATATAAAACAACTAATTGTATAACATTATACACTTTTATTAATTCCAATGCAAACTTCCTAGTATAAGATTAAAACAAATATAAGCGTATTATTTTCTTTATGTCAAAAATTTGGGTTTTAAAATCGTTGATATCTATCGTGTCATAGTTTCTATTTAGATATTAAGATCTCTGGTAATCTAAGATTAGAATACGTATACAAAGATCGAACTATTAGAATATATCTTACAACCGCATTAAATAATTTAAAACTCATGTCATACACTTATTAAATAGGTCAATCGTTTATTGACATCACTTCAATCCTTAGTAAAAAAAACGCCTTAAAAGATCAATATCTCCAATAGCAGTTAGAATATCCATTTCTGGTACAGCTAGGCCTATTTTCTTGCTCATTATATCATTGGTTTTTAATGAATTTGTTGTATTAATGATATTAACAGCTGAAGACGTCTCAAGAGTACTAATTATGTCTGCAAACTCTAATGAATTTAAAGGATGTAGAAGTTTATCTCGACGACATAAATATGTATAAGTATCAAATAACTATTTTAAATATCAGCACATTAACTATAAAACGAACAATGTATACTTTTCCAATGAGTATACCGTTCAAATTTTCTTTTTTACAGACAGATAATGCACACAAAACAGCCTTTTGTTGAAGTGTAAAATCTTTAAATTGTTGAATTATAGAATTTCTAAATACCATATTGGAAACTCGAATTATGTGTTCTATCGTTGCTCTTGGTACATCTTGTAAATTATTTTCATTAAAAGTCGGATACTTATTTGTATTAGGAGGCGATAACAGTTTGTTTGGAGATATTTCTGATAACGGTTTCTTTTTATTAATGCATGATTCCATTTCTAAAAACTCGATTGTTTTTTTAACTAGATCAAACGCCTTTCGAAGATCTCCTGTAGAAGATGCAACTTTTCTTGAACATAGTTCAATTGCTGATGGATGAAGAAAGGGTATAAAGCCTTTTGGAATGTTTCCAGATAGTGAACATAAACGACTTTCAATTATATCAGAAATCTCTCGTGAAGTATAAGGTTTAAATGCAATGATTTGAGGCATAGCTAATTCTCAATCAATCAAAACGAATCAATATATGTTTATGTGTAAGTACCATTTTTTGTTCTAAGTTTTGGAAGAAAACGTTCTGCCAGATCTAATGTATTTGCTGCTCCAATTATAATTAATCGAGAACCTTTTATGCTAGACCATTCAAACAATTGATAGAGAATTTCTTGTTCTTTCGTAATTAAAGAATCAATTTCATCCAAAAATACAAGGCTACATATTAGAGTATGCTTTTTTTCCTTTTTAAGAAAACTTACTACATCGTATTACTCTTAAAAAATATTTTTTTTAACTGTTCAAATGCTTTTTTTTCTACAATTCCTGCTTTTCCCGATAATTTTCCATATAATTCAGAATAAATACTCTTTGGATCCTGAGCCATACAATTAATACTTGTAGAGATAATATTTCCCTCCATAGATTGCTGTTTTATCACATCAGTAATAACAGCTGTTTTCCCTGTACCAGGTGGACCACTAATATAAAGACCTCCCCCCTGTTTCTCTGCTACATGACATCTAATATACTCCTTAATACGTTCCCTTTCTACAGATCGTCCTATAAGTTGGCCTGGTAAAGCTCCTCTAGAAAAAAGCGCTTTTCCTTTAGAATAAACTGTTGGTGTCGTTGGCGTATACATTTTCTTTGATATAGGTGTTCTATTAACCGATCTTAAACAATGTGGTGTTAAAGAACATTTAATTTTTTGCATTTGAATAAGTCCTTTATCTTAATCAACCAATTATCATACAAATTATAGATATTACCCTCTTGTTTAGCCGTTTTATCTTGACATCTAGGCGTATGAGGCAATGGCATAACCAATTCATCTTCTGTATCTGATTCCTCTTCTTCGATCTCCCTTTTTTTAATATTTTTTACCCTTTTCTTTGGTGTAAGTGATAATACTTTTCTATTTAGTCCTTGATCCATCCATTGCTTCACTAAATACATACCTCTTTCTATAGAATTTACATGTAAACGCTTCCTTCGAGCTGATCCTCTATATTCTTCCATTTTTATGTTTATTTATAGCCTAAAACTCCTTATCAAATATTAGAAAAATTGCCCCGCCATCGCGTATATGAAGCACGATAATTCGCGATGTGCACGTGATTATATAAAATGTCCTATATAATTCGTATCTATTTTCCTAAAAAAGAGAAAGATAGATATCAATCCTATGAGAATGTATCCTAAGATTTCATCTAGTTTCGAGTTCTTCGCATTTTTATGTATATCTTATATGTCCATATGAATGATTATATAGACATAGGATAAATGTTCTAAATATGAATAACAGCCTTTAAAATGAAATATTTAGCTCATTTGAATATATATCAGGATACATATATGATTTAACAAGTGTTTTCTGTATATTTCGTATATATTTATACAGGTTTGGACTTGGAATTTAATGCCATTTCATGAAGCTTTTTTTCAAGCTGAAAAAGACATTCTATCTCTCTGTAAATAAATAATATTCTCTTTTTCTTAAAAAATAGGCAGAAAACCTTTTTTCTCCCTCTTTTTTTCTTCTGAATATAAATGCCACCATAAATAATGAAGACTAAGATATGTAATTGATGCCAAAAGAAAAACCTTTCCAAATGGTCGAGCATACATCCTCCAAAATAACGTCTAAGCCCTTTATTAGCTCTTAAAATACTCATTTCTAGTTTTTACAATGCATACATGTGATGTTTTTCTTTCATAACTATGTTCTTGTACTGGAACTGTTTCTGTTCCTCGTGAAGACATGTTCCTATTGAATTCCTTAGAAAATATGCCTCTTCTAGCAGTAATTTTTGGTAGTTTTTTATTTATATATGCTGAAAAATAATCCATTTTCAGAGTATCGATTTTATCACATATTAATCTATAAAAATGGTAATATATTAGCAGTATTTATTAAGATCACAGTGATTAACAAGCATAGGTACAAACACTGAAACAACGTCAAGGTAATGAGATTTATGCAATTAGAGAGGCAGCAAAGCGGGGGAAATCCAAGACAGAAAAGCCTCTATTTAAGAAGTTCAAGCCAAATATATCTATTTATTGGGTCTGTAAGTGCATAAATGGGAGCTAAATAAGATGTGCATGTTGATTATAGTTGATAGATTTGCTGATTTTTCTCGTAATTGGGGGTGCGATTTTAGAAACATTGTATATGCTATTTTAAATATTGATTATGTATATATAACCAATGATGTGAAGAAAATGTTTTGTATTTTATATTTTAAGAAAAACATTATATATACTAAAAATGAAGAAGAAAATATATTTTATTTTTTAACTAAACTGAATAATCTATTTTTGTGCGGTATTTAGAGATTTGTATATGTAGATGTAGATGTATATAATAAAAACAATAGAATCTTGTTTTAAAATAGATCAAAGTACAAGATTTCTTATGTTTTAACACTTTATAATTTTTTAGTTATGTTTATAATAATGTATTTTCTTTTATCAATTTAAAACAATTGTAAAATATTTTATGTCTAGTCTAGATTACTTTGATTTTAATTATTCTATTAAATAGTATTTAGTATTATTTTTGAATTTTGAAGAAAAAGACTAATGTTTGAATCTTTGGTTAATATCGATTATCAAGGATACATTACAATTTTTAAATACAAGATGAAATCTTAAAATTTTAACAAAATTGAATAATACAGTCTAAGACGTTTGAATATATTATATGTCAAAAATATACAAAGTATGTAGTTTTGAAAAAATACTTTTTTATATACTATATATTATTTTCTAGTGTATATTTGAGTTCAAAAATTTAATAATTATTGATTTTTATGAAATCAAGGGAACATTCCTATTTAAAACGTTTTCTAATATAATTCTTTAGAATTAACGATATATTGATTTCAAAGTTGTATATATTTTACTGTAATGTTATTTAGTTCATTTTTTTCCTATTGAAATCATCTGATATAGTCTTTTGAATGTTGTTATATTGTATTTATTATACGTGAATATATCTTATTTTTATATTTCATAAATTTGTATATTTTTTGATAAATTGTCGGTATTTATATACTGAAAAATAGAAATTATTTGAAAAAAAAAGATGATGTTAGGATTTAAATAATGTGATTTTTCCAATTTCGTTTTTTTTTTTCTGATTTAGATCTTTAAGTTTTAATATAAATTTAATAGATAAGAACATTTCTTAATGAAGAGATTTTGAGTTAAATGATTTGTTTTAATTGAAAACGTTCTTTAAAAAATAGAGTAATTCTTCGTAATTATCGCCCTTTTTTTTTAAAATTAATAATTAACGAGATATATTTATTATTTTCCTTTTTGAAAATATATTTGCCTTTTTATTAGGTTGAATATTTTTGCATAAATTTGTGAACAATTTATTAGTAAAAACCAAAAAACATTAGAACATAAATTTGTACTATTCGATGTTACATGTATCCTTAAATTGTATTTTTTAGTATTTTATATGGATAATTCAGAGTCATTTGAAAAAAGTTTGTATTTTCTTGGATATTAGTATTTTTTCATAAATTCTTGTAAAGGTTCCGCGTTCTTAGACAAATAAGACCTATTTAAATAAAAAAAATGACTTACCCTTATGAAATTTTTTAATTGAAAATCTAACGTTTCAAGATCTTCTTTGTGAGTCTTGTTTTGGGATATTAACTCTGATTTCTGTTTAAGAAGATCCCGTCTAACTTTTTCAAGATTTTCTCTCTCCTTTTTTTCATAGGAAAGACGAGCAAGCATTAAAGCATGTTGATCCGTAGTGTTAAAGTTAGGATGAAGTGCAAGAAACTCTTCTTCCGAAATCATAGAAAGTGAATTATACATTGTACTAAATATTTCTTAAAAAATCTTAAACTCTTTTTAAAGAAAACCTACGGAAATGTTTCACATGCTTTAATTGTTGCTAAAATATGTTGTTGTTCATAATAAAGATTTTGAAGTTGCACATGTTTCTGATCCAATGATTGACGGGCACGCTGGGTTTCTTGTTTTGATGCACGTGCTTCAAGATATGCTACTCTATTTGCTGCACGAAGCCGTGTTATTAACGTCATTAACTGTGTTTTTGCTTTAGAATCAACTGGATAATAATCTAAGAGCTGATGACACTGTTTCCGTGCCTTTTTTGAGAGATCTAAACATGTATCAAATACTTTTTCCTGATTATTTTCTATTGATATGTATTGGTTGCTTGGTTCTAATGTTTCTAGGTTTTCCATTATTTATATTTCTTTAACTTGTTTAAATATAATAATAATAATAATTCTTCAAAATATAATATAATAACTATCTTTAAACCCTTTAAAGATATCTCTTGGATATTTTTTATGTTTTATATGTTTTCTAAGCTAAATATTAGTTAATTTTTAGAGTCGATAGTTTGACTAAAATATTTAAAAGAAATGATTTATTGAGATTTTAAGAAATAAGTTTTGGAAAATATAAATTTTGAATATATTTGTTTATATTTATTTATATTTATTTATATTTATTAATTATGTATTTGTGATTTTTGTTTTTTAATTTTACAAAAAAAAAGAGAGTATTTGATAAAGAATATAAATTTACTTTTAAATAGTGTAGATATATGTATTGGATATTGGATATATGTTATTTTTAATAATTGTTTTGAATAGTGGTTTTTTTTGTATTCTTTTTTAATAGTAATTGGAATATAAGATGTTTAGAATATAGTGTTTTTTTATAAATTGATATGTTTTAATTTTTTGAAATTTAATTTAGGAAATGATTTATAATTAAGAACATAATATATTAATGAATATATTATTGATATTTTTTAAAGTTTTAAAATATATATATATAAATACTGTTTATATCTTTTTTATTTAGCTTGGTTATATATTGTGTTGTAATTTTAACGTTTTTTTTGGATAAATTATGAATTTTGTTTTTATAATTTAAAGCTTTTTAAATAATCAACAGATGTTTTAGTATTTCTAATTTGTTTATTAAAAAATTATAGTATATTTTTAATATATATTTGCGTTTAAAATGAAAAGTATGTTTAAATATATTATTGACTATTATATTTTTATGGTATTTTGCCAAAAAAAATACATAATTTCTTTCGATATTGTACTGATTGAAAGACTTTGCGTTTTGTGGTTTATGGATAATTAGTTTTTTATTTAAGTTTGTTATTTTGCTTTTTGTCATATAATTATGAAAATATCATGTATAATAAAAACTTTATTTTTAAGATTTTTAAATAATTCTTTTGAGAAATATACTTTTTATGTCATGTATTAAGAAATTATTTCAAATTTATAAAAATTTTTATTGGAACATTATTTTAAAAATCACAAGTTTATATTTTAAGACTTAACTATAATATTTATGAACATAGTTTTTAAAATATTGGCAACAATATGAAAACTAGATTAAATAAAATGGTTTTACGTATTAAAACTATATATAATATATATATACATGATTTATGATTGTCGACTAGATGAAATAAATAGCTAATGATATTTCTTTTATGAAATAACAACACTTATTAATCCTTATTGTTTTTTCCATCACGTATCCAAAAAAATCATGTATTTTCCCTTCTAAAACTTAAATAATAGGAAGATTAGGCGGTAAACTAATAAATGATCAGATAGGTCCTTTTTTCTCAAAAAAAAAACAAAAAACCTCTGTTTCAGCTTTTCTGCCTTCTCAGGATCATTCACCACAAGCGTATAAAGATATCTGCTACATCGAATCTTAAATTTAACCTTCTTTTTATCCTTAACAATACGAGTTGCTTAAAGTTTAAAATTAGCAAAATTCCTCCTGAAAAAAAAATAAAACATACATCTCGCATCTTTTCTCCTAGATACCTCAAGAAATAACTTGATATCTTGGATTTGCTTAGGCTAAAAGAGTAAATTAAAGGCTTTTCTTATTTTTTTCTTACCATTTTTTAAAGATCGATAACCCAGTAACAACTGTTTTTAACCTGATATTAACCCTAGCAATAAATATATTGACTTTAAAGGATTAAATGTAGATATTACTGAGCTTAATTTTGTAGTCTTGTCTTTAAATGGTTTATTTTTGTTTTTTTTTGTTAGAAATAAGGTTAATAAAGATAATAGAAGATGGAAGAATTGGAATTGGATATTTCTAAGTTGAAACGGAGTTTAATGTGTGAAATATGTGTAGAACTCTTTGGATCACCGTTTATGCTTTCATGTGGACATGTTTTTTGTTATGGTGTACGTTTTTTTGGGGTTATAAGGGGGATATTAGTGACATATATAGTGTATTCTTGATTGGTTGTTTCATAAGCGTACATGTCCTACTTGTAGACATCCTCTTTCTCAACGTCCTTCATTTGCATACCTTGTATGATATTTTATGTATTTTTTTTTCTAAAGGTTATTGAAGGTTCAAGAAATGGTAGATGTATTTGTTCATCGAATAGAGGCATTAGATCCTGAAGGAGAAGGGAAACATGTAAGGAAGCATCAAGAGGATCATAGAAAACGAATGGAAGAGAATAGGGATAATCTTTTTTTTGATCTTTTTTTAGAAACGAAATTTACAAATGTTTTGTGTGATCGTGAAGATGGAGTTATGAGATGCATGAGATGCTATTGGGAGGTGATTTTATTAAGTGTATATGGGTGTTTTATTTATTATGTAGATAGAGGGTTCTGTGTGTGTACATTGTGGGTTTCAATTTTCTGATGAAGAAGTTGGTTCTTTAGATGATGTTTCTTATTCAGATGTACAAGTGGCTTCTCAATTACATGGTATGTGGAATTATTTTGTTTTTTTTTTTTTGGATAATGGTTTGATTCTAATGTTCTTCTTAGATCAAGATTCTTTATACCAAGATAGTATTTGCTCTGAACCTGATGATTATGATTATGAAGATTCTTTTATTGATGACAGGCCAATTGATGAGATTGAAAATGATGTATCTATTGAAGAAATTAGTGATTCTAAGGATTTATTGGAACAATCTTTTTCTAGTCTTGATTCTGATACAACAGAGAATAAGAGGTTTGATGAAATAGGTCATGATTCTTTAATTGAAAAACGTCAACGACGGCCAAAAAAGTCTAAAAAATATGAGAAAAATGTATATTTAGATACGCAGAGGTCTAGAAGTCAACTAATTTCACTCGATTCTGATGATAATTTAAATATTGATGAAAACAGCTCTGATTCATCAAATTCTTGCTCAGATTCAGTTTCCTTTTCAAAAAAACGTAACGGCAAATTACGTTATATAGATCTTTCTTCTAATTCTAATTATGATAATGTTAATGGATATTTAAGCGATCATTTCTCAAATTCATCTTTACAGACACTTCAATTCCCAAAAAAAAAACGTAACAAAATAAGGAATCGCTGCAAAATAATTAATATTCCATCAAGTGTTAACAATTCTGATCATAATGAGTAATCCTAATAATATCAAATCTTAATTATTTTATTTAAAAAAAATGTATCGGTTTTTTACAGATATACTTTTCATTCACTAATTGGATCTTTGTTTTATATTTCATTTTTACTCTTAAAGCACTATGATATTTTGACTTTGATACTAAACGTAATAACGATTTTGCTAACTTTTAAAAATTAAATTTTTAATAAAAATTATAAATATTTCTTAGAATTTATAGAAGAAATGTTGGGTCATAGTCCTTTATATTTTAAAGATGATAAGGAGTCTTCTTACTTTTTGAACGAGCAAAATAGCTTTAACCGTACTTTAAAACCGATATTAACAGGATCAAGTGTTTTAGGCCTTAAATTTAAGGATGGGGTTATGTTAGCAGCAGATAATCTTGGTATGAGGATTCTCTGTGTCTTTTTATGTGGGTTAAGTGTTTTTTTCTAGCGAGTTATGGTTCTTTAGCGAAATATAATGATGTTGAAAGGATATTTTCTTTTGAGAAAACTATTATTGGAGTTTCTGGTGAAATCTCTGATTTTCAATATATAAAACGTCTTATTCATTCTTTTGTGTTTGTACTTTTTTATGGAGATTATTATTTAATTGAAAACATAGAATTAAAGAGAAAAATTATGAAGATGGCCATTTTCCTTCTTCATCGCATATTTATGAATATCTTACTCATGTTCTTTATAAAAGAAGAACTAAACTTGATCCTCTCTTGAATAGTTGTATTGTTGCTGGTCTGGATCCTGAAAATGTTTCTATTTGTGTACCTAGATCTTTTTGTGGTCAATCTGAATTTTTTTTGGGATATGTGGATTTTCTTGGCGTAACATATTCTGCACCATGTATTGCTACTGGATATGGTGCGTATATTGCTATTCCATTACTTCGGGAGGCTACAGATGATGAACGGTATACTCAACTTTCTCGAGAAGATGCTCGCAAAGTTATTGATAACTGTATGAGGGTTCTTTATTGCAGAGATTCGCGTTCAGTAAATAAGGTAGTTAAATATATATATATATATATATTATTTCTTAGAAGTATTAGTTTTCTGTTGCAACAGTTACTAGAGATTCTATTGTATTTGATACAAATCAATCTGTTGATACTTATTGGAATTTTGCTGAGAAGATTCAAGGCTATGGCGCTTAAAAAATAGTAATATTCTGCATTGTATATACATGTTTAATGGAATATTTCTATTTGTTATTTAATAGCATTTTTAACGTATGAATTATTGAAGATTATTATGTAGTATCTGTCTTAGCAGTAATTGTTTAGATAAAAGGATGGAAATGAAATGTAAACATATAAATATATAATTAATATTTAAATAATTTTTTTAAATATAAATATTTGATTGAAATATAAATATGGATTAATTAAGGTATGTTATTATTCCATGAAAATAGATGAATACCCTTTATAGTTCACCATTTTTCCATTTTTTTCTTTTTACACCAAGTTCTACTGCTACAAATCCCCAATCTTCGCCTAGAATTTTAAGAAAAAAAAAAAATAAAAAAAAATACACTTACCATGATTCTTCCGAAGCTCTCCTGATACTCCTGCACGTTCAAGCGCTTGTTCCTTATTGAGAACCGTTAAAACTCCAAAAACGATAGGAATCCCAGTATCAAGTTGAACTTTCATAAGTCCATGGGAAACACTATCAGAAATATACTCAAAATGCATTGTTTCTCCTTTAATTAAAACACCTATTGCTATCACTGCATCAAATTCTCCCTTTATTTGTGTTAATGTTTCTACGTTTTTTTGCTCGAATGAAGTGCTAGGTGTTTTTTGTTTATCAATTTCTGACGACTTAAGACATTGATCTGCTTGTAATTTTGACGCTTCAATGATCCTTATTAATTTATTTGGTATATTTTTTATTGAACTAGTGAAAATACTTATAAATAGAAAATGGTAATTCCCAACTGCCTAATCAAAAATATAAACCCGCTTAAAATAAAAATATGCATCTAACCCTGCACTGATTCAATAAATATGTTCTCTGGCATTACTCCGTGCTTAATTAAAGCCTTTTTTGCCCCTTCTACTAAAGGGTTGACTGCAAATATATTCCAGCGGGCATGAACAATAGCAATTCTTAGAGAAGAGCCCTAAAATCCATTAAAAATAAATGTATTTTAAATATTTATAAATATTTATACATCAAGTTCATCTTTAAATGGTCCTGGCTCTTTTACGGCCATTTCGTATTTTTGCAACTAAAAGGTATTATATAAATAAAAAAAGAATATATATTACTAGATAATATATATAATATTATATAAATCGTTTAATTGAGATAAATAATATATATATATTATTTTATTTTGAAAGTTTTAGCCATTTAGGTTTTTTTTTAGAATTGAGTGTGCGCAAAGATGGAGAATTAGATGATATAGCTGATAAGTTAAGATCTTGTTTTTTTTCCTCTTTTTTTTCTTCTTTCTCTTCTTCGTCTTCTTCGTCTTTTAAGGACGTAATAATTGTAGAAATATCCTTTTGCATGTTTAAATATGTGTCTTTAAGAGTACTATGTTCTAGAATTTATAAGATAAAATGACAAATAAAAAACAGTGGAAAAGGATACCTTTGACGTATGATTGTGCATTATCTGCCCATTTGAAAATAACAATAGTTTTGGATGAAAAATTAGGATTAGATGCTAGTGTTCCTTTAACGTTTAATAGATGTTTAGGAGGAGGTGTAGTATCTATATTTTTGTTAATGATTATATAATATTGAGGAAAATTACATAAATAAAACGGTTCATCTGAATATTGTATAACATATCTTATAAAATCATACAACGCTTGAACTTAAAAATGTTTAGTGTTCCTATTTAGAACAAAAAAAAATATACTTCTCTCATTTCCTTCAAACGAGCCTATAATTTGCATTCCATCAGGTAGTTTGAATTTTATATTATACTAAATATTTTAATAATAATGATAATATTCTATGATATGATTTACTTTTTTCTTAAGGTTGTTTTCTTGTTCTAATTCCTGATGAATATTAGAGTTCCTGTTATTTCCGACTCTCTTCGCTTTCGAAGAGAGAATATTTTGATAAAATATAGCCATTTCAAGTGTCATTTCATGGTCTTCTTCATTTGTATTAACTAAACAAATTAGAATAAGTTAATTATTTAAAAACAAACCTTTAGAAGCATAAAGATTTGAAGATGTAGGTTTCGATAAAACTAATATTTCACGTTTAGATATTAATTCATCAATGCTTATTTCTTCAGATGTTTCATGTTTTGGTATTTGAGATAACGGTTTCTCTGATATTTGAGACTTCGTCTGCTCCGTATCTTCTTTATTTTCTGAAATATTTTCAATATCCATTTTTATGTTTTTCTCTAACAATTTAATATCTTTTTGTGGAAGCAATGCCATCATTTCATTGAAACATTTTTGTATTTTTTCAAATTTAACATAAAGAACAACACTCCCATTAACAATACCTTGTGATGCCAATGTTATCTTTTCAAGTACTTCTGGTCCACTAAACTGCGCTTTTTAATTATTTTTCTATCATACACTATAGCAGACCTCTTTGCTTATAATACGAACAATTGGCATTTCATAATACTGGTTTACCTGATCCTTAATTTTCACTGCAACCGATCTCCTTGTTATATTAATTGGTGGCTCTGTTGTTTGTTCAAAATGACAAAGAATTTCCCAAAGTGTAGTATCTGCTGGAAATGACTTTATTAATCGTTTTTCTCGATCAACTATTTGAAGCGCCACTTTGATATCCTCTAAACCCTTACTTAACATACTGCTTATATCAAAAATATTATTTTACGTTCTAAATATTTTTGTTTAACCAGCGTTAATTTTGCTCCTGCTGGAAATCCTGCTAATCTGACTGGTAAAGAAAGATCAAGTATATTAGATCTGTATCTTTTGAAAATTTTAACTTAGATACTTGTTAAAATATTGCCTACTTAAGCGAATATTCTTCTGGATTTAATATTCCTGCCCTCTTACATCCTTCAAGAAGAAGATCATTAATTATTTGTGATGGTAAAGTTTTAATATTATATCTCTTTTCATTTAACAAAACTGTAATATTTCCTGACATTTCTTAAGTTTTTTTATTAAAAATTCTATAAAGTTAAGTTAATTTGTTAATTTAGTTTAAATAGGAATTTTATAGGTTGTTAAAAATTAACGACAAGATTTCAAGGTTTTAAGAAAAAAAGTTAAAAGATTTTATAAAAAAGGTTAAAAATCTTAAGATTTTTTATTTTTAAGTGTTTAAAAGTTTTATTTTTATTAAAATGGTAAGTTTTTTTTTAAGAAAAAGATAGATTTTAAGGGAAATATATAGAATATTTTTGAATATAATGGAGGAGTTTGTGTGGCTATGATGGGGAAAAAATGTGTTGCAATTGCATCGGATTTACGTCTTGGACAAGGGGGAGTTATGATTTCTAATAATTTCAGCAAAATTGTGCCAGTAACAGAAAAATTATATATGGGTTTATCAGGACTTGCAACAGATATTACTATGTTGTAGGTTTTTTTTTTAGATGGATATTGAAATAATAGTGGTTCAGGTCGAAATTGATTCGTTATAAGACCAACATGTATAAATTGCGTGAAGAACGAGTGATTGAGCCGAAAACATTGTCTAATTTGTTGTCGACAACATTATATCAAAAAAGGTATGATATCGTTTTGAATATTTTTTAATTAACATGGTAGATTTGCAAGTTATTTTGTGATGCCTATTATTGCTGGTATTGATAGTATAACTGGTGAACCATTTATATGTGGACTTGATAATATTGGGTGTATTGATACTTCAAAAGATTTTGTGGTATCAGGTACAGCTTCTGAACAACTATATGGTATATGTGAATGTCTTTGGACTCCTGATCTAGTAAGAATATATATATATATATAATGAAGATTATAATATGTTAAAAGGAACCGGATGATTTATTTGAAACAATTTCTCAAGCATTATTAAATGCTCAAGACAGAGATGCTTTATCAGGTTTTGATCCTCCAGATATGTTTTATTTTATATTAAATCTGTTTTAGGAATGGGTGCTGTTGTTTATGTTATAAGTCAAGATAAGGTAACAAAAAGTTATTTGAAAGGTAGACAAGATTAGTTTTTTATATGTATGTTCAATGTTTTTAAATATATATAATTGTTTTATTCATATATGAAAAATATTATATTGTTATGTCGATGATATATTTTTATTAAAACCTTATTTTGAAATTAATGATATTTTTGACTTTTTTTATTGCTTGAAAAATCTTTAATATATGTTCTTTCAACAAACTTAAGAATCTCATCAATAAATCTAAAATATTAGCCTTAAATTAAAAATTTAATTTATACTACATTATTGGTAAACTAATAAAAATTACCATTTTCCATTCTGCCCAATTTAAAGGTATAGTTGAGAATATTTTTTGTAGATAAGGTACATAGAGAATTGCGAAATGCAAAAATAAAGATAAGACTATAGCATACATAAGTTTTATATTAGCCCATGGATGAAGTGTTAATAAACTTTCTGTCTGTGATAGGGCATTTGTTGCATTCATCATTTCGATAACAACGAGTCTATTAATAATTTAATATATCTCTTTTTAAATTCATAAATGTTTTACATTGATAAAGATATTGTAGATGCTTTTGACGATGTATAACTATTAAACCAGTAGCAAGGATTAATATCAGAACAACGATGAAAATGAGACTTTATTGGTTAAAAATAGATATTAGGGGTATGTATTTTTTTACCAATTCTTTAAAAGTAATTCTAGGGCCTTTAAAATAATATACGAACCACCAAATATAACCGAATATTGTGCTAGCTCCAATATATCCGCCGGCTATACAATATCTAATGAAAAGCCATAGGTCTACTATAGGTTCATTTTTATCTTTAGGTGGTCTTTTCATTAAATTGTATCCTATAGGGTTAAATGATAATGCAGTAGCAGGCAAGCCATCTAATTTTTATTATAAAGTTTTAAACTTTCGTGTTTTGATAATACCTGTTATTAAATTTACCCAGAGTAATTGAACAGGCATAAGCACTTCCGGAATGCCTAATAAAACTGTCAAAAAAATAGATATTACTTCCCCAATATTTGAAGAAATAAGATATCGAATAAACTGTTGTGTGTTACTGTAGATTGATCTTCCTTCTTCAATAGCATGCTCAATAGTTGAGAAGTTATCATCGATAAGAATCATATCAGCAGTAAGCTTAGCAACGTCTGTTCCAGAACCCATAGCAATACCAATATCTGCTTTTTTTAATGCTGGTGCATCATTTACTCCATCACCAGTCATAGCTACAACTTCGCCTGTTTGCTGAAGCAACTTTACTAATCGTACTTTATGAATTGGTTCGGTTCGTGAAAAAAGATTGGCACGTTTAACTGCTTCTAATTGTTGAGCAGGCGATAAACTATCAAATTCTTGGCCAGTATAACTTTTTCCTTCTAAATTTTCATTTTTTTTAAAAATGCCGATTTGTCTACAAATAGTTTCCGCAGTTTTTTTATTGTCGCCAGTTATACAAATGATTCGTATACCAGCACTTCGACATTTTTCAATTGAATTTGCCACTTCTGGTCTTGGAGGATCTAACATTGCTACCAACCCAACAAATGTCATGTTTTGCTATGTTTGTTAGATAAATACTAAAAGGTGAATAATTACTTCATAATCTTGATAATTATTACTTAGTTTTGTATGAAAAGGATGTACTTTAAAATCTGTTGAGTCTACTTGAGCAAACGCCATAATTCTTAATCCTTTTAGACCATATTCTGCTATTTTCTTGTTGATTTTAGATAAAATATTTGGTGTTAGTATTATTTTTTGTCCTGATTTTCCGATTATAGTATAATTGCAACGCTCCAAAATTGCTTCAGGAGCACCTTTGACAAGTAGACGAGGTGATTCTATACTTCCTACAACAACAGACATGCTTTTACGGTCTCTTGAAAATTCAAAAGTTTTAAGACGTGGTGATGAAGTATTGTAATAAATATTACATGAGTTAGCACTATCGTTATAAGATAGATTATGTTTAGATTTGACCTCGTCAACATCAGTTCCCAATTTTTCAACTAGACTTTTTAAAGCTGCCTCTGTAGGTTCTCCAATTCTAGTATAAGTATTTAAGTTTGAATCAAATACTATTTTTGCATCATTACAGATAGAGCATATCTCAGCAAGATACTTAATACTTTTATAAGTAAAAGCTGGAGATTTCATGATAGTTCCATCGTTTAAATAAATATTTCCAAATGGATTGAAGTTGGTTCCTTCAACATTAAATTCCAAAAGTGATTCATCCTGCTCTAAAATAATAATTTTAGAGACACACATGTTATTTGTAGTCAATGTTCCTGTTTTGTCTGAACAAATAACACTTGCGCTACCTAATGTTTCAACACTTGAAAGGTTACGAACAATTGCATTTTTTTCTGCTATTTTTCGAGTTCCTAAAGCAAGACATATAGTAATTACAACAGACAGACCTTCTGGAATTGCTGCTACTGCTAGCGCTACTGATATTTTAAAATAATGAAGGGCTCCTTTCAAAAATCCATGATGTAAAGGATCACTGAAATTTTTAATATTAATAATCCAAATTAAAACACAAATTAAAGAAATAATCTATAACTTAAGTATTGAAGGGAAAAGAAAGTATCAATACCTTTGCAAGAATATCTCCGAAATTATTTAATTTATATTTTAATGGTGTTATTTCTGATATTTGTGATGATATATTTTCACAAATATCACCAATTGCTGTAGATTTTCCCGTTAAAACAACAATGGCACGCGCATGACCCGTAGTTACTGTTGTTCCCTTTAAAGAATTAAGATCAATGAACTTCAAAAATAGTTATTACTCCAAAAAGCATATTAGTTTGATCCTGCTTAGTAGGGCTATGAATATGAATTTTATCTGTGCATTTCTCTACACTCTCAGATTCGCCAGTAAGAATAGACTGTTCAACTCGAAAATAATTGCTTTTAATTTTGAGTAAACGACAATCTGCAGGAATTCTATCGCCAATAGAAACATCTATAATATCCCCAGGAACAAGATCTTTTGCATGAATACGAGATAATTTTCCATTTCTAGTAACTTTTGCTTCATTTGGTGAATATTCTTGTAATGCCTTAAATAATATAGTTAAATTATAATATATAAACTTAGTAGGATTGATATACAGCAATTGCTTTTTTTGCATTCGTTTCTTGAGATATACCAATGATTGCATTTACAACTAAGATAGCAAGAATGACAAATGGATCTATAAAATTTGTATTGTCTTTATCATCCCCGAAAAATGCTAAAATAAATGATATTATTGCAGATATAAGCAAAACAATTACAAGTTTATCTTTGAATTGCTCCATAATTAAAACCCACAATTTCTTGCCTTTCTCTTTTTCTAGCTCTAAGAAGCATATCAGCCATGTTCTTCCTTTTAAAACGTTTATTTTTACCATTTTTTCCGTATTTTTGGCGTGCAAGAAAAACTTCCTTTGATGATAGTCCTTGAGATTCATTCACCCCAAAATGCATTAAGACATCCTCTGCTTCAAAGTTATATGCATATTCCATGTTTTTCTCCCTATTTTATTAATTGATTCTATTTTCCCTGATTTATTTTTTTTCTCGAGAATTTATGCTAATTTATAATATGGCTTCAAATTTAGCTGACTATTTTTTTTACTTGACATAAATATAAATTGAATATACAAAGATATTATTTTGATATTTAAAAAGAATTATTAATTTATATGTTTTTTAGCTGATCAAAAATGCTAATGAGAAAAATATGTCTAAGATAATTGGTTTATTAAGATTTTTATATAGAAATTTAAACTTAAAGATATACTAAATATCTATGAATTTATCTATAAAAATGTTTTAATATATTTATTTTTTTATAAAGATTTTAATATTTGATTTATGTATTGGTTAAACGAGAAATATAAAAGTATTAAATAAATGTATATAATAAGTTATTAGGTTTTATACAATATTTTATTGCTTTATCTAATAAACATATATCTATGTGTATGAATTACCTAATTTTAATATATGTTTAGATGTTTAGTTTTTTAACCAGTTTTATTAAACTAGTTTTATATAAATAAATAATTAAGATTGAAATAAAGTTTTTAAATCGCTTTTGTATGTTATAGCTTTATTTGCAAATATTACAGATTATAAGTTTTTATAAAAATCTTATCAAAATTATCGAGTTATTAATATACAACAAAATTATGCATATTAATTAGTTAATATTTATATTAAAAAAGTGCCTTTGAATGAAATAAGATTATATTCCAAGTTCTTAAAGAATATTAATTTAAGGGATTGTTTCTATTTTTTGAGGAAATAATTATACAAATATTTGTTTTTTTTGAATTTTTATTCAAACTTAATAAACATTTGTATTTAAAAAAAACAATCAATGAAATGCTTTAGGAGGAATTCGCCGAGTTCTATTGCCTTGAAAGTTGGATCAGATGCATTAGTTTTTCAAACATGCGAGAAATCATTAGAGTCACAAACATGTATAGCAAAATTTTGTAAATGGGATGATATAGATTATTCTGAATATTTTTTGGCTACATCAAAAGTTATTTATGGTTGTATGGGGTTAATAAGTATAGAGAATAGTAAGATATCCTGATATATTGTTTTTTTTTGAGATTTATGACTAATAATACATAAAAGATGTTTTTATATGTCTTATTACTGGTTATTCGCAAATTGCTTCAGTTCGTGCAACAGAAACGATTAATCGTATTCATGATGTTGAGTTTCTATCTTTAGGTTCCTCATGGGACAATTTTTCCCGTAATATTAACGAAAATAACTCTGAATCTAACATTGGCGAATTATTTGATAGTTTTTCCAAACAAAATGAACCTGAGCATCCTTGCGAGTGCATTCGTAAGCTTTTGCTAAATGGTTCGTTTTATTTTTCGTCAAATTTTGATCTTACAAGAAGAATTCAAGATAGGTATGTATTTTCTTTTCTATATATTTTACTAATTTTTTTAGAGTTGAATCTGATTTCTGTATTGATAAGTTCGATAATCAGTTTTTATGGAATAGTTATATGATTTCTGAATTATTTATTTTTAGATCACGTTTGGTAGAATCTGAAAAATATGCTTTTGATAAAGCAGGATTTCTGGTATATTTAATTTATTCAAAATTACTTGGTTATTAAGAAGCAGGTGTACGTAATTCGTGGATTTGTTGGTACTGTTATATGTAAAATTGGATCTTTAATATCTTCCTTAACCCTAATATCTAGATTAAGTTGTAAAAAAGCAGGTAATATTTATATATTTTATTGATGAAAGGTATAAATATATTTATATAGGAACCCGTTTTAATTCTCGTGGAATTGATGATGATGGAAATGTTGCAAATTTTGTAGAAACAGAGATATTATTGACAGTAAATAATTTCTGTTTTAGTTTTTGTCAAATACGTGGAAGTGTACCAGGTATATTTATATCTGATATTATGATTTTTATTGATCAATCATATAGTTTTTTGGGAGCAAGAAGTTTCATAAAAATATTTTTGTGTTTTTGTTAATATATTTAGGGTATTCAAGTTTTTGGACAAAAGGTTGAGGTAACTAGGCCATTTGAGGCAACTCAATCTTCTTTCGAAAAACACTTTGAGTCTCTTATTAGCAAATATGGCTATGTTCATATAGTTAATTTATTGTCTCATAATGGAGGGGAAAAGCTTTTGCTCAATTCTTATCGACAACATATTGATTCTCTTAAAGGAAATTTATTTCACTTGATATGTTGTAGTGAATTTGATTTCCATGCTGAAGTGAAAAATGGAGGTTATGATCAGGCTTCTAAAATTTTGTATTACGTTGATGATAATATTAAAAACTTTTCATATTATCTTGAAGATATGGGGGAAAAGGGGATCATATTTCAACAGGGTGGAATTTTTAGAACTAATTGTCTTGATTGGTAAAAAATGGAAAAATCTAAAAATTTAAAATAATCTTTAATAGTCTTGATCGTACGAATCTTGTTCAAGCACTTATTTCGAAATATTCTGTTATGTTATTTTTAAAATATTTAGAAATTTGTCCTGAAATTTTTCCATGGTCTGAACATTCAACTATATGGGCTGATAATGGAGATGCACTTTCAAGAATATACACAGGAACAGGTGCTCTTAAGAGTGGTTTTACAAGAAGAGGAAAAATGAGTATTGTTGGGGTGCTAGAAGATGCAACAAAATCTGTTAGTAGAATGGTATTTTACAAAAAAGTTTATTATTTTATTTTTTTAAAACTAATAGTACGTTAATAATTTTCAAGATAAAGGACGTCAATTAAATATAGATTTACTTTTGGTAATGATTTATTTAAATGAAGGAAAGTAATATTAAAAAGGAATAGGGAAGATTAGTAAATCAAAAAACTGTTTATATTTATGATCCCATTAATGAGTTTGTAACAATGGAGTTAGAGAAAAGGTATATATTAGTGATATTTTGTTAGTATTAGTAATCGTTTGATAGGGTCAATGAATTTTCAACCATAAAAAATATATCTATTTTTGTTGGTACATTTAATTTAAATGGAAAAAAAAGAACTGATGATCTTTCTTTATGGCTTTTTCCTAATGGTATTTTATAATATTTAATGGGAATTATTAACTTTTTTAGGACGAAAATATAAGTCAGATTTGGTTGTTATAGGGTTTCAAGAAATTATAGAGTTGACTCCACAACAGATAATTTCTGTAGACCCTTATAGCAGGTAATTTTTCCATGTTCTTGTTATTTATATTTATTTATTTATAGGAAAATTTGGGAGTCCGATTTATATGAAATTCTTAATAGAGATAAGAATGAATATGTGCTTTTGCGTTCAGCACAGCTTGTTGGCTCGGTATTGATGATATTTGTTAAAGAGTCTTCTGTTCCATATATAAAAAATCTTGAAAGTGCTGTTAAAAAGGTTTTTTTATATTATTATTGAGAAGTTGATTTTTATTTTTATAGACAGGTTTAAAAGGAATGTCAGGTAATAAAGGAGCTGTAGCAATTCGTATGGATTATGGGAATACTCAAATTTGTTTTGTAACTGCTCATTTTGCTTCTGGAAGGTTCAATTATGATGAAAGAAATCGTGATTATTTTACTATTATAAATGGACTAAATTTTCGTCGTGGTCGAGCAATTACAGATCATGAGTAAGTATTTTTATGCGTTTTATTATTATTTAATATTATTTGTTAGTATTATTATTTGGCTTGGCGATTTTAATTATAGAATTAATATGAATATTGAAGAAGTAAATTGGATTTTGTATTTTGTCTTACTCTCTAATATTTTGTTATAGGTTAAAGAGTATATAAAGATTAATGATTTTGGAAAGCTTTATGAAAATGATCAAGTATATCATTGTGTTGTAAAACTATATTTATATATGAAATAGCTTAACCTACAAATGAACTCTGGTTCTGTTTTTCCATATTATTCCGAGTCACAAATAACTTTTCCTCCAACGTATAAATTTGATAATGGAACAAACAATTATAGTACCTCGTAATATTTATTTATGTAGTTTAATAATTATTGCTTATAAGACTAGCGAGAAACAAAGAACACCATCATGGACTGATCGTATACTTTATAAAGGCTCTAATGTAAGATAAATACATAACGTTTTAGTGGTTAATAATTTTATTAAGCTACGTCAACTATCTTATAATTCCTCACCATTGACATTTTCTGATCATAAACCAGTGTATGCTCATTTTGAGGCCTCTATCACAATTATAGACCAAGAATTTAAAGAAAAACTTAGAAAAGATATATATAATTTTAGGAAATTAAAGACTGAAGAATCTAATAATAATGGTATTATACGAGATTTTATTGATTTAGAAGATAAGCATTATTTAAGTAATAGAAAGGATTGTATGCTCTCTTTATATTTTTTTATTAGAATTAATATCGTTATAGCATTACCTTCAAATATAGATATTGGTAAATTGTCTTTAGAGAACAGTATACCCGTAGAAGTTAGTACTTCAACACATAGAACAGATTCAAGCTCTAGTTTTAGGAATTTTTCGAGTTCTTATGATACTGTGAAGTTAGGTAGTATTGAAAATAATACGAAAGAATCACTACCCATAATATCGAATGCAAAGTTTCATGCTATTGAAAAGCCTAAATTGCCTCCAAGACCTCGAATTTCAGAAGCTTCATCCATGTATTATCTTTTTTTATTATTTTTTTTTATGATTAATAGAAATAGGAATGAATCACGGCCATTATATGAAACTTTTGCTGCCGAACTTGCAGAGAAGTTTTCAAAGATGTCTGAAAATCAATCAAATGTAGAGTCTTTCAATTCCTCATGAATCTTTGAGTGTACGTTTTCAACAAAAAAAAAGTGAAAAAAGCAATCATTATCATTATTGTATACGTAATGAGCTTGAAATTTTTAGAATAAGGTTCTCTGATAATTTTCTGAGTAATGATCTATCTTTAAATGAATGAGCTTTTAAAATTGCAAATAATAGTATTTTATAATAAGTGCATATGTTTTCTATGCTGTTTTATTTTTATACGCTTGGATGTTTAATTTAATTTTTTATATATTTATTATTATTATTAACTTGATAAAGTGTAAATTCAGGTTTTTATGTTTTAATGCAATAATTATGTATTTATAAATCATATTGTTTATTTTGGCCTCTTAATTATAATAAATGTTTTATTTTTCTTAAGAAACTATGGAAAAAGCTTAATATATATTGATAATTCAGAAAATATTATTTCATCGTAAGATAATTTTATATTAAAATATAATTTAAATTGATGGAAAAATAATTTATTGTAGTTGTTAAAATGTGGTAAATAATAAGGAATTTATATTTATAGGAATTCTTAATATATATATTAGTGGGATTTTTGGTTATGTAAATCACCGCTTAAAGCGTGAACGGTCATATATTCTTAATGTTTTGTTAGAAGGTGATGTTTTATATTGTTCGTATTATATGAAGTTAATATGTAGTTGTATATAGGTCTTTCAAAGTTAGAATATCGTGGTTATGATTCATCTGGACTTGCTATTGATGGAGATAATGAGGATGAAGTTCTTGTTTTTAAAGAAGTTGGAAAAGTTTCTGAGCTCCGTAAACTTGTTGAAAAGGAATTACATAATCTTTCTAAGACATATTTATTTCATTGTGGTATATCCCATACTCGTTGGGCAACTCATGGAGAATCAAATCGTTTAAATTGTCATCCTCACAGGTAATTTAAGTTTATGTTATAAAATTGTATATTAATTTTTATTTAGATCAGATGATAAATATGAATTTATGGCTGTTCACAATGGCATTATAACAAATTTTAGAGAGCTTAGAACAGTTTTGGAGAGGCAAGGATATGTTTTCGAAACAGACACTGATACTGAATGTGCTGTTAAATTGGCTAAATATATTTACGATACAAATAAAAATATAGATTTTGTTACTCTTGCGAAAATGCTGATTAAAGAACTACAAGGTGCATTTGCTTTTCTTATTAAGAGCACTCGTTTTCCACATGAAATCATTGCTACAAAAAAAGGATCTCCTCTTATTGTTGGTGTTAAAATGGAAAAAAACGTTAATTCTGATTATGTAGATGTCGAATTTTCTGATATCCAGAATGTTTTGTTTGATGCTACATGTGAAAAGTTAGTGAATATTTTTTTATTTTTAAAATTTTGATATATATTTACTATTTTAGTGTTAATTTTAGATGTAATCAATCTGGAGTATATGTAAATGATAATGAGTTTTTTGCATCTGCTGAATTTTTTCTTTCTTCTGATTCTTCGTCTGTTATTGAGCATACTAAGCGTGTCATTTATTTAGAAGATGATGATATCGCACATATTCGTGATGGTAAACTTCGTATACATCGTCTTCGTCGTGAAGATGGTGAACTTTCTATTAGATCAATTCAGACTTTGGAAATAGAACTAGCAAATGTTTTGAAGGGAAATTTTGACCATTATATGCAGAAAGAAATATTTGAACAGCCTGAATCGATAATTAATACTATGCGTGGCCGTATAGATTTTAAGAAAAGAACTGTTACTCTTGGAGGATTAAAGGCATACTTGCCGATATTAAGAAAATGCAGAAGAATGATCTTTATTGCATGTGGGACATCATATCATTCTTGTTTGGCTGTAATGTTTCCTATTATAAAAAAATGATTCTAAGATCCATAGACTCGTTCTTTAATGGAAGAGTTGACAGGAATTCCTGTGACAGTAGAAATAGCATCTGATTTTCTTGATCGTCAATGTTCTGTATTTCGGGACGATGTTTGTGTTTTTGTATCTCAATCAGGAGAAACGGTAGATTCTCTTTTAGCTCTTCGATATTGTATAGAACGTGGAGCGTTAACTCTTGGTATTGTCAATGTTGTCGGTTCATCTATTTCAAGAGAAACACATTGTGGTGTGCATATTAATTGTGGTGTTGAAATTGGCGTTGCTTCTACAAAAGCGTATACCTCACAATTTATTGTCATGGTTTGAATATATTTTTAGAATACCTATTTTATCTAATGATTTAAGGTTTTAATTGCTTTGTCTCTTTCTGAAGATTCTATTTCGAAAAAAGCACGTCGTTATGAAATTATAGATGCTTTATCATGTCTTAGTGATCAAATTCAAGAAATACTTGCAATGGATCTTCAAATAAAGAAACTAAGTCAGGATGCACTTCTTAAACATTCTTCTTTGTTATTGGTTGGTAGAGGTTATCAACATGCAACTGCTTTGGAAGGAGCGTTAAAAATAAAAGAAATATCATATATACACTCAGAAGGAGTTCAATCCGGCGAATTAAAGCATGGTTTTTAGAACAATATTTTTTATATTGGTTTTTTATAGTTTTAGGTGTTTTAGCATTAGTCGATGAAAAATTTCCAATTATTGTATTTATGACTAAAGACAAGTTTTATCCAAAAGTTCAAAGTACTGTTCAACAAAGTAGTAAAAATTAGTATGTTATAATATATTATTAATTTTATAGTATTATCCCGTAAAGGAAAACCTATTATTATTCTTAGTAAATCAGATATGTCATATGAAGGTATGGGTAATCGAATTGTTCGTGTTCCAGAAACTGTTGATTGTTTACAAGTATAGTTAATATGTTCAATAAATAAAATTGTAATTTTTATATAGGGTATATTAAATATTATTCCACTGCAATTGATGTCTTATTGGCTTGCTATATTTCAAGGGTATGATGTTGATCATCCTAGAAACTTGGCAAAATCTATTACTGTATATACTAATGTATATATTATTTATTATTATTAATATTTTTAGGTTGAATAAATATATATATATATATAATGAAAATTTTAATTTAGGCTTTTTATCTGTATTATGGATTTGTTTTATTATAGTATATTATTTTTTATATTTTACACTTGATTTTTGAAATTATAAACGATCTTAAAAATAATTGTAAATTATAATTTGATAATGATAATTTAAATGCATAATGTTTGAAAAAAGTCTAACAGATTTCATTCGTGGTCTTAGAGTAAATAAGAATCAGGAAAAATATATTCAGAAAGCGATTATAGAGTGTCGAAATGAGGTAAAATCTCTGGATCTTAGTATAAAAACAATGGCAATCTTGAAATTATCATATGTAGCTGAATACCTTTGTTTCTTATGTATCTTACAAGGCTTTTTAGATAGTTATGTTTGGTCATGATATATCATGGGCATCGTTTAATATTATAGAAGTTATGTCTTCCACAAACTTTTTTCAAAAAAGAATTGGTTATATGGCTTCTTGTTTAACGTTCCGTCAGGATACTGATGTTCTAGTTTTAAGTACAAATCTTATTAAAAAAGTATATTTGATTATGTGTATTTAATGTTATTTAAATTTGTAGGATCTTACTTCTTCTAATTATATGGATGTTGCAATTGCTATTAATGCTTTGTCAGAAGTTGTTACTCCAGAGCTTTCTAGAGATTTATTGCATGATTTATGTTCTTTGATGAATCATTCCAGTCCATATATTAGGAAAAGAGTTGTTTTAATGATGTATAAGGTATTTTTGCAATATCCTGATGCATTGAGAACTACATTTTCGAAACTTTGTAAAAAATTAGAAGATCCAAATAAATGTAAGTTAATTTTCCTTTTTAATATATCTAATGTTTGAAATAGCTGTTGTATGTGCTACTATTAATGTTATATGTGAACTTTCTTTTAAAAATCCTAAAAATTATTTACAATTAGTACCTATTTTTTATAATCTACTAAAAACATCTTCTGATGGTTGGTTACTTATTAAATTGGTTAAAATAGTATACAACTGATTATTACTTTTGTTTATCTAACAATTATAGTTTTCGTCTATGATACCTTTAGAACCAAGACTAGTCAAAAAACTTATACCTGTTTTGACAACACTTATACAGGATACATCCTCTATGTCTCTTAGATATGAATGTATAAATATTATGATATCTGGAAAATTTTTAGAAGATAATCATGAATCTGATTTGTTAACTGCTTTATGTATGTCTAAATTGAAGTCTTTTTTTGAAGTTTCGGATCAAAATTGTAATTTCAATGTTATTTTTTATTATTATACTGAAATATAAAGTGAAATACGTTGGGTTGCTGGCTTTATCTAAACTTATGATTACTCATCCTACATTAGTATTAGGATTTAAGGATATTATTTTAGAATGTTTTGAAAATAATGATGTGGATATACGGCTACGTTCTTTGGATTTGATAGAATGTCTAGTTAATAAGGATAATCTCCCGAAAATTATAAAATATTTGATGTCTCAATTGTCGCTACCATCTGATTTATTGCCAAAACATTATCGTGTTAGTTTAGTAAATAAGATTATATCAATTTCATCTAAAGATTCTTATGCTAATATTTTGGATTTTAATTGGTATATATTAGTATTAACTAGTTTGGTAAAAATTTCAAAGGTGAATGTAGCCAAAATATTAGGCGTTGAAATGCAAAACGCAAGTGTTAGGGTTAAGACTGCAAGGCCATATTCTATTAAGCATTTTTCTACTCTTCTTTATGATCCTGAGTTAATTGATAATATTTATGATCCTGAAAGCAATGTTGATGTTTTGTCTTTTGTTGCTTGGATAGTAGGTGAATATTCAAGGTATTGGAAATCTGGATTATTCTTTTTTTAAAGAATTATAGTCTGTTGGATTCTTATTATGAAGTTTTTGAAAGCATGCTTCTTCCTAAAGTTTTGACTTTTTCTACAAATATACAAAAAAATTATATTCAAGCTATACCAAAAATTTTTGTTAATTGGATTTTAAAACAAGATATATATTGGAATACGGAAAAAAAGGCTGAATCTTTGGTTTGGATTCAAAAGATTATTTTTTTTTTAGATATGTTTTGTACTTCTAAAGATTTTGAAGTTTCACAGCGTGCAATAGAATTTCGTGAAATTTTTAGGATTGCACAGTCTATTATTGAATACGATAGCTCTGTTTCAGGTTCTGATAATATGGATAAGTCTTTATGTTTAAATCAATTTTCTGATACATTACATTTAACGTCCTTTTTTTTTAATAATATTTTATCAGCAATGTTCTTGGATAATCTTAATCCAGTTGTGCCAAAGGCACAAAGAAAAATTCCAATTGTAGATCTAGATTTAGAAAATTGGATATATCCTCTAGGTTCGTTTTTTTATTAATGGTCTTATATTTGTTCATAGATTATTAGTTCAGAAAAATATAAAAGATTCTTTGAATGATTTTTCTTATGAATCTTTGCATCTTCAAGATAAAAAAGAAAATAAGTTTTTTAATGATTCGTTTTATATTTCTGAAGACATTATATCAACATGTCACTCTGTTTCCTTGGAAAATATGAATGAACCTAATAATATTCCAATTGTTAAGCTAGAAATTCATGATACTTCGATGGAAAAAAGTAGTATTCTTATTGATATTATATTAGTTAATAGAAATTAGAAGGAAAATATAAATTGGGAAATGTTGAGGAAAATATTGTTTTAAAATCAATAGAAATTCTTCCTGATGAAGCACCGGAAAATATATTAATATCGGATAGTGAAAGTGAAAAAACAAATTATTTATATAATAATAAATCTTCGAAAAGTGTTCTTCAAATAGACACGACAGCTTTGCAAAAATTTAATATAGATGAAGATGAAAATAATGTTGAACTTTTAAATAAAATTGAAGAAATTAAGAAAACATTAAAACATTCAAAGGGACGTAAGAAAGAGAAAAAAAATAAATCTAAAAAAGTTATAAAGAAAAAATAAAAAGTTAAATTACTTTTTTTAATTCTGCATAGAATATAAAATGTTAGATAAATTATTGGAATTAACAGAATATACATATATTAGTACTGTATAATGATTATATTTAGTGTTTATATGCATAATTATTAGTCTTGGATATATTATTTATTATTATATAGTTGTATTCTAATTATATTTAAAAATTAGTTATATTATGTAGATTTTTCAAAGTTTGTTGATAAGCTTTCTTTCACATTATTGAAAATTATCTTGTATTGTTAATTTTTCGAATAAATAATGTTATTAATACCTCTACTGCTTCTACTTCTTTTAAAAGCATTTCTTCATTCTCTTCTTTAAGTTTAAGAAGATGTTTTAATTGTTCTATTTTTCTGGAGTTTTGTTTAGCTCTACATGTTGTTAGTTTTGTTTCTAATAATTAATGAAAAATTCGTTTCACATTTTGGTTTTATTTTTTGTTAAAATAGATTTCAATTTCTGCTCAATGGAATTCATATTTTTTAAATATATTGATTGAATTTCATTATGTTTTCTTTTTCTTCTTTCATGAGATTTGTCTATAATAAAGTTAATATCTTAAACATTAATGTAGATATAAACTTTTAAATTCTGTAATCATTGTCTCAAACGAAAATAGGCTATTATTTAATTAGTAATCTTGATTTTTCTTTCCTTTTTAGAATTACTCGTCATTGTTAGAGTCCCCAGAAGGTGATGATGGTATTCTTTTTTTTTGATAAAAACCGTCTTTTATAGCCATTATAAGTCAAGAATATGTTGAAAGAAAAGCGTTTTTAAATATAAAAAAATCAGAAAACTGAATAGCTTCTTTTATTTGATAGAAAGCTTAGATATTTTGCTTTTCAAATAATATATGCGTTTAATTTTTGTAAATATTGCAGCAGAGTTATTGATAAAAATATATAATACTTTTAGATTAGGAATGAATAGATGTTTCGAAATGTATACAACTTAATATATAAAAAAAATAATGAATATTATAAGAATGTTCTATTTTTTAATGTAACGATATTTTTTTGTAATAAAAAATTTATGGGTTTGGCAGAAGTAAGAAATAAGCAAAAAATAGGAAAGGATCCTAGAAATATGAAATGGGTGAAAGGTATGTGTGTAGTTTTTTTAATTTTATTTTTTTATGTTTTTAGATATAAATAGGTTCGGATTTAAGTATCTTTTATCTTATGGATGGAAGTCTGGACTAGGTCTTGGGAAAAATTATCATGGAAAAGTAGGAAATGTTTCTAGTTTTATTGAAAAGAAGCAATTTATTTTGAATCCTTCTTTTTCTTCAGTTGGCTTAAATGATTTAAATGAAATATTAGGACGTTTAAATAATCAAAGTTTTCATACTGAAAGTCTTGATTCGTATAATAACCATGCTATATCTTCAAAGATTCATATGAATGCTTTGGGTAGTAGTCTTTCAACGAGATTCGTTAAAGGGAAACCTTATAAGACGGGATTTACTAAACATTTATATAAAGTATGAGAAATCATATGAAATATCGAAAAATATGCTTAAAAGGTTCATGAATTAAAAATGAAAAAATGCTTAAAAATATGAGAAAATCATTAATATTAAAAATATTTTGCAAAAAAATAAAAATAATTTATAGATGAATTTTATATATCAGATGTGGCTTCTAAGTTTCACTTGAATTCATTTAATTTTCTATATATGGTAATACTATTGTTAAATGTATTAAAAGTTAGTATAAAACTGCTTAGCTCAGTTATTTTTGTAAAATTTTATGAATATAGAACATTGACTAAAATAGACTATAAGAAACATTTGGGATGAAAAATGGAATTTGTTGAATAGTAATCCCTTGATGAAATTGTATTTAAAATCTTAATATCATGATTTTTAATTATATGCGATTTAAAAGTTTTTGTTAGAAATGAATACAGAAGATTTTGACAATAATGCAATTGAAAGAGTATTAGTATAGAATTTTTTTATGATAAAAGATAATTATAGCAGCACTTTTCTTAAAGTTAAAGTAATTGTAAATGTTGTATATTTTCTGAATATTCCTTTACATTTTCATTTGCAATAATTTCATTCATTAAGATATTTATTAAATTTGGACAATTCTCTTCTATTTCTTGGAATGCTTTTTTAAGTTTTTTAACGTAAATAAGAGTTTCAGATGATATAGAATGTTTTTTTTCCAACTATACCAGGGTTAAATTATGGATTGTTTAAATGTGGTACATACTTTTTTAAATGCATGAGTGACAGCTATTCTCCATTGCGTTTGTTTTTTTGACGAATTAGGTGAAAAGTTTATTAGATTTGTATGATTTTGTGAAATAAAATTATTGGATTGTTGAGAATTATCATAGAAATTACAATTATCATTAGCTGAACATTCTATCTGAGTAGAATCTTTAGAACACGGACTTGATTTTGGAATACTTAGAGTTTCTTCTTTAGACTTTAATGGAATTTGTGTTAATGAAAATGATTCTTTTATAAGTTCACTTGGTGGTATATTTTCTTTTCGAGAGTATATTTCTCGAATTGTATTTGAATAATAGTCTGAATCTTCTGTTGCAATAAAGCTGTTTGGAGAGAGTTGTTGAGATATATGGTAATCTACTTGTCCATTCTGAAGTTTATCCGTTTCCTTCCTGTTATTATGAAGTTTGTCTGGAGGTTCTTGTATGTGTTGTATTTTGTCTTCCAGTTTTGTTTCAGATTTAAGTGTTTCAAAATTCCAGTATGTATCAAATGCATTAGATATTAGTCTATAATTCTTAAATAAAATGATTTTGAAAATTTTTTAAAATACTCTTCATCTTCCGCTCCAGAATCTTCATCATATCTGAAATGTCTACTCTGGGTTTTCCACCTCTCATGTCTTTCTATAAGCTCTGTTAAGTAAGATGTTTTTTTAGCCATTCGTATAAAACGATGCTTTAAAAGCTCCTTAGCACTCGGACGCTACAATGTTTAGTATTTATATAAATATATATATTCTTCTATATGAAATTACGTTATTTGTGTTTTTCTGCAAGCATAAACGCACAAAATCCTTGAAGATAGGTGAAAATGGTCCATCTAGTAATGGTGGATCATTTTTAGGTATTAAAAATAATACTTTCATTGGATGCAATTCTGCATATGGAGGTTCTCCTTTAGCTAATTCTATGGCTGTAATTCCTAAAGACCAAATATCTGCCTAATTTAAAAATAAGAGATAAATAATTTTTAAATCATTAATTACCTTAAAACTATAACCTGATTGCTTGATTACTTCTGGTGCCATCCAAAACTGTAAATCATTAGGTTTAAAAACTAGCTTTATTTTTTATCTTACGGGAGTTCCCACGAATGTATTTTTTTTACTCATGGTAGCAGTAAGTTGTCCAGATACTCCAAAGTCTGCCAGTTTGACATCACCTGATGAATTCAAAAGAATATTTGCCGCTTCATATTTTAAATTATGATTTTAAGATTGAGTTAAGAAAATACCTTTTATATCTCTATGAAGTTTTCCTTCGCTATGAAGATATTCTAGACCTCGTAATATTTCACGAATTATGATTGCTATGTAGTCTTCTTCTATTGGCCTTGGTTTCATCTATATAACATTATTAATATGATAATAATGTCTAAATAATATTACTAAATCTGAGCAAGATCCTCCAGAGCAATATTCCATTATAATCTATGTTTACTATTAGTAATTTTTGCCAGAAAAATAGTTTATATAAACCCAAAGTTTCGTATTTTTTAAATAAGATCCATAATATCTAATAATTTTAATATGTATTAATTTTTTTATCAAAAAAACCTTGTAACGAATTGAGAATTTAATTGACTATTAATATTATTATAGAAAAATAACAGCATTATAACTACCTTAGAATATTTATTTCTAACATAATATCTTCTACTTCATCTTCTGTATTTTCCAAGTCTATAATTTTAATCGCTACTGGGCGACGAGTTTTCTTATTAAAGCTAAAATAAATAAATAGCATGTAAATGTTTCTTTCTTTCTTTACCCTTTATACACTGAACCAAAGCTTCCTGAGCCTATTATTTTTAAGAAACGTATTTGTTTTTTTTTATATTTAAATACCAATTTTTTCTTGTCGTACATAAATTTCTTCTGGATCTATATGCTGAATATATGTTTGAAATATATCTTTATGTACATTTTCCTATAACAAGTTAAACGTTTTGACAAAATGAGGAATGCATTTATTCTACTTTGTTATCCATAAGTATATTATTTTTAATAAATTATAGAAATTAATATATGTTAAAAAGAAGATTCCTAGTAAATTTTGTTTCAAGACTTTCTTTTTTAATGTTTTAAATGAAAATTGTTACATATATTAATGAATATTAGTTGATGTTTTAATCTTTAATGCTAACTTGTATTAGGGAGTTATTTTTCTTTTTATTCGATGTTTTGGTTTAAAATAGGTTAAAGTTAAAAATTGATAAAAATTACTAAAATAGCGTATTTTCACAAGTTGCCTTGTACAATATTAAAATTTATAACTAAACCTATTTTTAGAATAAGATACATAATTATCAATATGATTTTATAAAGAAAATAAATTAAAATTATTTTTTTTTAAAAAAGTTATAAATATATTTTAAAATTAAGATTAAAATAACTTAATAAGAAAACGCTATCGAGAAATTTCATAATAGTAAGATGATAATTTGACAGATAATTAAAGATTTCTATTTTTTAAATATTTTTTAATTATTGATATTTATTTTTTATATATAATAAATTTATTTTTTTCTAAAAAAAACAGCTTACAAGTAAAAATATTAATAATGTTAAATAGAATCTGAATAAATATATTTAAAATTTATTTAAAATTGATAAAAAAAACGAAAAAAATATATTTAAAAAATGCTGTTAATATAGTATAAATATTAATTGATATTATATTATCTTTTTTGTCTTCTTCTCCATTCAATGTTAGAAGGTCTTTCTGGTAATACAACCATGCTCTAAATATTTTTAGTAGTTACCAAAAAGTATATTTTATGAATTTACAGTGTAGTCAGGCTTTGGAATAGTAATTTGATTTTTTGGTAAAGTCCATTCTAATTCATGAACAAATATTGTAATAATTGTACCAAGTTGCATCTAAACTATTAGTGAAAATATATTTAGAATTTTAGATTTACGTATGCAAATTGCTCTCCAATACATCTATGTCTTCCTGCACCAAATGGCAAATAGGGCGAAAATGCTCCTTTAGTAACTAAACCATATCCGTAATCAATTTTATCGGAATCTTCTGTATTTTTTTCGCATTTCCATCTTTCAGGTATAAATTCTAATGCATTTTCAAAGTATTCTTCATCAACTGAGCTGACACCTGGCGCTGCTAACAAATAATGATTTTTAGGAACAATGTAGGGTGAGTTTTCTATTAGAATCGGTGATTTGACTTTTCTTATAATACTATGAAGAGGAGGATGTAATCTTAGAGTTTCTTTTATTACATAAGATAACAATTCCATATCCTTAAGATTGTCATATGTTAGATCGTCTAAGTTGTCTCCAAATACTCTTTTTTGTTCCTCAAGCAATAGCTTACTAATTAGATTAGTATAATATGTTAAGAATTCTTTTATAATACATATACTCTGGCTTTTCTGCAAGATGTAATAAAGCCCAACATCCTGTCGCTGCACTGGTATGCTGGCCAGCCATTAATATAGCAATCATTAAATGAGCAATTTCTTTATCTGTTAATTTACGGCCATCTTTGTAATGTTGATTCATAAGATTCCAAATCATATCCTCTTCTTCATGTTGGCATGTTTTTCTTCTTTGCTTTATAATATTCATATAAATTTGTGCCATTTTTTTTTGAGCAGCATCACGTAGACGATTTTTTGGAAGTGGTAACCAAGGAGCTAGAAAGTTAATTGGAGTAAATCCCCCATCTAAGTCATGATAAAGCTTTGCAAATGATGCGTCAAAATTACTGCGTACTTCTTTTCCTTGAAGAGTACGAGATGCAGTAAAAATTGTTATTTCAGGCAAAGCTTTCATTAAAGATGAAACACCAGAGAGTTTATCCTTTCCAAAAATCGGGCTAGTTTCTAAGTACGTTTTTACTTCTTCAATAATCAATGGAACATATGCTCTAAATGTTTCTATAGTAAAACCAGTTTTTACAAATTTTTTCTGTTCCATTAATACATGATTAGGAACATCATAAACGACATCTGTACCAAAAACGGGTGTTGTCAGATGAGTATATGCTTCTTCTGCTGATAAACTTGATAATTTTCCATTAAAAAGTATATCATTGCCTTTAGGTCCTAATGCTACTGTCATTTTTTTTCCAAGTAGAATAAAAGTAAAAATATTTCCATGCTAAAAAAGTTAGGTATTTATATAATAATAGTTCTTTAACTTTTTTTTTTTGTTTTTGAAAAAACTTATACGGGTCCTTTATATAACTTTAGTTGTTAATTTTAAGATAATTTATTATACCATGCCATATTGAATAGTTGATCCAATAAAAGGAAGCCAATGAAATACTACAGGAGGTTTTGACGAATCTTTTTGGTACTAATTTTTTGAGATTTTTTATATTTCTATTAGAGTTCTTACTAATTGAGGAAAAATATGTAGAAGAAAAAAAAATGTTAAGATGATTATTACAAAACTGAGTGTAAAATTTTCTATTCCTAATACTTTAAGAATAGTCTTTAAAAATCCCATGTCAATTTCATATAAATGGTGATTGCCTCTGGAAATTATTTTAAAAGAAAATTATAATTTTCACTTAATTTAGAGTTGAATTGCAATTTGGAATTAATTTCGAAAAATATTTTTAATTTAATTACGAAATTTAAAAACATTTAAAGATTAATTAGTCGTTTTTTTATTGAATTTTATATATATATAAGAGATTTTTAGAAATATGGATATATCTAATGTATCTCTTTATTGTAGAAATTTAAATGATAAAATTAAAAAAGAAGGCTTGTGAAAAAAAGTATATTAATGAATACTGATATCTTAAAAAGATTTAAGACAGTGTCTTTATTGTTTATTTAGTGTTTATGGACCTGTTTTGGATATTGTTGTGTTGAAAACTAAGAAAATGAGGGGACAGGCTCATATAGTTTTTCGAGATGTTGCATCTGCTACAGCAGCCATGAGAGCATTGCAAGGATTTAGTTTTTTTGAGAAAGAAATGGTATGTTTTATGGGTAGTACAGTATGGCTTTTTATATTAGTATAGAAAATAGAATATGCTAAGCAAAAATCAAATGTGATAGCAAAGCTTGATGGAACTTTTAAAATACCTACTCCAGAATTAGATGATATAAGAATGTCTGCAGTAGGGGGAGGTATAATATCAGGAATAAAAAGATCAAGAGAAGATGATGATGATTAATCTATATATTTTAAAATTATTTTAATTTGTTTAATATATCGTATATGTTATTTGTGATTTATATGGAATAGTCTATGTATGAATTCCAAAATATATAGCTGAAAGTTTAAGTAGCTATATATATATATATATATATACATATTATTCTATGATATTATTTGTATAATATGGATCTATACAATAAAATATGATATTTATAATAAGATAATTCCAGTTTTTTATTATGTTTCTATGTCTAACTATTCTCCAAAAGATAGTTTTTATAATATTCCGAATTTTAACAGACCTATTAGTAACTTTAAAAAATAAAAATTATAAATTTATAAAATTCTGAATATATCTATTTGAATTTCTAGATAATCTTTAGATTGTTTAAATATTTCTGATTTTTCATAAAGATTGGTAAATTGATATAAAAAGAATTAGAAATGTTAATAATATTTAATTTATATTGATTTCTTTTTATTATTTTTAATATTTTTTTATTTTTAAATATAATATTTTTATACATTCATGTTAATTTTCATTAATTATATCTTGTCGAAAAAACAAGTTTTATTCTATCTATTATTATTTCATTCAATTACTATATTATTTAATTTTTTTAAATAAAAATGTATGTTATTAAGTTTTTTTTAAACGTTTTTTTTGTATTCAAGTCGTTAGTTTTTTGGAAGTCTAGAAAGAACTTACAGTAAAATTATATGTCATTGTCCTAGAAGGGCGTATTAAGGATTAAATATGGCTATTAATGTGATAAATATATTGCAGTTTGGGGCTCCAATTAATGCTTATGCTTTTAATGGGGCTAAAAATCGTATTTTTTATTATTATTAAAAAAACCAAGTTAATCAAACGTAGAAGTAGCATTAAGTCTTAATAAAGATAGTGTTGAAATATATGAAGATAAGGGTACTGGGTTTGATCATAAGGATACGTTGATAGGTGTATGTTTTATTTTATTGTATAATTTCGTTAATATAATGCAGCATGATAAATTGGTAACAAGTTTAGATTGGGCCCCTCGTACAAATAAAATTGTTACTTGTTCTCAAGATAGGTATATATAGTTTTTTATTAATGTATTTTTTGACTATTTTTTAGGAATGCATATGTTTGGAATCTTTCACAAGATGGGTGTTGGAAGCCAACTCTTGTTCTTTTGAGAATTAATCGTGCTGCTACATGCGTTCGCTGGTCACCAAATGAAGACAAGTTTGCTGTTGCCAGTGGTGCCAAGATTATATCTGTATGTTATTTTGAAAAACAAAATGATTGGTGGATTAGCAAACATATAAAAAAACCTATTCGTAGCACAGTTTTATCTGTAGACTGGCATCCTGCAAATGTTCTTCTTGCTTCTGGGTCTGTAGACATGAAGGTTAGATAGATAATTATTATTTGAATTATATTTAATTTTTAGGCTCGAGTTTTTTCAGCATATATTAAAGATATAGATCAAAGGCCTGAACCTACTGTTTGGGGAAGTCGGTTACCATTTAATACTGTATGTGGAGAATTTTCAAGTATTAATGGGGGATGGGTTTATGATGCTAAGTAATTAGTGTCATGTACATTTTTGATATCTAATTTTGTGTTCAGATTTTCTCCTTCTGGAAATGCTCTGGCATTTACAAGTTTTACATATATTTTTTTTGATTTCGTTTTTAATTAATATAGCTCATTCCTCATCTATTACAATAGTTTATCCTACTGGTAATAAGAATCCTCCTGTTATTTTTACAGTAAGCATATCTCAACTTCCCTATGTTACTTTGGTATGGATTAATGAATTTGAAATTATTTTTGCTGGGTATAGTTGTCGATTGGCATCATTTCAAGGAGATATTAATGGATGGTTTGTTTTTAGTTTTGTTACCGTAGTTTTGTTGATCGTATAGGAAATTTGTTAGAGAAATAGACGATTGTCATTTGAAATCCCCTGTAAATGATTCTGAAAGTCATACATTTAGTACTTTAAAGAATTCATTTAGGGATATGGATTGTCTCTATAAAAGATTTTTAGATTTTTGAATTAATGAATTTTAGTGAAGGGAAATGTAGAAGACATGACTATGCCTACAATACATCAAAATACTATAACGTATATCAATCTATTTTGAGATATTTTTTAAGCTTTTTTAGACAACTTACTTTATATGAAAATAAAACTTCGATTTTTTTAAGTAGTTCAGGTGTAGATGGGTACGTTTTGGTTTTTTTTTTGGAAAAAGATTTATTTTTTTAGAAAACTTGTTATTTGGAAGCTTTAAACGGCGACTATTTAGAACAAACGTTTATGATTTTTTAATAGTAGTTATTTAAGTTTTAGAATTTTACATATATCTATGAAAAAAATTAAATATTTACTTGTTTTATTAAACATTTATTATGTTTTGATGGCTCGTTGAAAACTTTAGTAAATGTTATAAATTATTTTAATATTTTGAATGCATAATTTGTATACTTAGAATTAAATAATATGTATTTCTTTGTCAACTATAGAATTAATATATATATTTGTGTTTTAATTTATTTAAAAATAATTGGTTTTATATTCAATAGTTCAACAAATTAAAAATGGCTCTGCAGTATTAAGTAATAAAAAGTATGTTATATTCAGATATATGAATTCGGATATAATTGAGCTTTTGCTTTGAATGTATTTTCATTAATCCAATAATTATTAAGGTTAATATATTTCTAGTTTAAAATTTTAAGTTTTAATAATTTTAAAGATAATTATATTTTGAAAGTTAAAATTTAGAATATATAATAAATCTCTTTATAGATAGTGGGCGAGATATAATATATATTAATTTCAGTTTTTATCAAAAAAAGCAGTTTATGAAGCTTTGAAATTATAATAAATCTTCAAATTCTATTTCGTATGAATTTCATTTTTAAATATCTTTAGGATTCTATAAGACTCTTAACATATTTTTGCACATTTTTTTCATTGATAGGTGGTTTTCCTTCATGTAAAAACCTTCTAAGCATTTTTGAAGCTATTTCATCTAAGGATTTAACTTTTTTTATATTTAATGGTTTTTCTTTTAAAACATTTATTTCATAACTGATCTTTTTATTGGTATTCCAGAATGAAGATGGTTGTTTTAAAAGAGATATGCAACACTAATATGAAATTAAATTATATGAAATAATAATTAGAATTTCTACTTCTTTTAATCCGCAAAATCCTTGCAAAAAATTTTCGCAGAGTTCTATAGATCTAAGATATTCTTTGGTAGCTGCATGAAGTAAATCAGGTTTGGTAAATGATTGTATATACAGAACTAATGCACAACGAGCATGAATTAAATGCGAAGATGGTTGTAATAGTAATAGTTCCCAATAACAAAAAAGTGCTTTTTTGTACCTATTACAATTATATAATGGTTATTAATTAGTTTAAATCAGTGTTTACAAATGAAATGAAAAATAAATATCAGCTAGTTCTGCCCAAGCTTCTGCATCTAAATACCATATGTCTAAGAACTTTACTAATTCATTTACAGCTTCCTCTGTTTTCCCTAATGAACGAAGTAAAGCTATTCGTCGTTTTAAAATAGGCTGTATATAATAATTTAGTAAATGATAAACAAATAACATTGACTTACAATATTTGATTCATCTGTTGAAAGTATATCATTATAACATTTAAGCGCTTCTGAAGTATTCCCTATAGCTTCCAAATATAACCCTTTTAGGACAATGACAGATGTAGATGTAGGGAATTTTTTTAAAAGCTCTGTAAGACATTGCTATATCAATTAGATAGTTTCTATGAAATATTTTGAATATTAGAACATTGGCTAATTCATCATCCCCAATTTCTAAAGCAGCAAGAAAAGTTTGCTCGTATATTTCCCAAACTAATTGTTAAAAGGTTATTAATTTGTAATGAGCGTAATTTACTTTCATCCCGAAATAAGTTAGGATTATTCAATTGTATTATAGGTTTTGAAAGTTTTAAAACGTTTTCTGGGCATGAAGAATTCGTCATGCGCAATTTTCTTAAAGCTTCTATATTTTTATGCATTTTAAAAATATGAAATTTTAAAATATAATTCAGAAATATCGTTTTGAATCTTCAGAAGAAAATGTTTTATAGTATATTTTTAAAGAAATATGATCTTAGTTTTTGTATTTATTAAATACTAAAGAGATATTATTTTGTAAATCTTAACGCATTTGAAAAGATATGTAATAAGATATTTTTTAGATTTTAATTAATTTTTGTAAATAATGTAAATTTAGTAAATGCATTTTTATTGAAATTTGTAGAAATTATATTAATATTGTTGTATTTAAATTTAAGGTAGTATGATTATAAATTTTGTTTGATTTTTTTAGTTTTGGGATGTTATTTTCATGTAGATAAATATAAAAATCATGATCAATGGAATAGATATAAAAATAAAAAAAAAAAACATATACTTCATTTATGAAAAAAAAATATAGATAATCTTTTTATTTTTGTTTTTTGTTAGTCTTACATTTTAAAAAAACAAGGAAAAAAACTATAAGTTATTTATAGTGAATAAGCTAATTAAAAAATATTAAAAATAGACATTTTTATCTGTTTATATAGTCTTAAAATCTAATGTTATGTGTATTTCATATTGCAATAAATAGTCATATAAAACTATAAAATTTTTTTTATATACTTAAATATTTGTTTTGTTGAATATACGTTTTATAATAAAATATATTTATTAAAATTAATATGTGATTTGAATTATTTTTATTTTAAAAATATATACAATTTTTTTGTAAATTTATGTTTTTTTATTTTGATAAATGATATTTATCTTATAAAATTATTCCATAATTTTTATAAAGCTTATGATTTTATGATTTATATTAAATGAATTTATTAAATAGTAATAATAAAATATATGAAAATAAAAAATGTGAACAATATACAATTTTAGATGAGTATGTATAAATAAGCATATAAAAAAGATTTAATAAAATTCTAAAGATGATAGTTTTTGGTATAATTTAGAAAAAAATATAAACATGTATATTTAATTAAAGAGTTATGAAAAAAATAATTTAATTTATTATTTATATTGAATTTTATTTATTTATGATTTAGTTAGATTTAATATATTATTTTTTAAAATTATTCATTATTTATAAATACATAATTATAAAAGATTTAATATGATTTAGCTAAGGATATTATATTTTAAATATGACGTATTTGTTAACATATATATTAATAAATTTTTATTTGAAATTCTTTTAGATGTAATTTTAGTTTAAAGTTATTAATTATTAACTTGAAGTTATTTTTAAAAAAATCATTTTTGATTTATCATTTTCGATGCTTTTATGATTTCTTTACAATTACTAAATTATTCTTTCCATTTTTATATAATTTTAATTTATTAAATTTTTTTATTCTAATAAAATTTCTGAGTTTTTAGTGCTAAGGTATACAAGTCTTGATGAGGAAATATTAATTTTGATGTCCTTACTATCAAAAGCTACTTTTCTAAAAACTAGGTAAAAAGTCTTATAATAAATTATATTTTACATACTTATTTATTTAGTTTTGTAATTGAAAAAACCATAGAGCCTATTTATACTGGTGGAAGCTTTTCTTTGTCTAATGATGGATATACATTTGCCAGTTCGTTAGGAGAAAATGTTAAAATAACTAATATTGATACAAGAGAAAAGATATGTCTTATAAATGGTGTATGTTTTTAGAATGTATTTATTATTATTATAATGTTTTTATTATTTTTATAGGATTCAGAAATAATTACTTCTTTGGCATTAGTATTAGATGGAACTAGGTTAATAACGGCTTCTAGATCATTGATGCTTCGTCATTATCATATTCCATCGGGAGATCTTATTTATGCTTTAAAGGCTCATGATGCTCCTATTATGGTTATGGAACCTGATGTTACTTCAAGCTTAATAGCTACAGGAGGTGCAGAGGGCTCTGTTAAAGTTTGGAATATAAAAGGAGGATATAATACTCATAGTTTTAAAGGGCATGGTGGTGTTATTTGTGCTATTAAATTTTCTAAAGAGATTAAGAAAAGAAAAGATAGGTGGTTGTTAGCAACTGCTGCTGATGATTATAAAATAAAGATATGGGATTTAGTTAAAAATTGGTAATAGTAATATAATTTAAATGAAAAAAATAATATAAATTAGCTGTCTTTCTACGCTCGATGGCCATTTAAGTCTTATTTGTGGTTTAGATTTTTCATATGATGAGAAAATTCTTGTGAGTGGATCAAGAGATACGATTTTAAATTTTTGGGATCTTAACATATTTAAATTAAAAAAATCTGTATCCTTGTATGAGGTTTGTTATAATTTTAATTAATTATTGATTTCTAAATTAATTTTTAAAGACAATAGAATCCGTTGAATTTCTTCCAAAAGGTCTTTTAATAGATAACAGTCAATTAATAGTAACTGGAGGAAATAAAAATATTATCCATTTTTTGGATTATATTTCTGGATTAGAAGTTAACAAAATATGTGTTTCTGAATTGGAAGACATTACTATTTGTAAAATAGTGTAATTGGATTATTTGTTATATTTTTTTTAATTTTATATAGATATAATAGTGAAAGAAATATTTTACTTTCTATTCTATCAGATCATTCTTTAATAATTCATTCTCTTTCTTCCTTGCAATTTCTTGTACTTCGAAAAATAGCAGGATATCACGATGAAATAATTGATTGTACATATATAGGAAATGATGATTCTCATATTGCTATTGCTTCTAATTCTCCGATTATTAGCATAATAAATTGTGTTAATTTAGACTTTAATTTTTTAAATGGACATAAGGATATTGTCATTTGTCTTGTTGCTAGCAAAAATGGGCAATGGCTTGCATCAGGCTCAAAAGATAATGAAGCAAGGTTATGGAAATTTGATGCAGAATTTAATAGTTTTGTAAATGTTGCTATATTTACCGGGCATACGGATTCTATTGGTTCTATAGCTTTTTCATCTATAAAAAAAGGTACAATGCCTGATTTTTTATTGACTGGATCTCGAGATCAAACTATTAAATTGTGGAATATATTAAATTTAAAAGATTCTATTAGATCTGTGTATACAAGAAAAGCTCACGAGAAGGATATCAATGCATTAGATATATCTTATGATAATAAAATATTTGTTTCTGCATCTCAAGATAAAACATGTAAAGTCTGGGACCTTTATAATGGGGAAGTATTGGGTGTTTTGAAAGGACATAAAAGAGGTGTTTGGACAGTGAAAATTTCTCAATACGAAAAAACAGCGATTACTGGTTCGGCAGATAGATCAATAAAATTATGGAATTTGTCTGATTATTCGTGTTTGAAGGTTTTTTTTTTTTTTTATGATGGACTAAATTAAGTTTAAAGACTTTTGAAGGTCATACGAATTCTGTATTAAAAGTTCTTTTTGTTTCTTATGGGCAACAAATAATAAGTTCGGGAAGTGATGGTTTGATTAAATTATGGACTACTAAAACTAGTGAATGTGTAGCTACTTTGGATAATCATACAGATAGAGTAAGTTTTGCTAATACTTTTTTTCTTTTTGAAAAAAACATAGGTTTGGTCATTGTGTATTTCTTCATCAGAAGATACGATAGTATCAGTAGGTGCTGATTCTGTTATAAATTTTTGGAAAGATATTACGGAAGATGAAAAAAAGAGAATTGATACTGAAAAATCTTCTTTTATAAAAAAGTATATTTTTATATATTTCTTAATTATTATTTAATTGTTAATAGTGAACAACAATTATTTAATTATATTCAGCGTCAGGATTGGAAAAACGCAATTATATTAGCTATGTCATTGAATCAACCATATAGACTTTTGATGTTTTTTAAGGAAATATTAAATAAAAAAACATCTAGCTTTGACAATTCGATCGAAGGAGTTGATATTATAGATCAAATTCTTGAATCATTAAGTTTAGAAGAACTTTCTAATATTATTTGTCGTTTAAGAGATTGGAATACGAATTTTCGTACATCTTATATAGCTCAGAGAATATTGTATATCCTTTTACGAACATATGATGCTTCTTATTTTTTGAAAATTTCTAATATTAAAAAAATTTTAGATGTTATCATACCATATTCTGAGCGTCATTATAAAAGAATTTCTGGTTTAATCGAAACATCATTTTTAATTGATTATACATTAAAAGAAATGGATAATTTCCCTGATTTTTTTAAATTATAATTTTTTTGAATATTTTTTGTAAAAACGTAGAGTATTATTTGTATTTTAAATGTATAATTTTTTGCATATTTTTTATTTGAAAAAAGTTATTTAATTTATTTTTTCAATTTGTTTAATTCTATTTTCAAATGCAGTAATTATAAGAGTAGAAATTCTTGGCATTACTGTCATACTAATTATAGTATATAGAGGATTAGAAAACTTAAAATCCAGGATGAGTGATATTTTTGTTTTTTCTTCTAATTTCTCTGTTGTTTGTATATCCTTTAAAGACCACGTAGCTTGTAATTTTTGAAAAAGTTGATTATTAGAAGCATTTGCCTGTATTAAATTAAAAATTATCTTCTATAATTATATATTATTACTATTATATAATCATGTGAAACATAACTTATTTTGCTGCTAAATATTTCATCATAGTTTTTCCAACCAATTCTTAAATCGGCTGTTTGCGGTAAACCATTTTTATCACGTTTAGTCACTTTTGAAGCTAGGCAATATGGTAAAAAGGCTGAATAGGAATCAATATCTGAAATGACAGAAAATATAAGACTCTTTTTATATCTAAATTTATAATTATTATTAAATATATATTATAATGATAGATTGATTCACGGTAATATACGATATGTTGAAAATCTCTTTGATTTGCTTAATGTTGAATTTAAAAAGTTTCTGCTCCAAATGAATAAATTAAACGAATTTCCTAAGCTTATATTCTTTTGGAATAATAAATGATTTGGGAGTAATACAACCCATGTAAACATCAAATATAAAAATAAATTTTCGATAGTTTTTATCGATATATTAGAATTTTTAATGACACACTAGTTTAAGTGTTAGAATATGTTTATATTTCACGGAATTTATAAAGAACTTATTTTATTTTTTCTTTTATTACAACTGCGTTTTTTTGTTGCGTTAACTTCTAAAACATTTTTTCAGCCAGATGAATATTGGCAATCTCTTGAGCCAGCACATCAATTCGTATACGGATATGGATATCTTACATGGGAATGGCGTGAAGGAATAAGAGATTTTACTCACCCTTTTATATTTTCTATTGTTTATTGGCTTTTAAAACTAACTAAATATGATTCTCCTTATTTAATAATTATTTTTCCAAAATTATTACAGGCTATATTTGCAGCAATTTCTGATTTTTATACTATAAAACTTTCCTTGAAATTACATAATGAAAGGGTATCTTTATGGACATTATTTATTGTTATTACGTCTCCATTTAACGTTTTTTTTGGATATCGTACATTTTCCAACACTTTAGAAACAGTTTTTATAATTTGCGCATTATATTATTGGCCTTTAAATTTTAAAAATTCTCAAAGGAAAGAATTACGTTTTTCTCTTATTTTTACTTCTATTGCATGTGCTTTAAGACCTACAAATATACTAATATTGCTATTTTTATTAGGATGTTTATTTTTTTGCGGTAATTTTAAATTTATTTTTGATGTTTTTATTATAGGGTATGTTTTCAGTTATTTTCAGATATGATTCTTATTTAAAATTAGATCTATTTCTTTTTTATTTCTTTTTTTACTTAATTTTTATTATTATAATAGATGGACGCTTCCTCTTATTAAGTTTTTAAAGTTTAATTTAATTGATGGTTTATCTGTTTATTATGGTTCATCTCCATGGCATTATTATTTATTCCAAGGTTTACCTATACTTTTGTTTTTATATTTACCTTTTGGTTTTCATGGGGCATATCTACATAGAAAAACGATATATTTTTGGCTTATCGTCTTTGTTTTGTTTTGCTATTCGATGATTCAGCATAAAGAAATAAGATTTATATACTTTTTGTCTCCTTTGTTATATATTTTTTCAGCTAAATCGATTTCACATGTTCCAATGTTTATTATAAAGAAAATAGTATTATTAATTTTGATTATTAATGTTATCGTGATATGGTATATTAATCAGGTTCATCAGCGTGGAGTTATAGATGTTATGGGATATATAAGGAATAATTTGGATGTAACTGGGGTTATATTTTTAATGCCATGTCATTCTACTCCATGGCAAAGTTATGTACATAGGCCGGATATACAAATGAGATTTTTAACTTGCGAACCTCTTATAAGGTATTTAACTTAATTTAATATTTTTTCTAAATAATTGGTATAGTTTACATCAAAATAATGTTAGTATAAAATACAGAGATGAAGCTGATCTATTTTATGATAATCCCTATTTGTTTCTTCAAAAGTATTTTGTCTATGAAAATTTTAATTCTACATTACAAAATGGATTTTTTTGGCCTTCTCATTTCGTTTTTTTTGAAAATTTATTAACAATAATTGATAGTCATGTTAGTATATTAGGGTACAAAGAGGTAAGTTTTGACTAATTTAAAAAAATATTTTGGATTTATGTATTGTAAAGTGTGCTAGATTTTTTAATTCTCATTTTATTGATGATTGGAGGCGTAAAGGAGATGTTATAGTATATTGTAAGAAACAAATTTAATATATACTGATTAGAAATGTATCTATAATTATATTTGACGATTTTACAATTATATGTGTTATGATTGGTTTTAATATTATTTGTTATATATTGTTTAGTTAAAATTCAAAATATAATAATAATGTTTATTTAATGTAATCGTATATAAATTGTATAAATTATATAATTGTACGTTAATGGCAATATTTGATTTTTTTTTTTTAAAAAATTTAACTTTTGATATAATTGCTTTAAATTTTAAAAATTTGCTATCGAAATTATATTGAAAATAAAGTAATATATTTTTATATTGTTTTACTTTTTTTCATTATTGGAATAAAAACTAGTTTTATCGATAAAATTTGAAATAAAAATTGTTAATTTCTTTATGCCATAAAATATTTTGAAATAATTAATTTTTTTTTATCTAGATTTATAAGTTTATATATTATAGTTTTATATAGAAAATAAAATAGTAATTTTTAGAAAGTATTATAGCACTTTTTAGATGCTTAAATTATATTTTATTTATAAAAAAATATTTTTATAAATCTATTTTCTTAATACAGTTTAAAAACTGCGACTAAATTTTTTAAAAAATTATTAAAATTTCATGATTTTTTACCCACGGAAACACATTCTTAGATTGAAAAAATTACATCCATTAGTTTTTTCTTTAAAATATATATATACTTTTAATAGAAATAATTTTATTGTACAACTTAGTTATCAACTAAATCGTTATCAACTAAATAGTTATCAACTAAATAGCCTAAGAAAATATAGTATGTCTACAATTCAGGCGGGCAGGAAAGTTCTTCCAACTAATGTTAAGCCAATACATTATTTTGTTTCTTTAAATCCCAATTTAGATGATTTTATTTATGATGGGAGGGTAGAGGTCACATTGCATACTTTAAAGAAGACTGAGAGTATTATTCTTCATTCTGTTGATATTGATATTTTTAATGTACTTCTTGAATATAATGATAAGAGGGATGTATTAACATGATATAAAATAAATGAATATAATATTTTTTTTAGAATTCCTTCTCAGTCTATTACTTATGAAAAAGATGAGCAGACTGCTACTTTTTACTTCACCGAGTCTATTCCCCCTGAAAAAAAAGTCAAGCTTTTTATAAATTTTCGAGGTGAAATTAATAATAAGGTTTGTTTTATAATAATTAGCTAGTTTTTTGATAATAATCATTTTTTAAGATGTGCGGATTTTATCGTTCGTCTTATCAAGACAATAAAACTAGGGAAATTAAATGGCTTGCTTGTACTCAAATGGAAGCTACTGATTGTCGCCGTGCGTTTCCTTGCTGGTATTTTTTTTTTTTGTAATTTTTAATATTTTAATTTTTTATAGGGATGAACCTGCTCTTAAGGCGACTTTTGACATTGAAATTACTGCTGATGTTCGTTATACTATTTTATCAAATATGGATATCCTTAGGGAATCTATTATAGATGATAAAAGGACAGTTTTGTTTAGTCGTACTCCATTAATGTCTACTTATGTTTTATATTGTTTTTTTGATAAAATAATTTATTGACTAATTTAATTAGCTTCTTGCATGGGTAATCGGTGAATTAGACTATATTGAAATGTTTACTTCTGGAATTAATATGCCTAAAATTCCTGTGAGAGTTTACTCTCCATTATCGAATTTGTCACAAGATGGCAGATTTTCTCTGGAACTTGCTGTTAAAACTCTCGATTTTTTTTCAAAAACTTTTGGTATTCCATATTCTTTACCTAAATTGGACATGGTAGCTATTCCTGATTTTTCTGCTGGTGCTATGGAGAATTGGGGAATTGTAACATATCGTGTGGTGGATTTGCTTTTTAATGAAAAAACGGGTAGTGCTGCAACGAAACAAAGGGTAGCCGAAGTTGTACAACATGAACTTGCGCATCAGTGGTTTGGGGATTTAGTTACCATGGATTTTTGGGATGGTGTAAGGATATAATATTGATGTTTTATTTTTTTTACATAATTCAGTTATGGCTTAATGAAGGTTTTGCAACATGGTTTAAATGGTTAATATTTTTTTCTAAGTTCTAATATATAAAGGATGTCGTGGTTTTCTTGTAATACGTTCTATCCTGAATGGAAAGTTTGGCAAACTTATATTACTGTAATTATTTTTTTTTTTTTTTTTTTTTTTGATTTCTTTTAGGGTAGCTTACAGAATGCATTAAGATTTGATGGATTTCGCTCAAGTCATCCTATTCAAGTTCTTGTGAAAAGTGCTGAAGAAATTAATCAAATTTTTGATGGTATAATTTAAAAGAATTAAATAAATTTTTCTTGATAACAAATAGCTATTTCGTATTCGAAAGGGTCATCTGTGATACGTATGTTATCTAAATATCTTGGTGAAGATGTTTTCCTTGCTGGTATTAGGTTTATAAATTAATATAAGTTTTATATTCTAATTAAATATGAATAGACAGTATCTTAAAGATCATTCTTATGGGAATGCCACAACTGATGATTTATGGAAAGCATTAAGTGATGAAAGTGGTAAAGATATTCTTAAATTTATGAAATGTTGGACAGAAAATGTTGGGGTATGTGATTTTCATATAGTCTATTGTTTCTAAAAAAAATCAACAGTATCCTGTTTTAACTGTTTCTGAAAATGATGATACGTTAATAGTACGACAGAACAGGTTTCTTGCATCAGGTGATGTAAGGCCTGAAGATGACACCACTATTTATTGGGTTCCTTTAATGTTTAAAACCATGTCACTAGATGGAAAAATAACTACTGATTCATATTTAATTCTAGATAAAAGAGAATTTCAAATACCTATAAGCAATATAAAGAAAGGTTTTTATAAAATTAATACTGGGCATTCAGGGATTTATAGAACTTTGTATTGCTCAAAACAACTACAAAGATTGGGTTCTATTTCTACAAGTAATCCAGAGTTCTTAACTGTTGAAGATCGAGTCGGTCTTGTTGCTGACACTGGTTCTTTGGCCGAGAGTGGTTATTGTAGAACTAGTGATTTGTTAGCATTGATACTGGGATGGCATAATGAAGATAGTTTTGTGTAAAAGAATATTATCATATTGGTTATTATTAAGATTTCTAGTGTGTGGAATGAGACTATAGTTAGATTAGAAAATTTAGAAGCAGCTTTTATCTTTGAAAGCGAACAAATTAAACATGCCTTAGGATTGTTTAAAAAAGCATTGGTCTCTAATAAAGCTAGAAAACTTGGATGGAATTTTGATGCGAATAGCACTCATATTGAAAGGCAGTTTAAAACATTAATGTTTGGAACAGCTGGTAAAGCTGGTGATGATGAGTATCATATCTTAATCATTTTATTATAATGTTGAATAATTGTTTTTTATAGAATAATTTCTACTGCTAAAGATATGCTGTACCGTTACATGGATGGTGATACAACAGCAATACATTCTGATCTTAGGGCGTATGTTAATTGATATTTACGAATTATATGATTAATAAATTGTTTTAGTCATGTTTTTGGAATTTCTATACAATATGGCTCGGAAAAAGAGGTTTAATTTTTTACATCTACCTATTTCTAGTCTTACTTGCATTAGTGGAATATTGTTTATTCTATATATAAAAATGGTACTTCTAGTGATGAAAGAAATACTGCTTTGAAACAACTTGGTTTAACACGTGTGCCTCATTTAATTTCTCGGACTCTTAATTTGATTATTTCTTCTGAAGTTAAACTTCAAGATATATATATGCCTCTTATTGGGTAAAACATTATTTTTAGTATTAATGTATATTAATGTTTTTTTAGTTTAAAAACTCATTCCGAAGGTATAAAGGCTTTGTGGAAATTTTGTAATGAAAATTGGGATACAATTGATAATTTAGTTCCAAGCACTGTTGGAAGTTTAAAATCAACTGTTGTACAATTAATGGTTTCAGGATTTACATCTATATCTAGTGTACATGAAATTGAATCTTTTTTTAAAGATAAGAAAATTCAGGCGTAAGATTTGTTTGATTTTATCTATTAAGATTAATGAATATATATTATAGGTTTGATAAAGCGCTTTCGCAGTCTTTAGATGCCATTAGAGCTAAAGCATCATGGGTTTCTAGAGATTATGATAATGTAAAAGCTTGGCTTGAAAACAACGGTTATTTGAATACTACATAAAAGTTTAATATTAAATATATAATCTCAGTGTATATTTAATAAATAGTTTTATTCTAGATATAAATATTGAATTTATGCTTTTGTTTAAATTTGTTATTTTTTTAAAATTGTTTATAAATTAATAAAATATAATATAAATATATATTAAGTGACACTCTAATATATAGTATGGTAATGTAAAAATATATAGAATTCTATATAAAATGTTAACTTATAATTGTGCATAATGATTATTTTTAATATTTATATATTTTTTGTTATAAATTAAAAATGATAATAAATTAAAAATATTTATTATTTTAACAAATTTTAAAGATATATATTTTTATGTATTATAACATGTAATAAAAAAATATGAAATTGTCATAATGATTGATTGGATAATAATATATATTTAACTATTTAAAATTTATATTAAATAGTATAATTATAGTAGATATCATTTATTTTATAGGATTATTAATTTAGATAAAAAATATAATATAGATAATATGAGAAAATATGTAATTATCATATATTCTATAATTATCTAAATTTATTTATTTTATTCATATAATTATAAATATAATTTTAAACAAAATATACATATCTAATAATATTAATATATTGTTTTTTCAAACTTTATTTATTTAAACAATAAAAAATAAATGAAATAGTAATTCTTGTTAATTAAATCAATATTATGAATTTAAATATTATATAAAAATATAATTATTACATCACGTTTATAATTAAATATACAAATAATAGTTAGAATATTTATTTATTTATTTTATATGTTTTAATAATATAAATGTTATCAGAAAAATTAAATTACTATATAATAAATATGGTTTTACATATTATAATATTTCGTAATTTATAAAAAACATTATCAAGTTATTTATAATATATACAATATTTTTACGTTATAAATCTACATTAAATGATTATAATTTTTTATAAAAATTATAGAAATTATTTCATATAACTACTATTTTTTAAATTATAATTTTATTTCATTTGCATAAAACGAATAAAATAATATATTTAATAAAATATCTATGTTCATTATTTATACCTTTTTTATTTTTATTAATTAATAACATTTCAGATATTAATATTTAATAATAATATAATTTAATAATAATATAAATAATAATTATTTAATAGCATAATTGTTTTCAAACCTATAATCAATATTAATACCCAATTGCCGTATCCATGTTACGGCATCTAAAGAAACATTATAACACCCATTTAATCCTATATGAACAATTGAAGACAAATGTGTTTTTACTAATTCAATAATACTAGAACCCGAAATATGTAAACAATTGGATAAATCAATATATTTCAATGCTTTTAATTCTCTAGTAATAATTGCTAAAAGTGAATCATCAAGCCACGAATTACCACTCAATGATAACTTATCGATAAATCTAGATGACGATACAACATTAATTATACAATGTCTATCAATCAATGGACAGTAATCCAAAAATAATTCTTTTAAACTAGAACCAGAATAACCTATTAATGTGATTACCGTATCAGAATACAATCTAGGAGAATATGACAAATTTAAAGACTTAAGACATTCAAAATTCAAAGGAGAAGAAAGTGATAAATCTGTTTCAAGTAAATATGAAAGATTTAAATTAAGTAAACATTTAGGCATTAAAGGTATACGAGAAAGCCTAGATCCAGATAGATCCAAAACATTCAATTTATCCAAATGAGAAAACCCATATGAATCTAGTACCAAAATTTCTATCCAATTATTAAGAAAAATTTGTGTAACCTTTGGAATTATTTTTAACATATCATTGATATCAAAAACACGAAGATTATTATTGCAAAAAGAAATATCAACTCGAATTAATTTTATTATTTTAATGCATGTTATTTTTTGACCCCAACGTGGAATAGAATTAACTAAAAGTTTCCTCGCTTCAATTTTTTGAAGACTATCTGGAGCATTAGAGATTACCTGTGCAATAAAAGAAAGCTCAATTTCACAAATAAATACTAATGATAAAAGCGACGAAAATGCTGTAAAAGAACATAAAAACAAATTAGTATCAAAACCTTTAGTTAAAGTCAAATGTGTTAGTTTTTCACAGAATTTAGACATATATGAAATCACTGAATTATTAATAATGCATTTATGATTTAATACTATTTTATGAACAAGATTATGACTCCTTTTAATATTCATTAAAATTATTTTTGATGAAACTGTCTTTTTTGCGAATGAAAAATCTAAATCATAAAATAAATAATCCAAAGATAGAATCATTTGTCTCCATTTTTTTGAAACTCCTAAACATAAACTAATAGTTTTAAAGGATAAATAATAAAATATTTTTAGAATAATTTCCACTGGAAATTTTCGAAAAATATCAATCTGCAGAACCAATGACTTCATTATTAGTCATTATCATACTTTTCCTAAATATTTACCTTATTTTTTTTAATATTTTTCAATGTAGAAAGAAACAGTCTCTGTAATAACTTTCAAAAATGAATAAGTATACTAAAATGAAGTAATAATTACTTTTTTTTTTTTAAAATCATGAGACAAACGCTTCATTCCAAGTTTATATATATATATAGCTTTAATATGTTTATTCATCAATCGCAATATTTTTCCTGCACGCAAGTATCCCTTTAAAACATAAGTAATTATCAAAAAAATAATATTTTTATCATCTACATCTACATTATAAGGATATGAGCGAATCATCATACAAGAATCTTTCAGAGCAGATTCGTATTTTTCTATTTCCTCTAAAACAGGAGCTCTATTATCATGTAAAGTCATTGTTTTATCCCTCCGTAATTTTGTATAAAATTAATATAACACAATTAAATAAAAACGTTTAACTTGAATATATAACTTCAAAGTCTCATAATTTATTCTAACTTCATATATAATTTTATCAATTGAATAGAGATAACATTGATCGTTAGGAAATTTATAAATTACAAAAAAATTATATATATAATTGAAAAATATAATTAATATAGCTTTAAAGATTTTTACAAAAAACACACCAGATATTTATGATTTAATTACATTACGGATTACTAACCTAATTTAATTTATTTTTTTATTCAAAATAACATCAACATTTAAATTTTTTCAACTAATTTTTATATATTATCAGGCTCACTTAAAACAGAATCATCAGCCCATTCTAATATAAGATGTCGTCCTAATAAATGAGTATTTTTCAAAATATTAAAAGCATTTTTCGCATCTCTAGACGTAACATATTCCACAAACGCAAAACCACGAATAGAATTATCAATCTTTTTAGGAACCCGAACAGACTTTAAATGCCCATAAGATCTGCAATGTTAATAAAATATTAAAAAAATCCAAAACATACCCAAATAATTGTCGTATATCTTTTTTAGTAGTTTCAAATGGCAAATTTTTAATTACAATTTTGCATTTATTCTGGCATATCTTATCTTTTATAGAAAAATCATTATTTTTTTCAGATTCTTTAATCTGAAGAACATGTCCATCAAGTACATAGCCTTTCATAACCTGCATGGCCAATAAAGCATGATAACGAGATTTAAATTCAGCAAAACCAAAACCCATACTCAATTTATTACCAGGTCTTTTTGGATCAGTCTTTGTTTTAATAACAGCATTAACAAAACCATCCAACGGTCTAAATGCGTTATTTAAACTATCTAAAGTAGTAGAAAAATTAAGATTTTTTATAAAAAGAACAGTTCTTTCATAATCATTTGCATCATCTTTCTCAATATCAATATCGATATCATAAATTGCTTTTGAATTTTGAAATTTTGCTGTCTGCAAATCTATGGTAGAATCAAATTTTTCTTTAAATATGTTTAATGGAGCTTTTTCAAGATACAAAATAGAATCCTTAAATTTTCTATAAGATAAGTACTTAAAAGCATCACTTGCACCCTTAGTTTCTAAAAATTCAACAATAGCAATAGTTCCAGAGGGAGGCAACAAAATACGACCAAGAGTACCATATTTTCCAAACAATTTAGATAATTCATCTAAAGTTGTACCATATGGAAAATTTTTTACCAATAATACATGTTCATCAAGTTCAAAACCAGAAAAAGATTCTAAATTAACGCCCGATTTTTCAAAATATTTTCTTGTTTCTTGAATAACATATGTTTCAGCTAAAGCTTGTCTAACAGAAGAATTTGAAGAAGTTGGATCTAAAATATCTGTCTTATGAAGTCCAAGCTTATCTGCAACAGAAGATATAACAGCATCAGGCTAATCATATAAGAATGAATCCAAATAAATCATAAATAAAAATAAATTACATTCATATAAAGCGAATTCCATGAAAACCGTTTATTGAGTGCATCTATTTTCCGCTTTTTAGCTCTCTCATTTTTAAAATTTGTTCCATTATAACTTTCAGATCTATTAAATACACGTTTAGCTCGTGCAGGAAGAATATGTATAAGACGACCGTATAAAGCACGTCTATCCATGAGCTCATATGCTTTTAATGCACAAGAAGGATTTTCAAAAAGAATATAAGCAAACCCTTTTGTCACATTCAAAACAGAATCATAAGGAACATGAACCTAATCTTAGCATTAGCTAAACCTTTTAAAAATATGCAAAAAATTAATTCAAAAAAAAATCAGATATAAATACGATCCCTTTAATATTCAACATATAATAACTTATTATTATGTTGTCCCTATCATATTTTTTTCATCATAAACAAATATAATATTTTATTTTAAAATTTTAAAACTTACATCTATAAGTTTTCCAAAATTTTCAAATACAATTCTCAGCTCAGACTCGGAAATATTATATGGCAAATTTCTAACAAAAAGTCTTCCAGATAAAAGAACCTGTTCTTTTAGAGAAAGCATATTATCATTATTCAATTCAGAAACATTTTTTTCATAGCAAAATGAATCTTGATTACACAATTCTTTATCAGAATTACAGTCATCAGACTTCTCATCGTCCAACTCTTTTATCTGTTTTAATTTAGATTTTACCCAATCGTCATCAGTTATAGTTTTAACATGAGATATATCGAATAGTTTTTCAAAATTATGTAAATTAGAACATTCATGCCTCTGTTCTTTGCAATGCAGAAAATTATTAGAAGAATGTATATTATCGTCTTTTGTATCAGAAACAGAGTGCGAATATAATGAATTATTATTAACATCAATTGAATCATCTAAACGATCAAGTTTATTCCTATAAAAAATATTATTTTTTCTAAAAAATCCACCAGAAGAATCTATTTGAACATCTTCTAAAGATAGACTTGGTTTTTTATCATCACGTTTTTGTTCCATTAATTCATTAGATACTAATTTATTATTTTCACTATGGATACAATCTTTAAAAGAAAATTTGTCACTTTTAGATATATTCTTCAACCCAAGATCCACAAAATCAACCTAAAAATATATAAAATCAAACATTAATATATACAAATATATAATATTACTTCTCTTGCATATTCAACACTAATTCTAGATGTATCAATAAAAGTATTATGATAATATTTAATAGAATTTAATGCATCCTCTTCATTTTTATAACCTATAAATCCAAAACCTCTAAATTTTCCATTTTTTGAACGTACAAGTCTAATATCAGTAATATGTTTTCCGCAGTAAGTTGAAAAATGATCCTTGAATCTATCTTCATTTAAATATTTAGGCAAATTCTTAACAATAATCCTTGACATTCTTCAACGTACTCTATTTAGTAGAAAAGAACTATTCACATACAAATGAATATTTTTTTCCAACATTTTAAAATACCGAAAATTACATACACTTAAAATACACGAATAAATCCATTTATTCCTTAACAAAAATGACAGACATTAATGATGATTCTGCAAAGGATCCAGCTGAATGTATATCTATTTCAAGAAATAAAGGTAATATTTAAACAACCTAAATCGTTTTTAACTTAATTTTCAGTTGTTATAAAATCAGTTGATATGGTAATTAAATAAAACATTATAAAATTCTAACCATTGATTCCCAGAACGAAGATATGAAGATAGATGCAATTGACTGTGGTATGTATTTTTTTTCTAAATATTCATATCTTATTTTAAATAGCAATCTTCGCTATAAAAAAATTTAATGTCGAAAAAGTAACATATATCTCTCAAAAAAAGCAATATATCTCACTAAATTTAGGATATAGCGGCATATATGAAAAATGAGGTTATGATAGGTATTTTTAATTTGGAAATGATTTTAATTTTTAAAAGTTCGATAAAAAATTTGGAACAACATGGCACTGTATTGTAGGAAGAAACTTTGGAAGTTATGTCACACATGGTAATCTCTTTAAACATTACATAGTTGTATTTATTGTTAATAGAAACAAAACATTTCATATATTTCTATTTAGGACAAATTGCTTTCCTTCTTTTTAAGTTTATTATTCTTATATGTTATATTTTCTAATTATAAATTTAGATCCGGTTAATCATAAAATGATGCAGATAAATGTTATTTTTCATAGATTTGTATATTATTTTGTTCCTTTTAGAATAAAATATTTTTGAATTGTAAAAAAAATAACTCACGATAAATTAACGGTTAAATTTATATTTTATAAGAAATTATTTAGAAAATATATAGTCAATTTTGAACATTTAAAATCCTAATAAAATACCGACATCATCATTTCATATTACATACTAACCTTTTAACATCAGCAAAAATATATCTTTTATCGATTATTTAACCATTTATTATATCTTCATCAAATGACCATAAAATATAATTCAGAAGAGCCTTATTCATATAACTTTGTATCAGAAGAGATAACTCAGGAAGATCAATGGACAGTAATATCGTCTTTTTTTGACGAAAAAGGACTTGTGTCAACTCAAATAGATTCTTTTGACGAGTTTGTTCAGAATACTATGCAAGAACTTGTCGACGAAGATGCTACTCTTACATTAGATCAACATGCACAACATACGGGGATTGAAGAAGATGTAACTCGTAGATATGAAATTAATTTTGGGCAAATATTTCTTTCAAAACCAAGCATGACTGAAGCAGATGGATCTACTCAGCTGATGTTTCCTCAAGAAGCAAGACTGCGAAACCTTACGTAAAATATTTATTAAAAAAATATTTTTATTTACAACTAAAATAGATATTCATCTCCATTATATGTTGATATAAAAAAAAAAGTTATGATAGCAACAGATCCGAATGTACCATTTGGTTCTGATAAAGAATGGATAATAGAAGAAGACGAGCAACCATCAAAAGTATTTATAGGAAAAATACCAATAATGTTAAGATCAACATTCTGCATTTTAAATGGACTACCAGAATCCGAGCTTTATGAATTAAACGAATGCCCATATGATCAGGTATTTGAACATAGTATTTATAATAAATAATTCTAATATTTATGCTTATTCAGGGTGGATATTTTATTATAAATGGTTCAGAAAAAGTTATTATTGCTCAAGAACGAAGTGCAGCAAATACAGTACAAGTTTTTAAAAAACCAGCACCATCTGCTGTCAGTTATGTGGCTGAAATACGTAGTGCAATTGAAAAAAGTTCAAAACTTATGAGTAATTTTCAAATAAAACTTATGTCAAAAAGTATAGAAAAAGGAGTATGCTTTTAAAAATGCAATTCTATAAATTCCATTAATTTTACATAGGCAGGACAGACTATTAGAGCATGTCTTCCTTACATTAGAAATGATATACCAATTGTAATTGTATTTCGTGCATTAGGAGTAGTACCAGATAGAGACATTATGGAACATATTTGCTATGATCCAAATGATCATCAAATGTTAGAAATGTTAAAGCCATGTATAGAAGAAGCATTTGTTATTCAAGAAAGAGAAGTAGCTTTGGATTTTATTGGAAAAAGAGGGAGTGCAGTTGGAATAAATCGCGAGAAACGTCTTCGTTATGCTCAGGATATTTTACAAAAAGAATTATTACCACATATAACTACTACAGAAGGTTATGAAACGAGAAAAGCTTTTTTTTTAGGATATATGATTCACCGTCTTTTATTATGTGCTCTTGAACGTCGGGATCCTGACGATAGGGATCATTTTGGAAAAAAAAGACTTGATCTTGCTGGTCCGCTTTTGGCAAATCTTTTTAGAATGCTTTTTAAAAAATTAACAAAAGATGTATATAAATACATGCAAAAATGCGTTGAAACAAATAGAGAATTTAACCTAACTCTTGCTGTAAAATCAAATACAATAACACATGGACTAAGATATTCATTAGCGACAGGCAATTGGGGTGATCAAAAAAAAATTATGTCAGCAAGAGTTGGTGTTTCTCAGGTTCTAAATAGATATACATTTGCGTCAACGTTATCTCATCTACGCCGCACAAATACACCAATTGGTAGAGATGGCAAGGTTGCAAAACCTCGTCAACTTCATAATACGCATTGGGGATTAGTTTGTCCAGCAGAAACACCAGAAGGACAAGCATGCGGTCTAGTAAAGAATCTATCGCTTATGTCATATGTATCAGTGGGTAGTGCTTCAGCTCCTATTATTGAATTTTTAGAAGAATGGGGAATGGAAAATCTTGAAGACTACAATCCTAGCGCAACCCCAAATACTACAAAAGTATTTGTTAATGGTGTTTGGCTTGGAGTTCATCGTGATCCCTACCATCTAGTTGAAACTATAAAAAGTCTTAGGCGAAAACTTGATATTAGCGTAGAAGTGAGTGTAGTAAGAGATATACGAGAGAAAGAATTACGTATATTTACAGATGCTGGAAGAGTATGTCGACCTCTTTTCATTGTTGACAATAATCCAGAAAGTAATTCTAGAGGTCAATTAATGTTAAAAAAAGAGCATGTACAAAAAATTATAGATAATAAAAATCGAACAGAGCTTGACAATGAATCAAAATTTGGATGGAGTAGTCTTGTTGCTAATGGTATCGTAGAATATATCGATGCAGAAGAAGAAGAAACCGTTATGATTGCTATGACCCCAGAAGATTTAGAAGCAACACGTCAAATACAAGCAGGATACAAAATTGCAGATGAAATTGATCCCGCACGTCGTGTAAAGCCTTTAGTTAGCCCTAATACATATCTATGGACACATTGTGAAATTCATCCAAGTATGATTCTTGGAATATGTGCGAGTATAATTCCATTTCCAGATCATAATCAGGTTCTATTACTCTTTGTTTCAATGATATGCATTAATTTTTCTAGTCTCCGCGTAACACTTATCAGTCTGCTATGGGAAAACAGGCTATAGGTGTGTTTCTTACTAATTATCAAGTAAGGATGGATACAATGGCAAATATTTTATACTATCCACAGAAACCTCTTGCTACAACGAGATCAATGGAATATCTTCGATTTAGAGAACTTCCTGCAGGCCAAAATGCAATCGTTGCAATTTTATGTTATAGTGGCTATAATCAAGAAGATTCAGTCATTATGAATCAAAGTAGCATTGATAGAGGATTATTTAGAAGTATATTTTATCGAAGTTATATGGATCAAGAAAAAAAAATAGGAATGCAAATTATGGAAGAATTCGAAAAACCAATGCGTAATAACTGCTTAAAATTAAAACACGGTACATATGATAAAATTGAAGACGACGGATTAATAGCACCTGGTACTAGAGTTTCAGGAGATGACATTATAATAGGAAAAACAGCACCTATTCCTCCAAATGCTGAGGAATTAGGTCAAAGGACCAAATTTCATACCAAACGTGATGTTTCTACACCTCTTCGAAGTACAGAAAGTGGAATTATTGATCAAGTGATGGTATCTACTAATGCAGAAGGCCTCAAATTTGTAAAAGTTCGTATGAGATCAACAAGAATTCCTCAAATAGGAGATAAATTTGCATCAAGGCATGGACAAAAGGTTTTTTTTTTATTTTTTATTCTTCATTTATTTAGAATTTTAGGGCACAATAGGTATTACATATCGTCATGAAGATATGCCTTTTACATCAGAAGGAATTGTTCCCGATATTAGTATATTTAAATCCCAATTATATTTATAGTACTAATTCTTTAGTTATAAATCCACATGCTATTCCTAGTCGAATGACAGTGGCACATTTAATAGAATGTTTGTTAAGTAAAGTTTCTGCTCTAAGCGGCTACGAAGGAGATGCAACTCCATTTACGTATGTAATAAGAAATTCATTCATACACTGAATTTTCAAGTGATGTTACAGTTGAAGCTATTTCTAAAATGTTACGTCAACATGGATATCAATCTAGAGGTTTTGAAGTGATGTATAATGGTCATACTGGTCGAAAACTAGTAGCCCAAGTTTTCTTAGGCCGTAAGTTTTTTTAATATTTTTAAACAATTTCTAAAAAATTAGCTACCTATTACCAGAGATTAAAACATATGGTAATTTAAAATATTGAAAAAAAGAGGATAAATGTTTTTAATTTTATAGGTTGATGATAAAATACATGCTAGGGCTAGAGGTCCAGTACAAATTTTAACACGCCAACCGGTAGGAGGAAGATCAAGAGATGGAGGATTACGTTTTGGAGAAATGGAGAGAGTATGTTTTTTATATAGATTATAAACATTTAACATTAATCAGGATTGGTAAAAAATATATTATAAAATAAAAAATTTTGATTTCTTTCAGTATGATAAGTCATGGTGCCTCATCATTTTTAAAAGAAAGGTAATTATTTTTTAATTTAAAAAATCAAAATTTAACAAATTAGACTTTTTGACGCAAGGCATCATAAACATAACGTTATTTAATACTGAATTAATTAATAATAGTGATGCATATCGACTTCACATTTGCGATATTTGTGGTCTTACTGCTATAGCAAATTTGAAAAAAAATCAATTTGAATGTCGCATATGTCATAATAAAACCAATATATCACAAGTATAACTTTTATATTACTAAAATAAGATATTTACTCGTAGTTTAGATACATTTGCCATATTCAGCAAAACTTCTGTATATTTATTTTTTCTTCTTCTTCTACTAATGTTTATTCTAGATTTCAAGAATTAATGTCAATGAACATTGCTCCAAGATTATATACTAATCGAAGCTAAAATCATATATTTAACAAAAAGATATTAACATTAAATCGAAATTATATATATACTTTTTAAATATGCATTAATTTATATTATAGTTTTTATTATATAAATGTAATCTACATATTATCTATATAAATGGTATAGAAATAACCTTAATAACTTAAAATATTTTTAACATGATTTTATTAATTTAGCACTGTTTTTTATTACGTTCTTAAACCTTAAATTGTAACAAAAATCATAAATAAAAATTTAAATATTCAAAATACATAATAATTTCTATTCATTATAACTGTCAAAATACTTTAGGTCGATAAAAATATCTAAAATATTATACAAAAACTATCAAATAAAGATCTAATATACTTTTAATATAATATTCTAAAAATAAGTTAAAATTTTGCTAAATTCTATTATTCGTTAAAAATACAAAAAACATCAATACTATAAAATTATATGAAATAATATATTAGCATATGAATATTTCAGAAGATCTACCATCTGGAATACTTTATATTAATAATGCACTTGCTTCTCGAGGCTTATTACCAGATGAAAATCAGCGAATTTTACATTTTAATTCTTCAGATTCACATGAGGTAATCAAAATAATTTATAGTCTCTTAAATAAAGGAGATAAAGATATAGCTATACATGAAGGTAGGTGTTTTTTATTCATAATTATATGCTAATTCCTTTAAGATTCTCTTAAAAAATTAAAAGAAATTCAAGCTCAAAATGAAAAATACTCTTATCAATTGGTAAAAAACTAATCTGATTTTTTTTATAAAAAAATTTATTATTCAGAATAACACAAAATCAAAGCTAGAAGAAGCAGAAAGAGAAATAAATTCATTAAAAAAGAAACTCAAGTATTTATAATATTATTAATAAAATTACTAAGAAAAAATAGTTATTTAAATAAAGAACTTTCTGCAGCACTAATCGAGAAAAAGTCAACAAAAGACTATATATCCAAAATAAAGAGTTCTATTGTATATATGAAATCGCAATACGCAGTATGTTTAAAATAATTCCAATATAATTTGACCTTCTTCAGAACGATCTTCGAAAAAGAGATCAGCAATTACTAAGGTTAAAAGAATATCTTCTAGGTTCTGAATTATCAAAAAGAAATAAAAACTTATCAACGATGCAAATACAAAAAAATCCAACACTACATAAAGGCCCAATATGTACACCATCTTTAGTTATAGAAGATACAACTGTGACAGAAAAATTATCTGAAGAAGCATTTTCTAATCTTCTTCTTTTCTCTCAAAAAGTCTCAAACGTTAATATACAACTCAATAATATTATTTTTCAGGTATTATCTGATCTTGATTATCTTATTGGAACAAAAGAAGAATCAGAACCATTATTTTCATCTTCTAGTTCCCCTACAATTTTAGAAGCTCAACTACAAATCAGACTTAAATTATTATCTGATATTGTATTCCGATCAAATAATGCTCCTCTAGTGAAAACAGAAGCAAAAGATCAAGAAATATATTTTCTAAAACAAGAAATACAAAAACTTAACAGTAACTGGGAAGAAACAAAAGAGTTTTTAGGAAATTTCCAAAAATCTTTATTTGGAAATAAAGATAATTATGTTAAAGAATGGGAAGATCAAATAGACAAAAATATTTCCAATGAAAACATTTCTCCTATATTACAGGAACAGGAAAGAGGATTAATAAATAACTATAAACTATTATCACTAGAAGAAGACAAAATGGAACCTTTCTTTAATAATTCAAAAAATGCTATTAATACCAATATCTTATCTTTTCAAAGGGAAAACGCCTTACAGCAAGAACTTGAGGAAGTTCTTGGCCTACTTCCAAAAACACCTATGCAGAAATAAATAATTTACAAATATAAAGCAAAAAATAGAATTTTAGTATATATAATCCTTTTTTTAATAATATTTCAAGATTAAAAATTCTAACTTTTTATGTTAATGTAAAATTACAATTAACTTAAATATTTCAAATAGATTATAATATAAAAATTTTATTTTTTTTTAATAATATATACATTTAGAAAAAGTAAATTTAAACATATAATAAAATTAAAATCAGTATTTAAGCGACCACGATGGGACTCGAACCCATAACCTCCGGATAACTACTAAAAGAGTCAATGCCCTACCGGACTCCGATACGCTAAACCATTGCGCCACGCGGCCGTTTCAGGCAACTGCTTCTTATATAATAATAAAAGAATATCAATTTCTAGGAATAGAAAATGTTTAAGATTATTAATTCTATAGAAAAACATATTCCCATCTCAATTAATTTACAAAAATCGAAAAACTTCAAATAATGTATTTGCTATAAATTTAATTAACTAAAGATTTTATAACTTAACAATTTTAGTAATAATAGTATAATATAAATAACAGTATAAAACTTTACATCTTATATTCTAATACCATTAATCTATTACAACTAAATACCTAATATATCCTGACGAATATTGACAAAACTAGATTCACTAGATCCCTTTTTCCCAAGTTCACTTATTACTACAGAAGTGTATTGAACTAATCTTTCCAAAGGCGATATAGGAGATTTCCCAAGAAAGACTATCTATTAGAATTGTGAAATATTCAGAAAACTTTTACCTAAAATAGCTTTATTTAATTCTTCAGCAACTACTTGTCGAGCGTTTTCATCTAACAAATAAGATACAGCACTATTTTTTGGATTTGAATAAGCAAGAAGACTAAATGTATCTTCTAAGGTTTTCCGAATATCGCTTCTATTATCATCTCGATAATCTTTTTGAAGCTGTTGTCCATATTCAAGTATTTTCGAAAGTAAAAACCTAGTATTTTTCTTTTTTAAATTTCGAGGCTCAATAGATGAGTTTTCTAGCGAATCGAAACAACTCACATTATCATTGTCATAAACTCCCGTAATATCTGTCATTATTTCATCATCATTTTCATTTCCAGACTCTGAACATTGCCGCATCATCTCGATAAATTTATGACATTTCAATTTAAAATAAACAGATTCATTAGTCTCTAAAAGTCCAGGATAAAAAATATTTGTCAATTTTAATGCAAGATCTATATCACCATTTAAAATAGCAACTCTAATATCTTAAAAATGTAAATTAACGTAACAATAATATAAATAACCTAACGTTGACGATTAACAGAATCTATATCATCAATATCTATAGATTCTAATATATAATCTTTATCCATACTCGCAAATATCTTTTCCCTATTTTCAACATCCTGAATAAAAGTTTTTGCAGATTCCATATATCCGTTATGAGAGAGATAGGATGCCACAAGATTATTTACAATAGTAGAAATACTGGATTCACTGTATTCTTTATCTTCAGAAGATGGCCAAGAATTAATACTCTCAAAAGCTTTTGATTTTTCCATCTAATATATATAAACGAATCATAGAAACAAAAATGGTATTTTTTACCCTCATATATTGTTCAATATCAAAGACAAATGGCTTTTTTCCAAAATTTGCTCGAATATGCTCGCCTAAAGTTCTCAAGCCAACTGAAGGATAAAGCGTACCTTTAAGATCACGAAATGCTACTCCTAAGATTTATTAGATACAACTATATATGAAAAACATGCATACCAAGATGAACACCATTTTTTGTATAAAACCCAATTCCAGAAGAAAAATTAATGCCACACCCTATAATATCTCCTTTAGTAAATTTCGGTCCATATTCTTTGCCAATTCCTTGACAACAAAAAGAATGACCATCATCACCATGATATCCCCATGAATCTGATTCCCATCCAGGTAATCTATTTAGAGGTACAGTAGATTTACAAAACCCAATCCCAATAAGTCTTAAAAATTATTAAACAAAAAAAAGCTAAAAAATATTCTCTAACCCTTCATAGCCCTTAGAAAGAATTTCAATTTCATAATAATAAAGACCGCATCGTGTTGGAATAGGATTATTTGCTCTTACAGAAGCAGCATCCTGCTCTACGCCCTTAGCAGGTCCTATTATAATTTAAGAAAAAAAATCCTAAGACAATACACTTACCTACGAACTTAACTTCTAAACCATTGCCAGCCAAAGACAAAAGATTGCATTTATCATCCTCATTCCATGAAGATGGAAGTTCAGAAAAATCGGAACCAATGCCTAGAAATATATTACCAAAAAATTCAAATAACCCACTTTTATAACCAAAATTTCTACCATGACGTGAAAAAGATATATATCGCGTTTCATATTGCTCAGCAAAAGCAGTTCCTCGTAAATATTCTGGAATAAAAGGTTCCTCAATTTCCGATTGAGATATATGTAAAACATTAACAGACGTCATTCGAATTTCTAATAAAACTTTAAAAACCAATTAATATACAGATTGAAATTATCATCCTAAATATACCATATGCACAATATTATTCGGAAAATAACGCTTGAAATTCTTTTAAGAAAAATAAACTAACAAACTTGCGACACTAATTTTTCGATTCTAACCGTTAAAAACTTTAACTTCAAATAGAATAATAATATATAAAATTACTAAAAGTTAAATATCTAATGGAAACAAAAATAACATCACCATCTCTATCGTCAGTTCTATATTCAGAAGATATTCTATTACCAGCACAAGAAGCTATAACGAATAATGTTCAAGCAGAACACTATACTTCCCAAACCCCTATTAAATCAAACAATTCTAGATACCAATCTCGCATTGTGAAACTCAAAGTCAATGTTTCTCGCCTAGCATTGCAATCAGAGCCAGTAGGAACACCAATGTCTTCTCCTCTACCTATATCATCATCAGTACTTGCTAGTTCACCTGTTTCAAATATAATAAATAATGGAAATATAATAAAAAAAACAGGGGAAAAAGCTCGTCTTTCCAATAATACAGGTCCTAAAACTATTCGAAGAAGAAAAACAGAAGCAGCAACAGTTATAGTAATAAAGTAAATATAATATAAAAAACAACAATTACCTAATTAATTTTTAGCGTTGAAGACGCATCCCAGAAACAAGGACAGCAAAATATAGTTATTAATGGACAAAAAACTGGGTCAACACCATTATCGCACTCTAGATTAGGACCTAAAGCCAATACTGGCGCAATAAATGCTGGATTAAGAGCATTAGATCGCACCGGAAAGCCATGTAAAAGATGGTATAAGAGGAAAATAACTATAGATTGCATAAACGGAATACAGTGGGAAACTAATGGATGGAAAGATACGTCAGCACCATAAAATATCAATTTAAGGGAAATAATAGTTTAAATTTATGTAATATAACAAAAATTACAGCATTTTTAAATTAATTTGATGCTCTTGTGCTGATCTTTACACAATACTATCCAATAAAGCAATAATGGATTGCATATTAAAGAAACAAAAAAACAATGTCATTTAAACTTTTTACTTCAGGCCTATTAATAGCCATAATATTTCATCTAATATATTTTCTGACATAAGCATTAAGCATCAAGCGTTTATTTGTTCTAATTACTCTTAAAAAGAGCAAAAAAAACATGCATCAATCATCTATTTCTCTATATCTTTGCATCAATAGCCGTTTATATTCCACAGGATCCTTAGCCCAAAGCTCTGCAGCCTGCGCGTTCAACGGTGATCTATAATATATACTTAGTTTATTCTAATATGATAACTTAATATTTACGCATTATTTGGTTCACCCAAAAGACTTTGTAAACTTAAAAGAATGGTCTGGACATTATAAACAGCTGACCATTTGTCCTAAACGCATCATGGTAAATATTCAAATAAATCTTTAAAAACTTACTTTAAGAATATCTAAACAAATATTACCGCTCATGTCTACATTCGGATGCCACATTGGTGATGTAAATGTAATAGTGGGCGCACTATATGGATAATTTGGAGGAAAGTTCATAGAGATCTTGAATGTTAAAGACTCATAATACTGTTTCATAGATAAGTCATATCAGGTAATTTTATTTTTAAAACGTACCGTCCCTATTGGCCCAACAATTGTACCCGCCCAATGCAAGAGATTTGAATCCGAGTCAGGAAAGGCAGAAATACCAGGAATATCTGACATCTAAAGATAACATCAATTTCAATATACCGATAATATATATATTTCTCTAAAATGTAAACTATTGATATTACACTTACCATTAACGCCATTAATTCATTTTGAAGTCTATTAAAGCAAAGATTAATAACCTATATTAGATAATATAAAACAATATCTACCGTTTTGTTACACTATGCCCATCAGGAACAACTCCTGATGATCTATCAAATTTTATAGAAGAATTATCATGGTCTACAGGTACTGTGTTCTGGGCATCCATAACCCTTTCTATAATTAACATAGTGCTTAATACATTTTCCTCTAACTTTTTTACCTCTTTAAATTTTTTATTCCAATACAAGATTTCTAAAAAAGAAATCTTTTTTTAAATCCTTTATCCTAACTCACTTTTTTCACGATTTTCCTCTTCTATCTCTGATATTCAGTTAATCTTACTTTTATTCAGTTAGAATTCTAATTTCTGTTGCTCAAATTACTAATGTTTTGATAATTTCAAAAAAAGCATTTTAACATGCATTTACAACGTTACGTTGCAAAGGGAGGTTAGCAACAGCCGGAAATGGTATAAAAAATATAGATAAACCCTAAACTAATAAAATTATGCATATTAAGCATTATTCATAAACATATGTTAACATTAAAAAAAAATCAAAATATTAACTTTATGTTAAAAAAATAAAAACAAACTATTTGAAAGAAATAATATTAAAAAATGCAAAAAAAATAATTATTTTAAAAATAGCCTAAAACGATAAACAGACGCTAGTTTATAGCTCTAAAAATAGGTTAACATAAAACTAAAAATAAATATTATATAAATAAATATCACGTAAAAAAAAACTTTTGATAATAGAAAAAATATTACTGAATGAAAAACTTTTGGGAGGGCTACCATTTCATCAGAGGCAAATTGTTGACACAAGAGCATTTTCTATGTATATTAGTTTATCTTTTTATAATATACTATTTGCATGAATTTAAAATTAGATTTTGTTAAGATTTTATTTCTGAAGATGTTTTTGTTAAATTTATACATAAAAATTTAACCACTATAAATGCAATTACAAAAAACAAGTTGCATGTGAAGTTTCCCTTCATAGATTTTGTACTTACCATCAAAATGTTCTTCGATTTATTGCATCTAATGAAAATTCTAACTGGAAAGGAATTACCTTAGAATATACTCATGGAAGAAGCCTTTTTGATAAAATTAATTATATATAACTAAAATCCTTCTAAAAAATCATGCTAATATAATATATTATAAAGTCAAATTTATTATAGACCTCAACTGCACATTATTTTTTTACTCAATTTTAAATGTAGTAAATATAATTATAAAATATACATATTTTTATATAGTTTATATATTATAGAGACAATTGCGCCCAAAAGCTGTTGCCCATAGAGGTATATATACTTTTTCTTTATTTTTAAAATAACATATTTACAAGATATTAAACCAAAAAATATATTACATGATAGAAATAAGAATCTTAAAATATTGAATTTCGGTTTCATATCATTATTCAAATATAATAATCAAACAAGAAAGTTATCTAGTGAATGTGGAAGTCTATCGTATATTGCACCTGGAATTCTGCTTCTTAATGAAAAAATACTAGTAAATTGCAAATCATTGAAGAATATGACATAAAAGTGGTAGATACTTAGTTCTAAAAAGTTCTATATACATTATTTTTTGGAAATACTCTATGATCTGAGCTGACTAATTTTGATTCCAATTTTTGTCTATTTCAAAAACATAAAAGTAAATTATATCTTTGTGAACCATGGAATCAAATTAATTCATCTATGCTATGTATAAAAATTTTAAAGAAGTAAAAACTATTGATATTTTAAGCACCTCTTTTTGGTCTATTAATAATTAATACATCCGAACGTGACTTTTCAAAAAGTATCAAATTACCTTGGGGAAATAGGAAAAACTACTTTCTTTGAAAAATGGACTCTGCTATAATCCCTTAATACTTGGAAATAGACTTATGAAAAAATTGCAAGTTAAAGGTAGCTAACAAAAACTTTATTTAGAAACAATGTATAATATTTTTTTTATGCGTGTATTTGTGTAATTATAATAGTCTAGAAAATAACAATTGCCCACCTTTAATACCTAATCAGACAAAAATTGAGTTTAGTTTAAACGTTCCTATCTTTTCATCTTAGACTATTGAATTATCATGCCTGCTTATATCAGATGATCCTTGAGATCTCATTTCTAAAGATCCATCATTAAGTCAGCTTTTTCCATCAATGCAGTTTTTAGAATCTTTATTTTTTTTTTTAAAGCAATTTTTTATTAAATAATTATAAACTTAACGTACACAACGTTTTCATAATATTTATCCACCTGAATATCTTTTTATATTCTATTGGATAAGATTCAGAACTATTCTTCCTTTTATGTTCAAAAATATATTGGAAAAACATTCTATTTATAATTTTTGATATATTGTCTATATTCGATATATCTATTCCAATTATATATACAGATAAAAAAAAATACTTCCTCAAAAACAAATAAAAATACAAAGAAAAAAGCAATTTACTTATAATTGATTTTTTAAAAAGTAAAGGTGATCCTTTCGAATAAAGAAGATTTTTCAAGACACTTATCAAAAACATAGTATATTTCTTCCAACATATCTATAAAACACTGCTTCTAAATGTATAGATATAGTATATACAGGATAGATATCTTTTTAAATTACTAATATCAATACTTGCATAAATCATGCCGTTTTAATAAATCGTACAATATTATTAAAAAAATCATTAAAAAATAACTTTATAAAAAAGCATCATTTTAATTTCAATAAAATTATCTAATATTTAAAAATTTAAAGCTTCTAATAAACAATAGTAACCATTAAAAAATATTTATATTCAAATTCCCTAATTTTTTTATAATTAGAATATCAAATTATCTAAAAATATTAGATTCATTTATTAACATTTATAAGCAAAAATATAAAAATGCGAGTTTTTATATCTACGTCATAAAGAATTAAATCTTTTCACTTAATGAAATTAAAATATAATGTAATTAACTATAATTAAACTATAGATATGAAATTTTAATATAAAAATAAAAAATATATAAAAATATTAGTCCAAATAATCTTTAGCATATAGAAAAAATAATTAATTTAAATCAATCAATCAATAAATGCATCATAAAATTAATTTTAACTTTAAAAATATATTAAATATATTTTAATTATTTTTTTTTAATATTTCCAATAAAAATTTTAAAAACTTTTGCAAAATCCAGTACATAAAAAATCATATTAAGATATCAAATAATATTAATAAAACGAAATGTTTTAAAGTTAAATTAATATATATAAATAATTTTTTATCTTTTTTTTTTTTCAAATTTCAAATTAAACTTAATTATAAATTTCAGATATTTTTCCTAATAAAAATAGATACATGAAAACATTTATTTTAAAGTACTTAAATTCAATATATATATCAAAAAATCAATTTTCAAAAATAAAATATGATTACTATGGAAACTAAAATCAATTTTAGTCATTTTATAAAACTTGAAAAAAACCCTAATTTTTTTAAATCATTAATACTTTTAAAAATTATATATCTTATACAACATGTATTCTAACTAAAAAATGTCATCCATCGATAAGTTATTTTTTTTCTTTATTCAAAGATTCACATTAAAATTATTTCAGACTAAGTATTATGGGAATACGATCCTTCGACATTAATGTCAGAGAAACTATCCAATTTTATAGTCCCTTAACATTAATTGTTGGTCACAATGGATCAGGAAAAACAGTATGGATTTTATTTAATATCTAAATCATAATTTTCTCTAGACAATTATAGAATGTTTAAAATATTCAACTACAGGTGATTTACCACCTAATTCTAAAGGGGGAGCTTTTATTCATGACCCTAATGTAACTTTTACAACCCAATTTAACGTTAATAATATTGCAAAAGATATGTGGTGAAAAAGAAGTTCTTGCACAAGTTAAACTTTCTTTTAAAAATACAAATGGCGCAAAAATGATATGTACTAGATCCTTACAGCTTTTAGTAAAAAAGACAACGCGTTCGCAAAAAACTCTTGATGGACAATTAACAATATTTAAAAATGGTGAAAGATTAGCACTTAGCAACAAATGTGCAGAACTTGATACACAAATTCCCATATCGTTAGGAGTTAGCAAAGCAGTCCTCGATTATGTGATATTTTGTCACCAAGAAGATAGTAATTGGCCTCTTAGTGAACCAGCTGTTTTAAAAAAAAGATTTGATGAAATTTTTGAAGCTCTTCGTTATACAAAAGCTTTAGACCAAATAAAAAATCTTAGAAAAGAACAAACAACAGCAATCAAAATCGATGAAGTAACATTAGAACATTATAGATCAGACAAAGAAAAAGCAGAAAAAATAAAAAAATCATTAGATGAAATCGTAGAGAAAATTACAATAACTCAAGCTGAAGCGAATGCTCTTGATAAACAAATCCAATTAAATCTTGCTGAACAAGAAGAGTTACACCGTTCAGGAAAAAAAATTGAACACATAATTTCCGAAATAGAAAGATTAAAACATGAAAAGCTTCTTTTATTAAATACATTAAATGATTTAGGAAATAACATTACTCATTATGAAGAAACTAGCCAGGAATTGGAAAATATGCTCGAAAATTTTGAAAAGAAAAAAGAAAATACATTAACAGTTATTAATTTTAAAAAAAAAAAGCATGAAAATTTAAAAAAACAATTAAATTTTTCTAGAAATGAATTGGAAATTTCTATATCAGAAGAAGGGAAATTGTTAGCGAAAGTAGAAGTAATATATTTCAAAGAAAAATGAATATTACTAATATGATACTATAGACATTTCAGAAATTAATTTTGAAACGACAAAATTTAATTAAAGAAATTATTTCGAATCATAAATTTATAAATTATGACATAGATTTAACTGATCAAGAAATGGAATCATTCTTAAAAGATATATTATCAAAACATAATGAGCAGACAATTTTTTTAGATAATTTAAAGGTATTTTCTTTTACTTTCAAAATTCATTTTTTGTTTAAAGGAAATTAAGAAAGAAAATAGAGAAAAGGAAGGAAAACTCAATGAAAAACTTCAAGAACTTGTTTTCAAAGAAAATATTCTTGAGCAAAAAAAAACAATGGCACGTCAAAATATAAGACTTTCGGAAAAAAAAATCGAAACTATTCAAAATAACTTAGACACATTATCAATAGATGAATCGGAAATAAATATATTAGAAAGCACAATAACAGATATAAATGAAAAAATAAAAAACTGTAATATAGAGTTTCAAAATAGTGCATGGAATGAAGAAATAAGACAAAAAAAAAAAGATCTAAGATCTCTTGAAGAAGGCATTAATCTATTAAACGAAGAATTAGCTAAAGGAGCTAGTAAAATCGAAGCTCAAGCAAAATACCAAATTATAAAAGAAGAATTAAATAACAAGAAGAATTCTCTTGATATATTGTAATTACAATTATTTATTTTATTTCTAAATCTTATTTTAAAAGGTTCAAAACCAATAAAAAAGAAATCGAAAATTTAATAGGAAATACTATAAGTTTTAGTACAAAAGAACAATTTATAAAGGACGAGTATAAGTAAGTTTTAGCGGTGCTTTATTTATTTTATATTATTAATGATATAAAGCAAGAAAAAAGATGAACTTAAAGAGCTAGAAAAAAAATATGAAATTACTAAACAAAACTTATTAGAAGCAAAAAATAAAATAAATATAGCCAAAGAGAACCTTCAAAACAAAATAAACCAGAAAAACTTATATCAAATACAAATTCAGGAAGTATGCGATCCGGTTAATTTTTTGCAAACATATGAATTCAAAGAACTTGAATTAAACAATATTTCAAAGTTTATACATTTACATACAATATCTTCCTAATATTGTTAGGTATTTATCAAATTTAAAGCATATAAACGACTATTTTTTGGAATCAAAAGCAAAAGTATATGAACAAAACTTTTGTATATTATGTATGAGATCTTTTAATGATCATGAAGTTTCTGAATTCGAAAAAACTATAGGAAAACATATAGAGAATATACGGAATAAAGAAGTCCAATTTTCAGAATCATTAAAAAAAGTAGAAGAAGAGATGAAAAATTTAAAAAATACAAAAACTATATTTGATGCTTTTCAGCAATTAAACGATTTCGAAATTCCTAGTCAAGAAACTAAAGTGGTTGATCTTGAAAATAACATTAAAGAGTTAACGGATTACCTAGAAGAGGTATTCTAACATTATAATAAAAGTTGTATATTAATTTATTAGATTTTTCAAATACTCAAAACAGGAAAAAAATCGCTTGAAGAGCTTCGATTTTTGAAAGAACTAGATATTGAAATAACTCATTATCAAAAAGAAATAAATAATTTAACATTATCTCTTAAAAGCGCTGAAGAAAATTTACAAGAATTAGGAAGTTCCAGAACATTTCAAGAACTACAATTTGAGCTTGAAAACTTTAAATCTAATAAAAAAAAAGTAGATGAAGAACTGCTTCTTCTACACTCAAAAAAAGAAGCATGTAAACTTCAAATATCAGAAAATAATATCCTTTATAAAGATGCACAAATAAAACTGAATGAAGCACAGTATAAATTACGGGAAAAAAACGACCTCATTAATAAGAAAAACGAAATAATGGAAGATATTTCTAAATTTGATAAAGAAATTGATGTAGCTAATTTTTAAAATAAACAATTAATAATAGTTCTTAGGAAGCAGACATAAATTTAAAAACACTTGCCCCTCAAATATCTCAACTTCATAAATCCTTAAAAGAAATAAGAGAAGAAGCAATGAAGAAAGAGGACCAAGCTCAAAAATATTCAAATGAATTACAGCAAAATTATAACCAGCTTATTGATATCAATTTGGAAATCAAAACACATAAGGATAGCGAGAAAGATCTAGATTTATGCAGAGAAAAAATATCTGATATGCAAAAATTAAATATAGAATTGGATGAAAAGATTTCTAATATTACTCAAGAAATTAATGATTTTGAAAAAGCAATTTTAGATATAAGAACTACAGAAAAAAATATTGCAGATAATTTGAGATGTAGAAAAATAGAAAATGAAATTACAAAAATTATAAAGAATATTTCGGATTTAGAAAAAAAGAACGCAGAAATAGATAAAGAACAATATTTATTAAATTCTTCTAAACTAAAAGATAAGCATGAACAATTATTAACAGAACGAGCAAGCTTATTAGGTGAGATTAAGGAGATGAGCAACCAACTTCAAAATTATGAAAAAGAATTGGAAGAAGAATATAAAGATATACACGAACAATATAGAAAACAGCTAATAAAAACACGCACAATGGCTAAAATTAATGATGACTTACAAAAATATGGGAAAGCATTAGATAAGTTCGTAAAAGCATAAATTTTGTGATTTACTAATAATAAAGTGCAATAATGAAATATCATAGCCTAAAAATGGAAGAAATAAATAGAATAATCGATGAATTATGGAAAAAAACATATTGTGGAACAGATGTTGATACTATTCTTATAAGATCAGATAGTGAAAGCCCAAAAGAGAATAGATCATATAATTATAGAGTAATTGTATCAACTTATCGAAAATTAAGCTAATTTGTATAAGGTATGTATGATAAAAGGTGATGCAGAACTTGATATGAGAGGGAGATGTAGTGCAGGCCAAAAAGGTAAGTAAAATAATACCACAAGATTTACTAAAGATGTCAAGTCTTGGCAAGTATTATCATAAGGCTTGCACTAGCAGAATGTTTTGGTATAAATTGTGGTATTTTAGCACTAGATGAACCAACAACTAACCTCGATCGTGAAAATATACAATCCTTAGCTATGTCTTTAGCAAATATTATCCGCCAACGACGCCAACAGGCTAATTTTCAACTAATTATTATTACACATGATGAAGATTTTCTAAGAATGATGAGTTGCAATGATTATTGTGATTACTATTACAGAATTAGTCGAAATGAACAACAAAAGAGTGTAATTGAAAGACAAAGAATATGTATGTATATTCCATTAATTTTCATGAAATAATTAACCGTCTTATATTAGCCGAAGTAATATAATACCAAACAAAAATTAATATTAAAATATAATAAACATATATTTATTAATAATTGCAAAGATATACAACATTTTAAGCAAGTTTAAATATTTTCTAATGTATTACTATTAGCTTTTCATTATTCTTTATTAATTTTTAAACTTTACCTTGTTCTAAATAGATTTTATATTAACAAAAAATCATCAAAATATTTTTTTAATTTTAGATATATATTTTTTATAAATAAAAAAATAACTTAAAACTATATAACAAATAAAAAATTGCATATTTACAATATTAATTTCCATATTACTTTAGAAACTGACACGATTAAAATCATCTAAAATATATTAAATTTAATAAATTATTTAAAAAACATAATAAAATTAATCACCAAAATCCTAAAAACAAACAATATTGCTCATAATATTATCAAAATTATTCTAAATTATAAATCCTTAAATGTAGTAGACTTTATAACATATTTTAATTTTAGATAAAATAACTATATTCAGTCTCTTTTATTTTTGAAATTAAAAACTTCTCTAATTTCGTAGCATTCTATATAAAGTCAAATTTAGATATATATATTAATAAAAACAAAACCTTATAATATGTCGTTGTTTCATTATTATATGATCGACTATATTATTAAGTTAAAATACTTTAAAGATAATTACATACCAATTGTTAAATATTAATCTAGCATCATACAAAAAACCTTCTACAGAATCGTAATGATCATTATCCAATTTAAACTCCATGGTCGATAAATCTACATTAAATTAATTTAATATAAAAAGTAATTCTGAAAATTACCCATAGGCTCTTTTATAACATCATAATAATCTGGAACCTCATCTTTATTAACAGGCTGAATAAATGGCCATGCAGATGGATGATTTTGCATTTCAGTAAGTAAATGTTGAAGAGTAGGGTAAAAAACAGCACGCTTTGGTCTTTGTAAAAACTCGTCCATTTCTGGAGACCATCCTATTTCTTCTAAGATAATCATTAACTATATATTAAACACATGAAATAAAATACTCAGCCCAGGAATTGAAAGAGGATCTATCACTGTAATACCCTTTTTAAAAATATCTAAGCCAGGGTATATAATATGCGACCTAGATTTTTTTCTAATAATTTCTTGAATAGCATATTTTTGTTTAGCTAGCATTTGAGAAGATTCCAAATAACGTACTCGTGACAGCATACTACATTGCATAATAGTCCCACCTTCATAATCCTTAATATATCCTATCCAAATAGGCTTATCCAAAGTAATATCCTTAGAAAATCCTTGCTTTTTAAAATAACCAATGGCATAATTATCCGCATATGTTAAAAAATGCATAATAGGGGAAGTTCCTTTAACATAATCTTTAAGATGATTCATTAAATGCGATCCATAACCCTTTATAATTAAATAATATGAAAAAAAAAATAGAAAATAAAAAACCTTCACTTGTTCAGAAGAAGTTATTGCACAAAATACAATTTCTGCAAATTTCCTGTGATTAAAAGGACGATAAGTAATACCACCCACAACTGTTAACGGCTTCTTTACAATAACCATAGATAAATGATTACGATCATATATAAGTCTAGCAATATATTCCCTAGGCATCTTAGGGAGCTGTTTCTGGAAAATATTTTTAAGTCCAGTAAGAATTATTAAATTATCTCGAGAATTATCATTGTTTACTACACGAAATTCAATAAGGCCCTCTCTTTCTTCAATAAGAACAGGTTTTTCTTTAGCCGAGAATGAATGAAAATTAGAATCAACATTATTTTCGCTTTCCTGTAGAGTAATATTATTTACATTTTTTTCAAAATCCTTATGTTTTTTGAATTCTGAAAAAGATTCATCACAACATCTTCTTTTTAAATCTAATAAAATAATAAATAAATTATCTTAATATATAACTTAAATACTTGTATTGAAGTCAGACGAATCACTAGGAAGTACCATTTGTCTAATAAAAATAAATTGCTTGTAATAATATTAAAAAGTTTTATACTTTCTCAATGATTTAATATCATCATTTATATAATCAAAATCAAACAGCATACCACTTTCCTTAGAAATATTATTAGAAAATAGTATAATAAAAATATATCCCTACATTCAATAACTCATCACATCTATTTGCAACTTTAACTTTTCGAATAAATTCATCTTTCGCAGTATCTACAGCATCTATTTCCCCAACATGCTCATAAATGGTATGATTACATGACATGCATTCCTTCTTTGTAATTCTATTCGGATTATCAATAGGTTTCCATCCCATACAAACACAATTGCTATATGAACATGATGAATGACGAGCAACAATCATAAACTTATATATATCAGGTATTGAAGAGGACCCATCGATTGGGAACGGATATCTTAGAACAGTATCATCAGAATTTTCATTTAATGCCATACTTCATTGTAATTTATTTTATCTAAATTATTCATCGATTATTTTAAATACTTAAAAAATTAAATAAATAATATCTTTAAGAAATTAGTACAAGTATGGATTATTTATATGAAAGGACATCGGTATATAAATGATGAATGAGGATTAATTCAACTTATTTATAACTTAGAAAACTTATGAGGAAGCGGAAGCATTTTTACCATTAATTCCCGTAAAGTATCATAAAAAAATAGCATTTATATTATTACTTTTTGGCTTTCTATTTACAATACTATTTAAACTGTAATATTTATTAAATTGTATAATTAACATTAATTTTTTTTAGAACAAAATATAAAGAAACAGCAAAAAAAATTTATAAATTTAAGCAAATCAGCTATGCTTTACTATCTTGTATTTTTTTTGGGTAAGCAACATGAAATTAAATGTAATAAGTATCATATTAAATATATATAGGTTTAGTGCTGTTTATTTGATATGTGCTGTAGGAGTTTATGTGTAACATTAATTATTAAAATCTATTAAAATTTTATTTATTATATAAATGAATCAAATATACAATTCAATATAATTTAAAATTTTCCATTTATTTAATTTACTCTTAGATCTAATATCGTTTTATTAATAAATCTTAATGTATTGTTTAACATTTTAAAAAGGCAAAAAAACAAATGGGTGAACCGATATTCAGCGCAGTTACTGACAATGTCATTCCTATTATTACATTATTAAAATGTATTGCTTTTAAGCCAAGATGTGTAGTCAAAATATCGTCAGAAGGACTTAAATTAACAGTCGAAGATGGCCTTTCATTACAAGGTCATAGAAAACATATATATTATATAGAAGACTAATATTCCTTTAGCTCATGCATTTCTAGATAAAGACATGTTTTCATTTTATCGCTTTAATTCTTCTAATGATGACTCTATGGATAACAATAATTCTAGTACACCAATATTTTTTACAGTTTCACTTTTAGCTATGTTAGAATGCTTTAATATTATGAATAATGACCTGAAAGAAAAGAATTTTGTGTTCAATAGAAAATTGCAGCAGCAGAATATTTTACGTGTAGGGGGTAATTGCCATTTATCTTACATGGGTTATGGGCATCCTTTTGTTTTTATGTATTATCTAAATATTAGTATTAACATATTTAATGCTCTAAAGAATACAGGAAAGCGGGATGATTACAACATGTGAACTTACTACATTTGAAAAAGAAAATCTTATTGATATATTTTTACAAAATAATAAATTAAACCAAAAAATTATAATAAAAGTGAAGTTATAATGTATTTATTTTTATCACTAAATATATTATAGAGCGAATCTCTCTACGATGCTATACAAGAATTGGAATTCAGCTCTAGTGAACTACTTACAATACGTTCATCACCACAGCACCCACATCTACGCTTAAGTTCAGTGGGCACTATGGGTAGTGTAATAATAGATTATACAAATGAAAGAGATGTTATTGAAACATTTTCTTGTTCAAGTGTTGTTGAAAATACGTATATTTTTATAATTAAAAAAAAAAGACTAACGATATTTATAGTTATAAATTTTCTATGATACAACATTCAATTCATGCAATGTCTTCAGCAATTAAAGCGAGTATAAGGACGGATGAAAACGGGGTATTAAGTATACAGTTTATGATCGAAAGAGGAGAAGGAAAATATAATTTCGTAGATTTCAGAGTATAATATATGTTTAATTTAATTCCATTAAAAATTATAGATATTATCAAGTACAAAAGAAGATAATCACTTTCATAATGAATAAATAAAATAATGATATTTAATATATTTATGCTGACCATTCGAAATATTATCAATAATATAGTTAACATTGTACAAAATAATCATATTACCCTTAAAAATATAATTACTTACTATTAAAATCAAATATTCTATATATTCTATATATATATATTCAAAACATATTTTATATACATTTAAGATATCTTAGTTATCGTATAATTAAAATGTCATTTTTAATTACTTAATATTTATTTATAACAATTATTATACTATACTTCATTTCACTTAAAATTAATCAGATCATATCAATATTATACAAAAAATATTTAATTAATTTATTTTCTAAATCTATACTCAAAATTCTATTAAAAACTGATTTAAAATATTAAAAAATTTCAATTTCATTACATTTTCTCACAAAATAAATACAAATAAAAACATAATACTACTTAAATTATTTTTAAATTAATAAAAATACTTCTTAATATATTTATTTACAATGATTTATTATCGTGTATTTAATTCAAGGTTGTCACGTGATCGAACTTAGTAAACCAATTAAATATTAAAAAACCTAATATTATATTTAAAACAAATATGTATTTCAATAAAAAAAGAAACTGATATATATATGCTTCAATAAAGACATCATCTATTATGTCATTTAAAGATTCTCGTGATCGATTGCCAACATTACATGAGGTGCTTTCGCGGAGAGCAGAACCTCCAGTTGATCTGTTTAATTTCTATATCTATATGCGAGATCAAGCACAAAGTGTGGACTGTATGCATATAAAAAGTCTTTCTGAATTAAATTGACCATTTTTTATTGTAGACCTTGATTTGTGGTTAGATATTATGCAACATACATCATTATGCCGCCTTTATGTGCGAGAACTACGAAAATCTATTCTTGTTTCAACACCAGAAAAATTTGATAAAGAAGCAAAAGAGAAGCTAAAAAACTTTAAAGAAGGAGAAGAAGGCGATTATTTGCGTTCTACTATGTGTTCAGAAAAAGATATAGATGTTCATATTGTAGCATCAAATCTTCACAACTTTGGACCTATGGGCAATGACTTAAACAATAACCGTACTAGTGGAAACAAAGGACGAAAAAGAGAATCCTATTTGTCATCGGAAGAATCTCGTAATTCTTCAGAAGTGACACAAACGATCAATCGTAAAGATATTCGTGCATCTGCAGAACGAGTACTTTATGCATACTTAATTCAAGGTGCAGAAAGAGAAGTTGCACTTCCTTCTCATATTCTTCGGGGAATTGCAACAGCAATTGAAACAGATGGCAGGGACGATCCAGAAGTTTTTGATGAAGCAAGAGATTATGTATTTCAGGCGATGGAACGTGATGCCTATCCAGGTTTTTTAAGAGCCAAAGCCTTGGGAAATATTATCCCATTAAGCAGTCTTCTTCGATTACTTATAGGTCTTTTATCATTATTTGCAGGACTTTGGGCAGGATTCACTCTAATTTTCCTCGGCGCAACAAAAAGTGAACGATCATGGATATTTTTACCATTTTTAATAGGAATATATTGTATTTATGCACATCAATACTTTCTCGACCCTATTTTGGTCATTATTGGACTATCAGAAACAACATTTCTATCATATATGCGCATACGAGAACCATATGTTAAAAAACTATTACTAAAACGAGCTTTATGGGTACTATTATTGATTGGGATTACAGTAATGACGATATCTTTATTAATGACCCTTGTTCCTACTTATAGATTATAAAAAAACATTATTATCATTTCTTGGAATACTTTTTTCTTTTTGAATTTATGTGTAAATCTTATCTGCAACTAAGAAAATAAAATTAAATTCATTACTACAATAATGCAAATTGTCATTTGATGCAATAATTTTATTTTATGTATTTCTAATTTAATAATTTTACCCAAAACAAATAACATTCTTATAAAAAAACCAGATACATAATCAAATGTAATCATGAAAAAAACCCTCAGAAATGTCTTTTACTATTCTATAACTTTATAAAAAGATAATTTCTAAAAAGTAGAAAAAAACGATAAATTTAATTGTTTTAATTTATACTTATCAATAATACTATTCTCAAGCTCTTTCCAATCTTTCTCTTTAATATTAAACAATGAATTATCAGAAATTATTAATTTATGATCAAAAAAATGCATATGTGAGACACGCATAAATACTTTTCTAGCAATTTGAACTTCTTGAATATAATTTTCTGGAGCAACATATTTCTGCCTACCATCTTTTGTCTTAAATTTAGAAAGATTTTCTAAAATCGACTCTATGTTTTTATATTTTTGAATAAGAAAAAAGGCCCCATGACATCCTAATCCTTTTATTGTTTTACAAAAATCTGTTCCAGATAATATTGCAAAGTCAATAAACGAATCTATAGAAATATTACCCAGATTTAATCGAACATCAATAGGATCAATCATATACATATTTGAAGAGGGGAAAAAATTATTCCTTCCATTAATTAAATTTTTCATTGACATAAAACCTCGAAGCATCTTAGCATTAAATAATAATGTATCAGTATCTTCTGTTACGACAAAATCAGCAATTCCTAAAATATTGTTAAGTATGCAAAAAAAAAAAAAAATACCATTATTAACTAAAGAACTTGCAACAGCTTCTGCTTCATATCCAGGAGGAGATGTCAAAACAGTCATTCCAAGAATTTTAAAGATAGTTTTTGTTTGATTAATTTGTTTCCATGTAGGAGCAGATAAACGACGAGATAGTTTTTCAATAAGCATATTCATAGACATTTGTTGTCTTTCCAAATTATCCCTAACCATGTATGAAATATGTGGATCTAATAAGTTAACTAGTGTAGAAAGTTCGGATGCTAATTCAACAGTTGAATTCAAAGAAATTTTACAAATATAATCAATTATCTGCTTTAAAAGACTTTCCAAGATGCAATTTCCATTTTTATATATAGAAAATTCATTTTTCATCCATATTTGCAGTTTTATTCCTAAATCAGATTGATAAGAATTCTATAATATAAATTAATTTCTATAAAATTAATCATCCATTCTAAACTTACTGAACCAGAGATTTCACATTCAAAATTATTATATACATAAATTGCTTTCTTTAAAAACAAATCAATAACCTCTCTATCTTGCATGTTTAATTTTGACATTTGATATGCAATTCCTATTAAATTTTTCAAACGAGCAGCTTGATTTATGTTTTCTACAAAATTTTTTCTATTATCCTCCTTAATATTTGTCCTTCTAATTCGTTCATCAGATTTTTCTGGTGCAGAACGTTGTCCATCAAACACAACAATTGGTATTACTTTATAAAATCTACAAATTCTTGCAAGATATAGTGTCCATAGAATATGACGATATTTATCCAATGCAGGGACCCAAGGCGATGAAAACATACGACGAATAAGTAATGTACCATCAATTGCTAACGTTTTATATCTCAATTCTTTCTCATCAACTTTTTTAATAGAATCTGGTGCAAATCGGCGAAGAAACGAAATAAGATATTTTACACCCATAAGTAGGCAAACAGTCCTATAAAAACTATCTTTATTATGAATATTTTATATACATTTTATTAATTCATTCATATTTTGATGATTATTTTTCGATATTTTTTTTAAAACTTTATGATTATTTTTTTAAATTTAGGGCTAAGAATAAATAGACTAATATTAGTTCAATCCTGATAGTATAACACTAAAAATACCCAATAGTTTCCAATATCAAAATAATGCCTATAACTTTAATAAAAAAAGAATAAAAACAAAAATGCAGTAAAACTTAAATAAAATGCATTTTTTAAAGAAAATGAAATGCGAGATGACATATTTGGTTCTTTTATATCTGTTAAAGAATCATGAAAATTATCATCAAGACTATCATGATCTGCATTGCCAGAATCTACATTTGATTCACCATTATCTATATTTCCAAAATCTACATTTGATTCACCATTATCTATATTTCCAAAATCTACATTTGATCCACTATTATCTGTATTGCCAGAATCTACATTTGATCCACCATTATCTGTATTGCCAGAATCTACATTTGATTCACCATTATCTGTATTGCCAGAATCTACTTTTGATTCACCATTATCTTTATTTCCTGAATCTGATGAAGTAATAACTTTACTATTAATAGAAGGTATAACTCTCTCAGATTCTAAAAAAATATTAACCTTTAAACTAAATAATAAAAAATAACAAAATACAATACCTTTAGGACATTCTAAACTGTACTTTTGTTTTCTATCAATCGCAAAAACACCCCAAAATTTTTCAACATTTGAACTTTGACCACTTAAACCAACAGCATCTCCTTTCCACGGCTCATCCATTAATTCAAAAACAAGAACACTAAGATCATTAAATAAAGACGAACAAATGACATTGGCCCAAAAATAAGCAGCATTTTCAACATTAGGTATAGCAGCTCCATAAGGGACACCATCTGTAGGCCATCCAGTTTCACCAATCCATATTTCAACATTATGGTTTATAGACCTAATAACATTGAAAGTATTGGAAATATCAGCAAAAAATGTATAAGTAGAATGTTCTACTGCAAAACCCTGCCAATATGGAAAAGAATTAACAAAAGCAATATCTAAGGCTCCAATAATTCTATTCGCTGTTCCATCAGCAAATACATTCCAAGTATCCGCCATTCCAACTTTAATAGTTTGAAAATTCATCTGATTTAACAAATTACGAACAGTAGTAATTTGACTCAATAAAACATCATCTGAATAATCCTTGCGATAAAGAACTTCTGATCCTACTGAAATTGCATAAATATAAGGAACGTGTTCTTGTGGAATTTCCTTTAGTAGCGACAATTGATCATTGAATTGCGCGGTATCAACACCACCTGGCCAAATTCCAAGAATAATCTTCATACCACTAGGGATTATAGCAGGCATAATATTTTTCATAGAATTGCAATCACTAATTGAAAAAATACGAATAAATTTTGAATATGAAGAAATTAATGAAATATCATCTAAATAATCCTGTGTACTTTTGCAATTCCCATCCAATTTCCTAGTACTAATAGAAAATCCCAAATCACCACGACCTATAACTCCCAAAACAAATGCTATAATTAATATCCAAAAATTTAATAGAGAATGCATTTTTGTATTTGTTGTAATTAAGATCGTAAACATCTAACAATAAAATATATTTATCCAATTCAATAATTTTATTTTTATTAAGAATTGAGATTTAAAATCATAATTCTTTTGATTTATAAGAATATAATATATCTAAATTTCAGAGTTTATCATAAGAGTGAATTATAAATTATCATTACAAATTTTATAACTTTTAAAAAATAATATGAATATATAAAAATTACAAAAATTCATATAATTGGATATTAGGTGAATAAAATTTATCTATATAAAAAATAAAAGGGTATATTTGAAATAGCAATCATAATCTCATATCTAATCAAAAGTTTAAAACAACGATGATATCGAAGATACACATTAGAAAATATATAAATATCAAAATATTATAATTTCAATTTTAAACAAATACAAAACATATATGCAAAATCATTCTATAACGATAAACAATTTATTAACTAAATAGTCAATTATCTTTTTATACGGCTAACGTTTTTATATTTCAAGTTTCAAATCAACCCTCTTCCCTATACATATAGAACCAGACTTCCATCTATATACAATTGCCCAAAAAAGAGATGTAATAAAATAATATTAAGAATAAAAACGCTGCTAAAATCATAAATTCAATATTATGCATTCTATTTGAAGCAACTGTTCCCTAATTAGATTTATTCTTCCTATATAACCAAAAATAATATTATTGTAAAATGCATTAAACACAACCCGTAATTGATATTATTATAAAGAATCATTTTTTTTTATATTTCTAGAATCATTAAATACAGAAACACCATTATTACCAGTAGAAAAGAAGCCTAATTTAGGAAGACTTTCTGTTTGCCAAGTATTTGCTGTTTCATTTTCTGAAATAGAACCAGTTAAAAATTTATCTTGAGAATCATAAGATCCAGAAGAAACAAATGGTAGGGAATTCACGATATTAGATGTTTGAGAAGGTGTATACTGCTGAAGATTTTCATATAAAATAGGAACATTTGTAGGTCGCATAATAGATGGAGGCGATAAGTAATTAGAAAAAGGCATTGGACAATTTGTGCTGTAGACATTAAGAGGACTTGAATGAAAGTTCATACAAGGCGTTGCACATTGTTCATAATTACTTGAAGGTGTAAATAATTGCTCATTTTCGGAAGAATTATATGAAAAACGATCGAAAACAACTTCTTTGCAAACAGTAGTACCTGAATCAGAAAATATAGCATCGAATTCCCATGCAAGAAGAGCCATACGAGAAGAAGAATTCGAAAAACGTAATACTTCAAAAACGACTGTGATACCTCTAACGGCTAAGCGAATTTCCCATTCCTTTCTGTATTTTGATTTTTCTGCATCAGCAGAACCATCTCCAGGATGATATTCCGTAGACAATGAATTTAATCCAGAAAGAAATGTTGCCCAAAAATCAATGGCAAAAGGAAGAACAATATTTTCATCATGCACAAACGCCTTCTGTTTAAGTTCCAATATACATTGACTCATAGTATAGATACGTATTACGCAGCCCCATGTTTCATCTTGCACTGTAATAGGTGGCTTAGCCAAAACAAAATGAGCCTGAAAAGCACTTTTCTCATCATTTATAGAAGGAATTGACAATATCGAATTAACATAATAGACCGGACATGTAATACCAATAGGAGAAAGAAGGACTTCGACAAGGTAAGGGAACCGAACAGACCAATTAGGCAAGGAATCAAGAAAAACAGTGGTAAGAGAAGAATCCTTCAATCGAGAATAAACATGCTCTGAAGCAAATGACGTTTTCCATATAGAAAACTCTAAAACACGAAAATATGGATATTTAAGAACACTAGACGACAAAAAATTATTCGCCAATGATCGTGGAAAATCGAATGTATTTGATTGACGACATGATACTGATGAATCAAAATTAACAGGAGGACTCGAAGGTGTAAAAAATGCAAGATTTGACTTCAATTTATCTGGTGAAGTACATGGTGTATCAGAAATCATTTTTAAAACTAAAAACATTAACATAAATAAATACAATTCACCAATCTTACATTCAGGATCCTCTCTCCTAAGATGCTTAAGTACTTGAATATGACTAGAAACCTGTTTTCGTGTACGAATTTTTCCAGTACGACGATATATATAATCTGCAATCAATTCATTCCTACCACATGACTTCGATCCTACAACAATCTTTCGCCGTCCAAGCTTAGGAATATGAGCAATCGCTACTCATAAATCATACATTTACTATAAATCAACGGAAATACACACCATCCATAAATGCTTCCTCTACATCCACAGGCCATACTTTTTCGCCAAAATTTTCCCGTTTTTCATATTTTAAACGCGCTCGTTTAACCCCATACAATCCCTCCTTAAGAGATGAAACGTTCTCCACTTTTACAGCCTCTGTTTTAGATCCTCCTAAGCTTTCAACATTCTGAGATATTTCACCTAACGGCCACTTTTCTGCATTCACGGTCTCCGCCACATTCAGCACAAAAGACATGCCCTTTTAACTCTTAATAAATATGTTTTCTTATGGTTTTTATTACCTGTTTATCGCCCGTCAATAATAATTATGCAGCAGATTATTTCTTAACGTCTTATGAGCACCGATAGGTTTATATATAATTTAAATCGCGTCGCGTTCGCGATAAAGATAGTTCTATATAAGATCCTTGATTTTAAAATATAGTAGAGATTGAAGGGTTAAAAGTTGTTAATAAGAAATTTATTAATAATTGGGAGGTTATATTTAGAAAATAATTTTATTAAAATAATTAAAATGGAATTGTTTTATAAATAATTAATAATATATAAGTTTGCAATATAGTATATATATTTAATAGAAACAATTGATTAAGATTGAAGTATAAAATTTCTTTATAAAGAAGAGATATATTATATTAAGAAAGATTTTAAGAAATAAAACATTATTTTTAAAAAAAGAGAAAAAATTGAATTAATTTTATATAGATTATTTATAGATGATAATTGAAGAAGGCAGAGTGTAAAAAAAATAAATAAAATAAAATTTATTAAAAAAAGGGAATTATTTTATAAAAATGGCCAATTGATGTTTAATATATATATAAATAATCAAAGAATAGATTTATTAGATTAGATTTATTGAATAAAGTTTTAAAGAGGAATCTATCGAAATTAATCATGTAACCAAAGTTAAAACATGTATATTTAAATAATTAGCATTCTAATAAATTGCAAGACAAAAATTTAATTAATATTTAAAAAAATCATAAATTGTCTAGCTATTTATAATTATGTTTGATTTTTTAGATATATTTTCAGATAAACTATAAAAAACTTATAAATCTATACCAAAAAAAAACAGTATAATGCTATTTAAATATCTTAACTATCACCATTTATTACAAATATTAATTTTTTCATTGAATAATAGTAAAATTCTAATGCAAAAGAGTTAATAATGTTTTTACCATTTCTATTTCTTCCATAACGTTATTTGATTTATCGCTTTCAGAATCCTCAATCTGCATATTATTTAAATATTCTATATTATAAATTAAGAAGATTATATTAGAAGATTAATATATTTACCCTGAAGAACAGCTTTAATAGATGATATATCTTGTCCCTCTATTTCTAATAGCTCTTGTACCTTTTTTTTTATTCCTACATCCTCTATACATAACCATGCTAAAATTAAATCTATTACTTGTAAAGAATAAAGTCCAACATCTATTAAATCAAAATAAATCCCAGATTCCTTTTCTATCCTTTCATCTTGACTAAGTCCCTTAAGCTCTTCCATCATTTTCTGATTAGCAGAATCAACACGAGATTTATATAATTTCCTTAATTCCATTAATCTTAATACTTTTTCATAATCTTTTTCAACAAATTTTGCTAATGTTCGAATACGAGGTGTAGAATCTATAGGCAATAATCGAAGAAGAGATAAAAATATTCCTAATAAATATTCTGTAACCTTAAGAATTGGCTAAGATAGTTATATTTTTTATTCATTATTTTTATTTAAAAACCTTTTTCATAAAAATAGAAAAAATATTTTTTAGCCCAGCAGCCTCAACAAGTCTTTCACAACAAGACATACCATGAAACCCTCCAAGGGCATGGTCTAAAACCTTTAAACTGCGATACTTAGTAATTTTCCCATGTCTAATAACATTTAAAACAATTATATTACATACATTAACATACCTTAACATTATTAAACATAACTCAACACCCTCTGCATCAACAAATTTTTCTTTTCCTTCCTGTTCTTCTAAAAGAGAACATAAACAATCGAAAACATTTTCTACAAATTCTTCCTCAATATCTTTTACAGGGTCTCTTTTACGATAAGGACTCAGAATATGTAACAATATATCAACGCTATTCAAATCAATAATTTTTTTCCGAATAAAAGAACTTGATGATGTATAAATAGCCAATAATTCTGCAACATATTGCTTATTTTGGGAAATAGGAAATTCTTTTACTTGAAGTCTTTGAAGCAACCATTCTAAAATATTCGTAGAACGAACAACATTTTCAGAAAAAGTATGAGAAAATGACGAAATATTCTCAAGAATACCTATCAATTAATTAACCATAACAAAAAAAATTAAACATACTCAAAACAAGAAATACACCACGTCTATCTGACTCATTAGACTCATTAAAACGTGTCAAATTATCTACTAAAGCATTAAATAATTGAGCTTCTATCTTAAACAATTAGAAATCATATTCTTCATATATTTTAACATACCATTGAACTTATTAACGATTTCATTTCATCTTCATTATGATCAACATCATCATCTATCAATTCATCAAGTAATTCCAATACACTTATAGCAATATCCGCATTTTCATGAGACAAAAGACCAATCAATGATTTATAACATCCTGAACCTAATATTTCCGAATATAACTCTGGATACCCTGAAAGTACAGAAAGAGCTTTAATTTCAGAATCTAAATCCGCTTCAGAAGAAATAAATCTATTCCTATCAATTCCTCCAATAATCTATACATAATTTTCCTACTTTTCTGGATTTTCTGAATATTTCATTCGTAACTCTTGATTTTTTGTAATAGCCTTTTCAAGCTTAATAACCATTTTTTTAAGAGAAGATGCACTAATTTGTTCTTCCTTATAACTTTTAAATCTCTTTCTTATATTATATCCTTACATACTTCAATAGGCTCATTTTTATCATTCTCATCAATAAAATTCAATATTTCCTCTTGTTCTTTAGTTAATCCACCCCCAAAAAAACGCTCATCCTCTTCATCAACTTCTCCAGATACTCCTCCATCATATTTATCTTTAAATTCTCCATTATTTTCACCATTTTCTTCAATATAAGTATTTTGGATATTTTTATATGTTTCTACTGGATTAATAGGTGAAATTTTCCTCTTCTTTAAAACAGGTTCTGGTCTCTAAAATACTATTAAAAATACTTATAAAATATCTATAAAATACCTTAAATATATCATCAATTTCCATATTTTTTTTAAAAAAATCTTAAGACCTACGACCATCGCTTAACCCTCATCAAAACACTTAATATAAAGGTTATTAATGGCTTCCTACAATCAATCCTATCCATATTACGGCCAGAATTCTTCGTCCCAGATGTATCAAATGATACCTCAAATACATAATCCTTTTCAACGGCCAGGTATGTTTTAATAAAGAAGTTAAAAAGCTAATAAATAATAGGACAACTTAACTTTTTTATGACACCAGAAGAGGCGGCTATTGCAGAACAACAGTCTATTTATTCTTCAGAGAATAGGGAGAATGCTAAACTTCGTCATCAAGCACGATGGCAAGGAAAGGAAAAGCGAATAACAGTATTAAGAGAAGGAGGAGGATCAGTATGGGAAGATCCGAGTCTTCTTGACTGGAATCCAGCACATTTCAGGCTTTTTGCAGGAGATCTTGGTGGAGAAGTTTCAGATGAGACATTATTTAAGGCATTTCAACAATATAAAAGTCTTAGTAAAGCAAAAGTTATTAGAGACAAAAAAACAGGAAAAAGCAAAGGATATGGATTTGTAGCATTTAAAGACCCAGATGAATTTGTAAGAGCATGGAGAGAAATGAATGGTAAAAATTGTATAAATATAAATATATAAATATGTAATGTGTATTTTAGGTAAATATATTGGATCACATCCAGTAAAACTACGTAAAGCAAATACAGAAATTAGAGCAGTATCTATTCATCAAGAAAAATTGGAACAAAAGAAAAGAGCAAGTAGATATGAACAAGAAAAAATTCAAAGTGGAAGAATAAGTAAAAAGACAAAAATAAAACGATAAATTTCATTAAAAATCAAATAATTAACTTTAATTAATTAATAAATAATAATTCGACATAATCAAAATCTCGTTATTTAATAAAATGCATAAATAATATAAAATTTATGCTTGCTTACTCTTTTACTAAATTTTCAGTATCTTGAAGGGAAACTCTAGTAGGTGATCTGCTTTTAGTAACTAAAGGAACAGTTTTGCAATCTAGTTTTTGAGAAAGTAATTCTTCTTTTAATGCATAATATTTCATAATATTATATAATATAATCCCAATAATTGTTACAATAAAACCCAAGATATTTATCAACTCGAGATGATCCTTAAAAATAATAGCAGAAGCACCCATAGTTATAACCTCTTTACATATTCCTAATTATATAAGATAGGAAATCAAGAATATTTTCATTCTATACCTGCAACTGAAAGTGTTATGATACTTGTTCTTTTAATTAGCCTATTATAAATTAATTTATGAAAGAAAGAGGAAAAAAAATACCAATATTCACTAACAATCATAGCAAAAGCAATAATTCCAGGGAATATCAAGATTACTAAAGAATTAACACCGTAATCCCAAAAAGATGTATACACTATATCCTTTAAACCTTCTATTAATAGCGAAAAAATGACTAAAGAAAAGAAAATAGATGGAGATAAAAAATATATAAATGAAATTGGATTAAAAGCAACAGAGTTATCTGCATATAGTATCTGAACGAGTGACCATTTCAGTCCTCCAAAGATAGACGCTGCAATAACCATTAGAAATCTATTTTCATTTATTTCTTTCAATATCAAAAAACAATTATATACCCTTGAAAAATGAATTCTGTTTGCGCTGATGCCATCATAACAACTCCAATCATCATAATAACAATAACAATAATAAGAGATATGCGCACTTTTTCTAGCCCAAAAATAAAGGAAAATAATAAAACAAAACCAAGAGATGAAGATTTACACATGGCTTTTACACAAATTAGAAATATTAAAAATATATCTGAAAAAGTTACTATAGAGAGATAAACTTATGGTTTTCAGTGAAGCATTTGAAAATCCAATTTCTAAACTTGTAGCCACACCACATGGAATAATCTTTGTTCTAAAAATAATAAGAACACTTTAAAAAATATAAAGCGAAAAAAACAAATAATCTTTCATTTCAAAACTATTACTTGGCGGCTGAAACTGAGGAAATAATTTCATAATAATGATAGAAAAAAAATATTCAATTACAATGTGAATAGCTGCAATAAGTCACCAAGAAATTCAATATAAAAATAGAAACATACATCCTGCAAATAAAGGGAATGTAAAGTTTAGATGCTTATCCGAAAACAACCATTTATTATATAAAGATAAAAGTATTGAAAAAAAAAACCTTAAATACAATGTTTACCAATATGAACTTAAAAAAACAAACATACCATGAAGAGATAAAAACTATATTAATAGAAACATTTTTCGCAATATTTTTATCAAATTTATCGAGAAAAGGCTTATTTGAAACTTCATCATTCAAATTATTCTCCAAATTTTCATTTGTATTAAGCTCCGTCTCAATATATTGACGAGATGTAGTACTCGAAGAAGTTAAAGGATTAAGAAGAGGTGTATTATCAGTCATTTTATTCAGGTCCACTTTTCATTTCTAATAATATTAAAAAATGTCGTTACGTAGAAATGCTTTTTATATTAAATATATTTTAAGAAATAATTTAAATTTTTATAAAATCTATATTTGCCCACTCAGGTAGTTCCGTTTCAAAACTCCATAAATTATCGTCAGATTTATACTTCCAAGCATGTAAATAAATTTTTAAGTCATTTTGTGAAGGGTTAGAGTATAAAGGTGCTTGACAAACATCACATACATTGCCCGTTAAAAGTTCATCACATTTAATTTCTCTCAATCTCTCAGCTTCTTTTATTTTATCAGTATACCAAGAAGATGTATCTATTTTCTCCGATTTTATCAATGAAGGAAACAATTCATTATCATTAAGCGTAAAAGTGTCATTTTTTTTTATATCATATCCCCAAATTCCTATATCTGAATAGATCGGATCGTTTAGTATAGGTTTCCCTAGCCATTGTAGATGAACTCGAAGCTGATGAGTTCGTCCAGTTAAAGGTCGACCTAATTGTAAATTAAACACAAAAAATATGGTAAATAGTATACACACAATGAACAATACTATTTTCTCCATCATAAGCTAGCATTTTAAAAATGGATTTAGATGGCTTTCCATTCGGATGGACTCTATTTATTCCTAACTTTGGAGATACTGTTAAAAGTGGTTCTGTACATACTATCTCTTCTCTGTACAATGAATTTAATTCATTAAAATAAAGAACTTAATACTTAGGAAATAGACCACGAACTTTACATATATATTCTTTCGAAATACTCCTATCCTGCATTTTTTTACGCATTTCTTCTGCAACACGTGCATTACGAGCCAAAATCATCAATCCTGATGTAAGTCTATCAAGTCTGTTACACGCTATTCATCATTAGAAAGATAAAAAGTCAGAAAACATACGAGCAAGACTTTCAAAGCCCATTTCTGCCATCATAATATGTGTAATTGAATTATGTCGATATCTTCCAGTAGGATGAACCTAAAAACAATTCTAGTAAAAATACACAAACAAATACATAAAAGCCTTACAGGAATACCAGGAGGTTTATTTATTACCACAATATCATCATCTTGATATATAATTTCAATTTTCTTATCAGCAACTGGAGGTTCATGTCTATGACTAATATGTTCTATAATATCCCCATTTTTTATTGTCTGCTCAAATGTAGCAATACGTCCATTTATAATAACATTTCCATTCTTAATTTCTTGTTCCTAATCAAAAAATAAAAATATTATCTATGGATAAAAGATAATACATAATATTGAGGTGTTCGTTCTCTAAATTCTGTAGAAAAAACATCATAAATAGTACGTCCTCTCCATCTTTCTTTAGCATATGTTTTAAAGTTAAAAAAATAAGGTACAACTTTTCTTAATCCTATATAAATTACTTTTACTATATTCAATTGTTACTTAAAAGCTACCATTATCAAACGTATAATAAGCATTTTCTAAAGGGTTATATTTACATTCTGATTCCGATTTTTTCCTTGTTTTTCCCTTTCCATGCCTTAAACTCATGTCCAAACAATAATCATGGAACTTATAAGATCTTTTATATAAATTAAAATCTACTTGAACAGCTTTTAAAATATTTTTTTTATACATAATAGATAACGATAAAGATATTTTATTAATAGAATATTAGATAAATAATTGATTAAAAACATTATATTCTGTAAATGAAACACTATTATACATCATTCCAAAAAAACAAAATATCCAGAAATAAATAAATACAGCCAATGTGTATAAATAAAAAGAATCTATTTATACTACATAATCACCTCAAACAAAATTATAAATACAATGTATATTTCAAAATCAGTTTAATCATAATTCGTAATATTAAGCAGGACGAAGATTTGGCAACTGAGAAATTCTGTATAATTCAGCATCGTTTGTATCTTGAAACCATGAACATATAGTACATCGTATAACCTATAGTAAGATAAAATTAAAGCTATAAAATCTTTTTATAGATAAATCAAATATACCTTTCCCAAACTATAAGGTATCAAAGGAATAAAACAAATAGTAAAAAATTTTTTTTCATGTAAAGGTATAGCTAAAATATTTTATCAGCAATATTCATATATATCTAACATTAGAAGCCAGTACCAGATATATTATGACATATAGGGCAATAAAGAATCATATTTTCGTATCCTATAAAAATTATTATATATTATAAAAAATCTAGTTATATATATATATATATATGTATACCTTGAATTTTACTACTAAAATCATCAACTCCAAGAAAAAAACAAAACATCAAAAATTATTGTTAAAATAGTAGATAATAATAATAAGTTAATAACATTAAATCATTTAAACTAAAATTAAAGCTTTCGATATATCATATCAAAAATAATCAGCATAATTTTTTAGTATAAAAAGTATAAATTCTATTATTGAGAGATATTTTTGATTTTAAAGCATATTTTATAAATCTTAAAGTTTTTTAATAAGTGAATAAAAATTAGATAAAAAGATATATCAATATAAATTAAAAAAAATATTTTTATTAATTTATAAAAATATAAACAAAAATCATTTTTATAAACATTTAAAATTCCATGTATAACATAAAATACAAAAAAATATTTCTATTAAAATGAAAACTTTATATATTTTATCTTTTTTTTTTTAATTATTTTTCAAAATTTCTTAATATAATCTACCTTTAACTATTTTTAAAATTTTAAAAACAAGCAGAAACAAATTACAAAAAAATTTATATTAATAATCAAAAGATATTATTTATCATATATAAAATATATTCATAAATATTCAATTTTAAATTTATACTATTAAAAATTAATCGTTTCATTTTTTAAAAAAAATTAAAGGTTCATATTATATTATACAACTATTAATTCATACTAATCAATACAAAAAGGATGATAAACGATAATCAACTTTATTCACTTTCTATTGCAGTTGGAATTTTAGCTATATTTTTAATCTTTGTCTATCATTTTATTGTAGCAAATGATTCAAATAAACAAGATTAAAAATATTGAAAAATATTTATTAAAGTATATTATATATCTTAAACATCTTATTATATACATATATCATTAATAAAAAAAATTATTTATGAATGTCCGAAGTATTAAGGATTTCTCTAAAAATATTATGTAATATTTTTTTGTATTCTAATAGATATTAAAAATATAAAAAGTTAGAGTATTTATTCGTTCATTATTTTTAGTTTTTTTTAAAAGAAAATACTTTACAAAAACAATCTAAATCTTAAATATATTAATCTTTACGATATTTTTATCATTAACTATATGTTATAAGCTAAGATCTTTATTGATTATTTGTTCCATAATATGGAAGCCCTTCGTCGCCTTTTTTTAGGAAAAACATTACAAGAGCAAGTTAATAAATACATACAAATAACATATTTTTTGACACCTATTACTAAAGCCATTTTCAGGTACGAGAATGGCAAAGAAAACTTAAATCAGAGTGCCGTTCAATTGATCGACAACTTTCCCAATTATTTATTGAAGAAAATAAAACTCAACAATCTATTAAACAATATGCTCGTCAAATATCATCTCCTATAGCACAAACATCTTGTCGATTATTAACAAAAGAACTTATCCGTGCTAAAAAGCAACGTACTCGACTTGAACGTAGCAAAGCTCTTCTTAATAGTTTAAGCATGCAACTTGATGAACAATTAGCAACACTTAAAATCACAGGAATATTAGAAAAAAGTACAATCATGATGAGAGATGTTAATACATTAATACGTTTGCCTGAACTCAATGCAACTATGACAGCTATCAGCAAAGAAATGATGAAAGTATATAAAATAATATGCTTTAAAAGAATATATCATTAAGGGCTCTTTAGGCTGGAATTTTTGAGGAAATAGTATCAGAAACACTAGACATGGAAGAAATCGATGAAGATATTGTCGAAGCAGAAGAAATCGATAAAATATTATTTGAAATTGCAAATGGACAATTAGGATCAATCGAACCAAAATTAAAAACTCAAATAGATGTGGTTGAAGAACCAGAACAAGATGAATCATTAGAATACATGCGTCATCGTTTACAAGTACTTAGGAACTAGGAAACAAAAAAATTAAACAAAAACTATTAAACAATGCACTAATTATACAATATTATATCGTTACATCTTTTATCTTTTAATATATTCTATCATTCGATCGACTTCATTTTTTGTTCTTTTCGACGTACCGCTCCCCACACAAGTGTCTCCTCCTCTAAATCATTTTCAATTATAGTATTTAAACCAGATGTAGCTTTCTTTGAACTTTTGTTGTTATTGTCCTCAGCTTCATAATCTCTAGTTTGTTTACTTTTAATCCATTTTTGGAGATATGCCCTAATTAAAAGATATCCACAAACAATTGTTACTATACGTAACAAATCTGTCCCTCATTTATTAATAAAATACTTAATAATAGCCCAATATTCATATTCTACCTTTTAAACTATAATTTATTTGCCAATTCATATAACTCATAAAAAAATATCAAAAATTAAAAACCTTTAATACTCAAATAAATAAATACAAATCTTCATATATACCTATATAAATTTGATAAATGATACGCAATGACAAATTGAAAGATTAAACCCTACTTATAAAGATAATTTAAGATTTTAAAAAATTCTTATATAATACATAAAAATTAAAATAAACAAGATGCATTGTTAAAAAATGTTAATCTATACATATTTATTCAATATTTCTTTTATAATATAAAATATATCTTTATTAAGTCACGTGACAAAAAATTCATAATGTATAAAAGACATATTCTTTTTATACATAAAACAGAAAGAATAAAGACAAAATCTACTTAATTTAAAATAAAAATACAAATTTATCATTTATTTATATATATATTTCTTATAATTACTATACATGTTGGGTTTAATGACCAAGTCCGGTATAGATGAATTGCTTTTTCACGTGAATGAAAAAAAGATATATAAAGGGATTCGAACGACCAAAATTACGATCTTTTTACATCTCAGATACGAAGAGTTATACGGCATAAGAACAAAAGAACAGTATATACGACAGGATATTGAAGGTTTAGGCGTATATAGACTTGTGCGAAAAAGATAGATTTTGATATATATGACAATATCGGTTATTGATAGGCATTGATACAAATGACACCATTAGATAAATCTCTGGACGGTGTGTTGAATATGCAGTGAAGATGAGGAGGAGAAGGAGGAGCTGATAGGAATATAGAAATTATTGCTTCAAGACCTTCAGGGCGTATTCGAAGAGCCCCTAAACGTATGCGTAAAATTAAAACTCGTTTGGGAACGAGAAAAATTACACAAATTGTAAGCGCAACAACAGCTGCAGCGGCAATACAGGCAGTGATGGAGGAGGGAAGCAAAATCATTGTTAGCAATTTGGTGAGTTTTTTTTTCTAGAATTATCAGTCATAAAAAAAAAACCGTACTAATAAAGATTTAGCCGTCTGATGTAACTGAAGCGCAAATTAAGGTATGAAATCATCAAAGCAAAGACTCTAGAAGAAGCGGGACTATCGCCCTCCTTTGGACGTCTTAGCGTTTCTCTGTTCAACGCTTTTTTTTTTTTCTTTCATATTCCTTGATATTCATTTACCAACCACTATCTCGTGCTTCAAAGGATCTTTTTTCTAAATCTATTGGACCCACACGTAGATGTTTTTTAAGTTATGGGCCGAATGGCCAATCGAAAGGCATTGCCACTGTAATTTTTCAAAGAAAAGCAGATGCTAGTCGAGCGTATGCACAATATGAGGGAAGATTAATCGATGGTGTACGGAAAATGAAGGTTTTTATTTCATTTTTTTTTTTATTTCAAAGATAACTTTTTAGGTTGAAATTGTCCTCGATCCTGGTAAATCCATGGCCAGTTCGTCTCTTTCGCAACGCATTGCACCAGGAATATCTCGGTACACGCATTATCACATGATGAATTCTTAATCTAATTTCTCAGAGGACGAAGACTTAGAAAGCCGGGCAAAGGGATGGGTCGTTTTAAGAGAGTTTCTAGACCTAAAAAAACTCTGGAAGAATTAGATGCAGAAATGATTGGTAAATAAAAGTTTTATTCAATTATAACCATATCTTATACGTTTATTAGATTATTTTGGATCTGCTAACCAAGAAATTATTGCTTAGATATAAATTAATTACATATATAAGCTAACTTCAGAATATATCTGTATTTTTTTTCTTTCTAAATCTCGAAAATAAAAACTATAGGAAATGTTTGTTATTTATTAAACACAATTCAAATAGCAACCTGTCGATTTCGACATTTATATATTTTAAAATATATTTAAGTTTTTTTTTTCTAATAAATCATATAATTTATATACGTGAAGCAGGAGGTTTAGCATTCTGTTTTACAGCTTCCCTTATATTTTCTTTTTGTTTCCCTTTAGGTTTGGGCTCTGAAGTAGACGTCGTTTGTTTAGCATATTCTACCATTAATTCATGCTAAACTCAATAAGCCTTAATAAAAAAAACACCATAACCTATAATAAACATACAAGACCTTCATTTCTCCTTGTACAAAGCTTAATCTGTCAATTTATATCACTAATAATAAAGAAAAAAGCCTACAAGAACATCATCTACATTTATTACTTTTCCTCCACGATGCTTAGCAAATGACTCAATATCTTCACCCAATGTATTAATCTGAGAATATACAAGTGTAGATAAAGATGCTATAAAATGTGATGAAGGAATAACACCTAATTCAAGGGACTCTGAATCAGTAATATGTCCTGTTGTATACCAAATTGCCGATTGCAAAGCTATTTAAAAATATAAAAATAAATATATTAAAACAAAAAATACCTTGAATCTGTAATGCTTTCTCATCATCAACAGATTCTACATGTCTTGATCTATTTGCCATTAATATAGGCACAATTTATACATATATATATAAGGGCTACGGGGAATAATATAATCGAAAAAAAAAAACTTTTTATATTATCTATAATAAATAGGAAATATTTATAAATAAATAAACCTAATCTTTATCCATAGATACAACATCTTCATTAGATTCATCTTTAGTAGATTCATCTTTAGTAGATTCATCCTCAACATCACTATCATCATCATCAGAATCCATATCATCTAATTTTGGCATATTTTCAGAGCCAATTCCATCTGAAAACTTGTTAAAATCAAAATCATCCATTCCTCCACCAAATTGTGATGAAAAGTCATCTGTAGAACGGGCGTTCTGCTCATCTTCATCCACCCACTATTTAATCATTACTTTAAAAATACTCGATTTCTTGATTCTTTATTAACCTTTTCAAAATCCGTACGAATAAATCCTGATTTCTCAGCTGATTGAATCAATCGTGGCCAATACTTTTCATCCGCATTTTTCTTACGAATCGTAAGAACTATAGACCGATCTGTATGATGAATTTTATAATTCTATACAATACATTTTAATGTCAGTATAGACCCTCCTAACGTTTTTAAATATCTCTCCAACCGACCTCTGGATCTACTTCCTTAAAAAAAAATAATGTTAATGAATATTTAGTAGAGCCATCCTTAGTCAACGCATCAAGTGTTAACATAGTTTCTGTTATATTAATTGTTGGATCAGAAACATCTGGCACTGCTAATGTTAAATATAAAACATTTTTTTCTAAATCCGACGACGATGAGCGTTGTGCCCATTTCACTAAGACCCATTATTAGCTTTCAATTCTTATATTTAAAGACGAAATCACCTTCGGGTGTAACTTGAATCATAATGTTTTGAAATTTTTTTTACCCGAATTTTCTTTAAGCAAAGTGTCCGTCTGCCCTCATCTCATTCTAAGAAAAGGTTTAGGGTTGCTATTAAGAAATTTATTAGACTAAAGTTCTAACAGTTTAGTTCAATTACTTTGTTAAGTTATTAAACTTAACTGTTGGAATTTTATTTTTATATTTATTATCAGGACTTGTTCCTGACCAGTGAGAAGATGTTTATTAACAAGAAGTTTATTAACATGATGTTCATTAACAAGATGTTTATTAACATATTATTTTTTATTAAAACAAATAAGATTAATACTGTTTATTTCTCTAATTTATAAGACTTTTTTTAAAAAGTAATATACAATTCAACTAGATTGATTGAACAACCCATATAACAGAGTTGTTATATAGTAACAAACCCAACCCCAACCCCAACCCTAACATGAGTACTAACCTGAATTTGAAGTGCTAAATTGAAGTGCTAAATCGAAGTACTAAATCGATGTACTCAGTTGATGTACTCAGTTGAAACCTCATTAGAATACTCAACACTCATCAAACTAACCCTCATCAAACTCCTTAACTCCTTCCCTCTAACCCCCTCCCTTCTAAACTTCATATTAACCCTAACCCTAAGCTTCAGCATAAACTTCTGCATAAACTCCTGCATAAACGTGTACATCATTAGCTTCTACTCGACCCTAACCCTAATCCCGACTCAACGCTAACCCTAACGCTAACTCCGACTCGGTCTTAACACCAATAGGAGAATCGGAGAACTCTATACTAGCACTTTAACAAGCACTTTAACAAGCACTTTGACAAACCCCCTAACTCTAACTTGACTCTAACTTGACTCTAACTTGACTCTGACTTAATACTAATAGCACCCCCTCCACCCCCTCCCACCCTCATACTTACTCCCCCCCTACTCCTTCCCTCCCTACTTACAACCAACTTCCTCCTAACCCCGAAGAACCCTAACCCTAACCCTTACAGCAACTTCCCACTGAACCCTAACCCTCCCCACTACAACCCTCTCCACTACAACCCTAACCCTAACTCCACACTAACCCCGCCCTAACCCCACCCACTCCGTTTTCCCGACTTTGTTTTTCTACCCGTCCCGACACACACCTTTAGGGCATCAAACCAATATTGGGTTTTTGTATGAACGAAGAATCAGGTCCTTATTATAAGGGGATGGGTAAGTTTAACGAGAGGGCAAGAAAATGAGGGCAAGAAACGTTGATATTAAAAAGAGTATTAATGAAAAGAAGAAGCTAAAATATGAAGGGTATTTGAAGGGATTAGAGGAAGACTAAAAGGAATTTTTTTCTTGCAAAGAAAAACATATAAATGAGAGGATGGAGTAGAACTGACGGGAGTTTAGGGAGTACAAGTCGTACACGATGTAATCCAACGATAAATGGGTATATGGAAGGTCAAATAACGGAAAAGAAACGAACAGGAAGTTATGGGGAAGAGAATGAAGAGATGACGGGAGTGGAAGAGAGATATTCAGAAGCGTATCGAAAAAAGGCGAAAATGAAGGGAGAATTAGATGTTCTTGATGAGGAAGCATTTGGACAGAATTTAGATGGAGGGCATGAGGAATCTCATGCGCGATTAGAGGATATTCAGCAAGAATTAGCGTCGGAATTTCATCCGGATTTATCGATGTTAGAACATTTACCGACGGTAGGACAAGAAGCACATGCGTTTTTACATGAAGAAGTAGCGCAACAGATTACGGATCCTAATCAAAACCTATGTATACAATCATTACCGATTCTAGATAATCTTGTAGAATAAGATTTTTTTGAAAATAAAGATAAACTTGCTTATATATGAAATAGTCATCACAAATTCTTTCAATTCTTGGTAAAGGACCGCATCAAGAGACTTTAAATATAGTAACGCGACCGGATACGGCGAAAGGACAAGCTTATCGTACGTTAACATCACTTTTTAACCGTAAATTATGAAATTTTTTAAAATATACAAGTTTAATTAATTTTTTTTAATAGAAGTTAAAAAATTGTATTCAACTGAAGCATTTCTTAACCCGGATTTACTTGATTTACGCGCGCCACAACATCGTGCAACTATTAGGAAAGTAAACCTTGCAACGTTTGTATCATCGGTATTTGGATCGGTAGAAGTGGGATTTTTTCATTTAAATGAACATTTTCTTGATACATTTGTTCCTGATGGGGCACGACTTCTTAAATCGCAAAGTGCACTTTTTCTAAATTTAAAAACGCAAGCCTATATTAGTGCTATAGATCAAGGCGAAAAGCCAAAAGAAGAGATTCTAGACGATCTTTTTCCTCCAAATATGGATCAAATTCTTCTTCAAAGAAGGAATGGAGCAAAAAGTCTTACACCTAATGAAAGTGATTTTGTAGCACGTTGCAAATCACGAAAAAATCATGTAATATTTTTATTATTAAAATACGTTATACTAATATTCTTTTTTTTTTTATTAGCTTGCTAAATTTCCTATTAATGAGAATTTAAGCGAAAAATATGTTTGGCAGATTTTTCTTCGTGATGTTTCCGAATATATTACAAGAAATTACGAGTCAATCGTTTCTCAGCCTGTATGTTAATATTGTTTTTTTTTCTTTCAATTTTTAAATCATTAATTTTATCATTAGATTCGTCGTCATCGCCGAGTTTCTTCCAAAATGCAGGGCTCTGCTCAAGGACACTCATCTGATTCTGTCCTTCAAGTAGCTTTGTATCGTCAAAATCAAGATCCAGGAAGCAGCAAATCAAATCATATATCTCATATTCAACATATTGCTCAAATGCAACAAATAGGACATATACAAGATTTACATGATGATACCGATGAAGCAACTGCAATGGCTCTTAATGGCGTCGATGCCAATCTATTTACAGGTTAATATTCAAAAATATATTTCAAGAATGTAGTTTACACTATATTAGATTCTAACCTTCATCTTAATCTTTCACCTACTGCTGATCATGCACTTTCTACACAACAACTCTATGAACAAGCACGTCAAGCTGCTCGTCCTTCTCCTTCTCGTAGAGGAAAACCTGCACAAAGACGTCCATGGACAAAAGAAGAAGAACAGGCTCTATTTGCCGGTCTTGATCAAGTCAAAGGCCCTCATTGGAGTCAAATTCTTACACTTTATGGTGCAGGCGGCACAATTAGTGAGGCATTGAAGGATAGAAATCAAGTACAATTAAAAGATAAAGCTAGGTAAAAAATTTATATATTATTAATTCTAATTCTTAACTTATACATAGAAATTTAAAACTTTTTTTTCTTAAAAATCAACTTGAAGTTCCCCCATATCTAAGATTCGTTACCGGAGATTTAAAGCGCGAGTAAACTTCAGTTTTCAAATATCTATTAATCTAGAATCTCGGCACTAGAAATTTTCAACATTCATCAGATATTTTTTCTGTAAATTAAAACAATTGGTTTAGAGTTCAAGGTATAGTACATAGGTAGTACTATTTCATGTATTTATAAGTTTGTCACATTTTTCATTATAGTAATTAAATTTTTGTTCGACAAATAATGTCTTCGTTTATATGATCTTTTGCTTTATATTTTTAATATAAAAATGACTATAAATAATCAAGAAGACATCATTAAAGATGAGGAGATGTTGGATGAAGATGATTTTGATATTTCACAAGATTTAGAAGAAATCAATACATTATTAGATAAACTTATGAAACAACCATTTGATTATGATTCACATATTAAATATATCAATTTACTTAAAAAACATAAGATGATAGATGAATTGAAGAGCGCAAGAGAAGCTATGCAAGTATATTTCCCATTAACAGAGGGTATTATTGAAAAAAACGGCTTTTAAATAACTTTATTAGAAATGTGGATAGAATGGTTAAATGATCAAGAAGAAATAACCATAACATCTGAAGATAAAATTTACCTTTTAGAACTATACTCTAAATCGGTTGAAGATTATCTTTGTAACTCAGCAGCAATATATTTTTAAGAAATAATTAATATTATATTAGCTATCAATTTATGGAAAAAATATATTACATATGTTAAAACTCAGGTAGAAATGACAATTAATAGTGAAAAATCAGACCTGAAAGAATTATTTAATCAAAATTTTCTTGAAAATATTTATATTCAAGCATATTCAGCTACTAAATACCATATTTTACAGGTAACATATAAATAATTGCTTTTATAAGATATGAATTATGTTAGAGCCATGAAATATGGTCTTTTTATCGTGATTATAAAGTTCAAATGTTGAAAGAAAATCCAAGGTATTAATTATTTATTAATTTCTATACTAATGAATAGTCTTGAAAATATTCAGGATGTAAAACAAATTTATATAGAAAGATTAAAAGTTCCTCATTCTGGTATTTTGAAATCTGGTAATGAAGTATATAATTAATATTTAGGAATGGAAACATGTTTCTCTGATTTTTCTAGCTTTATAACTAATTATGATAATTCAAATTATGAAGAAATTATGGTTTCAACTAATAAAATATATAATCCAGCTTTAGTTAAATATCAAGAAAGAGATTTTTATGAGATGCAGTTATCAAAGTATAATTATGCTTACGATCAATATGTCAAGTATTTAGAATGGGAATTACATCAAAAACCTCAAGAAATAGAATTAATATGTACACTATTTGAGCGGTTTCTTAAGAGTTATCCTCTATCGGCAGAAATATGGGAAGATTATATTCAATTTATGGTATTTTCTTTTCTTTTTTTTTACAATACTAATATAAATAGTTTGAAAAATCATCTATCAATAAAATAAATGATTTTTTTTTACAAAGATCTGTTAAAAACTATCCATGGAGTGGTATGCTTTGGGCACATTATATATATATACTTGAACATAATAATTCTTCTTTAAGTGAAATTTGTGCACTTAAAAATCGTTCAATTGAATTAGGAACACTTTTTCATGATATAGAAGAATTCGTAAAGGTTTTAGAAGCATGGTGTGGATATTGTAAACGTAGGGTTATAGTATGGGATAGTAATGATGAAAAAGTTCAATACGTTATAAAAGAGTTGCAAACGTCAATTAAACTACTTAGAAACGGTATAGATTGAAATAATAAATCATTAAATTTATAATTTCATAGTATTTAAAACATCTGATAAACAAAAAAGACTTGAAAAAATGCAAATTTCTGTAAATACGAAATTAGGAAATATGAATGAAGCACGCAAGATTTGGAAAAATATATTAAAAAATCATAATACAGAAGCTAAATATTGGCTACAATATTTTATATGGGAAAGGTAGTTTATAACTTTTTTCTATAAAACATTCAATATATTAGACATTATGGAGAAATAAATATCGCCATGAATATTTTGAAAAATGCTAGTTTAAAACATCTGGATTTACCTGAATTAATTTTCGATATATATAGGGATTTTGTTGTAGAAGAAGGAACATTGGAATCATTAGAAAAAGCAGAGACAATTATACATAAAGGTATCAAAAATATACGAAAAATAGAAAAAAAGGTAATATTTAAGCTATATTATACTATAAATAACATTTTTTTAAAAGGAAATAAATACAGAAAACAAAAACAATCAATTGCCTGAGGAATCAGAAGAAAAACTTGAAAAAATACCAACAGATGATAATATTAAAAATCAAAAGAAATCAATTGAAAATAAAATTAAACGGTATTAATATATTTAATATATTATTAGTGTTCATTATTTTATAGAAACAGAGAAAATACTACTGTTAGAGTAACAGGATTACCAAAATCAATTTCTGTTGAACAATTACGTCACTTTTTTTGTGGAGTAGAATTCTTAAATATGTCATAAAAATTATTTTAATTAATATTAGTGCGGCGATATTATAGATACGAAAATTATGGAAGAATCATCAAAAGATTCATCAACAGCATTTGTAGAATTTGCTACTCTAGTTGTCCTCCCATATACTTAATTATTTATTAATTACTTTTTTAAGGAAGATACTAAATCTGCTCTAACAAAGAATTACAAGAAATTGGATCAAAACGAAGTTCTAGTTGAGCTTGCTACTGAAACAACATTATGGGTAACAAATTTTCCACCCTCAGCAGATGAAAAATTTATTTATCAACTCTTTCAAAAGGTTTTCTTAAATTAAATATTCCTTTTTCTTGGAAATTAACTCATACATTTGTAGTTTGGAGATGTAGTTGAAGTTCGATTTCCAAGTTTACGTTATAATTCACATAGAAGATTTTGTTATGTTCAAATGAAATATCCGGTATTTATACACAAACAATTATACATATTTAAATCTTAAATACAATTTTTAGGAACAAGCATTAGCTTCTCTTTCTTTACATGGGCAAACTTTTGAAAAAAAATATAAACTTGTGGTTAGTATATCAGATTCATCAAAGAAAGAAAATAGAAAAGAAGCAATGTAAACATAATTTCATACTATCCTTTCCTCTACTAAGGAAAATAGTTCTGAAGAAAGAGAAATCATTGTTTCTAATATTTCACCTGAATCAACCGAAGATGATTTAATAAATTTATTCTCTAAATATGGAACTCTAGAACGTATACGGCTCATTTATGATAGAGATTCAGGATACCACAAAGGTTTTTGTTATATAGTTTATCCCACAACAGAACAAGCACATTCTGCATTAGATGCCGATAAGCAAGAATTGCATTCAAAACCTATATCTGTAAAATTAGTAAAACCAAAAAACAAGATCTATCTAAAAGAAAACAAAAAAGAGGATGAAAATGCATCTTCACACGAAAATACTGTTTCAGAAGAAAAAACTACACCTAGCGTACCTTTTCATGAAATCAAAGATAAATCTCTTGGCATTTTATATCTTCCAGATACCGTCAATCAAACTAGAATAGAAGACGTCTTCAAAGTCTATGGAAGCATTAATAAAATTGAATTAAGACCTGATCATCAAGGCGCTATTATTCAATTTAAACATGCATCTGTAAAAAATCATACAATTCCTCTAATTATACATAAATTTACTTTTTTTTTTAGGATGCTGGAAGAGCTGCAATGGCCCTAGATGGTTATGTTTTCTCTGATACAAAAATACGCATTGTTACTGTTGAAACTTTACTTCAACATAAACCTAAAAAGTAACTTTTTCATTTTTCTAAACTATTCTAATTTTTTTTACACAGATTTTCACCACAAAATAATGATCTTCCTCCTCAGAAAATTACTGATCTAAAGTCTAGACGACAAAGACTCTCCTTCAATCAAAACACTATCTCTTTGCCAAAAAAACGACTCAAATTATCTACTCATAATAATGCTCCTTCTTATACTCATTCATTATCAACTTACAATAATGATGACTTCCGCTCCATATTCTTGAATAAATCATAATTATTATTAACTTCTTATTATACACTATATATATACTGCCCAATACCTAGAGATATCGATCCAGACAGCCATGGCATGGAGGACAAAGAATATGGTATTTGATGGAGAAAAAAGCAGGAAATAACAGAGAAAATACACAGGCAAAACATCCACGGCAGTCAAGCCGACTGAAGGTAGTGGTTCGATATTTACCGAGTAGTCTTTCAGAGGAGGAGTTTAAGAACTCTATAAAAGAGTGTATTTCGGAGGAAATTGAATGGTTTACGTTTTTACCAGGGAAAATATCAACAAAGTATTTATTTATATGAGTTATTAAGAGTTTATTGAGGATTTAAGCCGTAGCAAAAATGATAGATATGGAAGAGCGTATATCAAGTTTAAATCGCTAGAAACGCTGATTGGCTTTTATAAAAGCATTAATAGACATGTATTTTCAGAAGAGAAGAGTTATAGATGTGCTATGTTGCTTTTTTTTGGGTTAATTATGACTAGATAAGGAGCAAAAGGTGCTTGTTGAATTTGCGCCGTTTCAGAAGATTCCTCGGTTAGAAAAACAGAAACATGATGTTAGACAAGGGACGATTGATGAAGGTATTAAGGGGATTATATTATACAGATATTTTTTATTTATAAATGTTTTTTTTTAGACCCAGAATATATAGAATTTCAAGAAACATTGAAAAATCCAAATAAAGAATCACAAGAACAAAATAAACAAGAGGATGGTTTGATAGATTTTAATATTTAAAATGAGCTAAAATTGTGAATATAGATGATACAGTTCCTATTAATGCAATTACACCATTAATTGTACATTTAAGAATGCAAAAAAAGGCAGCAGCTTTAAAATCGAAACAACGTAAAAAATATGCATTAGAAAAGAAGGCATCAGCACAAATAAAAGCTGATTCGATAACAGCACAAATCAAGTCACATGGAGGATATGGTTCTATAAAAAAATATAACAAGAATAAATTTCAAAAAGAACCAAATAATTCAGATGCAAGGAAAGAAAGTTCTATGCGACCAGACGAGCTTTTTCCAAAGCATTCTAATCCTCATAAAAGAACTCATAAAAATACAGCAAAAAAAGAATCGCCAGCTACTATGAATACTATTAAAATTCTTAAGCCATCAAATCGAGAAAAAGATTCTAATTCAGATATATTTAACAGAGAAAAGACGTATGATTCTTTAAAAATACCAAAAAAAAAAGACACTACAACTAATTCTACAAATAAAAGCGAAAATGAACCCAAAAAAAATACCAGAAAATATCATGATTGTACAGCACAATCCACACAAAAAGAGCCGAAAAGCAACACAGAATCATATAATAAGTCAAACACACCCTTTCGTAAGAAAGAACGCGATCATCATTCAGCGAGAAGCTTTAAGAATAAAAATGTTCAAGAATAAAATCAATTATAATGTTTTTAATATAACTATCAGATGGAACAATTTATAGTCTATGGACGTATCTTTTGTCCTAGAAATAGATTATCAAAATGTTTTAAAAATATATTTGCGCTAAACTTTATAGATAAGTTTAATACTTGGGAAGAATTACTAGATATAAATGATGGATTATGGAATATACACATTTTCTAGCGCTTCAGGCACTATCTTTGGTAGTTTTTTTAAAATTCATTAAAAATGGAAATAAATAATTATTCGTTCAATAAAATTTAAATTCATTTCTTACAGAATGTTGCGTCAAATCGCTTTTTGAAAACTATATCATTCAAAATAGCTGGAGAAATAGGGTTCAAATTGATTTGAATTAAACTTATTTATTTTCATCACTATCAAACTACAATATGCAAACTCATTTAAAAATATCATTTAATCTTCTAAATAATAATCATTTCAAAATAACTTGAAAAATTTCTTTATTATAGATTTAATTAAAGATTTATAAGCAGATGGTATATTAATAAAAAAATAATTTATATTATCAATAAAATATATTATTTAAATACCATAAATTGCTGAATACCACCCAGCACGTATGATGTAGTGGTTATCATATTCGCTTTACACGCGAGAGGTCCTCGGTTCGATCCCGAGTACGTGCAGTAAGAGATTAAGGAAATTAATTCCAGATATTTCATTCTTGTGAATCAATTTTCTATTTTCAAAATGCTATGTTTTTTATAAAACCTAAAAAATAGCATTAAACATATTAAAAATACTAGACCGAATTATCATAAATAAAATATAGCTAAAAAATAAGTAATAATATAACTACTACTAATAATAAAACTATATCTTGCTCATATTTTTATCAACTGATGACCCAAGAAACAATTTAAAATGCAATAAAAATGAAAGCAGTTGTGCATAAAGATATACCAAACATGACTTACAACTGTTTAAATACTAAAATATATGATAAAGTGAGATATTTTGAACACAACCATGATGATATAAATCAATAATTCAACGAAATTATCAGATATATGTAGCGATAAAGCATGCAAAAAAGTATTGATGACAAGAACCAATAACAATATATTTCCAGAATATCTAAACACCAATGCTTAAGCAAATATGAGAAAAACTATTGTCCCTAAAATTTAAATATAAATGCAAAGAACCTTGCAACCCAAATATGAATAAGAAAACGAGATACACCGTCATGAAAATCGTTTAGGTGAAATCGGTGTTATAGGAAGATTATACAGCCCTGGCAGCATATTTTTTGTTTTTGATGTAGAAGGTGTTAATGGACTTTCTTTGCAAGAAAAAGAAGGCGGAGTCAAAAGCCAAGAAATAGGAACTTTATCATCTAAAGTATTATTAAAGAACGAAAAATCAATTTTCAAGAAACCATCAGTGTTCTCGTAGCTTTCAAAAGATACAGTAAACTTTGAACAATTAATGATAGAAATACGTAATTCCGGAAGAGTAATCCTAGTACTCGGATTTGGATCAAAAACACGTTGAAGAATTGAATAAAGTTGAGATGAAAGAGGTAAAATAGAACGAAGAAATGCAGGATTTTGAAGAAAAGCACGAAATGTTTCATCAAGTGTGCTAGACGCACGTTTCCAAGGATTACGACCACATGTCAAATTTACTAATATAACACCCAATGACCAAACATCATTAGGAGCAGACCTATAATGTGGAAATTCTGTCGTTTCTTGTAAACATTCTATACCGAAAGAATTAATTAAAAAAAAAACCAGTAAAAAAGATACCAGGTGACATGTAAAATGGTGAACCACAACCAAATTCTGAGGTAAATACTTCTGTCGTAGCAAGACCAAAGTCTGCTAATTTTAAAAATTTACCCGACTGAGTAACAAGAATATTTTCTGGCTTCAAATCACGATGATAAATTCCTGATGAATGACAATATTCAACTGCACTCAACAATTGCAGAAAAACTTGTCTAATTAATGTATCATTTCCAACATATCCATTCTTCTCTGTAATCGCCGTAAAAAGATCTCCTTCTGAACAATATTCCATCACAATATACACACAATCCGGCGCATCCAAGACTTCAATTATAGACACAATATGGGGATGAGATTGCACTTTCAAATGTAATGCTATTTCACGTGATTGAAACTTGTTCTGAGTAGATTCATTCCCCATTTTCAAAATAGATTTAATTGCATACGAAACACTTGTATAAATATCAATTGCTATATATACTATCCCATATGTACCAACTCCAATAATACCTGTAATTTCAAGACGATTATCAAGAACGAGCCCAATCCTAGATTCTTGAAACATTGACATTAATAATATCAAATTATTACAGAATCCGATAACAATATAGGATTCCGTCTCAAGATAAGCAATCTTATGGGGTTTTACACTCCCTAAATCCCGTCCTTTTACTCATCATCCCCCTAATTATAGACAAAAAATACACCCTATCACATGGACAAGGTAACTAATCTTTGCATATGATAATATTCCATTTATTCAGTTAAAACATGCCCAAGACCGATAATTCCATGACCAACTAAATTTAGGACCAGACTATGACCGTTTGTCGGCTGATACCTCATATTCAAAGATATAATAAAATAATATAAAATCATAGAAAATAAACCATTTAAAACCAGAAATACATGTGTTTCATAGGTAAAAAAGCATAATCTTGAGCAATTACAATTTCTGCATATATGCGCAATAAAACACGCATATAATCCTGTTTATAACCCTTGCTAAACTTTTAATAGACAAAAAATAAGTTTATCAATAATCCTGGATATTTTTATTAGTACTTTCTCATAAGGTTATTAAAAAGTATTAGCGTTTTGTCTTTAATTTTACGATAAATTAAGTAAACTTGCTAATAAAAATAAAACAGTGTGCATTAAAGCTAAGAGTTAGAAGATAACTAAATAAGCTAAATAAATCCGAATTAATTAAAGCTTAAGGAAGTTTTATTTTAAAATTTAATTGGTAAAATATATTAAGGGAGAATAAGGGTTAAGACCTAAACAGGAGTAACCCTAAACGAAAAAGGTTAGGGCCGAGGGAGGAGGGCGAAGTGATTAGGGTTAGGGTTTAATGTACATAGGGTCAGGGTTAGGGTGTACGTGGGGGGAGAGGTAGAAAGTAATGAAACGTTTATATTTATTGTTAGTATTAATGAGAATAAATAAAAGATAATACAAATATATTAATGTTTTTTTTTTTTTTAAATATTTTATTTAATAATTTGATTGATTTTCATTATAAAGAAGGGATTTTAATTGATTTTTAAATCCGGAGGGAAAATAATTTTTAAGTTGAAATATTTCACCACCTAAAAATGTAAGATTTGAAGGGTTTAAAATAAGAACACCCCTAAGAACAAGAATATTTTTTAATAATATCTATATATTTATGTATATTTAAGAAAATATTAAAATAAATATTTACCTTAGCACCAAGATTTATTGCAACATGAATTTCTTTAATTGGTTTATGTTCAATTGCCCATACACATAATCCAGAAGAATCCTCAAGTATTAATTTGCAAAATTTTTTTGGTGGAGAATTATTTATATCAGGTATATCATCATCATCATCAACGTCAGATAAATTATTCCGTATAATATTATATGATTTGATATTGCCAGAATCATCAAACTGTTCTAGATATTCTAATTGATTAAATATACTAATTCCAATATCTTGAACATGTATAATTTGTAAACAATATGGACCAGGCAAAACTTGATTATGTTGATCAAAAATATCAATAGGTAAACATGATTGAGGAGTTAAGGCCTTTTTAATATCAGAATTTAATAAACATTGTAATATTTGTTGTTCTAATTCTTTGTTATTTAAAGAAGCATCTATTTGATGTAGTGTTTCTTCAATCCAATTTAAATGAACATATAAAGATTTGCTTTCAAGAAATTTTAATAACTTTTCTACCCTTGAAAGATTCATTTAAATACTTTATTTTAAACTCTGTAAAAACATAGATATATAGATATATATATATCCAGTCTTTTAATCAAATTAAAAATAAAATTTTAAAATGAAATCTATTTATTTATTTTTAGATACATTCATAATCAATAAAGTTAATTAAAATGACAAAGGTATTCTAATAATTTGTGTTTAATATATTACAAAGCTGCAAATAAAAAATAGTACTCAAAATTATCTAAAAACGCCATAAACACATCTATATCACCATTCCTTTATAACAATTGTAGTTATTCCTCTTTACAATAAAATACAACAAATTAATCAATTAAATCAGTTAATCATAAAACATCTTTATTTTTTCGTTTTTTTGTAAACCAACTCATTACACGAGAAGTATTATTCTTTTCACTTGTACAATTAGCAAATATTTTCTTTGTTTTTGAAATTTTAGATGTCTTTTTTGCATTTAATTTAGTTGAATCTAATTCATTATGTGTTAATAAATCCATATGAGAAGTGCATGGAGTATTTTTATAGTTTTTATTAGTAGATACAGTGAAAAGTGAATGATTTAAATTGCCATTCCATATCTTTCCAAATAATCGTTCAGCTCCAATAGAAATACTATTTGATCCACGTTTATGAGTATTAGAAACTTTCTTTGGAACATATTTATCATCTGTTGGTAACATTCCCATTGAAGTCCCTAAAGTTACATTTGAAGTATATTTCAAAGGAGAAGGAGGTCTTGAAAGCTCAGCATTTTTTGAAACAGCAGGTATAGGTAACAAAGAAGGAGGAGCTCGTGTTACATATAAATCACCTTTTTCATATAAAAAGGGTGGTTTTGAAGATGTAGAATTAGATGTTGGTATATAAACAGTATTTCGTTTAAATTGCTTATTTCGTGCATTTGTATTCAAAGAATTAAAAAGATTAAGACTCGAACCTTCAAAAATACCCACAGGAGATTGATAACTTGTTGGTCGAGGCTTTTTAGGTGGCGCAGGTAATTTATTTAATTGTGAAACTGCTGAAACCTTTGTTGGTCCCTTAATAGATGCAGATGTTTTATTATTCTCAGAAACTGCTGTAAGAGTTAATGCAGAATTGTAATTAGTATCATGAGATAACGTATTTTCAGATAAAGAAATATTCAAACTAGACATCATATCATTAAAATTATCATTAATAGAAGTATATTTTGAATATGGCATTTCCTCACTTAGAAAAGAAGGACTATAATTCTGTATATGTGATTCATAATCTATATGAACAGTATGACGTTTATGATTATTTGACGCAGATGATGCTTGTTGTCCTTTCGACATATATCCTGAACATGGAGAAGAATAATCATTATAACCATTGTATTTTTCACGATTAAGTTTAAATGGTGCTTTTGATTGCGATATGATATTAGAAGATACATGTCTTTTTTCATTTGACGCATTAAATGCAGACGTCTCTGGTAAATTGAAAGGCATATTAAATAGATCTATATGATGAATTAACCAAGGATGTGTTGTAATATCTTGCAATGAAGCACGTCGTTTAGGATCCGGAACAAGAAGCCTCTTTAAAAGATCTCGAGCAAGAACAGAAACATATTCCGGGAATGTCAAAGGCGTATTAATAATATATTTATATAATAAATTTATATTGTCACCATCGGGATTATTTGGATCATCATCAAAAGGAAGATATCCAGCAAGCATAGCATACTAAAATATAAGAATATAAACATAAGTAAACAACCAAAATTACCAAAATAACACCGCAACTCCAAACATCTACCTTCCTACCAACATAACAGCCATCACCAATTACCAATTCAGGTGCAGCATAGCAAGGACTACCACAACTAGTTTGCATAAGATCACCTCTTTTAAATGATCTTTCGCTAACGCCATCTATATCATGAAAATTATTCAAATTATCGCCAACATCAAAAACATTAGCAAAACCAAAATCCGTAACAATAATATTCTTATTTCTATCAAGTAATAAATTTTCCTTAATATTTAGTAAAAATGTACACTCAATAAAATACTAACCAACTTTAAATCTCGATGCACTATTCCTTTCTTATGAAGATATGATACACCACTAATAAGTTGTGCAAAAAGCTTAGAAGCAATGTTATCTTTAAGATAACGATGAACAAGAATAAAGTCAAAAAGTTCACCACCTTGTTAAAATAAGAAATAAACAAAGTTTTAAGGAAAAAATATGACTAACCACTTGCGTATTCTAATATAATGCCTATATATTGAGTAGTTTCAATCACATCAAAAAGTTTAACAATGTTTGGATGACAAACATAACGAAGAATTGAAACCTCACGTCTAATTTTATTAAGACGTGTACGTGAACCATTAATTGAGTCTTTTCGAATAAGTTTAATAGCTACCTATATAATTATATTATAACTAAATAAAATTTAAAAATTAATAAATACTTGCACATCTGGTCTAACTTGTCCATTTGGCAATTGCATTAACCCTCGTCTTGGCCATCCTAACTTCACTTTTCCAAATTCTCCTTCACCAAGTGTCTGTCCTAAAATATAATCTCCAAGACATGTCTCATGCAATTCCATATTCATTTTACAATTCAAAGATGATGCATGAAGACGATCTCCTCCTTGTTTCTGGTTCTGAAGAGACGATGTTCTTGGTGGTGGTAATGGAGATTGTCGTAATACCGCTGTCATTTTAATATCATATAAAGATTTATCTTTTAAACAACAATCCTTTAATAACGTATTAAATATTAACTAAAGAAACTATTTCCAGTATTTTTCCGATTAAACCTTATCCTTTATACTTCAAGAACCTCTTTTAATAGCTTAATTCAATGGAAAATAGGATTTGTTTGTTTTTAAGAAAATATATATAATTTTCTCAAAAAATACAGCCAAAAGCTCAAAAAAAACACCTTTTTATAATATAAAACCTCCTTGATATTTTTCAACAACAGATATTAAAAAATTATTATATAGCAATTAAAAATATCCAATATTCCGCTCAAACAAAAGTATAATGAATTCAAAGCTGCTCCAAACAGGAGATATATTCAATTAAGATATCTTATTTCTGTATTATTTGTCATTAAACCTATATATAACCGGCTTACGTGGTTTTTTTTAATATTAAATCGATTGCTAAGGGCGAATAAACAAATAGTTAAAAAATAAAGTATAAATAATAGAGAAAAGTAGAGAAATGTAGAGAAAATATAAAAAAATAAATAAAATATAGAGAAAAATATCATAAAATTAAAGAAACCATAAGAATAATTAGAAGCAGTATATAAGCGAAATAAAAAAATAAGAGGAAAAAACTAATAATAAACCAAATATATTATGACCAAAGTTAATCTATCAACTAATGGTAAAACCCAAGTAAAACAGTGAATCAAGTATAATAAATAAAAAATATTACACCTGAAGATTTATAAAAATTAAAACATTAAGAATTGACTTTATGTACCCTAACACTTGAAACCGATTTACCCCGTAATATGTCCTCTTAGAAAAGGCTTTAAACAGAAAATAAGTGTAAAAAAAATAAAACATATAAAAAATATGAATAAAATCTTTTAGTATCAAGCCCTTTTTAAATCCAGATTCGCCTTTATATTGAAACCAATGGTCCGTCAACATCAGGATATCAGATAGAGATATTGAAAAAAATCTCGTATTAAGGATAACCCAAAACACAATCGCCAAACATAAAACTCAAAAAGAAAGAAATGTAACCCAAAAAAAACACTTGCAATCAAGCCCCTTATAATTACCAACCTTGCATTAAAACCTCTCTCTGAATTTGCGCCATACTAATTTGCTGATGCGAATGAGCCTTATGATATTTCAACCCATTAAGATTTTTGTATCTTTTATTACATAATTCACATTTATACGGCTTATTTTCAACGACAGGATTGCCTTTAGGACTTGAAACCACCGCTTCATCTGAAAATGCCACAGGAACCGTAGTATCCTGAAGCATTACAGATGCTGTACAATGTCCATGAAGTTTATGATATTTTAGACCATTTTGATTTTTATAGGCCTTATCACAACCCATAACGGGACACTTATATGGCTTATCAACAACAACAAAATTAGACCCTGGGGAATCAATCGTAGCTCGACTTTCCGCATCAGACAAGGTTACTCCATGCTGACGCTGCTTTTTCACCATTTGTTGCTTTACCCATTCTTCCGCTAATAATGATGATCCATTCAAAACTACCGTCTCCGTATCATCCATATCTAATACTAAAAACTCTTGTGATGAATCAAATGTAGGCGTTGATGGCATAGATGACGACGGCGTCGATATATTCGACGATGAAAGTAAGAAATCCCGCGTAGACACCGATAATGGCGCTAAATTTTGTTCTTGTTTATCCGACTCCGATAATGACTGAAAAAGATGATCAAACGCAAATTCTTGATCTAAATCCATATCCCCATTCGACGATTCATACAGATCCAATCTAGGCTTGCCATCCCATCCCATTCGGCATGCAAACGCCGAATTCGCAAATCTCGCTCCTGATGATACAAATAACCCCTCTTCTTCTAACCGTACATGCGCCTCCTCATAATGTCGGCATAAATCATGCAAATCACGTAATACCACTCCACAACAATTAAAATCCTTGCAAAACGATATCTCCAATCGGGGACATAAATACTCTTCACATCCCAATCCTTCTTCTGTTTCCATTGAATTTCTATTAAAATTCCTCATTATTTATTCATTCCCTCTGCTAATAAATCTCTCTTACCCTCCTGACCCTAAAAAACTTTGTCCTTGTAAACTATTGGGTAAGAAATTTCCATGTTTCCATGATACATATGATCCGTCTATTGATACACGTTCCCGTCGTATCTCCGGACTTTGCATACTGTTTTATTTCTATTAAGAACAAAATTGCTCTTTACTGAGGCGATTCCGCGCTCTCAATCTTTACTGCGCTGCTTCAACACTCCTCCAATCCACTGCCCCTGCTTTATTCCGACCTGTTCTGCCGGTTTAAATAGGTCACCAACTGTTTCAGTATGCTGTCCTGGGTCTTTTAACCGGACGCCTTGACCCGTCACGGCTCCACTTAGTGGAGCCTGCGGATAAGCCCTATCATAAAGATGAGGAAATAGGTTAGCTTATTGCTTGAAACAGTATAGATTAGAAGGAGAGGGGACGAAAGGAGAGTATATGGAGGGGTTTGTAAGGGGATTGGAAGGGTGAAGGATGACGGGTCATATAGAGGGATGCTAGGAGGGAATGTGTAGGAGAGGGTATATGACGGGTCAAGGGTGGTTAGTATGTAGATGGTAGATGGTAGATGGTAGTTTAACAATATGTACATAACTATATGTACTTATAAACTATGTACTTATAAACTATGTACTTGTATTTATATTCGTATGTACTTATTCGTATGTACTTACTTATTCGTATATATTTATTATTAAAAAGACCATACTAATTACCAAGTACGATCGTAGTAAATACTTATAAAATATGTAGGAGTACGCAGAAGTATGTAGGAGTACATAGAAGTATGTAGAAGTATGTAAAAGTATGTAGAAGTATGTAGGAGTACGTAGTAATATATAAGTATATCTAATGTATTATGCAAGGGAAATTTATTAATATTTTATAAAATAACCAAATTTATTATTTTTTTAGTCCTATTAAGTTTAATATAGTAAATAAACTATTCTACGAAGAGTAGAAAATAACCGGATAAGTAGTAAAGATTAAATATTAAAGGGTAAAATAAGAGAAAATAAGGTTAAAACTAAGTAATAAAATATAAATAAATTTAAAAAGGTGTAGTGTAAGTAGTGTAAGTAATGTATGTAGTGTATGTAGTGTAATGTATGGAATGTATTTATTAATAATGTATTTAATATAATTTACTTGATATAAAATTAAAAATATTATTTGTTTTATAAAAAAAACAAACATCCAACTAACCTTGAATTTCTATTTCATAAGAATTACTTTTATGTTTAGGTATAAAATTAAAAGTATTATCTTTAACTTTTCCCAAAAACATTTCACTTAAATTATTGTTATCGATAAACTAAATAAATAATAAATAAATGAATAAATTACCTTATTTTAACCCAATCTTTAGAATTATCACTAGCTAAAAGGGTTTCCATTTCATTACGACCTTTCCAAAGTGGAGGTCTATCCTGAATATTTGGAGGAAGCACTTCTAGCATAGTTGTTGGTACATAACTTTATTAAAATTAGTAATAAATAAATATATATATATAAATAAATAAGATTTTTTTACCGATGAAAAAAAGAAAGAAGTTCACATAAAAAACGCCGTGTTGTATTAACACCAAGTTCATCTGAGCCCTATATAAAAGAATTGTTAATATATATGTATATGTATATATATATAGATGATAAATAGATGAATTGATAATACCCAATAATCAAGACCATATTCACAAAAATCCTTAAGTATATTTAATCTTTCAGTTGAAGATTTATCAATGTATTGTTTGGAATCAATTTCCTCGAATATCCAGCTTTAGAAATATTAGTCGATACGATAAATAATTAAATTAAAGATACGGTTTTATTAAGGCGCCTCTAGCCACCATAGCTGTATCTACACCAGATATCATAGCAGCATGCCAATCTTCCCAACTATATATATCGCCATTACTTAGAATAGTTAAATATGATAATAAAAAAGTAATGAAATACCCAATAAAAGCCATAGAAGAAACATTTCCAGTTTCAGCATTTTTTTTAGAATCTTCATTATAAGCATCATAATCTCTCATTGCATTTATCATAGAAGCACATTGAAAAATATAATCCCAATCAGCCTTTTTAGTATAGCGTTGTTGTCTAGATCGTCCATGTAATATAACAGCACTTAAATTAAGTTCATTTCTTAATCTTGCAATGAGTTTAAGAGCGATTGGTTTATTATTTTTTGTTCCCATTCGAATTTTTGTAGTAATTGGTATGGAATTAGATACATAAGCCATACCTTCTAGCATTTTAATCATTTTTGTTTGAGAATCTAATAAAGCAGAACCAGCGCCCTTTTGATATTTAATATTGATATTTTAGAGGTAATTAATTTACCTGTTTATAAATCAGATCAATTGGACATCCACAATTCAAATCAATAAAATCAATTCCATTACAAACATTTACTAAAACTTCTGTAGCCTTAACAGATTGCCAAAGCTTACTTCCACATATTTGTAAACCAAAAAGCCCATTTTTCCCATTCCCTAAACTTGATCGCTCTGAAATATGTGCACGTGGTAAAGCCCATTCAGATTTTAAGCCCTGTAACAATGGAAGAGAAACAATCATTTCAGAAAAAGTTACATCTGCACCAAAAGAACTACAAATACGTCTAAAAGGAACATTTCCAACTGTAGTTAAAGGTGCAAGAATCTTTCTACCCTTCCAACATATCTATTATTGTTAAATATATTATAAAACAAAAGAATTAAAGACTTTTTTTTTTTCCATAACATTTATAGAAAAATCCTTATCAATATTCCCTAATTCTTTGTCGTTAAAACAACTTGTATAAGGATTTTGATCCAAAGAAGCCAAATAACTATCTGATTTAGGCGTTAAATACAATTTACGTGAAAGTAGCTTCCTAATATCAGATGAAACATAGTTAATATCATCATTTTTATGCATTTCCATCTTCTAGCATTATATTAAATACAAATCATTCCATTATAAAGCATCAAACATCATTATCTGAGATTAAACTCCATGTTTTAACATCTGATGCTGGTTTTAACAAATGCCCTCCTAACCATCGGCATTTCCACCCTGATCTACACCATCCCCTTGTATTAAAAACGCTGCAAATATCACCAATATCTGCCGGTTTTTCATTTAAATATTCCTCAATAGAATGTTCAAATTTACAGCTACAAAAAATAAATTTGAAACCAAAAAAACAATCCAGACATACGAATCCCCATACTGACATTCTTCCCCAATAGAAATACGGGGACATAGCTGCTTTAATTCCTTCTCTATAACTATTTTTCTATTTTTATTCTGGCCTCTTTGTCTTTTTCGTTTTTCAACCCGTTTTTTTTGGGAAAATTCAATCATATCTACTTCAGAGCCTTCATTTTCATCATGTTCATGACGTTTCTCTGACTTTTCATTCATTTTTTCTCTCTTCCAATTCTTGCTTATACAAAAATATGTCCCAAAAAATATATATATAAAAATACGAAAAAACACTCAAAACACACTATATTATATCTAAAATGACGTTCCTCTTCTTATCACTCCTTTTTATTCATTTTCATTTTTTGGCCTGTCCTTCCTCTCCTCCTCGCATAGAGTTTTTCGAAAGGCGCTGCTCTCCATTATAAAAGTGCACATAAAGATAATTAATTTTGACAGGAATTGTGCATTAAAAAGATATAAATAGCCATGAAAATGACATATTTTTGTATTTTCCATACATATAAAGAATTTTACCGGGAAAATAAGGGTTATATTAGGATAACATAGGGTTTTATTATAGACAATATGACATTAAAACTTTCTAAACATACGCTTTTTTTTGAGGAATTACAAGATAAAATCTCAAGAACATATATTTCTGTTAAAAATCCGTCGCCTAAACATAAGGTAGCGTTTAATCTACATACAACAGCAGCATCAAATCATTATACAATATATCCATCAGCAGCTATGCTTAATCCGAATTGTGAATGTGAGATTTCATTTGAAAAGCATCCATCAGGTCAATTTCGTGAAGATAATGGGTTAAATAAGACTATCGATAGCTTTATTATACAGTCTATACAGATAGACGATAAGATGAATAAAAAAATAACAAAAATGGAGAAAAATGATAAAATAATATGGGATTTTCTTGAATCAGAGGTTCAGAAGAGTTTTAAGAAGAATAAAATCAAGACGACTACATTATTGGTATCAATTAATAATAAAATGAAAATAGATGGATCATCGAAGTTAACGACTGAAAAATTGAATGAAGTGAAGGAGGCAAATTATAATAGTATTACAAGAAAGATAAATCATTTTTCTACAATGCCTATAAAATTTTTTAGAAACAATATGTTTATGCAAAATCAGAAAGAAAGTGAATATTTTCATCAAAAAAAAGGATTTCATAGTTCAGAAACATTAGAAATTATGTCATCATCGAGAAGATATCAAATGGAAGAGAATGATTCAAAATCACAAGAATTGTTTAAAGATTCATGTAATATGACAAATAAACATGAAAGTCCATTTCAAAGTTTAAAAAACGATTTTTTTCATTCAACAGATACATTTAGTACACATATGTCTGACAATACAACAATTACAGTTGTGAATCTAGGTCATTCACACAAGACATATAATAATGAAACGAATGGTACTAGTTTATCTGAATTATGGTCTAATAAAGATTCAGATAATGATATTAATTTAAATGATTTAAAGAGATCTACAGATATCATAGATTCAAAAAAGATTGAAAAGGATTTTCATAAAGGAATTGAACATCTTCAAGTATGGAAATTGATACAAAAGCAAGGCAAAACCAAACATCCTGATACATTTTCATATAAAGACGAATTTTCTGATGATGAATTTATCATTCCATCACTTCCTTTAAAGCAAAATTTCATAGCTTCAGCAATTCCTATAGATTCAGGTTCATCTTTACTAAGTTTATCTCAGAAATCTACAGAAAGTTTTCTTTCTCAAGAAATATTTTATACGTATAAGAGTTCAACTTGTAAAGAAACCAAGAAAGATGTTAGGAAAATATCTTTTAATAAAGAATCATTATTTTCTTATTCTCAAAAATCTACTTATGATAATTCTGTAACTCCGGACTGGATGTATGGCATTTTGAACTTGCAAAAAGATTTTCAAGCAATGATTGAAGACTTTGATCAAAAAACAAATTTTGATATTAAAAATTTTAATCTTTCAACTATCTCATGTCAAGTGTAAAAAAAAAATAGAAAAGTTTAAAGAATCAATAAAACGGAAACGGATTAACAATGTTTAAAACACTATTGTTTCAATCTAATATAATACTATAAAAAATACAGATATATTCACATATTTTTTTTGGATTCATTCGTCTTCGTATCCCTACTATATCTTTCTGAAAGTTCATGAAATTCTTTATCCTTTTCAACAATTCTTTTCTTCAACTCTGTAATTTCTTCCACCAATGCCTTCGATTTAACATGTTCATCCGACTGCGTCTTCAACCTATTAACTAATTCTTCATACTTAAGTACTTGTAGTGTTAAAGCGTAGACTCGATCAATAATCCTGTACATTAAAAACCCATTCATTATTAAAACATAATAAAATCCAATTTTTTTTACAGACTAAGAAAAAGCGTAAATCCACAAAGATACATATTCCTTTGAGAATAAAACTTCCTTGCCTGCATATCACTTCGATACGCATCCCGTAATGACCCAGACGTACCCACTTTAGCATCTTCCACTGTACGAAAGACTCGATTGACTGAGTCAAAAAATAATACCAAAATAAAGATAAATATAATCTCGTAATAAAATCATTTCCTGATCAATTGAAAAATATTAACCCTCAAATACCTTTGAAACATAACGAATCTTTGCTATAAACCATGACGTAGAAATAAAGGTAAAAAGACGACGTTTTAAACGTTTAGGCAATGGCATAATTAAAAAACAAAATAAAACCATTTCTATCACTAAAAGTGTAAAAACTAAGTTTATCTTTTAATAAAATAATAGCAGAATAATAATAAAAAAGTGTACCAAGAGAATAATAAAGTGTCATTTTTAACAATTAGAGCCTGCCCAAAGCAACGCCAATATTTATACGAGAAAAAATGAAAATTTAAAGAAGATCTCAAGAAGAATAAAACGTATATATAAATAATAAAAAATTATAAAGTATTTAAGAAAAATAAGATATTTTAAAGAAAAATAATTAAAAAATGAATATAATATTTTGAAATTAACTGAAAATAATTAGATTTTAGTGAAAAATAGAGTTTATAGAGTTTTTGATAGATAAACAAGTAATTAGTTAATATTGTACATAAAAAATATAAAGTTAATTTTATGAAGTTTAGTAGATTGACAGGGTTATACAGTGATTTTAGGTGTAAAATGAAGGGGAATTAGCTAGATAGAGGCCGAATAGAGGCCTAATAGTGGTGGAACTATGACTTGATATATAATTTAGTCAAAAGTTAGGGGTGAGAAAGGTGAATAGTGGGTTAATGGCAAATCAAGATATGATAAAGATAAAAAGGATCAAACAGCTAAAAAATACAGCTGTATTGATCAGCAATGAGGAACTCGGATAAAACATGTATATTTATATATATATTTTTACGAGTTTTTGAAGTATTTATGGTGAAAAGGTAAAAATACAGGTTAATCAAGATATTGATGCAATTGAAGAAGGATTTAGGAGATTTCTGTATAAAACAGGTGGTTTTTTAATAAAAAGTGATGAGAATAATGAATCTTGAAAAATAAGGATATTTAGCTAATATTAATATTTCATAGTATAAATACATAAATATATAAAGAAAAAAAATACATAGATAAAGAAGCGGATGAATTGTTATTTAAGACAATGTTTCTATTGCTTTTTAATCCATCAAAATGAGTTTTTATCTATATCGATAACAGGAGCAAAAAACAGGTATAGAGATTAGCAATAGAGGAGTCATAAATGAATCAATTGAATTGATTTAGATAGATTTAATAATATTCTTCTTGAAAACATTATAAAATACTAGTTATTTTAAAATTATATATTTATATATTTAAATTTTTTAAGATATACTTTAAAATAAGACTAATTTCATTGCTAAAACATTACTATATGTCAAGAATTCTATATATTTGTAAAAAACTTCCTAGAAAGCATATTTTAGATTCTTTTATGATCATTTAGTAACAATTGCTCTAAAAAATAGTCTACAGAAAAACTAATACAATGTAATTTTTTGTGATAATAATGACAAAAAGAATTTTAATAAATATAAAAAATATTAAAGTTTTAGAATAAATTAGAAATAAAATAACATTTGAATTTATTAAAAATTTGTTTTCAAATAAATTCAAATAAAAAAACCATAGTTAACATTAATTAAGAAGTAGATATATATAAATCAGTGAAACAGAGAAAGAGATCAAATAAAAGCAATTGAACCTGTCAATTGCTTAATTTTCCTAATTGTTTTCGAAAAAGAATGTCATCGAGTTTTATACCAAGTCCTGGTTTATTAGGAGATACTTTAAAAAATATATCAAAGACCATATCCCTAATAGAATCTGCAGAGACATTATTAGCAATACAATTAGTGATACTTTTTTCAAGATCAATGTCTCTTGGCAAACCATAACTATATGGGTAATTTAGATATTGAACGGAAATAAGATCACCAGATATATTTAATCGAGGAGATTTTTTAGACTTTTTAAAAAAAGTATCAACCAGTTTATCAGAAACTTCAGAAATTATTGAAGGGTTCCATACGGGTTTAACTGAAGGCTTTTTAATTAACTTTGCTTCAATACCTTCTACAAAATCATGAGTTTTCTAAAAATTCATTAATAAATAATAACCAAATAAACAATAAAATACTAAAAAATAACTAGTTAGATTAAGCTCATTATTGAACGCTTGTAAAATATTCCATTTCTTTGCCTCTTGAATTTCTCGTAAAGCAACTTTAATACTAGTAGGAGACCGTTTATTAAGAGTACCAATAGTAGAGTTTGCCCATTCTGTACCCTCATTTTTCAATGCTTTAAAAACATTCTCGATTTTTTTATGCTTAAAACATCTTTTCATATATTGATTCATGTTTCATCAATAAATCAAAAAATTACCTGTCAATTGCATTACGCGTCTCCCCACCAAGCTTATATTTATAATCTCTAGGAGGTTCACCGGAAAATTCATCAATTGTTTTATCTACAACATTGAAATAATCTTTACTACTAGAATCACTTGTATCTAGCTCAGATAATCTCACAATAAGATCATCTAATCGTTTAGAAGGAACATAATGTGTAGCAATTCCCGATATTCTAGATAAATTAAAGAAAAATTCTACCTTGTATTTTAAAAAATTACAACGTATCAAACCCATAAAGACGTTCACTTGTCATTCCAAGATATTTTCCAACTTCACCATCCATACGAGACAAAAAAAAAGACAGCCCTGCATCCGGAAAAAAACCAATATCTGTCTCCGGCATTGCAAAAACGGTGTTTTCAGTAGCAACCCTGAACGGTGCATGAACTGATAACCCTGCACCTCCTCCCACTAATATATATAAACCTTTATTCTAAAAAAAAAAAATAAATACTTGTGATCCCATCCATTAAAGAAACATATGGCTTCTCCTTATATGTAGCAACAAGGTAATCAAGACGATATTCCAATTCAAAATATTTCATCGCCATTTTATACCCATTTTCTGCATCCGACCGACATAATTCTGCAATAGCTAGATACTTAACCTAAAAATAATACAGATATCATTGATAATCCTACCAGCTACATCTCCACCGGCTGATAATGCCTTACTATTAATTCCTCGTAGCAAAATAATCTTAGCTAAAGAAGATTTTTTCCATTCCTTCAAAAAATCAATAATTCAATTCCAAACAAAAAACCATTCAAACAATAAGCTTTTCATATATATTTCTTGTCATTATCATATTTAAAGCATTCAATTTTTCCGGTCTATTCAATGTAATAATTCTTAACCCAAAATTACTGTCAAATAAGACTTCTTTCTGCATAAAAAATGAATAAAACATAATAACAACTCATTCCAATACATTTAAATCGGTTTTTGCTGCGGAAAAGCTCATTTTTGTCTCATTAATCTCAATCATTAACAATAATATTAAATATTATAAGTACCCAAGAAAAGGCCCTTTTAAAAACAAATAAATTAATCATATATTTAGGTAAAAATAGCTTAGTTTTATATGTAAAAATTCCTGTTTTCATTCAATTGCACATATTTAAGGGAATATATACTTAATTTTTTTTTTGACGTTGAGAGGCCTCGTATATCGATAGACGTCAGCTTTTTTTGTATAGAAAAGGTGGGGGGAGAAAGGGAGATTAGGGGGGTTAATATGAGGAATTCGATAGAGATAATAGGTTTATTTAATAGGAGAATATGTAGAAAGGTATTCTAGGAATTTGAAGCGTTTTTTTCCGTTGAAAAATGACTGATTTCTTGGATTTTTAGATACAGGAATTAAATGTCCAATTATATAGCACAAAAACAGAGATAAAGCATTTTATTCCAGTTAAATATGGTATATGAAATGTATTATGAGGATCAGCGGGTTTTTATTTGCAATTTAGAGGGGTTTTCCCAAGTTCTTACGACACTTTATTCATTTCCAAATATGAAGCCAGTGCGGTTTAAGGAATTCCCGTCAAATTTTCTAAATCTTCCTCTTAGAAGAGACATTCTTCATCGTGCAGTAGTTTATGAAGCGGACAAACAAAGACAAGGAACAGCTTGCAAGAAAAATAGATCAGATGTTCGTGGATCGAATAGAAAGATTCGACAGCAAAAAGGCACGGGAAAAGCACGTCTTGGAGATATCCGATCACCTTCTATAAGAGGAGGTTTATTTTTTTTGGATATAGAATTATTTTAAAACGATTCTAGGGGGTCTTGCACATGCACCTAAACCTCGAGATTTTTCTACTAAACTTCCACGCAAAATCTATTATTTAGCGGTACGAACAGCATTATCTGCTAGATATAATAGGGGAGAAATAATTGTTATAAATCATACATTTGAATTGCCAACATATAAAGCAAAAGCTATGGTAAGCATGATGAAAACATATCGTTGGAATAGTGATAATGGCGGCACTGTTTTTATTATGTATTCTGATCGAAAAAACTTTAAATATTCAACAGGAAGTTTAGGAGCTCATTGTATTGTTCGAAATGTAAATGAACTTTCTATTAAAGATATTTTAATGAAAAAAAGAATCATTATTGAACGAAAAGCACTCGAATGGCTTGAACAAAAAACAAGAATAGAATGACTATAAATTATGGTACATAAATCATTTTATATCATCATTATTTATTACATATTTTCTAATTCATATAATTTTTTTATTTTCATAAGGTTATCGGCCTTAAAAAAACTATAAAAACATATTTTCTCCGGGTTAAAGACTAGCCCTACCATAAACTAGAACATATTTTCTATTTCTTTATATTTTTTATAAGAATCTTTAAGTAACTTTAAGAAATGAGGAATTCTTTACAACAAATCTACAATAATTTATATAAAACAAATAGAAACTTAATATATACAAGATATTTTACATTTCTATCAGGAGACTACTTAAAAGAACATCTTAGAAAATCTATACAAAACAAAAAATCTAATTTTTATATACAAATTGCAAATATAACATCTAAATCTAATGAATCTTTATCAAATGAGCCAAAAATCATATCATTACAGCAAGGCTCTGATATATTTGAAATAAAAGACGAGAATAATGAGAAAAAATATCCACGTCTAACATATTTTTCACCAAAGCTTGGTGTTAATAAGGCATATGATGAAGCTTTAAAGGTGATTGAAGCAGATCGTTTAGAAAAACAGGAAAAAATCAAGAAAATCAAGTTAAGAATAGAAAGAATTCTAAAAAACAAAGGTAATGATTCTTTCTTGTTTTTTTCTTAATATTTTTTATAGAGTCTATTACAAAAGATACAGAAGCACTGATTACAAATTTAAAAAAATATTTGAATAAGCTTGAAATACTAGCAGACATTAATAATCCAGAAATAAGATGGAGATTTAAACATAATGATGGTAATATTTCTGGGGAAAAATAAGAAAAAACTTATATTATTTCAGTGGATATGACTATTCCTGTTTATCGCTATTTAGCAAAGCAAAAATGGATGGAAAGGCCGTATCGTCTTTTAATGCAACGTGTAGAACAGATGTATGTTATACCAGATGCGTATGAGCGATTTAAGCCTACAGTAGAGGTTGTTCTTCGATTTGGAAAGGAAGAGCTTGAACCAGGAAAATTTGTTTCTAATAATATATCAGCATCAGCTCCTGTTATAGAGATTAACTCTTTTTCAGGAGAAAAAAAACTTTACACAATAATTTTATTTGATTTAGGTTGTCAATTTCCTTTTTATTGTTTCATTATTAAGCTAATATTGTTTAAAAGATTCTCCAGATTTAGAAAATGATTCTTTTAAAATATATCTTCACTGGCTTATGTATGAATTTCTTTAAAAAAATAGATATTAACAATTTTTAGTTCTAATATTCCAATTTTGCCTACAAATGCATTGGTACAGCCTTCCAAAGGAACTATCTTAGCTTCTTATATTCCGCCACATCCACAAAAAGGTAGTCCATATCATCGTTATACATTGCTTGTATTTGAACAAGTTAAAGAAATTTCAAATATTTCAAATGATTGTAATATTACAAGAAATCATTTTAACGTTAATCAATTCGCATCTTTAAATAACTTAAAAATTGTTGGGATTCATTTTTGGCGTGGTGTTTGGGATGAGCATGTAGACAAAGTTATGTCAGACGCACAATTACCACAATATAAAACAATTCTTAAAAGGGCATAATTTTTTTCAAAAATATATTGTTAAATAACCGCCATCTATCTATTTATATTTATATAATGCTATTTACAATCAATTATACAACAATACTTCAAAAATTTAATTTATATATTTAATTAAGGATTCTCGAGGACGGCGAAAGTCCATTATTAAGCCATTTAAAGCTCGGAAGAACCCTACATACAACTTTTCCTTTAATTAACCCCATAGGAAGAGGTCCATAATTTCGACTATCTAAAGAATGTATCAAATTATCACCCGTTATCCATACATGTCCTTCTGGAACCTAAATCAAATCTCTTAAATCAATAATTATACATTATTTAATCTACTTTAATAAATTCTGGTCGATCAACCAACGGATCTTTAGAAACAATATCTCCTGGCTATTTTCAAAATATTAACATAATTATACACAAAAAACACCAGATACCATTCCAATAATTCTTTTAGCAATACGAACATTTGTTGTACCCGGTTTAATCGCAACAATTATATCTCCAACCTGGCATCCTCTACCATTCTTCCCATTCCACTTATCTACACCCAAAAAATCACCATAAACATTTAACGTAGGAAGCATAGATGGTCCTGAACATGGATATATTTCAAATATCTTCTCATTAACTAAATGAACTAAAGCTAACATTTGAATAAAAATCTTAAGATTTTTTAGTACTCGAAAATTCTTAACTGATTCCATAAAAAAAATATATTCAAAAATACGTATTAAATGTGAATATTTCTAATAAAAAACGTTACATTTTGTGTATAAAAAATACAATTTTTCTACACAAAATTAACATTTTATTTTTTAGAGGTCAGTTATTGTCATGGAAACGGTTGTCTAGGTTACGCCGGTTGCTTGGTAACTGTTGTCAGAGTAACCAACTCGAATCTTATTGGTCAATTTAAAAAATCTTATAAATTGACTTGAAGCCCCTCTGAATTCCTAAAAATTACCAAAATTTTGCAGAAAAGGCGGAAATTACGGGGAGGATTTATGAGGGGAGTGAGAAATTATAAGCAGAGTAAAACAAGGAGAAGAAAAGAGTCTAATTTAAGGAATATTATGTCAAGCGGAGAAGAGAAGGCTCAAGGCGGTGAATGGAGAGAAAGTGATAAAATGGAAGTAGAAACAGATATTTCTAAGACGGTGATTGATTTGACGGGGTCTCCAAAAGGGATTATTCAGGAGGAAGGAAGTGCTCTTAAAAAATTGACAATTAAAAACTTCCGAAAAACATCATTAGAATCGCAGGAAAGATATTATAATGATGTACTAGAAAAGCTTGATAAGGCGCTTATGACTATATTTGAAAGGAGGAAGATTGTATGGAGTCTTCAGGAATTATATAAAGGTGTAGAGAATTTATGCCGAGCATTTAATCAGTCAAATAATGAAGATCCATGGGCAATAAAGTGTTATCGAATTTTGGAAACTAGGTCAAAAGAATCTATAAAGTTACTTTTATTGAATATTTTAGAGAAAATATCATCATTTATACAGGAGGAAGGAGAAGTGGTTAAAATAGTGATTGAAAAAGGATGGGAAGTATGGATTGATCAGATTTCGACGATTAGAAATATATTTTTTTATTTTGATCGTACATTTCTTCTTATTACACCAGGATTATCATCAGTATGGGATACAGGTGTAAGCTTATTTCGTGAATATCTTTTTATGGATATATCAGTTAATGAACCTTTTTTTTTTGATCTTTTTTCCATAATTGCATCTATACGATCGTGTTGTATGGATTTTGAAAAAGCGCCTAATATTGTATTATTACAATCATCGATAAAAATGATTAATTCATTAAATCTTTATACATCTTTATTTGAACCAAAATTTATCCAGGCCACAGAAATATATTATAATAACAAAGCATTGGAACTTATAGAAAAAAGTTATCCAGAGGAATATTTATCTCATGTTAAAGAAATATTAAATAAGGAAGAAAATTTTTGCAATGAATTTTTTTCAGAACAGACAAAATCAAAAGTTATTCATATAATCGAGATTCAAATGATAAAGAATCATTCAGAATGCATTGTTGATAGAGGATTTGAGAAAATGATGATTGAAGGAAATACTAAATCTCTAAAAGACTTATATACACTTTTAAAATCGGTCAATCAAGTGGAATTAATTAAAGCTCATTTGGCAGAATATATCAAAGTAAGGAAAGAAAGATTTATTCAAATTGTATCTAACTTTGAAAGAAAACATGCAAAAATTCGATATCAAATTCTAAAAATAATTCAAATATAATTCCTTCACTTCTAAAATTTTACTCTACTTTGAATTCAATTATTTCCGAATGCTTCTTGTCAAATGGATCATTTATTCAAACACTTCGAGAATGCTTTGAATTTTTCATCAATAATTCTGTCAATAACAGTGCAGAAATGCTAGCTAAACATATTGATAATATGTTACGATCCGGTAATAAGTCTTTCGATGAAGAATCTCTTGGAAATGAAATGGATAAAACATTAGAACTTTTTAGATTTATACAGGGTACACTTTTTCGTATTACTTTAATTTTAAATAACCATTTGTCTAGGGAAAGATATTTTTGAAGCATTTTATAAAAGAGATCTTGCTAAACGATTATTACTTAACAAAACTGCTAGTACCGATGCAGAAAAAGCCATGTTACTAAAACTTAAAACAGGTTTGTTATTACAAATCCAAAAGTCTCATTATTTTTATATATTTTAGAATGTGGATCCGGATTTACGCAAAAACTTGAAGGGATGTTTAAGGATATAGATATTTCAAAAAATTTTATGGCATTTTACAAGGTTTTTATTTATTTATTTCATTACCATTTTTTTAATCAAATAAGAATTCAAAATCAACTCAAGAAAATCCACCAGTTTCAAATTTGTATGTAAATATTCTTTCACAAGCATTTTGGCCATCTTATCCCAATATTTCCATAATTTTACCGGAAAAAATGGAGAAAGATTTAAATTCATTTTCATCCTTTTATTTTTCTAAAGAAAAAGATAAAAAATTAGCATGGAGACATAATTTAGGGCATTGTGTTGTAAAAGCAGATTTTCCAAAAGTATCTATCCATTCATTTCTATATCATTAAGAAAATTAACTATTAAAAGGGAAAAAAAGAGTTAAACGTTACTTTGTTTCAAGCAGTAGTCATCCTTTTATTCAATAATGTACCAGATAATAAAACGTTATCATACAATGAAATAAAAAAATCTACAGGTTTAGAAGATAAAGAGTTAATTCGAACATTGCAATCATTGGCCTGTGGAAAAGTTAGAGTACTTTTAAAATCTTCTAAGGGAAAAGACATAAATACTACAGATCTATTTTTAATTAATCTTGCATTTTCAGAAAAATTATTTAAAATTAAAATTAATCAGATTCAATTAAAAGAAGTATCAAAAGAAAATAAAATTATTCATGAAAATATACAAAAAGACCGTTCTTTTGAAATTCAAGCTACTATTGTTCGAATAATGAAAGCAAAAAAAAAAAGTCATCATACTGAATTAGTTCAAGCGAGTATAAATATATTAAAACGAAGAGGCATTATATCTGTCAATGAAGTAGAATCAACTATCGAAAAACTTTTGGAAAAAGAATATATAGAAAAAGATGAAAAAAATTGTAATACATACATTTATCTTGCATAAGTTTCAAAAATAATTTGAAAATATACTGATACCAAAGATATATAAATTTATTGTTTGAATATATAAAATAATCATTTACAATACCAGCATAGACAATACTAATTATATATCATTAATATTTTCATTAATATTTTCATCAATATAAATTCATTTACGATTTTCTTGTATCATTTTCTCTGTCATTCTTGTTTTTATTTCATAATAAATATTTTTACATGAAGACTTCGCCTTTAAAAGTATTTCAAAAAACTAATACACTTAATTATCATCAATAATATTCTTTATATACTTCATTCTCTGTAAAATGCCCTATACTTTCACATGAAAGAAGCTTTTCATCAGGAAAAGAATAACATATAACATGTGTACTCATACATTCCTATTTTCCCATTTATTCATCTTTATTATACCCTTAAATCATACATACATTTAATATTTTCTGTGCTGGATCAGCAATAATACTTATTTCCTTATTTTTTATAATAACTGCAAAACATATTGCAGAAAATGTATATAATAAAGATATCCCTGAATCAATTAGTGCTATATTTGTTGCGTTTAACATAGTAGCTAATAATGATGCTGTCTATTATCAATTAATTAACTATTAATAATATATATATATATATATATATAACATTTTCAGATTTATCACAAGAAATAACTTGAATAATAACTTGAATCAGTGTATGAGGATACATTGCTCGTATAATTGTTGCTGATACAATTTTATGGATGGTTTGTTCTATTTGTCTTTCTTTTGCACCTTAAAAAGCCTAAAAAACCCAAAAAAAAGCAGGAAAAAAAGGAAATACCATATAATCCTATATTAAACCTTATTATTACGTCTAATACAGCTTCTCCAAGTGCATCATCTCTTGTTTTTATCTCAGAAGGACCCACAATAGAACAAACAACTTTATTTAAACCTTATTTGGTCAAAAATAAGCATTTTAAACCCGGAAAAAAAGGTAGAATCATAGAACAATGAATAATATACCTTCCCTATATACGCAAGATCCATCAACTCTCTCCAATAAAGAGGTTTCAAAAAAAATTTTTTTCATAAGTCAGATCGAGGACAAGCTAGTAGTATAAAAGAAAAATGGATCAAGACAAGTCAACAAAACACAAGTAATCTCTTAATACTATAAGATTTCAGGGGAAATAAGCAGGAATTCTTTTTTCCCATAGAAAAAATAAGAAATCTTTGATAAATCTTCAAAAAAATAAAAATATCTTATATCTATAAAAATGGACTAGAATAGTCTTATTTAGCTCTATTTTCCCATAAATAATATATCAATTTCAAAACTTTATTTAAAATTTCATTTTTTAAAACTAATATATGAGCTATATGACTAGATATATGAAGAATCATATAAATCACATATAACTCATTAAGACAAATTCAACATGAATTCATCATCTTTGTATTAAATATAAAACAAACTAAGTAAAAGATCCCAATTCTATTTATTAAAGACATCAAAACCATCATTTTAAACTTTGATATACATTTTTGTAAAAAAATATAACAAAAAATAAACATATTTTTAAAGAAAATAAACAAAAACTCTATTTTAGATAGATTAAACTCTATTTACAGTGTTCAAGTACAAAATATTCATCATATAAAGTTCAATTATGATCTCTATATTCCAGACAAATTTCTCAATAAAAATATAATATATAGATAAACATGATTCTAATATACATATTCATCTTTTTTAAATCTATTTTCCTCTTTATAAGAATTGTTTTTTCATATACTATCTAATTGATAAATATCTTTTTTAAAAAAAAACAAAACAATCTCAAAAAAAAGTAATATAATAAGCAATTTAATTAAAAAAACTCAATATTCTTTAATTAAACATATATTTTTTATTTCATAGATAAATGGACTCTCAAAGAAGCTATATCCACTTCAATCAACCAAGAATCGTAGATTATATTGAAAAATGGTGTGCAGATAAGCTTCCAGATGATGGTTAATATATTGTGTTTTTATCAAGTCTTAAAAGACTAATTTTATGTAAATTAGATATTATTGTAGCACCTCAACATCAACCACCTCATCCTGATGATGATGATGGTATTAAAATATTAAATATTAAAAAAATTAATAATTATAGTCCCAAATCAACAAACAATGAATGGTATTCTTAGAGCACAAAAATTATCAGAACCAATTTGGAGAGATCTTGGATTACAAGAGTTAATGACAAAAGGTCCATCGGAGGAGCTACAAAACCATATTGAACAGAGGTTAAAAGAAATACAACAGAATTTTCAACCACAATCACTAGATAGATAGAATTTATGTTAGTTTTAGTAATGTTAAAAAGAAGAAATAATGCAATTGACTTATATAAACATATTTTTTTGCAAGATCATTATATCTATAAATATATATAGATTTAGCTCTATAATGATATATCTTTTATTCATTTATAAAAAGAGTATATTTACTTTAAACGATATGTGTAATAGATATTTAAGTTTAATAGTCAAGAAATTGTTCTTGACTAGAGAATTCTATAGAATTAACAAGCCCAATGATTAAAACATATATATATGAAGGTCATTAGAATAAAGTTGTGAAATATTTCAGTATAAATTGAACCATTTAGAAAAATACTCTTAAATATTAATTAAAATGTATTCAGAATCATTTTAGTTGTATTATTAGTAATAAACATGAAAAGACATTCATACAAAGTAATTCAAATGACTATATAGTCATATTTACATTTTTAATAACTAATAAAACCTTAAGATTGATAGTTAAATAACTCCAATTAGTAAATGAATTGATCTAAAAAATATATTTAATAGGTAATAATAAGGTATCATTATTATATTTTTAAATATATTTATATTATTGTAACAAGTTGTTGAAATATGATATAAAAAAATAAAAGAAATTTGCTACAAAAAGCTAATATCTTTATCAGAATCTATGTTATTTTCTATAAATTCTTAAAATAAAACTATATATTTGAAAGAACAAGAAATCTAATTGTTTCTGTATATGATCATATTATTTTCTAATTTAACTACAATATTTATATTAAAAGCTTAAAATTATCTTATTAACTTTGGATCCCTAAATAAAATCATCAATACTTAATATTATATTACAAATATAGAAAAATTAAAAAAAATATACCCACATTTCCATTATTAAAGTTAAAATAAAAATTAAATATAATTTGTTTTACCAATTGCATCTGTAAATATACAAAAAACACTCAAACTAACTAAACCTTTCCAAAATGAATAATTTCTCATAAATTAAGTAATATTAAGTATATTCAAAGACATTAAAAAAACATATCTTCCTCCCATCATATATAACCATTCATAATACACTTTTTTATACTACCATTAAAAAAATGACCATTTAACAACTACTTTATCTCTTTATACTTCATATTCTCATTATTTTTCAAGAGTTAATTTAATCAATTGTAACTTGATATTTTCTAACTCAATTCCACACTACAAAAACATCATCAATTACCTTATTTTTAAAGACAATACACTGATTTACTTAAAATACTCATTATTTCAATTATAAATCCAAAAAACACACATATAGAATCCATTTCTACTCTATAAAAAACCCTGTATTATCATTAGTAGATAAGAGATAAGCAAATAACAGATAAATCATTTGAAATGATAAAAGTAATATATTAAAAAATATCTTAAATATAAACATTTTAAACCAAATACTATCAAATCCTAGCTGTTCTAACAATATTAAAAGTCATACAAAAATTAAAACATCTTTTAGATTAAACATATATATACATGTTTAACCTTTGAAAAAAAAAATAAAAAAAAAAACAAATATAAACAAGAAATTTAAAATATCTCGCCCGTATCTGTACATCCAACTCAGACTTTGAGCGGAGGACTTTCAAAAGCGAGCTTTTAATATAGCGGCAAATAAACTAAATATGTATGGACTAAAAATGCAAAAGCAAACCAAACAAACAAAGTTCTAACCGCTTAAAAGTAAAAAAAATTCAATCCATATTAAATCTTTCTTTTATACATATATATTATTTGTCTATATATAATATATTTAAACAAATTTTATGAAAAAAAACCAAATAAAAACATTTTTATAATCAAAAAATTCATCTCTGATATGACCAAACACTAAAATAAATAAGAAACCTCATTAATTCCTGTTTTCATATACTTTTTTAATAATCCATCTCGTGTAGCCAATCGATTAATAGAATCATCACTTTCACCTTTTGTACGGACAAAACCACAAAGAGCATATGTAGTACATTTTCCAGGGATCTGACGACCATCTGAATCTACACTGCAGATATTAATCTGCACAGAAGCATGATCTTTAGCACATATTAAACGATTTGTAGCAGAACTATGAAAAATCATCAGTTTTAAACGAAAAAAAAACCAAAATATAGCTAAAAAACAGACCATTTTCTTGGTACATATAAATCTACTAAAACATGTTGATCATTCTCCATTTTTTTAAACTTTATTTTTTTCCTAAAATTTTGAGGTTAAAAATCGGTAGGATAAAGGTTAAGGTCAGAGATCGAGAGTGAAACTTAGTAATATAAGAGGTTAAGATAAAAATATTAGAAAACATGATAATATTTAAACTATATGTACTTAACAAGCTAAATATTATGCCTAATAGTTAATAATTGAAGAATTGCAATAAAAAATAAAAATAAAAATTTAAAGAAAGTTTATGTTTTTTATTATGAAAAGTCAAGTTTTATAACCCAATCTTGACCAGCCCATAGTGATTTAGCACGTTTTCCAATACCAACCTTTTTCCATACTTTTTGAGGAATTCCTATATCAGCTAAAAACAATTCTTTTGGGACAGATTTTGATTTAAGAGCAAAAAGAAGCCCTATTTTAGGGAGACCAAGAGATAAGATCCATTTTGATTGAATAAAATGAGGAGAAGCAAGAGGAGCACCTATATTTAATAAGAAAAAAGGAGTGTAATGGATATAAAAATAAGTACCAGTAGTAATATCTAAACCAGAAGGTAAATCGAGAGATAAAATATCAGATTGATATTGATTTGCCCAATCGATAAGGGAGCAGATTCTATCACGAAGACTATCATCCATGATATCATTAAATGAACAATGACAACCAAAAATAGCATCAATAATTAATCCAGGAAAAACTGAAAAAGATTTAATTGCTCTAAATAACTCTTCAGAAGAAACAATTTTTCCTCCAGCATTAGAAAATCCTTTCAAATACTAATTTAAGGTTAATTTAATAAATATATAAAGGTTTTACAAACAAATAATATACGCTTGCTTGGATTTTCCTCAATAACAACAATCATTACGTTTACTCCATGGTTACACAATTGTCTTCCAGATGCAATTGCATATAAACCTGTCTGATTATTGCCAGCTAGAATTATAACAGAAGAAGAAATGCTTTTTTTTTGACTAAATCTTAAAAAATCATCAAGAAGCTGAACAACTAAAAACGATATTCCTCTTGCTGCATTTTCCACTATAGCATCATTTGAAACACCAATGTTAAAAGCTAAAATACATAAAATTTAAAATACTAAAATAAAATATTTACTTGAAATATATTCTGCTTCAATCATCTTCATATATAATTAAAATAATGAAAAATATAAAGGGTTTAATACCTTAGACGACTTTATACAGGGACATTCCAAATTATTCTTTGTATTTCGTATTTTCTTATTTTTCCTACTAATTTTATCAAGATTAGACAAAGTTTGCTGATTGTTGGAATGCTGATTCTTCAATTTTTGTTGATAAACCTCTTCCTCATCATAACTATCGGATGACAAATGAGTAGAAGAATGGAAATCTGTGCTTGGTGTATTCTCATTGCCATTCATTTTTAAAAAACGATTATTCTCATTTAAAGAGGCTCTTTTTTTACTCATAACTAAATTAGTAGCTGCTACATCACTAGATAACTCCGTTTTGGATAAACAGTTACTTGATGCTGATAATGAAGTCGATGATATCATATTTGACTTACGAATCTCTGAAAATACTTTATGCTTATCAAATCTTCCAAGATTTCCTTGAAAATCAAATTCTTCATCACGATATCTATTAACATCCTCATTAATCCAATCGTCATGATTCGTATGCTTGAATTGAAGACTTTCTTTCTGTAAATGATTCATATACGACCTATTTCTTTTATGTATATTTTTCATACTATAGGCATGAACATTTGATGAATCTTTGGGTCTATAATTGCAAAACTCATAATCCTTGGTATTTTTATGTAAACGTGAAGAAAGAGATGCTAATGCTGTATCTTTTTTCGACTAATATATTATATTTCAAACAATATAAATTTAAAAAAAAACCTTTTTTGATGATTCCTTAGTTGTCATATTAGATAAATCATCTGATATCTTAAAAAATATCAATTAATATTCAAGATATATGTATAATTATACTGAAATAATTGCTGGATCAATAGACGCAAATGATTTCTTTTTTTTGACTTCAAATGATGATATAAAATTCAAATCTTTAATATCAATCCCTTCTATCTTCATTTCAGGTACAAATTTCCCTGTAGTCTTGCAATATACTGTTTCACAAAAGAAATATACCTTTAGACATAATAAAACTATATTTTAATAGTATTTACCATTCTTAAGAAAAAGACAACGATCTACCGCATCAATATTCGTCATTTTACCTTGGACAATAGTATTATTACGAAGTATTACTTCAACTTTAAGACCAATAAACTGCTTCTCCATCTTCAAGATTTTTCTAAAAAACCTAGGCCGTTAAACCCTCTGATATATATAAAGAAAAAAGATATCCAAAGACTTATAAGCTAAATTAAAAAAGATCCATCTATTTTTGAGAAAAAGAAATGTATTATGAAGTAATATTTTGTATATAATTTGAGAAATCCTTATATTATTTTATAAAAGATGTAAAAGATCCAAGTTAAGGCAAATCATCATCAGAAAAACGTATGAATTTCTTGTAATTAGAGTTTTGATATAGTTTTCTTCTAATAAAAAGAAGAGAACATAAAGATATTGTTCCTATGAAAGCAATAAGCAAGAAAACCCAATAACGTTGTAGCTATTAGTGTAAGAAAGATAAAAAAATACATAAAAATATACCCAAAAGAAGAACCAAGCATCCTTTTGATGCCAACTACTACCATGAAGATTCTTAAATAATTTATTTGAAATATTAGATGTGATAATACGAACATGTTCCAAAGCAAAAGCGTCAGATGATAAAAAATACATATACTTTTCAAGCATAACAGAAAGAAATAAAGGTCCAGTTGTCGCCATAACTGTAATATATGGAAATATCCAATTTCCAGATGAAGATTTCAAATGATTAATTATATATATAAAAAAAGGATGATATGGGACTGAACCCATAACATCATTAGAAATTCCAGTAGGATCTGTTACACGAAGCCATGCTCCATATGAAAGAAGTGAATCAAGGGGCTTAAGGCATTCCTATTTCATACATTTATTAATTATACAAAAAAATAATTACAAAACTTACAATATCAAGATCAATGTATATACCACCATAATGAACAAGTGCAAAATATCTAAATGAATCAACACGTTGAATATTATATGGATATCTGTCATATTGATCAAGAAACCATGTATATTTCTCTGCAATAAAATCACGTGCCTTTTCATCTGTCCAAAACATATATTCATAATTTGGATGGTTTTTTCTACATTTATCTGACGCTTCCTTCCATTTATCAGGAATCGTCTCATTTTTCCATGTTTGATGAATAATTCTTGGAATTGCCTCTTTTTTTATATCTATATTATATAAATCTGGATATAAAATTGACCATTCTGGTATTCTTTCCAATCCAAAATTTTCAAATAATAAAGCTATCAGAAACCATGATTTACCCAATAAAATAATAATCATAAATATTCCAATTAGAACACTAAACAATCTCCACCGTTTCATTTTTTTCTGATTTTCTCAATAATAATACCAATTTCAATTTTAAAAAATTGATCTTATTAAAAATACATTCAAATTCATGTATATTTATTCATTTATTTTCTTAATTCCCTTCATTTCATACAATTCATCATTTTTGACCTTCAATATACCCTTTTAACAGGTTATCGAAATATAACAAATAATTCATCCAATTCTACCCTACACTTTTATTAACTTCTAATCCTCTCTTTATTCAATAGAATTATGTATTTTTATATATTTTTATATATTTTTTTTCAAAACCCTACAACCTCTCTATTACTATATATAAAACTATGAATGGGTTTTTATTAAAAAAATATCATTTTCTTTCTTTTTTAAACACATTTAAATCATTTTTTGCGCCCACCCGTTTCAAGATATGACCGGGTGGCGCAATTGGTAGCCGCGTTAGATTCCAATACTAGAATTATCTAAAGGTTGCGGGTTCAAGTCCCGTTCTGGTCAAATCCATAACTTTTTACAAAATAACAAAAACAATTGCTTAATAAATCTCTATTTAAATACAAATTCATGCTTATTATTTATATAAAACTTTTATTTCTGGGCTTTTCTATAATATATGGAGGTTAACGAGTAAGTTTTATTGGTTTCCTTGACAACGTTAATTAGACGTCAGAGCATCTCAACGTCCAAAAAAATAAATTTTTAAGAAAGAGCAGAAATACAGGTAAATAAAGGTTTTTAGAGGTTTATATAGTGTTTAATGAGTATTTTTAGGAGTTTAATAGTGTGAGGGTTTTTTTCCGGGAGAAAAAAGGCTAATTTTTGGTGTTTTATAAGGATTTTGAAGGGTAGAAAAAAGATAGAGAAATAAGGATTGAGATGGGGGTATTTTCATGGTGCTTTAGCTGTGAATGCTTTAGGGGTATGCAAGGAGAATGAATTGGGGTCTTTTTTGAACGGGTTTAGGACCATCTCAGGCTACGCTTTATGAACCATTATTGGAGGGTATATATAGAAAAAAAGTAAAGAGGAGTGGGTTAATAGGAAGAAATAGACAGGGAAAGAGAGGCGGTATCAGATCTGTTACAATATCTTGAAAATGTGGAAGAAATATTGAAGGAGAAGGAAAAGAAGCTAATGAAAATATATAGCGATCAGATGTGAATTTTTTCAGTAATGAGCCATTACGTGCGCTTACGACGCTTGTTTATTCGGATAATATTGATCTTCAGAGGAGTGCAGCACTTGCATTTGCAGAAATTACAGAAAAAGGTATTTAATGAAGAATAAGAAGATATTTGTTAAAAAAAAAAAGATGTACGTGAAGTGAGCAAGAATGCACTTGAACCTATACTATTTCTTCTTCAAAGTCCGGATATTGAAATTCAAAGGGCAGCGAGTGCAGCATTAGGCAATTTAGCAGTTAATAGTAAAGTTCATACAAAATGATTTTTTATATAATTAAATATAATTTCAGTGGAAAACAAGGCATTAATTGTTAAAATGGGAGGTCTAGAGCCATTAATACGGCAGATGTTATCGCCTAATATAGAGGTTCAATGTAACGCAGTTGGATGTATAACCAATTTAGCAACACATGGTAAATATTCCATTTGAGATATTTTAATTTTTTATTTTGTAGATGAAAATAAGTCCAAAATATCAAGTTCAGGTGCACTTAGCCCATTAATTAAACTAGCTATGTCGAAGGATACAAGAGTACAAAGAAATGCTACAGGGGCTCTTTTAAATATGACACATTCAGGTAAATAATAAGATTATCAAAAAAAAAGAAGGTTTTTGCTTAAATTAATAATTTTTAGATGAAAATAGACAACAATTGGTTAATGCAGAAGCTATTCCAACTCTTGTAGCCCTTCTTACTTGTACCGATATTGATGTACAATATTATTGCACAACTGCATTAAGCAATATTGCGGTGGACGGTATTTACTCTATAAAGAATTATAATTTTCTAATTTATTCTCATAGCTTCAAATAGAAAAAGACTAAGTCAGACAGAGCCACAACTTGTCGAATATCTTGTAAATTTAATGGATTCATCAAGTCCCAAAGTTCAATGTCAAGCTGCACTCGCATTAAGAAATTTAGCTTCTGATGGTAAATATTATAATTATTTTCCATATACTTAATATTATTTTATAGAAAAATATCAATTAGAAATTGTACAAGCCAATGGATTACCACCACTACTTCGTTTATTGCAATCATCATTTTTCCCTCATGTATTATCTTCTGTCGCATGCATTCGAAACATATCAATACATCCATCAAATGAATCACCGATTATCGAGTCTTTGTTCTTAGATCCCCTTGTAAGGCTTCTTTCCACAAATACTAATGAAGAAATCCAATGTCATGCTATATCTACTTTAAGAAATCTAGCAGCAAGTAGTGAAAAAAATAAATATGCAATTGTCGAAGCAGGTGCAGTGCAAAAATGTAAACAACTTATTCTTAATGTACCTATAAATATTCAAAGTGAAATGACTGCATGTATTGCAGTTCTTGCGCTTAGTGGTAATTTTATAATATTATAGCTAACTACTGTCTAATTTTTAAGATAATTTAAAAGGACATTTATTATCTCTTGGATTATGTGATGTTCTTATTATTTTGACAAACTCTCCAAGTATTGAAGTACAAGGAAATAGTGCAGCAGCTTTAGGTAATTTATCATCTAAAAGTAAAAATTATAGCCATCAAAAAGAGAGTATGATATCAACAATAAATGATTATTCTCCATTCGTTAATGCTTGGAACGAACCTGGAGACGGTATTCATGGTTATTTATGTCGCTTTTTATGCAGTCAAGATATAACATTCCAACATATTGCAGTTTGGACACTTTTGCAATTATTGGAATCAGAAAGTAATTATATAATTATTTGCTTTACAGTAATTGATATAGTATAGATAAAAAACTTATAGATTTAATTCAAAATAGCCCCCAAATTACATCATTGATTAAAGATATATCTATTAGAGAAATTCAGGAAGAAGAAGGCGAAGTAACTATTTTGGCAAAAAGAGCAGTAGAAATGCTAGGAAATCTAAAAACATACGATTAATCATATTATCAAAAAGCCAGTTGAATTATATAACAAGTATTATGCTATTATAAAACTTTATTCTTTTGAATGTTAACCTTATTTCTAAAATCATAAATACACATATATATTAATTTTTTATAATATTTATAGACAATCAAATACAAAAATCATTTTAAATAAATTATAGACTAAATCATATGTTTTGATAATTATAATTTAACTGATTTAAGAACAAATATCCCATTTCTGGTCCATACGTTATTAAAATAGCAATATTCACTGTTTAAAAAACATATCTATTAAAATAATTTTAATTATTTCTTATTTTTATGATTAGTATCAAAATAACCACCAATTGCAAATACAGTTTCAATAAAGATTAACCATATTATAATTAATTCAAGACGATGTGTCGTATTTTCACTTAATACTTGTCTAAGAGTAAATTGTAATTCGGTTGCATAATTAAGTTTTGTATTAACAATATCTAATCTCAAATTCATATCCAAAGCCTCATTTGCTTTCAAATAACATTCTAAAAAATCATTATATGTTTCATATAAAAAGAAAATTACCTTCTAATTTTACATTTTCCCAATAAAACTCAGGAAGATCAAGAAAATTTTCAGGATGAAGGTTAAAATATGAACGAAATCTAAGAAGAGTACCCGTTTTCTTAATGATTTCTGATCTACTAAGAGGAACTTTGCCTAATGACAATGAATCAGGGATAGTTTTAACCTGATTTAAATAATTTTCAAGTTCATCTTCTAAAACAGATAATTTACTAGATCTAGCCATACTTTCTGAAAAAGATAGTTGTGCCATTATTACACTATCAGAAGGAATGTTGTCAAAATCTAATATTTTGTCATGATAAAAGTCATTTCCAATAGTAATAAGATCTTTTTGAACAAAAATATCAGTTTTTCTTCAATAAATCAGTGCTTAATCATTTTTCAAAAAAAAAGAACCGACACATTTTTATTCTTTTCATAATAAAAGACTTCCTTCTTGTATTTTTTATAAGGAGTTATCTCAATTCCAGATAATTTGCCACGTATTACTGTATTTAAGAAATATTCACAATTTTCTACAGAAGATCCCCATATAACAAAAGAACCAGAAGAAAATATAAATATATCACGCAAATCAATATCAATAGAAAACTTTTCAATATAAAAAACCCTATTTCTTGGCAAATAAACAGAGTTTTCTGGCAAAATAGATTTCAAGTGTAAAAAATCATAAGATTCCGCTGTTGAAAAAGCAATTACTTTATGCTAAGCAAAAATTAAGATATTCCCTGCATAGGATAACACATACAAATGATTTGTCAACTTTTTTAACAGGATTTAACTTTAATTTAGTATGTTGATTTATATGTTTTGAATTTAAATTCTGAAAATACCTTGAAAATCCCTTAAAAAATCAATATAAAATATAAACATGTTAAAATAAAGACAAATGTTTTATTTTGTATTTTAAAAAATCCTCTTATATAACTTGTCCTGTATCTTTGTAGAAAAAAACCTTGAATCATAAAAGCAATATATTAGATTCAGTCTATTATAGAAAGCAAATATCAAGAAATTATATTATTTATTTCTATAAATTTTTAGTTTCATACAAAATATTTTTTTAATTTTAAAATATATATAATTATTGGTACCTGCAAAATTTAAAGATAATTTTATGAATAAGATATGATGAGAAATAGTTCCTTATATATATCTATTTGTCCAGATATTAGAACCAATTTAGAAATATTGATATATTTGAAACCAAAATCTAGATCTTTTAAAATCATGCCATACTTAATTTGTATTTGCTTAAAAAGAGTTATTTAAGCATATGTAATATAGAAAGCCTAATATAATGCAAGAAATATGAATAGAAGAAAAACTGAAATAAAAATACCAAAAAAAAAGGCTAAAGATTAGTTAAAAAATCAACAAAAAAGTACCAAAGCTAATAAATAATAATATATTTTAAAAATATCCTTATAAGAATCATCTCAAACAGATAAAGCTGTATAAATAAAAAGCCATTTATTCCAATGTTAAATAGAAGGTAAAATTAGCAAATTCAAGTCCATTGCAAAAAATATTTAAACAAAAAGATGCTCTTAGTTAAGAATATAAATCAATGATAGTTTTTAATAGAAAGATCTTAGAGAATATCATATAGAATTTCATAGATATTGAATGAAACCTAAAAACTCTAAATAAATATGACCTAAGAAGATTAAAGACATGATTAAAAAACAAATCATATAAACATACATGAGATTCTAAATATAATAAACTTTTAGTCCAGAATAAGCCAATAAGAATTATTAAAAAGAAATTAATATCAGCCCTATATCCAAATTGTAATCCATAATAAAAGACAGTAGTATATAGATATTAATAAAAAACATATAATCCATATAAAGATCAATTCAGTATCTTTTAAGTTATTTTGCTACACCTTTTTGAAGTGATAAATCATTGACAAACCAATTATTAAACAAAATATAAAAGAGCCAAAATGAAGCATTCCCATCTTTTTTCCTTTCAAAGAAATCCCAAGTTATAATAAAATAAAGAAACCATATTAAATCTAGGAACAAATATAATCTCAAAGCACTAAATTTGTATATAGCAATTTGAAAAGATAAAAAACAATAAAAGCTGTTTATGTATATCAAAAAGCACGAGTTTTATTGAAGTAAAACTTAATTTTAAGTGTTAACAAGAATACATATTCTTCCTTTCATAAGCTCGTCATAAAAGAAGTAATCCTTATCTATATCATAAGAAGAAATAATCGAAGGAAAACTTTATAATCATTTTCTTCTTTCCAATTCATTAAATATCATATATCTACTAGTGTATATATATAACCATCTAAACCATTTCATCTGGCTTGAATGTCCTATCATTGCTTTTTGCACATTCTGAAATTGAGAAAATGAATTAATAAAAAGATGCAAAAGCTTCTTATCTTTAACTTGAAATAAGTGAAAAAAATAAGGTCCTAGAAGCAAGTGATATAAATATAAAACCAAAGTAAAAAATAAATCAAAGAAAGAAAGATATTTTCGTAATATGAAAACAGTAGGCAATACATAAATATGAGGTTTCTCTGTTTTTAAGGAATTAAAAAACAGTAAAGTGCCATGATAACATGCAATATGGTTTGGATGTCTTGAAATTCCGAATTCATCAAAAGTAATTATCTGATTCAACAATTAACGATATTTTTTAAAGAAAAACTTACAATTTCAATACTTTTCTTAATAACAATACTTGTTAATATTTCAGAAATAAGATCTGGATTCCAATCTGATGTCATAGAATCTTGTAGGTTACTATTAAGTATATATTAATAATAACCATTTATATATTATTCAAAAACCTATTTTCAATGATTTCAATGTTTTTCCCAGGAATTCCAAGAATCTGGCATGATTTAAAAAGTTCTTTTTCCCTTATTTTTCCTATACCATCTGCATTACCTAAAATAAATATTAAACCTTGTTTATATTGATTTTTTTCTTTAGAAAAGAACCATTGGAAAGACAAACAAGATAAATTTCATTATCTTTTAATAATTGTAATATAGATGGACCAAAAAACATAACTTCATCATCTGGATGTGCAATAAGAAAAAGTATTTTTTTCTTAAAAAACAATGGTTTAAGTCGAATTAGCAAAGACATATTTCCCCATATTATAAAAAACAAAAAAGTCGAAAACAAAATTATGTTAAATATAAAAAACATTCCCATTTGCTTTAGAAAAAAAAAGAAAAAACCCTTTATCTGTAATTTTTTCACTAGATATATTAATAAATTCTGGAAATACGGCGATTTTTCTAATCTATAATTATTATTAATAAAAATAAAGATATAAAATGATTATCATATATACCTATAAAATTAAAAGTTTCAATAACTAAATAACAAAATTAGTATAAAACATAAATTTTATAAAATCATCATTATAATTTGATTTAAAAGAAGTATAATAATGACCAGTATATGTAAATTAAATAGATCATATAATATTTTAATAAAAAGATTTCATAATTATTCCATAAAAGAAAGATGACATATTGCATTCCAAAGAAGTTTATCAAGTTCAAAGCATTTAAAATCCTTAATATTCCCCTCAACTAATCTTATAAGCTGTTCAAGATTATCAGTAGGAATTTTACGGTCTTTATGACAAAGAACCGAAAGATTATAAAGATAATATCCACATGCTGAATTCTCTGAATTCCTAATAGCTAAACACATATTTCGATCTTGACATCGTGTATAACTCGTCTTTATATGTTTAATAAGTAAATCAACAACTATAGGAAAAAGTGTATAAAATTGATTTGTTATATTTGATATAAGACACACTATTTCATAACGTTCATCAACATATAAATTCTTATCAAGAATTTCAGATGATATCAAATTTTTCGACGAGATAGTCAAATAATAACTAGATTGATACCGTATTAACTCAAATAATGCATCAAAAATCGATGAAAACGAATTTATATAATAACTTTCATCATCCCATGAAAATTTAACAGCATGTGCTATATATTCTAAAATCGTACGAAATGCTTTGATTCTTCTATTATTTAATGCCATTGATATAGAATCCGTAATATAATTACTCAATATTCTACATAACCCTTGAAATGTTTCAAAAATATTTATACCTCTAAAATCTAAATCACCAATAACCGGACTTTTCATTCGTATACATGATAAATAAAATAAACGAAACGAATCATATAATTTTTCTGATCCTAAAATTATATATATATATATATAAATAAAAAAAATTAAAAATCCATTATCCAATTACCTGAATCATATTGTAATACATCAATTCTCCTTATATCTCGAATATATTTATCCATTTCTGACTCAAAACATTCTTTTCCCGAACATATCTCATTTTTATCTAATACATCTTTTACCTTCTTTATTTCAAAAAATCACTTATTTTTCCTTTCTACCTCCATTAAACCCCTTCTCAAGCTCCATAATCTTGATACGTAATTTAACATTTTCACGTTCTATACTTTCAAACATATTTTTCCAAAATAATACACCACTAGAACATTCACATTCACATTTCTCTTTAATTCCTCTATTCTTAATTCTTCTGCAAATATTCTCTCTTATATATTCAATATATTCTATCTCTTTATTAACCCACTCAAAAAATACCCCCAAAAAACCTTCAATCGTCATATAAGGTTCTTTAGAACGGCAAATAACAATAGCCTATTGATTTCCTTTATTTTCTCTTCTATTTTATACCTTTTAATTGTACTTACAAGTGCTATTTGTAGTTTACTTGGGACTTTCATATTTTTTGACGTTTGGTTAGTCGGTAAGGGAGAAGATAAGAGGGAGATAAGATAAGAGATAAGAGGGAGTTGAGAGGGAGTTGAGAGGGAGTTTAACAGTTATTTAAATAAATTCATCTTTTATAACTCTTAATTAACATTATCTTCTTCTTCTTCTTCTTCTTCTTCCTCCTCTTATTAATAAAATAAAGAATAATAAATATTTTAACCAAGATTAAAACTTATTTTTGATAAAAAATAATGCCTTAAAAATGCCTTAATAATAGTATCATCTTTTTTTTATACTGAAATTTTTATAATATAATAAAGTTTAATATAAACATTGTTCAAGCATGCAACAAGCGCAACAAGCAGCAAGACTAAAAAATGTTAAATAAAATATAATAATAATAATATATATATAATATATATATATTATATATATATTATATATATAAATTACCATGCAAGACAACCCGTTGCAGCTTTATTTGAAGAAGATTGTTGCTGAACATAAACAGGTTGCGGCTGAAAAGAGATTAAAAAATTGATTAATAAAGTTTAAATATTACTTGAGAATAATAACCATTATAATGAGGACCAGGAGGACCAGGAGGATATTGAGAAGGAGGAGGACCTCCATTAGGAGAATAATATGATTGAGGAGGATATTGTGGAGGATATTGTGGTGGTGGCGGAGGAGGATAACTTTGATTATTTACATCTTTAGTATCATACTATAAAAAGTTAGAAAAAAGCGAAAAATAAGGTATTTTAAGCGGGAAAAAAAGGATATATATATAAAGAAATAGAAGAAAAACACTTACATAATCTTTTGCGGACATTTTCTAAGTTATTTTATAGTTTTTTTAGCGTATAAAATATGTTTATTTTTATAATAAATCTTGACGTTTAAGTTAACGATAAGGATAAATTAACGACATAAAAAGTGAGTTAAAATAGAAGGAAAAAAAGAGAGGTTTTTTACAATAAAAACCAAAAAATAATATGTAATTTTGTAATAAAAATCTATGTATTAAGTGGATATCAAAAAAAAGCGGAAAAAAAAGCGTTTTTTTAAGGATTTTTAGCAAAAAAAAGAATGTATACATTAATAAAAGAGTTGTATAATAGATGGAACCAAAAACCAGCCTATTTTATACTAATCCTGGGGATAGAAAACTCAGGAAAAACAGTAGATAGTTTAAAATTTGTATAAAATAGTTTTTTATAGTATTAGACATTTCTTGAGAAAGTTAAGTCTATTTATAATAAAAGATATATATTTTCAAGGGATAATATAACATCTACGGTTGGACAGAATAGTATAATAGTTTTAAGTAGGTTTTTAAAAGTTAAATTAATATGGGTAGTTGGAAAAATTACAATTGATAAAACGAAAATCCAACTTTGGGATCTTGGAGGACGAATATCATTAAGAAGTTTATGGTATTCATATTTTTCAGAATGCCATTCTATTATTTATGTATTGGATTCATCAGAAAAAGAAAAGATCTATGAAGCAAAAGATATATTTGGTATGAAGATTAATTTATTAATGATTGATTATATATATATATAGAAAGAATAATTAATCATGAAGATATTAAAGGAATTCCAATATTGATAGTAGCTAATAAACAGGATATATCAGGATCATTTACAATTGAAGAGATAAAGAAAGTTTTTAATAATGTTATAGAAAGATTAGAGGAATATAAAAATCATATTATTGCAATAAGTGCTATTAATGGGTAAAATATAAGTATTTTTTTCTGTATAAAATATTTATTTGAAAAGAACAGGAATAGAGGAAGCAATAGAATGGTTAAAAGGTCGAATGGAAGAAAATAGGTTAATACGAGAGCCAATATATTGTTAATAAGAATGATTTTTAATTATAAAAATTTATATGTTTTAATAGAATAATTATAAAATTAAATTTTATTAAGTTTTTCGAGTACTTGCATTTTTTCATATAAAGCATCAAAATCCTCGTATTTTACATATTCAGATGGAATAATTTTATGTGTAGTATTAATTATAGGAGTATTTGTAGATATAATGGATAAACTCTTATAGTTTTAAGTTTTAGAAATATTAATATTATTAAACTTACAGTTGATCTTCCCTTAATTTTTTCTTTTTTTCTTTTTTCAGAAGGATCATCTTTTAATAAATCAGCTAAATAATCAATATTTGTAGTGTTGACATCGTATTTTCCTTCCATAATAGCCAAATTTTCATAGCCAAATTCTTTAATTTTTTTCTCAATATTACGTGTATTAGAAAAATCATGTTCATCTAATTTTTTCATATGTTTTTGACACTCTAAAAGCCATATAGAAGAGACAATTTTATATTTTTTAATAAAAATATCTGTTTGTTCATTTATATTTAAGAAATATTCATCGCAAATTATATGAGTAACAGAATCATCTAATTTTCTAGATATTTTGGCGCCTAATTTTCTCGCTAGAATTAACATTTCATTTTTAACATTCTAAATAAAGTTATAAATATACGATTATCCAAGTATATTACCGTTTCTTTTACACTATAGAAATATAGGGTAAACCCAGCTAATATTTTGGATTGATCATCATGATTATCATAATTAATGGTTTCTATTTCAAACATTTAGTTTCAATTATATAGATAAATAAATATATATATATCACCATGTAATCGATTTTTCAATTCATTTTTTTTTTCCCATTCATCAAAATTAATAACTTTTCCTTGTCTCACAACTTCCCATAACCAATCTTGAGATACTATTCTTATATTCCAGTCTTTTGCCTTTATATATTTTTTACTTTTTTCTGAATTAATATTATATATAAGTAAGTTTCTTTTTTTATTAAGACTTTCATAATAATTTGCACCTATTTATATTTACTTTTCCATAAAATAATCTCAAAAATATAATAAAATACCTAATAACACAATGAGTTTACTAATATGCATCAAATCTATTCCAGAAAATCCAGTAAGACATATTGAAAAATCTTTCATATCTTTATAGGATTAGAAAAAGATGATTTAATAAAACAATTCACCTTCTAATGGAAAATTACAAGGTAAAGGAGAGCAAAGAAGATGTTCAGATGGATCGATGAATTTTTTGTCGTGTAAACATCTTTCAATCCACCATTCTGTAACAAAGATTCCCCTGGGAATATCTATAAACTTAGATTTTGGAAGGTCATGAGAAACAATTATATATATATGAACAGATGCATTAGGAAAATCTTGAAGCGTTTTACACCATGTACCATCATGTGATTCAATTATGTTTTGAAGAATTCCTGTCTTTTCATAACATTAGAAATATTTATTATAAAGGATAAAAAACCTTTCTATCATCAAAAGCCCATGCATAAAAATATAAACCCCAAAACATCCCATTCACTTTACTGCTTTCCGTCTCTGGGGTCGTATAAATGGGTATAAAATCATTGTTATCTTTAAAAGTATTACTTTCCAATTGGCTACCCTCATTTACTATATTATCCCAGACTTGACGACTAATATCAAGCTTGGTTTTTTTAATTTTCCTCTTCAAAGATATCTGTTTATCTTCATCATTTTCATTTTCTTGCACAGAGAACCATGCACCTTTTCCAACTTCATTAGGTGCCATATGAACGTCAAATAAACGCTCTTCCAGACAGGCTCCTCGTTCAATACTTTGCCAAAACCATTTCGGCGTAATAATGTTAATCCCCCATTTAACACCAAATTCATACTTTTTTCCAGATGGATCACCCGTTATTAAATGTGTAGTATCTCTCGTCAAATCGGGCGTATATTTTCCTCCCAAACTTGTAACTTTTCGCTCTATCTCTTCCTTCTGTTCTACAGGAATATTTGTTACACAAATTAACAAATTATAAAATGGAGGAAGAATATATCTTTTTTCGTACTTTTATATCTTAAAAAACAATATTAGATTATCCAATTTACCTCCAAAAGATCAATATCATCTCCCTTCAACCATTGTTTATATATATCAAAAATCCAGTCAATATGCATAATTTTCACATCTACCCGATACATTGCAACATACTTTTTCATTAGAACATGAAGATATTCATATGACACTCTACTTTGTACTTTTGTGTATTTAATTTACCCGCAATCAAGTGTGTCACTTGAGATGTTAAATCTTGCACATAAATTGCACCTAAACCCATAACTTTTAAAGCTAATTCCACCTAAATAATCCATAAACATTCATATTGACCCTAATCCATTGGATATACTCTAATTTCAGACAGAACTGATGTACAACATATAACAAAACCAGAGAGCGGCTTTAACCCTTCATTAAGCTGATCTGACATCTTTAAAAAACAATTAATATCCAGTCTATATATTTGTCTATCTTAATAGATAAGCTGTTAAACCAAATTCCAAGATCTCAAGACATTCATGAGTTTAAAACTAATTTCAGAAAAAAAACCTAAATAGCTGACGTTAAGACCAGTCGTCATTTAAATATATATATCAAGATAATTCTGAAAAAGAAAAATAAATAGAAATAGAAGTAAATGTTTGTAAGAAACCTATTTTTTGAATATGAATATGAAAAAAATGTAATATAAGACTTGTACATATAAAATCAATATTTAACGATATATTAACGAGTTATATTTATTTTAATCAGAAACATCATTATTTAAAGGATCAGTTGTTGTATCTTGTGCTTAATAAAAAGGTTAGGAAAAGGGTTAATTTATAAATGAATACTTACAGGTAGTATTATCTACATGATTGGAAGTATTTTTAGATGAAGCAGAAGGTTTTTTCGACGGTTTATCCATAAGTTCTGAAGCAAATTCTTCGATACTACGATTTAATACATCCTTTTAAAGGTTATGATTAAGAAAAAAAAAAAAAAAATTAATAATTTACCTCTAAAGCATTAGCATCGTCATAAATCATAGAACCCTCTTCATTATATGTTCGTGCATTCTCAAACATTTGGTGAAAATCAGCTTTGAAATCATCAAGTGAAGTATAATACGAGTTATCGAGACGTTTCTTTATTTTATTTAAGGCAATAGGATTTTTTATCAATATATAATAATCTGGATAAATTCGTTTGTTAGGCAATTCCAAAAACATTTCGGATCTAGAATGATTGGTTTCAGAATCCACAGATGAAATAATAGCATCATAGCATTTTTGAAATATATCTTTTAGAGATTTATCTGAATTTGATAAATCAGCAGAATTTTTGTTTTTGGTTTTTTGAGACTAGAGATAATAAAATTAGAACATAATAAATTAAAAAAAAAAAATCCAAAATTTACTTTGTCTTGAGAACTAGAAATAACTTTTTGACGTTTTCGTCGCTCGTCATCATTAGAATTAGTAGAATTTATTCTTAACCGACCACGTTTACGTTTAACTACATCGCCTCCTGAAGCAGAACCATTTGATGAATTAGACGTTAATTTTCGTTTTTTCAATTTATTTTCCAAGCGTCTCGCAGCCTTTTCACGCCTTTTCTGCTTTACCTCTTCAAGACTAAGTTCATCATTATCAATAGCCTAAGAAAGATTAATACAAATAGTCTTAATAATTTAACAATAAAAACCTCTAGCCATTGTTCCTCCGTAAGATCATCGTCATAATGGATTTGAACACGTTCACGAGCACCCCTACCAGTTACAGATAATACTTCATCCGGCTCAGGACATTCTTCTTTTGTATAAACATCAGGAAGTTCATCTTCAGTCATTAAACGTTCTAGTTTTTTTCCAGGCCCATACGGCGATTCTAAACGTAATCTTTCATCCATTTCACGAAAAATAGAAAGCTCTTCATCATTTCGAGCAATTATTTCATTCAATTCATCATCGTCAAATGTTTCATTCTCCTCACCACCATCAGCATTATCATCATTCTCTGTTTCCAACAAAGATCTCAAAAAAGCTTCCCTTTCTTCTGCAGTAGACTTGTTATCAAATTTTCCCGCTTGAATAACTTTTCCATCAATATCGAGCTTATACTGAGCTCTTGCCAAAATATTTTCTTCAACTGATTTTTCCGTAATCAGTCGTAATATTCGTACTTCTTTTGTTTGTCCTATACGATGAGCACGATCTTGAGCTTGAAGATCTTGATGAGGATTCTATTTTATTAGATCAAAATAAAACATTAAAAACCTTACCCAATCAGAATCAAAAATAATAACAGTGTCAGCACTTTGTAAATTAAGACCTAAACCACCTGCACGAGTACTCAATAAAAATATAAAAATATCAGAGTCTTCATGATTAAATTCCTTCATTGCAGCAGAACGATCATCTGCTTTAGTAGAACCATCTAATCGTAAGTACTTATACCCTTTGAAATGCAAATAATCTTCCATAATGTTCATAATAGTAGTCATTTGAAAAAAAATTAACACCTAATATATATTTTTAAAATAAAAAAAAAAGCTAAAACTCTTAAATACCCTATGTCCTGTTTTAAAAAACTTTGGCAAAACTCTATCTAAAAACTCGAATTTGCCTGAAACTCTCCAAAGATTATCATCACTAACTCTTTCCGGGTTAACAATATTTTCAACTTCTTCAAAAACGTAAGGATGATTGCATATTTTACGAAGCTGCATAACAATGTTTTGCAAACCTTTACGACTAAAAAAGAATCAATCATATATTATATGGATATTTTTAAAAATTACCCTTTTTCCCCAGAATTAACGTATAACATCCCATTTCTTCTCATTTGAGAATACAATTTACTTTGAAGAGCAGAAAACTTGCATTTAATAACTCTTTCAACCTTATCGGGTAACTCTGATTCAACATCTTTTTTAAGACGTCGCAACAAAAATGGTCGTAAAACTTTATGTAATCTACGAATAACCAAAATAGACTCTTCTTCAGACAATTCTATTTTATCTTGACCACCTGTATTTGCAAACGGTGTATTGAACCATTCATCAAAACTTTTTACTGAATTAAAAATTTTTGGTAAAACAAAATTTAATAAAGCCCAAAGTTCAGGAAGATTATTCTAAACATATCAACCATTTTTTACTCTCCAAAATATTAAATTGAGTTACCTGCAAAGGTGTACCCGTAAGAATCAATCGATATTTTGATGAATAATAAGTGGTTAAGGTATAACTAAGTTTAGACTGTGTATTTTTCATACGATGCCCTTCATCAACAATCATATAAACCCATTTAATTTTTCCAAGTACAGGCCTATCCTTTATAACATATTCATATGTGGTTAGAAGAACTTGAAAATTTCCTTGTCGAATTTGATGTTGAATATGTTTTCGAATAAGCGGTGGTCCTTTATAAACAATTTTTGAAACAGAAGGGGCCCATTTTTCAAACTCCAAGGTCCAATTCGTCAACGTTCTAAAAAATAATTAAAAAAAAAGATGAAAAGGATAAATATATGTTAAAAATACGAAAGAGGTACAATAACCAAAAACGGTCCGTTTTGTCTTTTCCTTTCTATGAGAAATGCAATAAGAGATATCGTTTGAATCGTTTTTCCAAGACCCATTTCATCTGCAAGAATCCCATTAAGCCTATTATTATACAAAGAAACCATCCATTGAAGTCCTTTAAGCTGATATTCCTTTAAATTTCCACCCAGCAATAACGATGGCTGTTCAATAATGGCTTCTTTTATCCTATGAGCAACATTATAATAATCGATCTTTTTATCATCATCATCATCATCATCATCTTGATTCGCTAAATCAAGGTCATCATGACTAAATTCATTTTGTTGAACTTTAACCGCCTGGGCAAGCGATTCCAAATATGCATTGGTTTGCTTTAACAAATGAGTTATACGTGTATCTTTCGCTTGATCAAGCAATTTAAGGTATGCCTCTTCATCATCCGCTTTAAGCGCTTGAAGACGCTGCTTTGCCGTTCGTTCCAATCGCCTAGATTCCTCCTTTTCAATATACGAATGATACGCAAGTACAGATCGACCAAGCTTAAAGATCTTTGCTTGCAAAGATCTTTGTCGTTGTATAACATCATACCCGTGAGAACAAATACCTTGGAGATAGCTTACTTGCTTCTGCTTTTGTATTTGCTCTTTATTCGTCCTATGCTGTCTTTCTAAGGCCTCAGTAAGACGGCATTCTTTAAGAGACCTCTTTTTCATTCTTCTAAACGCCGCTCTATCAGCGGATGCCGTCAATGTATTAAAATGAGCCATTGAATAAATAATTTCATCCCGTAATATTCTTTGTTTCTCAAGTAATCTTAACGATTTCAATTCAATCAATGCTTTCAATTTTAACCTGCTTGAAGGATTCAAATTCTCAAAATTATGATTCCTTTTCCCCGTATTCGTAACATATATATCTTCAAGAGTGCCAGGAAAATTTTCCAATTCAGAAATCCTTTTCGCCATTCGATGTGCAATCGCTTGTTTTCTTTCTTGCGATACTTTTTTTGGATCAATTCCACTTGGCATTAAACCCGGTATTAAAATTCTACGATGCATCCCTTCTTGATTAAATAATGTAGATAACCCTAATGTCTTATTTCCTTTCATACCCATCGAATCACGTTCTACCATATCTATCGATTCTAAATCTTGTATTTTTTCTTTTAAATCTTCTATTTGATTAAGACTTTCTCCCTCTTCTAAAACACCAAAATTCATCGCAATAGCTTGGTTTGTTTGAGATACCGAAAAATCCGAGGGTTTTTTCACAAAAAGTGCTTGTTGAATATTCTCCGGTACCGGTAAGTTTCTCGATATTAATTTAAATGCTAAAATCTGGTTCCTCAACGTCGTTAATTGTTCCGGCGTAAATGTATTCTGTGTTAATCCCGCCAAAACATCCTCTTTTTCTGTATCTTGTCCTTCTTCTTTTTTATCCATCCCCGTCTCCGGTGTCTTTCGTTCCTCTGATTTTCTCGTCGATTGAACCGGTTTCACATTCTGATGGCGAACATGTTGAGCCTGCTGAATCGCCTTAAGAATAATAGACAATTGAGAGAATTCAAGATTAGTAGCCTCCGTTGCACCTTGATTCCTCAACATTTGCCATCGCTATTTACATGGTTAATCACCATGCATACATCACGCATATATCACGCATATATCACGCATATATTCCACAAAACTCACCCAATACATGCTCTGAATGCTCTCCCGAGTCAATCCAAGAGGTACTGAACTTCCATCTCTCATTTTTTATTCAATTTTTCTTTAATCTTCCTTTTGCCCTTAACTTACGAAATAGCTATAATAAACAAGGCCTTTTCAATTCAATACTTTGATCTTCAAAATAAATAACTTCTTACCCCTTAAAAACAGTTTGTCCCCTCTAATAATAGTAAATACAACGCCTTTTAGCCTTGTAAAATGGCTGGATTAAGGCGAAATCAATTCAACTTGTATTATCGTCGAGAGAAAGCTGTCCGTGAAATGAAAAAGGGAACAGGACACCCATGTGTTCTGTTGCGATATAGAAACGATATCATCAAGAGAGGAAGTGGAAGGAGGAAGGAGAGAAGGAGGTTACTATGGTAACCGAAGGTTGCTACGGTAACGTCGAGGTTGGTAGGGAGTTAGGAGGAGGGTGGTAGGAGGTTACTATGGTAACTATGCGGTAACTATGGTAACGGTGCAGTAACTATGGTAACTACGACGTCACTATAGTAACTGCTTGATTAAGGTTTATTAAATGTTAATTAAATATAAGAAATAATATTTTTAAAAATAAAAGCTAAAGAAAAATATACAAAAGTATTTGTAGATAAAAGAATAATGTATATAACTTATATTTTACAATGTATTAATTGAGGGATTGTTTAAAGATTTAGACATATATGGACCTAGTAAAATAAGATAATAAGAAAAAAAATATGTAAAAAAAAGTACCATCCAAAACATAACCTAAGCGAGAATAATAAGATCTAACACCTATGCCTGAAATGACAGAAATTTTTTGACTTCCATGTTCATATTTTGCAATACGTTCAGCTTGTTCCATTAAAAGCATACCAAAACCTTGATGTTGAAATTTTTTTGGATCTTTATCATGAATGGGTACAGCAGAACCGTAAACATGAAGTTCACGTATAATTGAAGTTGGACAAGTACGAAATTCAGGTCGATAAGTTGTTGCAGGAGAACAACGACGTAAACGAAGCAATCCAATTAAAATATCATGTTGAGGATCTTCATAGCTTAAAAATGTTTCCCAACCACCATTGGCCATATAATCTCTTCTTAAAAATTCAATTTGATCTGGACGAACTTTATGATGAATTTCTTGCATACCAACTTCTCGTGAACGAATATCTCTGCAAGTCCATCCCAAATGTTTCATACGACTAAGTGCCAATTCCCGTAAATTCCCATTTTCAACACCAGAAGAAACAAGAGGCATAGGTATATCCCTTTGAATACGATAAATACGAGTCCATGGAGGTACCATGGCTAAAATATTAGCTATTAAATCCACCAAAACATTTGGGGTATAATTTTTATATCTTCCAGTACGCCAAAGCTCATATAATCCTTTATTATAAATAATAATATAATGATATAATATTAAAATTCCTACCTGTTCCTCTAATTACTAAAGTAGGATATATTTTAAGCCCATCAGTTCTAAATGCAGAATTCTCAAAGTATTCCTAAGCAATAAATTAAAATGAATTGTCTTATAGGTAAAAAAAATACTTTAAATTGGTAAAGATCCCTTTCTATACCTACATTCGGTAGATCTGGCATCATATGAGACACAACTTTAAATCCTGCATCTTTTGCTAAACAAAATGTTTCACAAACAGCTTTAACTGTATGTCCTCGATTAGTATCTCTTGCAACATCTTCATATACACTTTGAACACCAATTTCTAAACGAGTACAACCATAACGCAACATTGAACTAACAAAATTAATTAATTAAAAGACAAAATACTTTTAATTCAAACTCAAGATGTGGTTCTAAACAATAATCCGGTCTCGTTTCAATCGTAATACCTATACATTTTGTTTTCGAGTGCTCTGAAAATCTATCCCCTTATTTAACCATAATTATAACACCATACAAACTAACTTAACCGCTTCATCTACATCATGTGTCGTATGTCCTGATAACGCATTATGTAAATTAGAAATAAACCAATCTCTATATGTTTCCGGTAATGACATAAATGTTCCACCCATAATAATATATTCCACCTTATCAACCGCATGTCCTAATGATCTCAATTGCTCAATTCGTCCTCTTGCTTGCTCATACGGATCATATCTTGCACGAATCGCTCTCATACTAGTAGGTTCATATCCCGTATATGATTGTGATGAATATTCAAAATCAGAATCCGGCCCCCCTGGACAATACCTATTATTCTATAAATCATTTTTCATTCATTATTATCTCCCTCCTACACACATATATTTCCTGTCATAGCTATATGTGGACATCTTGCTCATCAAAAAAAATGTATAAAAATACTCCTTTTCACATACCGGTGAGGTTTAGACATCACTGCAATAGGTGCTACACCGCTAGCTGTACGAACCGGCTTTGCTTTTAACTTTGATACTAGATATGGCTTATAAAATTCCGGGATCGCTGAAATAATATCCATCAACCGAGGCTGACTTGATAACTTATATCTTCTACAGACATCATGTTTGATTGCATTAAGGTTCACATTATTATATTCTCCTGATTCATAGATACGTATTAATTTTCCTACTATTTCACCACATGCTTTAACTATTTTTTCTGCCTCCGTACACTTTCCAATCTCATTTTCTATATTAAATCTTTCTAAATACATGGTTTATCTTCATTTAGCTGTATTTTTATGATTTTCATAAAATCTCTAATTATAAGCCCATTTATTAACCTTTTTTACCGGAAAAATCGTAAAAAATTAACCAATTTTTAATAAAAAGGTAAGAATTTAGATTATTTTTTAATAAATTTCTTAAGAAACTAGTAAAAAACGGATGAATTTCTTAACAAATGTTAACAATTGTTAACATTTGTTGAATTTTCTTAATAAATTTGTTAAAATCAGAGTTAAAAATAAATAGATTTAAGAACGAACATGTTAATATTAGTGTAAGAGGAGGGAAAATAAGGGAAAATTCTTAAAAAATCTAGGAAAATAGAGTAATCAAGGGTATTTATTGATAATAAGGATCAATAGAGTGCATGTTTAATGATTTAAAAGAAAGAAATGGCCAATATTATTAAAAATATACAAAGTTACATAAATAAAAAAGAAGATATATATAAGGATTTAGAGGAAAAAAAGGAGTTTTATGATGAAAAAGACAAGGGAAATGGTGTAGAATATCATACAGAGTCGGGAGAAGGATCAGGGAAATTTTTAGGGAGTAAACCAATGGTTGATCGAATGACTAAAAATTTGAAATTTACTAATATATATAATAATGATGAGAAATATGTCCAGGAAACAAGTCTTGATAGTGAGAATTATCTTATAATTTCAGGGATGGATATTAGTAAAATAAAGAAATTTATATATTATATAATTTGTACGATGTCGGGGGGATTTATATATTTGATTTTATTGTGGATGCCGCAATGGAAAGCACGATTTATATTTAAACGATCACCATTAAGCAATTGTGAATGGGTTGCAATTGAGGTTAGGGCATTTCATGATTTAAAGCTAAAAAAATAATGATAAAAGAATAAATATAAGGAAATTAGTATATTAAAGGTTAAAAAAAAGAAACATGGTAAGCATATATTTTCGATTTATGAAGGGTTTCAAGATGTATATGATAAATTTCAAAATGAAGAGGAAAAGATTGAGAAGCCTTATGTAAGATATATCGATTATTGTTATATTCGTATTATTTATTCACTGGAACAACAAAAGTTTCTACCATCTTATACATGGAAAGATCCTCGTCGTATACTTTCTATTGAAGATATTTCCAAAGGATTAACTACAGATATAAAAAATAACAGAGAAATTATTTTTGGGAAAAATATTATAGATATAGAAGAAAAGTCGGTTATTAAATTATTAGTGACAGAGGTACGTAGTGACAGAGATAATTGAATACAGAAATATTGATATAATTGTTTAGATTCTTCATTATTTTTATATTTTTCAAATATTTTCTATAATATTGTGGATGTTTGATGACTATTATTATTATGCATCATGTATCCTTATTATTACAACTGTAAATATTGTGATTACTTTAGTAAAAACTAGAAAGGTAATTTCCTTGATTATTTCACTTGTTTATAATAAACTAACTATTTTCTTAGAATATAAAATCATTTCGTCTAATGTCTCGATACATAACTAATGTTAATGTTTTGCGTGACGGAACATGTAATTATTTTTTAATCAATTGAAACTTGCTAACGGTAGAGAAGGGGTTTCTCTTTTATCTTCAGAATTAGTTCCAGGTGACATTTTTGACATATCAGATCCAGAATTAACAACTCTACCATGTGATTCTATATTATTAACAGGTGATTGTATAGTAAATGAAAGTTCTCTAACTGGTGAGTTTTAATCATTTATGTTTAATAAATATTAAACTAAATAAGGCGAATCCATTCCCGTTTCTAAGATATTTGCACCAGAAAATGCTGTAAAATCGCTTCTTGAGGTAGAAACAGAAGTACCTAAAGAATTATCCAAACATTACCTTTTTTGCGGAACTAAAATTATCCAAACTCGAAAATCATATAAATATCATAAATCAAGAGCGTTAGCAGTGGTTGTAAAAACAGGATTTGATACTACAAAAGGTATTTTAATAAGATCTATACTTTCCGAAAAGCCTGCTAGTTTCAAATTTTATAAAGATTCATTGCGTTTTCTAGGAGTTATGGCAATAATTGCTTTATGCGGCTTTATTGTCAACTCTATAAGATTTGTTCAAATGGGGGTAATAATTTATTTATATTTTAATTCATGTTAATCATTATTAGATTGCATGGAATCTTATTATTCTTAGAGGTCTTGATTTAATTACAATAGTTGTTCCTCCTGCTTTACCTGCGACTTTAATAATTCAAACCAATTTTGCAGTTTCGAGACTTAAAAAACATCAGATATATTGTATTAGTCCTTCAAAGTATGTCATTTAACCTAAATATATAAAATAAATACCAATTTTAAGGGTAAATATTTCAGGGAAAATAAATGTTATGTGTTTCGATAAGACGGGGACACTAACAGAAGACGATTTTGGCGTTTTAGGAGTGAAAGTAGTAGATGATTCTACCAACAGGTTGTGATTATCGATATATTTATCTTAATTATTAAATAAATTTTATATAGGTTAGGAGAAATTCATAACAAGGCACAAACGTTAACATTTTATACATCTAATTACAATAATTTGAAACCTACTGATAAGGAAAATGCTATGCTTTATGCTATGGCAACCTGTCATTCTTTAAGACTTATAAACAATAAATTGGTTGGCGATCCTTTAGATATAAAAATGTTTAACTTCACTGAATGGATATACGAAGAAAATCAAGAACATACAGATTTAGATATTCATTTTGAAAACGTTAGAAATCAGGATGCTGTTCAAAATTCTGACGAACAAATTATATCATCTATAATTAAACCAAAAAAAGATCTTCAAATTAATGATATTAAAGATTCAAATTTTGAAGTATTTTATTTTACTAAAGTTTAATAACTAAATATTTCTAGAACATTTCTAATTTTGAATTTGGCATTATAAAATCTTTTCAATTTATCTCTCATTTACGAAGAATGAGTGTTATAGTTAAAGAATTTAATTCGACAGATATGCATGTTTATCTAAAAGGTGCACCTGAAATAATGGAAGATGTTTGTCAGAAAGATAGCTGTAATTAAGAAGATAAGTTTTCGAATTTTTTTAACATCACTTAGTTCCTGAAAATTATAATGAAGTTCTTTCTTATTATACACAGCATGGTTACAGAATAATTGCGTGTGCAACAAAAACTCTTTCTAATATATCCTGGGCTAAAGCTCAAAAAATAGGAAGAGAGAATATAGAAAAGAATTTGTTATTTCTTGGTTTCATTATTTTCGAGAATAAACTTAAGCCTGTATCGGCCGATGTTATACAAACACTTAGAAATGCTGACATAAGATCTCTTATGTGCACTGGCGACAACATTCTAACATCCATTAATGTTTCTAAAAAGTGCAATATCTTACAGCAAGATGAAGATGTATATGTTGCATCCATTCAAAGTTTTATTCTTTTTATATATATTTCAATTCATTAACATACTTTTAGGGAATATTGATTCCTCTGATGCTAAATTGCTTTGGAAAAACATAGAAGATCCAAGAATGTTATTAGACAATGAAACATTTATAGTGGCTATTTCCCATATTATTTTATTATCTAATCATATTTTAGCCTCAATATGACTCTTCTGATCTAAATGATTCTTCATATTACAAAGCTTGTACTCCAAAAAAATATTCATTAGCAATTACTGGAGATGTTTTTAAATGGATGATTCAATTTTCTCATCATTCTGTTTTAGAAAAAGCAAGTATCCAATTAAAAAATGAAAAAATCTAATATATTAGATGCTTATGAAAACTCAAATCTTTTCTCGTATGTCTCCTAGCGAAAAGAATTTATTAGTAAAAAAATTGCAATCTTTGGGTTATTGTGTAGGTTTTTGTGGCGATGGCACCAATGATTATGGTGCATTAAAGTCCGCAGATTCGGGAATTTCTTTTTCAGAAACAGAAGCATCCATTGTTTCTGCTTTTGCAAGTAAAGTCTATGATATTAGTTGTGTTTTAGATCTTATTCGGTTTGTATCACCATATAATATTATATTAATAATTAATTTCTTAGCGAGGGAAGAGCATCACTTGCTACTAGTTTTAGCTGTTTTAAATACATAGCACTTTATTCAGCCATACAATTCATGACTGTTAGTATTCTCTATTCCTCTGCATCTAATCTTGGAGATTTTCAAGTATATTTTTCTTTCCTAAAAAAAGAATACATCTAATGAGTTTAGTATTTATATATTGATTTAATACTCGTATTTCCTATTGCTATAGCGAGTAAGATTCATTTTCTATTAAATAATATTAAAAAATTTTAGTGGGAAGAACTAAAGCAAATCTTAGACTGATCAAAAAACGTCCTCCTGCAAGTTTAGTTTCTAAAAGAGTCATTGGTTCTCTTTTAGGACATATTTGTATATTACTATCTTTACAACTTACGGTATATTATCTCGTCCGTATACAAAATTGGTATATTAAAATATTATAATTCATTTCTTTAACCTTATAATCAGGTATAAAAAACCATCTCCTCTTTCCGATCTTTTTGACATTTCAAACTCTGATAACTCTTCTTTATTTTTATTTTCTTGTTATCAATATATCTTGGTTGCTCTTGTATTAAATACTGGACCTTATTGTGAACCTGTTTATCGTAACAGTATGTTTATTTTTTTTTTTCTAAAAAAAGATATTAAATACCTCTAGTAATATTCATCTTTATCGTACTCTTTTCTACAGCTACTGTCACTTATTTTCTATTTAAACCTGCAATTTGGATATACAAAATATTGGAACTTTCATATTTAAAACTCGATTTTTGTTTATTTATTCTTGGCCTTGCAATATTCAATTATACAATTTCCTGGGTCTCTGAAAAATTTATCTTTCTACCAATTGCTAGGTGTTTTACTTCAATCATAAAGATGATTTTTTTCCCACATAAAGCTAAACAAAGAAAACGATACAAAGTTATACAGGATTCATTAGGATTTTAGTATGAACCTCTTTGTTTTTTAAATTTTAATATAATATTTTTTATATATATTTATTATCTCTTCATAATTCGTTTCTTCATACACCTATATTGAACCTCTCAAAATTTATAATTTTATTAAACTACTAATTTATACAGGATAACTTAAGATAATATAAAATATAAGCTTATTATTATGTCTGGAGGCTATATTTGTGAAAACAGCAAAAAAATCCTGTCAAAAAAGACAGAATTTACAGATAAATCTAATAGAAATATATCATTTTATAATAATTACTCTATAACTAAGTCAGATCCATTTTCAAACGTATATAAAGGTTTATAATAAATAAACAAGTATATATCATTCAATTTTATAGGCCTTACAGGTCAATATAAGGACATACTTATTAATTACTGGCAAAATATAATAAAAGAGATAGAAAACAAAGATTATGACTTTAAAACTCATCCATTACCTTTATCTAGGATAAAAGTAAATATTTATGTTATTTATTTGAGGGGTTTGTGTATAATTTTATCTAGAAAGTCATGAAGATAGATGAAAATGTTAAAGTATTTAAATCAAGGTATACATTTCTTGCTAAATAATACATATATATAGATGATATCTACGGAAGTACCTATTTTATTTGCAAAAGGATGTGATATTTTTATTAAAGAGCTTACATTGCGTGCATGGTTTCATGCAAAAGAAAATAAGAGACGTACTATACAAAAATCAGATATTACAAATGCAATATCCAAGTCAGATATGTATGATTTTTTATTAGATATTGTATCAAAAGAAGAAGATGATGAAAGTTTAAAAAATGAAAAAGGTTATATGGCAAATATCTCTAAATTGAATTTTATTTCAAAAATTCAAAATCCATTTATTAATAATACAGATGATAACTATTCTAAAACATATACAAGTAACTAGATATCAAGTGAAGAAGGAAATAATCTGGAGAATTGGTTTCATATTTCAAATCAAGAAATTTATACAAATCATATTTATGATATTCAATTATTATATGTAAAACACAATTAATTACTTTAATACTTTTACTTATTAGAATGAAATGGATATATCTAAAAACAAGCTAATGATTAAAGATCAAAAATATAATACAAGAGCATAAATTTATATTTAATAATGATGCAAATGAAAATACATGAAAGAATAAATTTCGTGCAAGGTGGATAAAAACAAAACCTTTATATGATTAATAATTAATCATTATATTATTATTTTTTTAAGAAAGACTTGATATAATATATGTAATGTAATATAAAAATATATTAATTATTTTTTAAATTAGCACAACTTGTGTCCTTTTCCTTTAAAAGCAGATTTTATAGGTGGAGCATTTTGAACATTTCGTTGATTATTAAATAATACACCAAAAGGTCTTCTTATAGTACGTGAGGTTTCTGATGGAAAAAGATTTATAAACCATCTGGGTACTGTCATACGAGGACCTCCACTAGATGGTAATATATTGGTTAGAAATTCATAAAGATGTGCACTTAATAAACCACAAGCATCCTGCATAACAGAAAAAGGTCCACCCATAAAAAAAGATAATAAAAGCATAGAAAAAGGCAAATATCGTCCCTAATAATATCAAAAATTGCCTTCTTAATATAATCCCATTACTTTTACTCGAAAAAACCATAAACTAGTGATTGTATCCAGATTCCTTTGACTCCAAAAATAACAAATAGATAAATTTAGTGCAGTAAAATATGCAATAGAAGAAATAAAATAGCTTAAAAACTAAAAAATAGTTAAAAATCATATAGCTTATTATTTTAATGTATAAATGTATAAATGTCGAATGTCAACAACCAGTTTATATAAATAAATATTATATAAACCATCTCAAACTCTCGTAATATCTACTTTTATCATTTTATACCCAACAACAAATAGATAAAAGTGATCATTTTAATATGCTCCTCTCACCAGAACCCATCATCTCATCATAATAAATCGGAAGTGGGGCAGAAACAGGGAGCAATTTCTTTTTAATATATATACTTACCAGAATTATAACAGCATTAAATACTAAAAAAAAGGAATACTCCTGTACGTTGCCTATAAAGTATGCCGTTTCAATTCCATAGCTAAACCGATAAACTACAACCAATTTATCAATCAATTAATGTATAATTTATATATATATATATGAATACGAGAAAAAAGTGAAATAACCAGATTTAAGCCTCCTCCAACATAAAAAAAACCAGTAAATAATCTCCATAATTGTCCTTTAAATGTATATGACCATATATTAACCAATTGAGACGCTCTAGCAATCCCTAAAAGCGGTGCAATAGAGATAAATAGCGTACTGGACAAAAGAAATAATGTAACAGGAGGGATAGACGAAATAACTCTAAAATATCTTTTATACATGATAATGACATATTTCATGTATATTTACCTTGCTATATCACTGTCCATATCCAAAGCATTTGAAATTTTTTAAGTCCGTGAAAAAAATCAATAGAAAGCGGTATGAAGAAAAAAAATTAAATATAAAAGGATTTTTGTCCAAAGCGGTGCCCAAGAATGACTAATACCTTTCTAAAACCATTATTTAATTAATCTGTAAAAATTATAATAAAAAAAAATTTTTGAAAAAATATTAGAATAAGATATAATTTGAAAAAAATCCTTTAAACCAATGTAAAGCCTTATCTATTTTATGAATTATTATTATCAAAGAATGAATAATTTTGTAATTGAATTTTTAAAGTGAATAACCTTGAAAAAATATTAGTTTTAAAAATTGTTTAAAGAAAAAAAAAGAAATATAAAGATTTAGTTTAAATAATACCTTTTGTTTCTAAATGTTTTACTTGTGTTTAAAACATTTTTTTCTAAATAAAATTAATAATTTCAATCAAAATTAATATGACGTCGTTTTGAATTAAAATAATTATTCCTTTGCATTTCTTTTCTTTTACGCTCCTCCTTTTCTTCTAAAATAATCTTTTCTGCTGTTGTTAATGGCCTTTTTTCTTTATTTTGTATTTGTTTTGGTGGTATTGATTTAGCTAATGTTTTAAACACATTTTCTTGCTTTTTTAAACTTGTTATTTTATTACAACGTTGTCCTTCTTCCTCTTTAACCCCCGTTGATTCTTTTTTTTCACTAATTGTTGGTTTTGATAACGATATTGTTATTTTTTCCTCTTTTCTTTCCAATTCTTTTATAATTTGACATTCTTGCTTTTCTTCTTCTTTTACCATCTTCTTTGCCCTTTCAATTTGCTCATTAATCATCTTAATTTCCCTCTCTTCATCCCCCTTATCCTGACGATCCCTCTTGATTATAGACTGTTGACGACGCAGAGCTTCTGGTGAATTATCAATCCATGAAATATACAGCCCTTTATCCGTCTCATCAACCCTACATATCCCCTCATATCCAAGATATTTTACAAACTCTGTTAGAGTCACCCATCGTGTTGCATTCATCCTCACTGTATATATTATTTATAGTCTCTCTTATTTCTCCACATACAATGTCCTTTATCTGCAATATATTCCTGATAAAATTGATTAGCATGGACCCTCTTCTCTCCATGAGATGTTCTTAATAATTGAATAAAGTTATTTTTAAATTCTACTGAATAATTATGTATATGTTTGTTTGGATTCTCTCCAATCAATAACATTTGCCTGACATGAGCTTAAAAATAGTTAAAACTTGAATATACACATAGTCCTCTACCTTCTGATTGAGTATGGCACTTAAATCCTTTAAATAAATAAATATTTTTAAGATAAATAATAAATTTCTAACCATTTTCATCACGCATTTGTTTTTCACAGACTTGACAGTACCATCTGAGGCGCTGAAGGCCCTTTGATTTCATACGGTTAGCAAGCCATTTAGGAGTACCTTTTTCAGCTCTTCCACCCATTTTATTTGCAAGATTTTAAGAAATAAGATATACCGAAGATATATATAAGCAAATATATAGTAGAACCAAGAGATAATTAAGTTGAATTATGTATGAATATGCCGAGGAAATGAAGTTGAATAAGTATTTTAAAGAAAATGTAAAAGAAAGAGATTGAAATGACTAAAAAAGTTGCAATTTGAACAAATAATATATGATTTGAGTAAAGTATAGGAGTATGAATAGTCATAGAAGTAGAATAGTTTTGAATTGAATGATTTAAGAAATAAAATGAGCCATTTTTTGAAAAATAATTATGAAATAGTAGCCAACTAGATAAAAAAGGTGAATTAGAAGGATATATACCTTTTTATGTAAGAAATAAAAGATGATTTGAAGAAAAAAAGAGAATATACCTTTTGCTGAATGACAGAAGAAGAAGGAGGTTGGAAGAGAGAGGTTAAAAGAGTGAAAATTGTGTAACATAGGAAGATGATAGCGAAGATGAATAGGTAGATCAATAAAAAAAGAAATATTTTGATAAAACAAAGCCTCTACCAATATTAGACTTCCCCATTTGTTTAATTGCCAAGATGGAGCTTCTAGATCCGTTTCTCCATGTATAAAATGAATCTTTTTAAGATTACCAATATTGAACTGAGCCAAGTTTTCTAATTGATATTTATCAACATATATGAATTTTGGAAGATAATAAAGGATGTATAAAGAACAAGAATCATTGAGTAATTGTGAAATGGTTATTTTAGACCTAATTTTTTTATGAAAACCAGTAGAAGAAGTCACTTCAGAGTGAATAAAAGAGTTATGAAGAAAGTCATTAGAAAAAAAAGTAGTATATGGCTCTAGTAGCTTTTAAATATAGAAAAAAAAATAATAAAATATATACCTAATATATTAAGTTGTCCAAGAATAGCCTTTCTCCATATATATTTAGTCCTTTTAGTAACATCAGAAATAGGATCAAGAAGTCCAATTTCTACATGTGCAGATCTATTTTGCAAAAGTTTTAAATATCTATTCCATTCTAAACCTTTTAAACGCAATTTCCATACTATTTTTGCAATCATTGTTCTTGATAAAGGATATATAAAAAGTTCAATTTGACCAATCTGTTCTACATCCCCTTGATCACATAAATATCCACTAAACATGCAAATTGCATCCAATAAAAAGGATCCAGATGAAACTGTAGAGTCATAATATAATTTTCCAGCTTTATTATCAATAAAAGATCCCTTAAATAACAATAAATAACAAAATATATAATAAACTTCCTACCCATGAAGGAATTCTGTCTCCCCATAGATCCTTTAGAAAATTTGGAATAGAAAATACCCTGGAAATAGTAAGAATATTAATATATTTATAAAAAAAATAACATTTTTGAATTATATAATGGATATATCATTATATAAAACCCATTTGTTGGAATTGTAGCAAATGGTGGCATCAAACAACTATCCTCTCTACACCAATGAAGTGTAATTAATTTAAATGATGAAAGATCATCAGAATACTAGGAATATATTAAATTCCATCCTGTTTTTTCATAAAATTCTAGTTAAACCAACTTTTATAGGAAATGATACAACTCCTTTCAATTCTTTCCATAAATCTATATATTTTTCTAATATTTCATCCCGTTTAATATAATAAAATTCCCTTAATGGATCATATTTATCCTGTGAAATATATGTAATCCTCCAAAAATCCATATATTGATAGCTTCCTGGTGATAACTTATTTTACAAAGAATGCCTTAACCAAAGATACTACAATATTCTTATTCAACTATAGAATAAGACTGTTTCAAACAAGTTTTCTTCAAAAGAAATGATATATTTTTATTTTATATCAAAATAACCTTTAAACACTCTATTTTCTTAAAATTAAGCAATTGATTCAAGAAATATCACTTCTACACTTCTTTTATCTTTCTAAACTTTAAATTAGTTATATTTAATATTTATTTTAACCCTTACTAAAACCTTTTATTAGTAAATATATATATTATATTCTATCTATATATATATTATACTATATTTATATATTATTTTCTAAAAAAAACATAATAAAACTAGAAAAAGTCTTCAATAATATTCATTTTATCAAACATATCTTTTAACACTGTATCTTCACTATTATATGATAAATTTAGACGTAAAACTAGGATTTCCGAACTATTCATATAAGATCCATACTTTAGGATCATTTGGCAAATATTCATGAAAACAAACTCATTTAAACTATAAACACTTTTATTTATTATTTTACATTATTATCAAGAAAAACAATACATATTTAAACATTTTTACAGACAAATCATTTATATTTTAATTCTTAAAAGATTTATAGCTCAATTCACTCAAATAAGGTGAAAATTTATTATAAAAAGGACTTTTCAACTATATAAAATGCAAGGAAATAGTCAGTTCTAATATTTATCTATTAGGATGCTCATCATCTTATCTTAATCTTATATTATATTATATTATATCTTGATCTTAATCTTATCTTATCAAGATTATCGAGATAAGATAAGATAAGGCAGGTATAAAAATACATAAAAACAAACTTCAAAGAAAAAATAAAGGAATCTCTTCAGAAACATAAGCAAAACCTTTATTTATTTACTTGGAAACATATTTTTTAATTGTATAAATAGGACACCAAGATTGCAGATCGGATCAGATCTACAACTTTTATTGATGATAATTAAATATTTTTTTAGGGATTAGGAGTTGAATAACTGAAAAAATAAGTATTTGAATAGAATATTTTCAGTCAGGAACATAGGAATAGCAAAAAGAAGGGTTAAAAAAGACGGAATATTGAGTATTTTAGGGAAAATTATAAATATTTAAAAGATATATATATAATACTAGTAAGGCGGGCCTAATTCTGCTTTAAATATGGAGAAATATCCACGTATAAGAGATGTGAATAATAAGAAGCTTTTATATAAGGGATTTGGAGGGTTTATTAGGAAAAATATAGGATATTTTGCAATTTATCAACAAAGTATATTTTTATACCATTTTATGTATAAAAATACTGATTTAATGAGGGATCCTAATAGCAACAATTGTTGTTATTATTTTTATTCATATGTTTATAACGAATAGTTTTACAAAGAAACTTTTTAGGCTGTCATATTGTGATTCAGTGACACAATTATGTAGCAAAGGCAAAGATGATTGGTACTTTGTTGGATTCTGGGTGACTTTATTTACTGTTATGCGAGAGTTCTGTATAACTCATATTTTTGTACCTTTTGGACGTAACCATGGAATTATATCAACTAGAAATCTCAATAGATTTTCAGAACAAACATGGAGTTTTATATATTATATTATTTTCTGGAGTTTTGGGATGGTGAATAAATATTTAAAAATACAAGTTTATGTTAAAATATTTAGTATATTTCATATAATAGTCCATACTGGTTTAATCCTAAACAATTATGGATTCAATATCCTCAAGTAATTCTTAAACCACATATTAAATGGTATTATCTTGTTCAATTTTCATTTTGGATTCAACAAATCTTTGTTGTGAATATTGAAAAACGAAGAAAGGATTATTACGAAATGTTTTTTCATCATATTATTACATGCACTCTTATATTCATGAGTTATATTTACCATTTTACACAGATTGGAAATGCAGTCTTGTGTATTATGGATTTATCTGATATTTTTTTACCGGTTTGTATATTATAATCACTTTTTTAAATTCTAATTCCATAGCTCTCAAAAATGCTTAAGTATTTAAAAATGCATAAAACTTGTAATCTATCATTTTTTATATTTCTTCTTTCATGGATTATTACGAGACATATTTTATTTCTATTCATAGTATATTCAACATATAAAGATGCTGGTGTTATCATTACACATAAATGGGATCCTGTAAACAATATTTATTTTACTAAAAGAATTCATATGTTATTTTTAGCATTGCTTATAGCATTAGAAATTATTTTATTTTTTTGGTTATATCTTATCATAAAGGTTACATGGCGGGTTATTTCAGGACATAATGCTAAAGATACTCGCTCTGATTCAGAAGATGAAAATGACTTAGCATTGAATAAAAAAAAACAAAAGCACCATTAAATAACACGCAATTAAGTCTTGATATTTTAAAATAAGATTTATAGATTTCTTGGTATTTTAAAAGTAAACTTTATAGGAAGTCGCATAAAAACAAATTTACATAAATCTATTAATTTCTACATCTTTGACAATCATACCTGATTCTTCAAAATTCTAGCTACTCTTGAATTTATATAAAAAAACTATAAATGCTAAAAAATTTCAAATTTAATATATAAATCTCAAATAATACATTGCTTAATTTTTTAAGCATAAAAAATATTTATATTAAAAAATTCATTTCCTGCATCTTTAAAATACATTCAAATAAACTCTAGTATTGAATCATAAAGCCATTACAAATCTCAAATATATTATCATTTTACTATTAATTGCACATAATTGCTAGGAATAATTCCTATAGTTCCATCATGTTTTCGAGCTTGCCACCCTAAATTCTATCAATAAAATGTTTTAAAAACAAAAAACACATACACTTTCCAGTAATATCAGATATTTCTAAGATCTCATCCTTAACAAATGATATCTCTCTAGGATCATCAGGATTTGCATTATCTAAGAAATATTAAAATCTTTTTTTCTTATTCAAAAAACTTACATGAATAAATCGCCTTCACTTTATGTGGATATTCATGCTGTGCAGCAGTATTATTTGCTGTACTATCTAAGAAATTTAATGAACAATGTTCATTAGCTGTATATGTCGTTTCAACATGATTATTATTACGATAAGACCCAATAAGACTATCACCACTAGCTACAATTTTATCCGAAGAAACTTTAGGAACAAGCTTAATATTTTCAGAAGATTCAAGTATATATGAATTCGTCCATAAATGACAAAAAGAATCATTTCCAGTTCCATAATATAATATCCATAAAACCTTGTAATTTTAACACAAAGACATAAATATATCGACTATAATGAAACCTACATCAACAATAGAAAGAAAAATACATCCGGAAGCAACAGCACGTTGAGATGGCTTTGAATAATATATTATACTATCACATAGTAGTGCTTGAGAACACAATGCAACTACTATTAATCCTACTAGCTATTTTACTTAATAATAAACCAATATATCAAGAACAATCATACAGCAATCCGGTATGTATTTCCAGAATTTGATAGAATCACTGCAACAACGCAAAAAATGACAAAAATTTGATATACAGCAACCCACCACGAATAATAAGGAAGATATAAACTTCTAATATTCGAAATAATTAATGAAATTGCAGTAATAAGCCATCCTATCTAAAATAAAATAAATATATATATATAAATATAAAAAAAACTTACTAAGGCAAAAATTACAGTGACTAATAAAAACATATCATCTATCAAATAACTAATATCGAGATAACTTTGCGTTTGTTCCGATTCTTTCATATACATTTTTTACAAAGTTTTTTCAAAAATTGACATATATAGGCCACAAACAATATAACAATAGAAGTAATAATAGAAAACTAAAGACCAAAATATATGAAAATAATTCACTGATCCTTTATTTTTCAAAGTTTGTTAGACCAGAAAGATAGATTTTTCTAAATTCAAATTTATATTAATTTTTTTATAAAAACATCCTACAAATAAATATTAAAAAAGCGTTAATATCTTAATATATCAAACCTTAATGAATAGCTCTATATTAGCTTTTAATTAAATATTTTTTATAACTAAAAAATTTTAGGTTTCATACTAAGATAAATTAGTAAAATATATATATATATAAATATATTGTACTTGATATGATTAGATAGAATATAATAAAATAAATGTTATACAACAATTACAATATTCGTTAAGAAAGCCAAATGTGATATATATTTGTAAATAATGTATATAAAAGAATAATGCAACAATCAAAATAATATGATACGAGATGGATCATTAAGAAATTGTTTACGATAATCAATGATTGACTGAGCTATTTTTATAGTATCGTGAGGATAAGATGTGAGCAAAGATGGAATAAGTTCACGTAAACCTGAAAAATAATTTTGTCGTTCTTCTTCTGTTTCACCAACTGGAAATGAACTCATTTCTATAAGAAATTGATCGTCTAGAATATCATAAGTATATCATTATAACATAAATCAAAAATTATAATATATAAACATACATGTTTGTCCAATTTCTTTGAAATGTAAAAATTTACAAGAATCATCGTTACATACACCTCCAGCTGTTTCAAAAACACAGACTTTTTTATTAGGATCAGAACGTGTGCTATATGTTCGTGAGAGAAATCCTCCCTTTACCCATGACAAAAAATGGGGATGATATCTAAATGCATGAAAAATTCGTAATGGACTAGAATACTCCTTATAGAAAACAAAACAGCTCTAAAACCAGGATTAACACTTTTTTCATAATCAAAAATAATATTTACTTTATTAGTAATAACATCTTTTGATTGTGAAGAGATAATTACATTTTTTTGAGAATGACTTGTTACTATTATTGATTCCGAAAGGTCATTTTTATCATTTTTGAAGGTATCTGAGAATTCATTCATATTAGTTGATACAAAAAATTTATCATGATTTTTAATTTTTGAAGAAACTTCGTTATTTTTTGAACCTTCTGTTTCCTCCTGCATAAGACAAGCAGTTGTAGCCTTTTCTTGAACCTCTAATCTTCTTTTAAAACTTTTAGCCTTATCATTATCATTAGAAGAATCAATGCTTCCAACTTCTTCATGGCTATTTTGATTAGATAATGAAATATTATTCGATGAAATAAAAATTTCATCTAAACATAGTGAATATTTGACTAAAATTACTTTTTAAATACTTTTAGAATCTGTAACAGTAATTAAGTTTTCAGATATACAATGAGAATTTTCCAGATTTTCTATTGATGAAATTTTACTATATTCTTCGACTTTATCAGTAGAATCATGAGACTTTTTAAAATTTTTTAATTGTATTTGTATATCAGATTTTATTTGAAACGACTTTTGAAATAAAGACTCAGCCTCAGCAAGCTCATTTTTTAATTTTTGAATCAACAATTCCTCTTGAAAAAGCTGCATATTAATTTTATTCAATTTTTCTTGAAGAACTAGTTCTTTTTCGTGCAACGTAGCCTCATTCGATTTATCTTCAAGGTTTTTGGATGTTTCTTTTGTTTCTTGACTAGTATTAAATACAATTGAGTTTTCTTCATCTATATTTGTATCATTAAAATCAGGAGCATGATTAACATCCTCGACAGGCTTTTTCTTCATCTTTTTTGAGCTCTCTAATTTAGCAATTATTTCCATCATACGTTTGATTTCTTCTTCTTTTTGTTTCAATTTCGCAATAGCATCGTTTTTTGTATTTTCTGGTTCAAAAGGCTTTTTAATTTTACTAATATTATCGCAATTGTCACTATTATCATCACTATTATCATCATTATCATCATCTGAAAATTCAATCACAACAGAAGCAAGAGATTCTGAACCAAATTTTTTCCGTGGAACAGAGGAATCCTCGTTTTTAGAATCAAAAGTCGATACGTGCTTTCTTTTATGAGATATAAAAACATTTTTCTGAATATTTTCCGAAATCTGTATTTTATCTTTAATAGAATTGCGAATATTCTGCAAAAAAGTTTCTGAATCCACATGTCGACTCGAATTTTTATTAGATTCCTCGAAAAATGCAGATGTATCAGAAAAACCCTTTGTATGATTAACAATATCGACTTTTTGAGGTTTCGGTGATGGTATTCTTGCCACTTCTTTATCATCTTTTAAATCTACATTCATATCCATTTTTTCCTCAACTACATCTTTTCCATGGATATTCTCTGTCTCTGGTAATGCTAAACCTGCATCTAAAAATATCTTACAAAGAAAATCTCTATTTATTCCTAAATGAACTAAATATTCAAAAGAAACCCCCTGGGAAGATAAAAATTCAAGCGCCAGCTTCCCCTCAAGCTTAAGATTCATACCTAAACATATAAGATATCTCCCTTCAAAAAAATAACCATACTATTTTGCGATTGCGAAAAAATAGACTGATACATGTATGGATTTGCCATTGAACCACTTCTAACCCGATAGTTCCTTCTTACACCCTTAAAACAAACAAAAACTCCAAAAAATACCTACTTCCTATACGGATTCCTAAATCCAAAGCCTTTCCTCCTCATAAACGCTTTTATACCATTAACCCTCATAATAATTATACACAAAAAAACGCCCTACTTCTAGATCCACTACCAACAAAGCCAGAGCTCTTATCAGACATAGAATTATCACTAATTTCTCCCTCTTCTTTCTCATTCTTATCCTGCTGGTTATCAAAAGACTCAGAAGACCCATTAGATCCCTTCGAAAGCCCTTCTAAACCCCCAAAACCTGTTTTCCTCTGATTCAGCAGTGACGAAAGTGATAAATCCTCTAATTCCATGGCAAAATACCCCTATTATAGGTCTTCACAGCCTTAACAAATTTTCACTCAGATATATCTAGCAATATACAAGCTTTTTTTCTGCTTCAAATTAGAAATACTAGCAAAACAAATACGCAGAACACGTTTAAAACACTTAAAAACACTATTTCCGCCTTATTTACAAAGATATATCGATTTTTTCAATTTCATCATTTTTAATACGTTGGATATCCCTCACGATTGTTTTTTTACACGATATTGGGTTTAAGGCTTGGATGAAAAAATAGAGGCAAATAAGTGAAATTAACAGGAAAAACTACACGGAAATAGATTTTTTCGTATTTTTTATATATATATCCTTTTTTTTTTTTTTTGATTGGACGTTTTTTGAGTATTTTGAGGGTAAATGAGAAAGGCAGAGAATCAATTCAATGAAGAACCAAGGAAATATGGCGTATTTTCTAGGAAAAAAGGTCAGGAAAGTGAGGAGAACATGTTAATGGGCTCAAATCTCGAAAACGCGGCGGCACAAGCTGAATTTTCGAGCAAAAAATGGGTTTGGGTAAAAGATGCAAAAAAAGCGTTTATAAAGGGCTGGATTGTCAAAGAAGAGGGAGAATATGTTTGTGTTAGATGTGTAGATGATGAAGTGTGTTTTTTTGGGTTTTTTTTGGGCGTAAATTGAGGAATTTAGGAGCGTGTTGTTAAAATAAGTGAAGTGGACAAAGTAAACCCACCAAAATTTGATGGGGTGGAAGATATGGCAGAATTGACATACCTTAATGAAGCATCAGTTGTGAACAATTTGAGTTTGAGATATTCTAATAGGTTAATATATGTAAGTTTGTCGTAAAAAGGAATTGTACAAGATATTTATGATAATAGACGTATTCAGGGTTATTTCTAGTGGCAGTAAATCCATATAAATCACTTCCGATATATACAAAGAAGTATATTGATATATATCGAAATAGTAAAAGAAGCAACACAAAACCTCATATATATTCTATAACAGATCTTGCATTTCATAATATGCTTGAGATGCGTGAAGATCAATCTATACTTATAACGTTAGGTTAATTTTTTGTGTATAAAAGAAGCTTATTATATGATTAGTGGTGAATCTGGGGCAGGAAAAACAGAGAATACGAAGAGAGTTATTCAGTATTTAGCAGCAGTGGCTACTTCACAATCAAATGAACATCAATTGAAAACGTTAGAGCAGCAAATTCTTCAAGCAAACCATATTTTGGAAGCATTTGGAAATGCACAAACTATTCGAAATAATAATTCATCACGTTTTGTAGAATAAATTGTTAAATTATGAAATAATTAATTCATTTAGGGAAAATTTATAAGAATAGAATTTAATAGTAAAGGGAAAATATCAGGAGCCAATATAGATTGGTATCTTTTGGAAAAATCTAGGGTTGTTCAGCAGAATGTCTCTGAGAGAAATTATCATGTGTTTTATCAACTTCTTACAGGTCTATCTAAAGAATTAAAGAGTTATAAAAATTTTTAATTTTATTAATTGTCTAATATTTCAACCTAGGAAAGCTCTTTCTTGAAAATCCAATTGATGATTTTGTTTTTCTTAATAAAAGCTATAAATGTATAGAAGGAATAAACGATGCTTCTGATTTCTATACTTTAAAAGTAGTTTTTTTTGAATCTAGAATTATATCTAATGTTCAAAGGAATCATTTTCTGTTATGGGATTTTCAGAAGATGAACAATTTAGTATTTTTAAACTAGTGGCATCTATTCTTCATTTAGGGAATCTTAAAGTTGTTTCAGATAGATCAGATCAGGCTAAACTTTCGAATCCTGAACAAGCAGAACGTTTATGTCATTTATTTGGTATACCTGTTTCAGAATTTACAAAAGCTCTATTGCGGCCAAAAGTAAAGGCTGGTAGAGAATGGGTCACAAATGCAAGGTCTTCTCAACAAGTAATACATTCCTTAGAAGCATTAGCCAAATCTCTTTATGAAAGAATGTTTGGAAATCTTGTGGAAAAAATTAATAATGCAATGGATAGAAATTCAACAAAAATGCATTTTATAGGCGTACTTGATATTGCTGGATTTGAAATTTTTGAAGTAATAATTACTTAGACTTTTCACATATAATATATTAATCAATTCTTTTTAGGTAAATAGCTTTGAACAGCTTTGCATAAATTATACAAATGAGAAACTACAACAATTCTTTAATCACCATATGTTTGTTTTAGAACAGGAAGAGTATGCACGAGAAAATATTGATTGGAAATTTATTGATTTTGGCCATGATCTACAACCAACTATAGATCTAATTGAAAAGGCAAATGTAAGCATGATCTTAATAATGGTTTTTATTAATTTTATAGCCTATTGGTATATTATCTTGTTTAGATGAAGAATGTGTTATTCCAAAAGGCACTGATAAAACCTTTACAGAAAAATTGGATTATATATGGAAGGATAAATCTTCTAAATATAGATCTTCAAAATTTTCTGGAGAAGCATTCATTTTGAAACATTATGCAGGAGAAGTTGAATATTCTACTATTGGTTGGCTCGATAAAAACAAAGATCCTTTAAATGAAAATATTACACAGCTTTTAGCACATTCTAGCGACAAATATATAGCGAATTTATTTTTGGATTTTTCTGAAGATATAGATTTATCACCTAGAAAGACTAGGGTTAAAAAAGGTTTATTTCGTACTGTTTGTCAAAGACACAAAGAACAATTAGCATCTTTAATAAAGCAACTCGAATCTACACAGGCTCATTTCGTCCGTTGTATTTTGCCGAATCAATTTAAAAAACCTTTTTCTTTAAATACACCTCTTGTATTAGATCAACTTCGATGCAATGGAGTTCTTGAAGGAATTAGAATTTCAAGAACAGGATATCCAAATCGATTACCATTTTCTGAATTTAGACAACGCTATGAACTCCTTACTCCTTGTCTTCCAAATGATTATATAGATGGAAGAAAAACAGCTAAGCTCATGCTTGAGAAATTAGATATAGATGTATCCAATTATAAAATTGGTCTTTCAAAAGTATTTTTTAAAGCGGGAATTGTAAGAATATACAATTGTTTTTTTCTTTTATTATTAATTGCATCATTAGCTTGCAGAACTTGAAGATCGCAAAGATTCCTGTTTACAGGACATTCTTACTCGATTCCAAGCAAACTCTAGAGGATATATTCAGAGAAAAATAGCCCACAAAAAGCTTTTTAGATACAATGCAACAACTATTATTCAAAAAAATTTAATGATATATTTAAATTTATGTCAATCTCCATGGTGGAAACTTTTTTTTAGAATGAAGCCCCTCCTAAATGCAACATTTATAGATAATCAATTGCGTAAAAAGAATGAGGAGATTGAAGCTCTATCAAAAATGATTAAAAATGAGGTATTTTTATAAAAATTGAAACAATATTTATAATTATTATATAGGCTTTGGAAAAAAAACAGTTACAATTAGAAAAGAAAATTGCAGAAGAACAAAAATTAAAAATTGAGGAGGCTCTCCAAAATGAGCGTGCTCTTGCTCTTGATAAGGAAGAAATATTAAAACGTACTCAGGAAAGAGAAGCTAAATTATCTGAAGAATTAGCTGGTGCAATTGAAGACCTTGATCGTCTTGAAGCACAATGCGATGATTTATTAGCAGTTAAAAAGAAATTGGATATTCAGGCAGAAAAATGGAGAGTTGAATTGCAGAAAGGCAGTGTTTTAATCTCAAAGTTAGAAGAAGAAAAGGGCGAACTGATAAATCAAATAAAAAGTTTAGAAACTACAAATGCAGCTCTTTCTGAAAAACTTTTATCTTCTGAAGATGCCGATAAATAGTATGTTCTTATTATTATTTTACTTAATGCTAAATGTTAAAAGCAAATCTCATATTAAATCCTTGGAAACATCTTTAGAAGAAAAAGAATTAAAATTTCTACAGTCTAATAAAAAATTCGAAAAAGAGATTTTAGAACTTGAAGCATCTTTTAAAGAGAAGGTATATTATTTATCATTTATCATTTATCATTTATTACTAATTATATAAGCTTAAAAGTTATGAATATCTTCAAGAACAAGAAAAGAAGTATAAAAAGGAAAATGAGAAACTATCAATTCAACTTAATGAAATGTCAACTAATACTATTAGTCTGGAGGAGTACATACAAAAAAAGGTTTGTTTTTATAAAATATTTCATATATTAAGACATTAGGAATCCGAAGTAACTAATTTACGTAATGATATTTCAAAATTGGCTTCTGAAAGAGATCAATTAAAACAAGAATTAATAGCTTCTTCTATTAGAAATGATACATCTAGGTCTGAAGTGGTAAATCTTACTAAAGAAATACAGGAATTAAAAATTGCAAAACGAAAAGCTGAAAATGAATTAATTGAAACACAGAATTTACTACACAAGAGAATATCTCAAGATACAGAAATTAATGATATTAAAAACATGCTTGAACGACAACTTTTGGAAGTAAAGACAGAATTAGAATCTACACATGAGGAACTTAAGCTTGAAAGACAGAGTAATATTGATTACAAAGAAAAAAGCAGCAATGAAATTGAAAAATTGAAACTTGATAATCAGAATCTTTCTGAATATAAAATAGAAATGGAAGAAAAATTCCAAAAGTTAGATAATAATTTCAAAAAGATTTCTGAAGAATATTCAGAATTAGAAAAAACTAAGAAATCTGCTATGAACGAGATTATACATCTTAGAAAAAGAGCACTTGAGGCAGAATCAGCACATAGTGAAATTGAAAAGAATCAAATTAATCTAAGTCGGCAACTTGCAGACATTACTTCAAAGGCAAATATAGCCATGAATGAACTCGAAGATACAAATAATAGCAAAGAAAAACTTATTTCAGAAGCATCTCTTCTAAAACAAAAGATTGAAGATCTCGAATCTGAAAAAATTAAGCTTGAAAGATCAGTAAAGCACACTGAACGAGAAATACAGGATCTTACAGCTCGTATTGACGTTGAACAGAAAAATAAACTTCAGGTTGAAAAGGATTTAGCTACGTCTAACTCGGAACTTTCTAAACTTCAAACTCATATTGTAGATATTGTAAATGAGAAGCTTGAGGATATTAAAAAGGAAAAGAAATCTCTTGAATTAGAAATGAAATCATGGAAATCTAAGTATGAAGAAAATGCAATTCTTACGGAGGAATTACAGAAACAAAAGCAAAGAATTACTATGGAATTAGAAGATCTTGTGAGTTATTTTTTTAATTGATATATGGCTAATTCTTTTTAAAAGGAATATGAACTAGAACGTGAACATCAAATAGCCAAATCAGCAGAAAAAATGTCAACCAATTTAAAGGTATTAACACTATAAACCTAAAAAATTGTTAAATATATTTTTTAGATTCAGCTAAATGAAACAAAAACTCTTCTTCAAACAGAAAAACAACAATCTATGATTAATCACAATAATTCCTTAAGGTTTCAGAAAAGATTCCAAGAAGCTCATAAAGAAATTTTAGAATATAGAAAAAAACTTATATCTTTTGAGGAAGTATTAAAATCTGAAAAGAATGAATCATCACTTGATCAAAAACATAATAGCAATACTCTAGAATTAACCAAGCTTCTTAAGCAATTGGATAAAGTACAGAATGCACTTATAATATCAGAAGAAAGTAAAGCTTTAATTGAAAAACAATATAATGAAGCAAGAAAACACTGGAGTAATGAACTTTTTTCCCAAGAAACAAAATATATGGAATCGCATCAAACATTATTAAATGAATTATCACAACCTATTATAATACCATCTCATAAATCAATATCACCATCCTCTATTTTTCAAAAGGAATCTAATAAAAGTATTTTTTCTGCATCTAGAATTGAAGGTAGTAAAACAGATAAATTAATTAAAGAATATGAATCACGTATTTATTCAAATGATGGGAAAGAGAATGAGGAACCTTTATATTTAGATAAAAGAAAAATACAGTCTTTAGAAAGTGAAATTGAATCTCTTGAAGCACGCTTAGATATGACTGAGAAACAAAAAAAACAATTAGAAATGAAATTGGAATTCTATCAATCATCCCAAACATTAAAGGGCGGTTTAGATTTGAAAAGACTAAAAAGAGAAAATGATAGACTACATGAGTTATTGAATGATAATACAGATCAATTACTTGCTTTAGAAAAATTACAAAAGAATGGTATTATTACAATTAGAGATTTCCAGTCAAAGTCATTCGAAGAACTTGAAGAAAGTTTTGATTCTATTGCAGAGTCTAGAAAATCTTTGCTATTAGAACAAAGGGAAACTTTAACAGAACTGGAATCTACTCGTAAAGAATTAAAAGAATTAAAAAAATCACAGTCGAATTTGCAGCATGAATATAATCTTCTTGAGGAAAGACTTAAAACTTATGAACTTTCGGATGAAAGTGATACACATTTAGAGCTTGTTAAAGAATTGGCAGAAATGCAAATGCGCTTTGAAATAGAAAACCAGCGTACCATTGATCTGACAGAAAATGTAACATTATATAAAAATAGGGCAGAAGAATACTTTAATAAATTAGAAACAGCGGAAATAAATGTAATTAAAGCATCTAGATCTGAAGCATTTACTCGTAGCCAATTGAAGGACGCAGAAGAAACTATTTCCAAAATGCTAGAAGAGAGAAAGGAAATGGAGGAATATTTCCAATCATTGCAAAAACAAATTCAAGAACTTGAAGCTAAAGTATATTTACATATCCTATATTACCAAATCTAATTCTGTTAGGTTGAAGATAATTCTATTGAAATATTAGAAGCAAATATGTCTCGACAAAGAATAGAACAGGAACTTGAGATTTATAGAGGAAGAAGACAAAAAGAAATTGAAGATCGCGAATATTCTTTAGAACAAACTCGTAAAAAATACCAACGAGAACTTTCTGGTCTTTCAAATGAACTTGAAATAGAAAGAGAAAATTCAATGCAAGTTCGTAATGAAAATAGGTATTTTTTTACATTAATTCCTATTTATATTTAACAAAAATAGACAATTACGGGAAACTCTTGAGAAACTACAACTAACATGGGATGCAGAAATGTTAAATAATTCTTCATGGGAAAGAGAAAAGAATAGGCTTGAAAATTCTCTTCAAGATTTAACGAAAGCCTATCAAGAAGCTATAGATGCTCAGCAGGAATCACAAGAACATGTTATTTCTCTTTTTTCACAAATAAGAACTATGAAAATTTCTATGGACGAATTAGAAATTGAAAAAAATCAGCTTCAAAAGGATAAAAATGCTCTGGAATTAAAAATAAAAGAGATTTCATCACAACTTGATGTAGCAGAACGAAATCATGGCTTATCAGATAAAACTAATTCTATAAAAGATGTTAGTCTATTAAAAGCAGCAATTGCAGAAAAGGACAATATAGTAAATTCAGCATTAGAAAAAATGAAAAGGGCAGAAGCTTTAGTACATGACGTTCAAAAAGAAATTGCTATTGAAAGAGAAAATAATGTAAAATTATATGAGGAAAAAGTACTTTTTTAATATATTTTAAAAATCTTACTTAAATATTTAGGTATTATTAGAAAAAGAGAAGATGTCATTACAAATAAAACTTGTAGATATGGAAACTAAGTTATACTCATCAAGTGACATAAATGAAGAATTCCTTTTAAAGAAAATAAAAGAAGTTAAACCCTTTTGATATTTAGTATTAAACTAATTTTAATAATAGCTGGAGAATGAATTACGTGAAAGGGATTCGATGTTGAATAAAGAAAACAAAACAATACGTTTTACTGATCGTTCAATTAAAGACCTACAATACCAATTATCCCAACGTGATAAAGTCAAGGAAAGACTTGAAGATGATTTAAATAAAAGTAACGAAAAAATCCAAAAATTAAAAAAAATCGTAGATGAATTACAATTATCGGAATCCACAAGTCAACTAGCTCTTCGCCGCGCAGAACGAGAAGCTAGAGATGAAAAAGAAAAATCATTAAGGCATTACTACATTTTTTCGTTTGAAATATAACTAATTTAAATTCAAAGACTAGAAAAAGAACTTGAAAAGGCAATATCAAGAATCGAATCCGCATCCATAATCAATAGAAACAGTACTATAAAGTCGTTGAGTAGTTTAAGTTCTAAATCTAGCCCGTCACGTTCCGATATAAATACTCGTTCAACAGAAACAACTTAATCTAAAACGATTTGTATTTTGTTTAGGAATAAATACAAAGGAACCATTATTTCATGTTTATTTTCGTTAACTATACGTCGCATTGCAGTAATGATATTATTATTTATCCAGGCGCTATCTGCCATATTATATCTAATCAAAATCTGAACTCTATTTGAATTAATATGTAGAAATGACTAGTATATTATTATAACCTTTGAAATCGATTAGTATTTTTTATGAAATAAATACTAATATGAAACCTAGTAAAACAAAGAATTTTGTATAACACGTTTTGATAATCAAAATTGTTATTTTTATGAATTTTTATCTCTATAACTTCCAAATCTTTCTTCCCATTCAAGCAATTGTTTAGTCAAATTTTCCATCATTTCAAAACTATCAAAATTATACTGAAATATACCATTTACTGTTTTTAAATTAGACGAAGCTTCAACGTTATTTTTGCCATTGTCAGAGTTAGTTATTTTCTTTTTATCTAACTCTGGAAAATTTTCTTTTTTATCCTTCATTTCCTTGTCTATTTTTTCCAATAATGGAACGAATAATTTTCTCTGATATTCTTCATCCGATATCATTTCTATCTGTGTTCGACTTATATATTCAAGAATGGCAGCTACACGTTTTTTCATTTCAACCATTGTTATTTTTGCTTGAGGAATTCGAGGACGAGAAGGCTTGTCTATTATATTTAATACATTCGAAAAAGTTTGTTCTGAATCTTTTTGAATTTGTGATTGACGTGTATCATGTTGATGTCGTATGGTAGATGTTTTTTTTAGCTTTGCCTTAGATCGAGGTTTTTGTTCTATAAGAGGTGGTTGATTTGTATTACTTTGAGCATTTATTTTTAATGATGCCTGCTTCGTTTTAGAAGAATTCGATACGATATCTAAATTATCATCGGAGACTAAATCGATAAGATAAAAAATATATACGAAAATCGGAAATAAAACCATTTTTCATCTTTTTTTCATTTGTTTTTGTTTTATTTTTATTTTCACCCTGACGACCTTTCGCCGAAACTTTGCGTACTTCAATTCCCATATTCATTCTTTTACGTTTTTTCATAACTGTTGTTTGTTCTTCCTCCCAATCATTGGATTGCGTATTTAAAGATATTCGCGAAGAAACAGATAATCCTCGAATACGCTTCACTTCATGATAGCTATTATAGATATACGTTTAATCTAATATATGCCATTCAAATTTTTAAAAATACCTAGATAATTCAGGAAGATCGGAATTTCTTCGCCGTTTCTTCTTATTCGATAAATCACTTTCCTTTTCACTACCTACAATTGGCTCCGATGATGCCTTTTCTACATATATTTTCTGAGGAACTTCCGGTAACGAACTATCATACATAGCATCCCTAGAATTCATCGTCCATCGTTTTTTCAACGGAAAACTTTTCCATTCCGATTTTAAATCTTCCGATGACTCATTATATTTAGATGTCGGCGGTCTTCTTCCTTCATTAATATCTATTTCTTCCTTTTTCTTCCTAATTCTCTTACGCTTTTGCTTTATACGTAACTTGATGTAAATCCGGTCGACATATTTCACAATAATAAATCTCTGGAATACTCTTTTCATCTCCAAAACCAACACATGCCCCATGCTATCAAATTATCTTTAAATTCTACCCTTTTTTCCCCTTTTAAACCCACCTGCCAAACTAAACAATGATCGCACTGTATATACAGATTCCTCTCCGTAGACTCTTCGTTCTGAGCATCCTGAAACCCACAAACACACCGTGTAGTCTCCTCAATCGCTGACTCTTCTCCATTCCCTATCTGTCCCCTATCTACTTCTGTGCCAGGACCATCAATCATCTTTTTCATGATCTTTTCTATACAAATTAGCCTCTATATTCTCATCTTCTACAATTGAAAACCCCCTCAGCACAAAATCCTGCTCCAATGGCGCTTGGTTCGTGTTGGTTTTTTGTAGGTTATTTGGGGGGGCGACTGGCCTTTTATATGGAAAAAAAACTCGAGAGAGATAATAAATACAACCTCATCAAATATTGGAAAACGCATTGAAGACGATAATTATAGAAAAAAGTAGGAATATTCAGGAGATAAATAGATGACTGAATAGAGGAAGTAGCATTTAAGTAACTTGTTTTTTTCAGGAAGTTTTTTGATGGAGTTTGAGAGGAGTTTTTTGGTAAAATAGATCGGAGAAGAAAGAGAGAAAAATGGAGGATAAAAAGGGATATAATGCCATATTAGAGTGAAATTATGAATGAGACGAGGAGATACTTATTGATAAAGCTTTTTTTTTAAAAAAAAAGGACCATAAATGGGTTATTTTTGAGAATATTTGATTTCAATCAGAAGCAAAAAAAAATAAAGAAAACATAAAGCAATTGCTATTTTATAAGATTAAATATATACGACTAATTGATATTATTTATTTACAATGAATAATCAGGATATTTTTCGCAGATATTTGATAAAAAATCATGGTAAAGAACAATTATTGATCAATTGAATATTTGGGTAAAACAATACATAATCATTTGATAAACTGAATAAAATGAGAAACTATATGTTTATGAAAATAAAAGGATCAAATAATAATAAAAAAGGGAATTTAATAACACAATAGGATCAATTTATATCAATTTATAAAAATACAACAACAAAAAAAACAATAATTTAATCAAAAACTCGGAATACTTTAATAAATAGATATAAAAAACGGATTAATTCATTTTTCTAATTAAAACAACGCGTTCATCAATAATAATTATATATTTTTATGACATACGGCTTATTCTATTTTTTTGCATCTTATGATAATCAAAAAAGGCGACTAAATAAACAGATTTTATTTCAAATTAATTGATAAATCAGTTCTTTTACTTTCATATATTATATTTTTAAAAATTCTCTAATCTGGTCTCGAAGATTATTAAAGGTTTATAAAATCCTTAAAATTCGCCTTTTATTTAAAAATAGGCGAAAGGAGCCTAAGACAAGATATAAAGAGGCTTTATATATGTAGGAATTTCAATATTTTCAAGAGTTTTCTATAGTTTTTAGAGAAACAGGTCTTTTATGATAGAAGTTCAGCAGTTACAGAAAAAGCGAAGCCGGAAAGAGTTCAGACAGACGCATCCACGGAGATCACAGCATCATGAAACGCAGGAGACATATAAGACTCAGGTGAATATGGAGAAGTCTTCTCAGGAGAATGCAGAGGAAGTATCTACGAATGCATTATCATTAGAATCGGCAATGTTAAAAACACAATATCACCGACAACTTATGTCATGTAAAGAGTTATTTCCGGACTGGACGGAGGAAGATATTCTCTATGCAATTCAGGAGGCATCGGGTGATTTTGAGGTAGCGGTAACACGGATATCAGAGGGTTAGATGATAGGAAGGTTTTTTGGGGGAGTTTTTTAATAATATATGATTTAGGACGTGCAAACAAGTGGGGAGAAGTTAAGAAGAAGACGAAGGATAAAGGAAAGAAGCAAGATGCATTACAATCATCGACATTATTAACAGGGAGTGGAAAAAGCTCCCGTGATAAGATCCGTGATCCTAAAAATCATAAAAATAAGGGTAAAAGGGTTGTCGTTATTATATATTAATTTAATTCAAATAGAAAACATTTCGAAACGTGGAGGGGGACGTTCTAATGGTTTAGAATAAGAGTTTTTATATGATAATTGAATAATCATATATAGGTATTTCAAAACGAAATCATCAAACAGTATCGGATTCTTCGCTTGTAACATGGGATACTGTTAAAAATGTAGAGAGTCGTACAGTATCTATAGATACTACTGGAACAGGATCTAATATAAAAACATCGTGGACTTCATATAAGCAACCAAAAGATTCATTAGGTCAATGTCTAAATCTAAAGAAAAATATAAACAAAAACATTGAATATGGTGTAAAAGAAACAGAAAATGCGATATGGGAAGACTTTAATCCTATTAACCAAGATTCCAGATCGATAAGTGCCTGGAGCGATGCAGCAACTAAAGCGTCATCAGTAACAGCGGGATGGGGTGAATCAGGATCATTTTATATGTCTAATGCAGAATCCCAGAATTCATCATCATCAAAACCACGGACAAAAGTTATTTCTCCAGGAACGAATCCTTCATGGGCATCGTTGTTAAAACAAGAATCAATACCAGATATACAAGAACAACAATTATCTCCCATTTCGAGGGCATCATTTAGATCAGATGAAAATTTTAGTAATACATTTCCTGTTTCTAAATTAACGGAAAAAAAAGATCACGGAATCATAAATGGAGTTAACCATGTACCTATTGTTTCTAAAACATCCTTAACAACATTGAATCTAGAATCGATAAATAAGGAGAATATAGACCATGTTATATCTTTAAAAAATCCTAAAAATTCTATAAATATTGCGAATCAAACGTTAAATAATACAGCAAGATTTCACGAATTTAATAAATCACATTCTTCTAAAAGCACTTATCATAGACATTTAAGCCAAGATACTCCTGTGGTGATGCCAAATTCAAATAATATTTCTGAAAGGGTAGAAGTTCAATTTGGAAGTTTAAATCTTGCGGGTCAAGAAAATGGCCTGTTTTTAAATAGGGAAAAGTCAAAACCAGAATTGTATGTCATATATTATAAAGATTTATTTATTTTTAATGAAATATTTAGAAATTCTGTATCACAAGGTATTTCTATGAATCTTCATTCTCCAATAGGTCCAGCCTTACAACAGTCTCAATCTATAGAGAATTCCGAACCTACAGATATACAAAAAACTGAAAAAATGTATACAGAATCATCAAATACAACTCAACCACACATATTGCCAAATCGTACAGCAATGTTCTCTTTAAATTTAAATAAAGTTAATAAGCAATTATCTGAGCAAAAACAAGTTCAATACCAACCATTTGATCAAAATTCATATAATAATTACACGAATCACCCTATTCGGGACAACATTCCTAATTTTGGAAATTTCTCACTTCCTAATGAATATCAAAGATTTTATGGATCAGAAGATCCAAGGCCACATTTCGCACAAGGCTATTATGACCCGTCAGCATTTTCTCGTGGACAACCATCAAATACTTCTATGCATAGAGATGCATCTAATATAAATAATGAATATATACAAACTTCTAGATTCGATCCAAATGCATTAGAGGGATCATCAATTCCCTCTCAACAGATGACTTCTGGCTCAATTATGCATAAACACATGCCAATAGGTCCCAATACTCTTTCTCAATCTCATTCCTCTACACAAGGTCATTTTCATCAAGCACAACCCTATCCGATCCATCCTTACTACAATCCTTATACTGCTTATTATGTAAACCAGGTAATTCATTATCTTTCTTTTTTTCATTATTTTAACATTTCATTTTAGTATGGTTATGGAAACTATCCCTATACTAAACAAAATATTTACAATCATCTTCAACAAGACTATTCTAGATCTTATAACGAAAATTCATTTACCAATTCTGATAATGCTAAAAAGTTTAATGAACATCCTAGAGATTTATCCCAATCAACAAATCAAGGAAAACCTCAAGATTATGCTGCATCTAAATCACAAAATTCTAATACAAGTCAGCAACAACAATGGCCTCAACAAAAAAATATTTCCAATAATTCACTTGAATATACTGGCAAAAAATCAAACACAACCACTCATCAATCAAATTATATCCAACATATGCAAAAATTTCACCAGCAAAATCCTGTTCGGCCTATTTATCCTGGTTCTTCTCATACTTATCCTCCTCATTTTCAACAACCATCACATCCTCAACCTCCATCAACTCAATCTTCATCAATACAAACTCAACCTTCACCTTATTCTATGCATCCACATACCATTGGATTTCATGGACCCTATCAACCTTTGTTGAATCCTCAAGATCATCCCAATCTTAACTGGACTAATTATACCTCTCATTAGAAATGTATGATTTTCTTTTCATACATCAATAATACTTGGTTATTCATGATTTATGGTTTATTCAACTACTATCTTATCAAAGCAATAGATATGTGGGATTTATCAAATTTTAAAACCAGAATACCAGATAAACTCCTATTAGATTATCTTTAGACACACTTTCTTATCGACTTATATATAAAGTATTTTTTATATATGTATTTATATATACATCTGCTCATTAGGTATAGACTAGCAATAATCTTAAATAAATTTGAATTGCTTCAAGAACATTCAGACTATTGAGATGAACATTGAGACAGTACAGAGTCGTCCATACGAAGTAAGAACAAGAGATTTAATGGTATAAATACTTAATATTATAGGGACAATTGCCGGGTACCTCGGGTAAGATGTTTTTTTGGTAGGAAAAAGCCTTTATTGATGGAAATAAAGGGCTTCGAAAAAGAGTAACAGTTTTCCAACAGCCTGGATATACGGAGAACTTCTTAGAATCAATTTTCTCAGTTCTCCGGCCAAAATCGGGTGAAATTTGGATTATTGGTGGAGATGGAAGATATTATAGTGAAGTAGTGATTCAAACAGTTATACAAATGGCAGCAGCACATGGAGTAGGATTTGGAAGAATTGTCTGAAGGTTATGGAGTAAATTTGTATAGGTTTCAAAGCTAGTTATTGGACAAAAGGGAATTTTATCAACGCCGGCAGCATCATGGATGATTCGGGAATATAAGGCAGCAGCAGGGTTACTTTTAACAGCGTCTCATAATGCAGGAGGTTAGAATGAAAAGTTAAAATTCTTTTGGATTTATTTTTTTAAAGGGCCCAATGGTGATTTTGGTATTAAGTTAAATATAAGTAATGGAGGGTCAGCACCAGAAGCAATAATACATGAAGTCTACAAATATACGAAAAAAATAACGAGATATGTTACACTGAATATAGAAAAGGTAATGATTTTTTGAAAAAAAATAAATAAAATGAAAATTAATATGAAATATATAAAGATTGATCTAAGTCAAATTGGAACTCGAATAGAAAAGGGATTGACAATAGAGATTGTGGATCCGGTACAAGGTTATGTCGATTCCTTAATGGATATCTTTGATTTTGAACTGATTCGAGCATTTTTTCGGCGGTTTACAAAATTTAGAATACTTTTTGATGGATTGCATGGAGGTAAAAGGATAATTGAAAGGTATTATAGCTGAGAAAATAGTAACTGGACCGTATGCAAAAGAAATATTTTTAAATAGATTGAAATTGCCCCCTGCATCATTGCAAAATTGTGTTCCTTTACCTGATTTTGGAGGAGGGCATCCAGATCCGAATTTAACATATGCCAAAACGTTAATTACACGAGTAGATGCAGAAAAGATTGATGTTGGATTTGCTTCTGATGGAGATGGTGATAGAAATATGGTATATTGTGTCGAGACACTTGTGAGTCCATGTGATTGTCTTGCATTAATTGCGCATCATGCAGAAAAGATTCCGTACTTTAAGAAAAATGAAATATTTGGCTACGCTAGGAGCATGCCTACAAGTAGGGCACTGGATTTGGTTGCAGAAAAAAAGGGTTTAAAATGTTATGAAGTTCCAACAGGATGGAAGTTTTTCTGTACACTTTTTGATCACAATAAAATCTCTATATGTGGCGAAGAATCATTTGGAATAGGATCAAATCATATAAGGGAAAAAGATGGTCTTTGGGGGGTTTTATCCTGGCTGAATATTTTGGCTGCTATTAACATGGAACATGAAGAGCAGCAATTTAAAGGAATCTTGGATATTTTAGAGGAATTTTGGGAAATTTATGGAAGAACATATTTTTCCCGTTATGATTATGAAGAAATAGATGGGGTTTCTGCAGGAAAAGCATTAAACCGTTTCTCAGAAATCATTCATGATGATGATTTTATTGGATCATCACCTATTTATGGTTATAAAGTTCAAGATGCTGGCGATTTTTCCTATCATGATCCAATTACAGGAGAAACAACTGAACATCAAGGTCTTTACATAGATTTTTCTAACAGAAGTAGAATTGTTGTACGTTTATCAGGTACTGGAAGCTGTGGAGCTACCATAAGGTTAAATCTTAGCTATATTTTTATATAGTTTCTTATTAAACATAGGATATATATTGAAAAATACGAAGCAGATAGACAAAAATTTCATTTAAAACTACAAGATGTGCTTTGGGGATTGTTTGAATATTCATTATCATTATTAAATCTTAAAGAATATATTGGCACTTGTACTCCTACAGTCATAACATAAATAATTCTTAAATTTATTCGGTGCTAGTTACAATTTTACTCAGCTTATCTTTAAACTCTTCTAAAGCATCTTTCTCTTTTTTTTCTATCATTTTTTCAAATTCTTCTTTCTCAATTTTTAGATTTTCAATATCATTTTCTTCAAAAACAGATAAACAAATCATATCATGCTCAATTTTCTATTTAAATCAGGTATATTCTTTATCAGAAATAACATACTCTTCTATGAATAATTTCTTGATAAAGTTTATCTTCTATCTCAGATATAGGAAGATCTAAAAATATTAACGACATAAATATACTAGTTTATAAAACACCTAAAATACATTTATTTTGTTGAATTTTATCTAATTCTTCTTTAAGATTTTCAATTTCTTCTAGTAAATAATTTTCTAATCTTAGAATTTCATTATTTAAGACAAAGTTTTCATTTAACTTTGTCTTAAAAGTTTTTTGAAATTTTAAAAGATATTCATTCAATTTATATACTAAAAAAATATTAAAGTTGCTTTAGAAATAGTTCATAATATACATAATTTTTCTTGACTTTTAGAATTTTTATTCATGTTTTTTTCTAAAATTTTTTATATAAAATTAAACTTATAAACACATATCTTAGTAATCATTTAAATATGAAACATAATGATATAAAATATAAGAAAATCTTATTTTTCAATAGAAATATCTTTAAAATATAATTAAATATGTAAAAAGATCTCTAGTTTTACTCTATACTTATTAAAATAAAAAATATACCAAAATCAATTTCATCTATGTATAATCAATATTATTAACCATGTTTCTTTTTATAATGTTCATTTCATAATTTTTTTTCTCAAATTACATTTTATTTGTTGTCAAAAATGGTTTTCTGTTCTGAATATTTGTTTTTGTCGGTTCTTTCTGTTTCGCCTTTCTTTTATTATCCATCTTATCCGAATTACTTATATAAGATATATTAGACAATTCTCTCTTTGTTTCTTTCATTTTTTTCTCTAAACCCTCAAGCGACTTTATTTCTTCTCCTTGTTCTTTCATCTTTAACGCCTCATTTTCCGCATCTAAAATATCCTCCAAAATATAAGTCATTTATAACCCTTATTTAAATCATATAAAACAATTATAACTCACTTTTGTTGCTCCATGCCATTTCTTATTTAATATTAATCTTTGTGTATGTTCTGTCTGATTCAATATCTTGATCCATTTCTCAAGAAGTTTATCCACATCTTTAACTGCTTCATCAACATTCTAAAGACTTTTATTATTCCTGTTTATAGCGCTCTTATCACCCCTATTATACCTCCATATCTTTCTGTGCTTTTAATAGTCCACCAATGACTTTTTCAATCACTTTATTCAAGTTTTTTACACCGTTCAACTCCTTGAGCAACGTAGAATCTCGTTCTGACATGCTGCTACCCGTAAAAGAGCTCAATTGCCCCGATATCTCCGTTTCTATCCTATCACCTATCTGTCCTTCTTGGAACTCCATTAATCCCTCAATTTTCGTCCTTTTTCTTCGTTTTTTTTTCAAAAACCATACAATCCACTACGTACAATTCAATTTTATCCTTGTTTTCTCCTAAAAAACACTTATTAATGCTCTTTTTTCAAAAAAACAAAAACTCACCTAACCTCTTAAATTTATGACGTCGTCCCGTTGCTATGGTTGCGTCCACACATCAACCCTCCAAAACCTCAACAAAATAAACCCTTCTATTTGAGCACTTTTAGGCGTCTTTTTGGCACTATAAAAGGCATATTTCGTCTTATTATGTTATGGAAGAGCCGTCTACGCCTCCTGAACAGATTCAGCGGCTTCCTCCTACACCGCCAACACCATTTTATACGTCTTCTGGTGATGGGTTAATATGTCCTTCAGGAAGGAAGAAAGAGGCTAAAAGACCATTCTCATGGGTAGAAACGCCGTGTCCGATTGCTAAGGATACGCTTTTGAGCCCCAAAAAGACACCACAAACGATTTTGGAGAAAAAAGAGGAAAAATGTATAAATCATATAAAAAGGACATTTCTGCCGGAAAATATGGCAGAAAACATGGATAATCAGACTAGTAATGAGGAATTTAATGAGAATATGTTTTTTTACGATGAAAAAAACCCATTTTTTGTTAAAAATAAACAAGTATTTTGTACGGACGAAGAACCAGTAAAAAATGCAAATAAAACACATAATTCAGAGGGAGTTTCATTTTTATTGTATGATTTAATGTTTTAAAAAGGGATTATCTAATTAATTAATAGCCGGGGTAGAAAAATTTTACAAACATTTACAGATCAAGTATATGATTTAAAGCCTAAACAGCTTTTTACAGAGATGTTATCATCACTGAATACTACAATTGATGAAATGAATGATGAATTTACACCTAGTAAACGAAAAAGACGGAAAAATAATATAGATAAATCGGATGAAATGTAAAATGATAGAAAAAGGAATAAGTAGTAAATTTTATTTTAATATTTAAAAGCGGAGGTAAGGGTATTTGCAATAAATAATTTTTATATGCTAATAAGAATAGAATGCATACTTTTTGAAGTGGTTTAGAACCATATAATAGAACCATAACATTTCCAACTCATTTTTAATTTTTTTCATATAAATTGTGTTGAATTATTTTGTAAATGAGTCTTAATAGTAATGTATAAATGTTTATTAAAGTAATCTTTTCAAGGTCGTGGGAGTATCATATCCATAGATTTGCCATTTAACCATTTTGGATCAATTAATTTTTCTCGTTCAAGATATCTATTATATTTAGAAAAAAGCTAAGAAAAATATAAAACATACAAAGACTTATATGCATTTCTTATTGTAGAATCGCTTACACCAACAACTTCTGCTATTTCTCTTGGCAATTTGGGATGTTGAAATAAATACGAAGCCATATATATACCACTAGCTGCAATAGAAATAGGTGAACGTCCAGCAAGTGTACCTTCAGCACTTGCACGATTTGCTAATTCGGAGGCTGCTATTTGAACTGATGTAGGAAGTGATAATCTATTGCAGAAACGAATCATAAGATCTTTAGGAGAAGTAGAAGGTATGTATGAATCATCTCCTTGTCCAGAATTGCATGATAAAAGATTGTCATCTGTTAACATCTTTTGAAGACTCTTAAAAACACGCCCAATTTCTTTCTTGGGAACATTGGTTAATGCACATATCTCCTTGAATGTTCTTGGAGCCTTTCCCTGACGACATGCAATAAAAATGCATGCAGATATAATAGATTCATTACTTCTTCCTTTCAATGCTTTACTATCATCTACTTTTTTAAACACTTGTTTAGCAATATCAGAAATAGATTTTGGCAAGTGTATAGCATCACACATTGCACTAATTTCTCGATATGCAGAAACTAGATTCTTTTCGCCCTTTTGAGCTACTGATCTTCCTTGAGTCTTTGAAAGACCATGTCCCCCATCCTGAGTAGATATAATTGTATCCAGTTGAGACCCATTTAACAATGGATTCGCTGATGTACCTACTCTAGACTGATTATCACCACCTTCATCATTAGCAAATGTCCTCCACTCAGATCGTGTATCTACGATCCTGTCTCCAACAACAAGTCTAGCAAATCAATATTACAGCATTTTCATTCATGAAATTTACCCACAGGAACCACAGACTGTATCACCTGACGAAAATTCTTCAACTAAGTTCGGAGGATCTTCCTTACAATCAGAACAAATAATACGAACATTAAGATTAATAGTTCCCGGGTTTATCGTGTATAAATTGCTAGATGCTAATTGCATCTTTCTTATATATAATCTCCCCAAATATTCCTCAAAAATAACCTATTTTTAACCAGAAAAAAAGCTGTATACAGCTTATATAGACCCTAAACTTCCTTCCTATATAGAAATAAAGACAATATCTCCCTTTTTTCCCGCTGTTTTAAGGTTTTTTCAAAAATAAACAAGATCTCGTTTTAAATGACCTTTTTCAACCTAAAAAAAAACTGGTATACTCAAAATACAAATCCCTATCCTTCTGTTAGGAAATTATGCCTTTTTACTGCATCAATAATGCCCCAAAATCCTTACTTTAAATTTTCTAAAATTTGGAGTTCTGATCGCTGACGAGCTCAACCTCTGAAAAAATATATACACAAGTATAGGTCTATAAGAGATGTATAAACCGGTAAAAACACTGGTAATCAAGAGAAATAACATTGTTCATCGTTTTCAGCGCTCTAATTTTACTAGAAACATGTTTTATTTGCAAAATCACAGATACGAATGTTTATTCGTCCATCATATAGACGAGATCAAGGTAATTTGGAGGAAAATAAGGTTAAACATTTTGTAACGTGCAAGATATTGTCAAGGAACTTTATTTGCGTGAATTGAAGTAGAGTTTTTTGGGTTTTTTTTGGGGTTTTAACAAGGACAGAAATTGCAAGCCATTTACGACCAAACCAGATGATTCAGAAGGTCAGGTAAAGGCCTGGATGCTCCCTAAAGCACCGGAAATTCCTGAAATAGATTTGGATATTGAGGCAGAATTGAAAGCGTATGAAAAAGAAACAGAAATGGAGTCACCAGCTTTATTAGAGACTAAAGATCCTTTGGATGAGTTATTTGAAGTGATATAAGGAGAATAAAGAGATATAGTGTTTAATTTTTGTTAGAAAGAAGAAGAAAATAAGGGCCATTAATTATATATTTTTTAGTATATATATATAAAAAAGGTCAGATGTTAATATTTCCAGCAGGATCTTGAAATAAAAAAACGTACAGATTACATGAATTTAGATGATTTATGTTTATAGTTTTTTCTATATTATTTAACATAATAATTTTTATTATATATTAATTTTCAATAAACCAAGTAGTTTATTTTATCACTAAAATAAGATTTATACAGACCAAAATCTATAGATTAGAAGCAAAAGAAAGGTGTTTTTAATAGATGAATACTATATAAATATTGATACATTTTTGTTTTTGAAATATATTTTTAAAGAGACTATAAAAATGGAAAAATCAGAGGTTTTTATTAAGAACTTGGACAAAATAATGAAAGAATCGTCAAGATGGGGCTTTAAAGATACAGAAATATCTTTTTCTGATTCAAATAAGACGTCAGATAAGCTTAAAAAAGAAGATTTAAATATCAGAAAAATATCAGAAAAATGTTAATATCTGTGCCTAATTAATGAGTAAAATGTCTAAATATATATAGATATAAAGGACAAAAATACAATAGAATCATTAAATAGCTATATAATGGTAATTTTTATTAGATAAATGAGAAAATGGTAATTAGATATTAGTCGTCAGATAAGGCCTTAGATTCACTAGAATCATACCTTTTTTGCTTTAGAAAGGATCTTAATGAAATAGACAATGAGATAAAGGCACTTCAGTTTCGTTCTATAGTGCTTGATCAACAATTACAAATACGAAAAGTAAATAAGGAAATATTTTGATAAATTTCCAGTATTTATTAAGTTAGGATACAGAAAAAAGGGTTAAAAGCATTGTTGATGAGTCTATTATATCACCAGAAATGATTTACTGTATTTCAGAATTAAAAATAGATGAAAAATGGCAAAATAATCTTTCTATACTTAATAATATATTAGAAAAATTTAATATCAACAAGAAAAATGGAAATATATCAAAAATACAAGAATATATGGAGAAAGAATTAGAAAAGTTATCATTGATAGTATTATTAATATATAATTTTTTATATAAAATTAAAAACAGTTAGGCAGCTGAAAGGATACGCGAGTTTTTCATCAATAAAATCAAAATATTGCATAATCCTTGTAGTAATTCAAAGGCTATTCAACAATGCATTATAAATTATAAATTTTTATTTAATTTTTTATATAAAAATCAAAAACAATTAACTTTTGATATTAAACAAACATATCAAAATACTATGCAATGGTATTATTCTTATAATTTTGAAAGATACACAAATTTTTTAGAAAAACTCAAGGTATTTTAATATTTAATATATATAAATTTAATTAACTAACTATAAAGATTAATATATTTGATACATTTGCTTTAGATTCTGAAAAAGCATCTAAAAAAAGTAAGAAAATGATATAATATTTATTATATTTTGATATGGCTTAGATAATATACATTCTCAAAAGGGGATTTCTATTTTTTCATCATATAAAGAATTTAATATTAGTCATAGAGCTAGTATTGTTTTGGGAGAAGATCAAAATATTATTATAACACGTATTTCTAATCATGATAAAAAGGTAAATACCAACTTTTATATTTAATAATTGCTAAATATATATATATAGATATATAATTTAGAAATTATTTTTTATAGTTATAATCAAGTTTTAATCAACAATATTATAATAGAGCATTTTTTTCTTTCTGAATTCATGTTATTTAATAGCCAACAGGAGCTAAATAACTATTTACAAGACATAATTAAATCCACTTTATCTAATTCAATGGTATATTTTTTATTTTAATATACATAGTTCTTTTAACTTTGAAAAATATAGGAATTTAATCAACAATTAATAAGGAATTCATACAATGTTTTAGATATCCTTCTTTGCATAAAAGTTGCGGAGAAATTAATATCCATTTTAAAGAATAAGGAAATTTCTATTTTAGATAATTATATGAATGAAATATTAGAATTGCTTTGGAATCAATTTCAAAACTCAATTGATCTACATTCTGAAAACTTAAATCAATTGTCTATCAAAAATACATTATTAGAAAATTATAATAGAACATCACCAGATATAGTTACACAAATATTTGGTGACTTATTAAATGGAATTTTTATATTATTTTCTCAAGATTATAATGAATTAATAGAGACAAAGTAAGGTGTTATTTATTAGAATATTAAATATTTGACTAATTTCTAGTGTTGAAAAACTAGTAAATAGTTATAAAATATACCTTACAAAAATTAATAACAAAATAAAAAGTGAAGAACAGAAACAATTCCTTCATAATAATTATTCATTAATATTAACAATAATTGGTGTAAGATAAACATTAAAAAATGCAGAAATTAAACTTATATAATTATAGAATACTAAAGGATATTTAGCAAAAAAGCAACAAGAACATTTTCATGAACTTCAAGTTAATATAGGAAAATCCTAAAATCTATATAAATTTCCAATAATAAAATAAACCTATTAATGTACATAACCTATAAACCGATAAAACATTTCTACTTTAAAATATAAATAATTTTCATAGTCTTAGTCTCATATAGCTACAGAATCTACAAATATTACTTTGAAAAATGGTTACTTTCTAGAAATTAAAGTGTCATACATTGCATATAACACTCCTATAAAAGACATAGTAAACATAAGATCAACACCAATAGCAGATTTGATAATAGACAAAGAATTAGCAAGAAAAAAACTTTTCTGAAAACCTTTATAAAATATAAAATAAACTACTATTGCTTTAACAACAGCAAATGTCATTGGATCAACTATTTTAAAGTTTTCTTTCCTTGATTCATGAAAATTTAACATTGTAGCCATAATCAAAGGTATAAATATTGCAAATATCCACCAAGTTAACATATGTAACCAAAATTTTTCAAATGAAAAAATTACAGAAAGATCTGGTAAATAAAGAATTTTATAACCAAAAAAAGAAGAAAACAAAGGAAAAAACGCCTTAAAAATAATTAAATAAAATAATATATCATATAACCAATAATTACCTTATATGACCATGGAATCAAAAAACTTAAAAGATTATAAAATTCATAAATACAAAATAAAAAATCCAGCACCAAAACTTTAGATAAACATTTGCGTATATATAATAACGTGTCAAAAAGAACATTATAGTTAAAAAAGTGGCCAAATGTATATTTCGATGTAGATGCACCATTTAAACCAGAAATACAAATAGTTTCAGATAAAACTGACTCTGACGCCGCATCAGAAGACTCATTTAAACCCTTATCAAATCTATTTCGAGCTTTATTATTTTCATAGAAAAGAGATCCTTCTGAATGATTTTTATGTTTATAATCAAAAGAATCGCTCTGATCCGCCCTAATCATTCATCAGTTATAGACTGATCATTTCATACATTAAGGAACAAACGAAAATAATGGCCGTTTTACATTTGTTTTCTGTATAACCACCGATTTTTTTCGAGATGATCCTTTTACACTATTTATAATAGATCTAACCTCATTAAACTTAAATCAAAAATTTATATTATAGAAAACCCTCTATCCTCTAATGATTCCTCATAATAAGACGAAAATTCTGGATTCTTAGAAAGTGATGCCTTATTTTCTAATAAATGTTCAACAATTCTTGTTTCAAGATTTGCCTTTAAACCATCGCTATCTACTGTCATTAAACCCCGTTTTTTCATATAATAAACTTACTGATATTGAGCTGAGATGCAAGACGTTGTAGATCACTCTTCCTCATGCCTTTAAGAGCCATCTTTAAAAATACTTTTTTCAGCTTGATATCGATACAAAAAAATCAAAACAAATACATTTTATCGGTCTAATAAGATAAGAAATTGGTCCGATAACAAGAATAATAAGTCTATAAGAGCCCACACAACCTCAATTTCCAGTTATCTTAATCTTTGATTTAATATTTTTTTTTTTGTAATTAAAAGAGCCTTATTAGAATTGTAATAAAATATAAATAAAAAAAAGATATAATCCAGAGTTAATTAGTAAAAGAATAGAGAAAGAATCGTTTGTTTATCCATGAGAAGAAGGTGAATTAAATGAATTATTTTCCTTTATCTTCTTTGAGTGAAACAATTTGATTAAGAATAATTTTATCAGATGTACTGTCTTTATCCATACAGAAATAACCCATTCTTATAGCTTGAAAACGAATAGATTCATAGTTTAAATCCTGAGATAGATTTTTATCATTTTTTAATAAAGTTTCTTTTAATTCTCTAAAACCGGTTTCAATCAGAGCGTTTTTTATTATATGTTCACTGTCTTTATTAACATCAGCTAAAAATTCATTTATACTGGCAGAAGAAGGATTATCAGACTTGAAAAGTGGTTTAAAAATTCGAACTTCGTTAATATAAATTGGAGAATCAGCATCATTCGTTTTTGCTATCCAATGAATATAAGCTTTAGGTTTTTTAAAATTCTCATTAATTTGATAAACAGCCCTAAGTTCAGAAACCAAACCTGAAATTGGATCCAAAGAATAAGAAGTTACTTTAATTGGAAAAGGAACTTTAAGAAGTCCAACAGATTTCCCAGGTGCTAAGCGGTAATAATTTGGAGAGTCTTCAATACGAAAATCATCTCTATCAATATATATACGTGAGGTAAATGGAAGATAATGAGTTCCAAATGTTGGATCATCTGGTTTGTATGGAACTTCTAGCATTTCACAATAATCAGAAGGAAGATTCTCAATAACAACCAAGATAGGATCAAAAACCATCATCAAACGAGGCGTTATGTTTTCTAAAAATTTTCTAACTGAATTTTCAAAACGAAGAACTTGAATAGTAGTTACTGCAGTAGTAACGCCAAGTTCATTAACGAATGATAATATAGCCCCAGGGGGAACTCCTCTCCTTCTAAATCAAATAAGCATTACAATTACATATAATAGAGAAATTCCCTTAAAGCAACTAGTGTATAAAGTCGAGGATCATCCCAGCCTCTTACTATTCCTTCAGATACGAGTTTCAGAATCCTTCTTTTACTTAATACTGTTCCAGTAATCATTAAACGCCCATATCTTTCAAAATTATAAAAGAAAACTAGAATATAAATTAACATACTCGCTTTGTTGAGGTCTATAAACTTCTAAAGCATCACAAAGCCAATCATATGAACGTCTAGAACCAATAAACTTTGAAAGTCAGCCAATAATGAAATGGAAAACAATAATACCTCCGTAGTGCAAAGAGAATGTCTAAATTTAATTAAAAAAATTATAAAAAAAAACAAATTCATACGATATATTTTCTAAAGAATCAACAAGACAATGTGTAAAATCATAAGTAGGATAAATTCTCCATTTAGTACCTGTCCTATGATGTGGAAAATCTAAAATCCTATATGCAACAAGATCCCACATTTGAGGATTTCCATCTTCTAAATCCTGTTTCATTCGAAGAACTGCTTCTGAAACTTTATATAGACCATTTTTCATATTATCAAAACCTTCAAGATTTTCAGAAATAGGGCGATCACGATGTTTACATGCAATTCTTGGGCCATGTTTATCCCCTCCTCTTCCATGTTTTATTTCAGCGTCTAAATTAATTATTAAAAGAAAAAGAAGGAAGAAAAAGCATACCAGTACAATGACAAACATACGCCTTCCCCTTCTCAATGAGAATAACAGCTAAGCGATATAACTCATCAAAATAATCACTTGAGAAAGTAACTGCATATGGTTCAAAACCTAACCATCTAACAGTATCCTCAATCGATTGAACAAAAACATCTTCCTCTGCTTCAGGATTTGTATCGTCATAACGTAGATAACAATATCCTCCATGATATCTAATTGACTCGTTATTATACTATCATTCTATAAAATATTATACTTTGCAAATCCAAAATTAATTGCAATAGCTTTACTATGACCTATATGTAAATATCCATTGGGCTAGATATATTAAAACAGAAAAATAAAATATTAAAAAGATACCTCAGGAGGAAATCGTGTTACCACTTTTCCTTTAGTATGTCTTAAATGTTCCTCCGTCAATCTTGGATGAATCTGTTTATTTTCACCTGGTTTATGCAACTTTGCTAAAAATCCTTCTTCAAACATATTGGGTGCATCTTTAACACTTTCCAATGAATCTTGTACCGATTTTTTATCTTTTGATGTAAAAGAATCATCTAATGTCTAAAATGACAATTCTATCAATATTCATATTTCCCTTCTCAGATTTCTACAGTACCCCTTCTCGAACTATGTGTTCCTCTTTAGAACGCAAATCAACAATAGAAAGCTCTTTTTCAACAAGATTTTTCAAGATCAAAGGATCCGCCCATTTTAAAGCCGGAACTTGACGCAAAAAAGACAAAACAACTCCAACTTTTTTAGGTCCAATAGAACATATACGATCCCTATTCTCTTCCACACATGCTCGTATATGTGATAATATACTTTCTTCATCCAAAACCACCCCTCATCAAACATCAACATAAAAATATTCTAGACTTCTTTTTTTACCAACACCGCAAGCCTTATCAAACGACTCCAAATCAAATACACAATCACATTCAATTAAATAAGAAATAGCAGCTATTCTTATCCATCAGAACCTTTATTATAACCTAAACATTCTACTTTTCACTTGTAACGTCGTTTTAAGCTTATTTGACATAATAGCTTCACAAATATAGTTTCTCCCATATTCCTTAAGTGATCCACAATGACTAGACAATACGTATAACAGATTTCCTTGGGTCTTTGTGCATCCTGAATTTAAAATATCCGTATTCATAATATTTCTAAATAAAATATCACTTAATCTCTCATTTTTTAAGGTTTCTTTAATCTTCAAATTAGATAGTCCAATTGCACCGAATGCCTTCTCCATAGACTCTATCATATCCATCTTGTCTCTTAATATCCACAAAGATTTTAACCTTTTTCTAATGAGCAGGTTTTTTGGACGTCTTAACGTCGGGCATAAATAATTCAAGGTAATCTATATATAAGGGTATATATAGATTTTTTATAAGCGACAAGTTCTAAAGAGATATTGATAATAATTATTTTATAAGATTAATTTATCTTGATTCCATGACGATCTTCATTAATTAATTTCAAAAACCCTAATATCAAGATTAAATGAATATTAAAGAGGATATGGAATTACCAGAAAGGCGGACCATGTCTACGCCTTGATGGTCATCGCTTTCAACTATTGAAAAAATGAGAAAAGAAAGATGTATATAGAAAAAAAGTTACCTGCTTGTAATAAACCCTCTAATAAAGAATCTACTTTACTTTCTTCAACACCAGTACATAGAGAAACAACCCTTCTACATTTATTTTCTAGTTCGGAGCTTCTTCCTCGCAAAGAAGTAGCCAAAGAAGAAAGAGTTTTTGCATTCTTTTGATAAGCAGAAATACGTGCACGTAAAATTGGTATAGAAATATATAAAGGTGAATCTTGGTCGTTGACGTCTAAGAATGAAATATCTACAGCAAAAGGTGCATCTGGATCGATTTTTTCGTTAAAAGTATTAGCAGAAATATCAGTAATTTCCTTGTTTGGTTTAAAAGAAGGATCGGAATAATTATAATAATAAAGTGTTTCATCATTAATTGCTCTCTCAATGTTCCTACACTTTTGTTGTATGTCCGCGAGATAACTAGCTTGTGCTCGTGAATTTTCTAAATTTTTTCTCAATTCAGCCAATGTCCTTGTTGCATCACGTAATTGTGCATAGGCAAGATCAATTAATGCCTGCTTTTTATGTATTTCATTATAAAATTCTTTATCTAAAATAGTCATCATAGATTTCATCGCTTTATAAATAAGTTAATAATAATGATCATACAGAAAAACTTACACTCAAAAATATCTTGACTTTTTTGAACAACAGTATCAGGAATGACAGGAGATTGGTTTTTCAATTCCTGAAATGACATTGGTATTTCTCCAGTGATACCAAAATCAAGAGGCCGCAAACCAGCTCTATTTGGAACAGTTGCATCTGCGCCAATATCTAAAAGCTGCTGTACTATACTCTTATTCCCTATTCTAGCAGCTATATTTAAAGCAGTATCTCCATTTTTATCCTGTGAATCCACCACTTTAGCCACAAAAGATGATAAAGTTAGAACATTTTTCTCGCCCTCGGAGTTCTTAACAATCCATTCAAGTAAAGTCTCTAGATAATAACGACTTGCGGCACTTCTACCTTTTATGCCTGCTGTCAAAGCTATATGATGTAATACCGTCCTTCCCTGATGATCAACAAGAGGGATGGCAGGATATATATATTCAAGAAGCTCAGGAAAAGTAGATTGATCTAAATTATTCGTAACTAATACCGCACGAATAAGAGCGGTTTCTCCAGAAAAATTGCCACGGCGAGGATCTGATCCCTTATAAACAAGAGCAGCAACTAAAGGAAGTCGAGCTAATGCAGATGCCCAGTGTAAAGCTGAATGACCTAATTCATCAATGGGTACATCTATATCCAAAGGACAATCTGAAGAGGAATTAATCAAAACATTAGGAACATTATATATATCATTATCTAAAAATATACTCGTCAATATATTTCTTGATCTATGGAAATTATATGCGACTTTTTGATCCAAAGGTTCAGAAGGCTTATTATTCGTTTGTAAGTGCATATCCACAAAGGCAGGATGCTCTCTTCGAGCAATATCAGGTGGTATTATACAATTCGTAGGGTTATTAAAAAATCCATGATACTTCTCTGAAGATTCCTCAATATTCTCATTAATTTTAGAATTATTTAAAGCTAGACCCTGGGTTTTTGGATAAGTAGTCGAATTATAAACAGGAACATTATTATGAAACTCTAATGGAGTATAATTACTAGGTTTTGAAGAAACCCCTTCTAGATTATTAATATTAGTTGCTGATGAGCTTGATGGATAAATAGTATATGGCGGTTTTCCTTTCAAAGGATTAGATTTCTTATTTTCTACCGAATCAAGACTATGTTTTCTTCGAAAAGCCAAAGCCTGCTCTTTTGTAGGTGTATTATTTTGATTTTCTACGTTAAGATCTAAAGAAAGAATTGGCCATAGCATTTGTTCAACACCATATTGTCGGCAAAATTCTACTCCTCTTTCAAAAGGGATCCTTAAAGAAATCAAGAAATAAAACGAAAATCCTTGTATTATTTACCATGTTCCTTGATATTTTCCATAACCACCTTGAACCTTCTCATGTTCACCAACTAAAATCTCTTTTTCAAGAATCTTCGTCCGTTTGCCCTTATCAATTCCTGCAACCTTTAAGATTTGCGTAGCATTCAGATATGAATTAGATTTCCTTCTCATTATCGAAATACCTTGACATATCATCTCATATACAGGTACGCCAGAATAAACAGCCTTTTCTTGATTTAACAAAGTTCATCCCAAAAAAAAACTTACTGAATACACTCCAGAACTTGAAATATCGTGACTCATGTCTATTACTTGTGCTTAATTTTTTTTCATAAAGAAAAATCTGTTGCTCACTTAAATAATATTGAGTGAACCAATATTAACGCTTTTTTCACCAAAAAATATCAATATACCCCGAAATACTAGATCTATTTATTAATATAAAGTATAATAACCGCCTTTTTACTGCACCTTTTCCTCTCAATATCTTATCAAAATAATTCTCCAAAATCTTTATCAATATTCCACCTTTTTAAGTGCTTCAAAAACAATTCTTATAAAATAACAATCTGAGAATAAGGATACTTTCTTTTTACCACATATTTATGGATCCTTACTGCTTATTTTTCCTTAAACAATTATTATTTTCTCTAGTGCTTCCAGCCTGTATTAATAACGGAGCCTCGAACGAATAAATAAGACTAATAAAATATATGTATAGCCAAAAAGTCAAAATCAGCCCATAAAAATAATGAAAATACATATAATAGTATGTAGTATATATGTATTGTTGAAGAAAGGGCTTGCAGCTATTTTTTTTTAAAGACCTTTAGCGTATTGCCCATTTTCATAAAAATTTTGTAAAGAAAGTATTATTTTATCCAAACCAGAGAGCCATTCACATAAGAAAGCACGTAGTTTTATTTTATCATTAGAGAGTTTTGAGTAGAAGTCGTTTCTAGAGGGACAGTATTTCATTGCCATCTAATAAATGTAAAAATAAAAATAAAAATGATAAATATACAGTAAAAATAGGTCGTATAAAAATAGAATGATGTCGTTTAAGAGTTATTTCATATGCTTTTGTAAAACTGACAGATAATTCCTCATTCTCATTTTCCATATTTCGATGTAAAGCATGAGACATAAAGACAAAACCTCTATAAAATATATAAAAGGATAAAAAAGGCTAGATCAATAAAATATACCTTAATAACCATAAAAGTCCCTCAGTAGCAACACGTTTCTTTTGTAAAGCTTCATTTCTTACTAAAGATTCAAGAGTTTTACCATGTGATGGATATTTCTGTAAATAACATCTAATCTTCTAATAATAATTTAAATATCTCTTCCTATCAATGATCTCCTATTATACCTTCAAATTTCCATTAATATCATTTCTAATAACTGAAAATATCTTTGAATCGAAAAGATCTTTTACTTTTATTAATATTCATATTATTTTTTCCTTACCAAAGACATCAACAAATGATTTTGATGCTAATAAAAAATCAGAAGCATCAATACCAGACTCATCTACTGAAATATCCTTAAAACTCATCTTAATTATTCCAAAATTGCTATTATCTTCTTTCAAACTCATTTTATTCTACTACTTATCGACATTTCAAAACATTTTAAGTATTTTACAATTACCATAAAATTATTAAATAAACCCCCAAAAACCTATTTATCTTTAAACAATGTTATATTTATTTCTGTCAATACCTTATTTCTATTAAAGTTAATATATTCTTATCTTATCACTAAACTATCTTAGATCGGTAGTTAGTCTAAAAAAAAGTATATTGCCAATCTTTTTAATTCTCGTCCAATTATCTCCAATAGAAACAACTTAATTAAGTATCCTATTAAAATATCCAAATGTTTTTTAGATTTATATACACATGTTATCATTTATAAATGATAAAACCATGTATAGTTATTAAAATATGCCTTATTTCTTTACAAGATACTTCACTTTTTTAATAAAAATAAAAATATAATTTTTAATAGCTGATATTTTCAAATATACCTCAGATACCATAATGTTTATTAGATTACTTTATCATTTTTTTTTTTAGATTTTAATCCTACATTAGAAGACCCATCCAAATCATTGCAGAAAAGTCGTAAATAGATAAATATATAGAATTGAAAAAGATAACCCATTTTTATCCATATACAACCCCCTCATTCAAATCCTTTACTCATTATTTACATTATCCATCGTATACACCCTTTGATGCCGTCCAGAACCCAACTCAATCCTTCCAATTCTCCACCATGGCCATATAATATGTGTGATTTTTGCTGAAATTAAAGCAGTTGGAACCTAATTTACCAATTATTCCCTCATCAAAACTAACTCCCTCTGAAAACATACAACCCCATATGTATTACTATCACGAGAACGAAACCCCTCATCCCCTTCAACCCATACATACCCTTTAAACATATATTAAATATTTACAGTAAAAACACTCCTGTAAATGTACCTTTTGGTATTTTTACACAATATGCTGCACGTGTACGTGTTTGTACATAATCCCCTTCAAGAGCAAGCACACGCTTGGCAAGATAGGTCTCTGGATCAACCGGTGACCTTCATACATTAACCATAATGTACATTCTTATCCTTATTACTTCATCATCACAACTTGGCCGCGTTTAATATCAAGACTACCATCTGAACGCACAAGACCCCATCTTTTAAGGAAAACCCAGTCATGCCATGACCCATTTATATCTGGATTTAACGTAGGCTTCATTGATTCACCCTGAACCATCCCAATACTTGCAAGATGATCATGTATAAAAAGAAAGACAGGCAACCAGGTGATAAAAACGCCTGTTTGGCGGAGCAAATGTTGTACAACAGATATATTATGATGCAACATAGGAAAATATCACGTAAGACGCAGGATATAAGGAAAAAAGCCTGTTTTGTAGGGTTAAAATTTTTGCACAAGACAAACGCTTCGTATATTTCCGCAGAGAAGAGGGTTAAGAGGGATAAAGGATGGTAGGAGAGGTTAAAGAGATCAGAAATGAGTTAAAAGGGTATATTTCATCGTGCCAAGTGATTATAGACCTTTCATCGGTGGTTAAAGAGCTTTTAGAGAACTCATTAGATGCAGGAAGTACAAGAATTGGTAAATAATAAAGATGAAATAAAAATGATTGAGATCTGGGTAGAAATTTGGCTTAAAAACTATGGGTTGAATAGTATAGAGGTAGTAGACAATGGACATGGAGTTTCAGCGGAAGATTTTGGGTGTTTAGGTAGAAAATTATTGAAATAAGTATATTTATATAATATGATTCAAAGCACAGCAGAATTCAACGTCTAAAATCAGAGAATTTGAGGATCTAGATTCTCATTTACTGTATGGATTTAGGGGAGAAGCGTTATATTCATTATGTAGACTTAGTCAAGTGCAAATTATTACAGCAACAGAGAAAACAGAGCCTCAGGGAATACAAATTACATATGATAAAAAAGCAGAAATTATATCAAAGGAAATTGTTCCATCATGTGTATATTTGAGATATATGTATGATGGATATGTTTAATATTAGATATAGAAAGGTACAACAGTAAAAGTAGAACATTTGTTTTCTACACTTCCAGTGCGTAGAAAAGAGTTTGAAAAAAACCATAAACAAGAGTTCCGAAAGGCATTGGCAATTATTCAGGCATATGCAATTATTAAAGTGGGTGTTAAGTTCTTAGTAACACATCAATTGCCAAATAAGTAATATATATATATATATATATTGAAAAAACTTATTTTTCAAGGCCAAGAGTAACACATATTTCAACAAATGGTAATGGAGATTTAAAGGGAAATCTGGAAAATTTATTTGGACCAAAGCTGGTTTCAACTTTAATGGATATGGACTTTGAAATGACAATTTTAGATTTATAGTAAGGCTAAGCAGTAAAAAATAAAAATAATTAAGTTTTAGCAAAATAAATATTTCAGGATTTATATCCAGACCATTTTCTAAAGAGGAATCTTTGAATTTAAAGAAACAGTATGTTTATATTAATTCTCGGCCTTGTTTATTACCTCAAGTATGATTATATCTTATCGAACACTTATCTAACCTGATAAGATAACACGTACAATTAAAGAAATCTACAAAGTATATACTGTATCTCAACTACCATTTATTGTAGCAAATTTTATAATGCCATTGGGTATGTTTTGTTTATTTTTTTAACATATATATATATAATATAATTAGATTCGTATGATATAAATGTATCTGTAGATAAGATGATAATTTTCTTGCACAATGAAAATGAAATTATTTCTGAACTTAAGGTATAGTTTATACAAATCTATAAAAAAATAAATTTATTATATAGATTCATTTAAATAAGTTACTTCAGAATGCATCAATTGATCAAGGTTCTTCTTTTTCAAATCAAATATATATTAAAAATGCTTCAAATATATCTAAAAACATTGTTTTAGAAGAAAATATCACAAAAAGGATTTATGAACGTTTGTTGCTTTTATTATTTGATTATTTTTAATATTTTCTTAGATTTTAAGATAGAAAATGACAAAAATACCCAAGATATTCCAGAAGAAAAACCAGATGTTAAAACAAAGTCATCAATTAGTATGCTTAGTTTAAATAAGCCATGTTCTAAAGCTCAACATCAAGAAACAACATATTCTTTATCTAAAGAAAACAATATATCTGAAGATCCACATAATAAAGAATTGAAAATATATAAAACTATTTCAGTTTTTAAGAATACAGAAAATGATAAACATAGTACTTTAATGAGCCTTAAACGAAAAAACATGTCTATTTTTTCAAAAGAAATTTCAGATAATAAAGACGCACAAATTTCAAATTTCAATATTAAATCTGATTCTCAACTTAAAGAAAATTCAACTAACAATTCTGATGAACATGTACAAAAAAAGGTTACAAATAATCATTCTTTTAAAAATACAGATAATACAGAAAACACAATGATATCTGGATCCAAAAATAATGAACTTATTGGTCATGAAGTTACTAATTTTGACACATTGGAAAATAAAAACCAGGATTTAGAAATATCAGCTAAACCAAAGACTCAAAAAATTTCAGATGATATAAATCTTAAGCGTTTGTCTAAATATGAATATCGACAGCTTACTACTTCTATATCTATATCAAAAGATCAAATTAAAGAAAAATTTTCAAAAATTTTTGTAAATAAAACCCATAATTCGAAAATAGAAACGTCAAATACACTTTCTATGTCTCAAGAACAATCAGAAAAACAACTCAATTCAAGATTGACTAAAGAAGACTTTTTTAATATGAGAATTATAGGACAGTTTAACCTTGGATTTATTATTACATCTTTACCTTCAAAAGAAAAAGATAATGTTTCTGACATATTTATAATTGATCAACATGCAAGCGACGAAAAGTATAACTTTGAAAAACTTCAATTGAATACAACTATAGAAAGTCAATTATTAATAATGTAAAATTTATGGTTATTTTTATTAAATTAACAATAATATATAGACCATACGAGCTAACTCTTAATATTTTAAAGGAATCTATCGTTATAGAACATACAGAAATTTTAGAAAAGAATGGTTTTAAAATAGAAATTGATTATAATAAAGATCCGGGAAAAAGATGTAAACTATTGTCTTTACCTCAAACAAAACATGTTACCTTTGGAATTGAAGGAAAGTAGATTAATAATTGTTTTATTTTCTTACAATTTGTAGATTTAGAGGAAATTATTTCTAATCTTCAGGAAGCTCCTCAAAAAGATATAAAATGTAGCAAAATTAGAAATATTCTTGCATCAAAAGCATGCCGTTCTAGTATAATGATTGGAGACGCACTTGTATTAAGTACAATGAAAAATATTGTAAAACATATGGGAGAAATGGATAACCCATGGAATTGTCCTCATGGAAGACCAACAATTAGAATGATTGGAAAAATTTCACAAATCTAATTATGAATTTTATTGATAACAAACTATTATATTACATTGTTAAACATTACACAATTAAATCAAATGGTTCTCTTTTTATGTTGAAATCAGATCCCAGAGATAATTAGAATAAAAAAAGCTACTATATTTTGGTTCGATATTAACCACATGCATATCATTATTGTTCTTATTTCCTACTTGATATAAATATTAAATATCAACAATAAAACCCTAAATACGTATAATCGCCTTAACATAATTACCTGCTTCATCTTCATGTAAATCGATCCCTAATGTACGATAAATTTTAAGACGAAGTCTATACATTAATAAATATATTTTCATAATTTATCTTACAATATAGAATCATCTGTTATTTCATGACTATCTTTCATAATATCTTCCGATTCTAATTCCTCCAACTCCTCCTTGAGCCTCGAATACGTCGTATCCAATGTATGAATCGACGATTCAAGTTCATTGATATTTTTTGCAAGACTAAACTTATCTCTATCCATTGCTAACATTATTGATGTATGTTCTGCCCTAGATGGTGAGTTTTGAGACGCTTGAACCGATGATTTCGAAATTTCCAATTGTCTCTCAAGATCTAATAATTATTCAACACTTATTTCATATATAAATCCCCCTCAACTTTTAGAAGCAGTCTTAATATTTTGTTGTTTTATTTCTCTATTTTTACTTATTGTTGCTAATCTTTCTAAAATTCGAGAAATACACTGTAAATCAAGGTCTATCTGGAATCCAGAAAGAGTAGATTGTATCAATTCCTGTGGCATCTCTATCATCATGGCTGTTCAAAAAAAATCAATATTATTTATGTTTTTATAAATATAAATAAATGTAAACAAATGTTGCCGGGACAACGACCTGACCTCAAAATCATCTCTCTAACACTTCTCGACACTATTATATAATAATAAGAACATATTCTTGTCTAAATGAGCGGCAGGAAGGTCTTTACGTACGAAGAACACACAATTCTTCCAAGTAAGAAAGGTTTTTTTATAGAAAAAAGATATTCATTTGTCTCAGATGCAGAGGAAACAGAGTCAATTTTAAAACGGCATGATCTTGAAGTTTTAAAGCGTCAATATGATAGAGAATGGCCCTTTGTTAGCACACAGACAAAGTTTAATTATTCATGGGGTCTAGTAAAAAGTAAAATACGATCAGAACAGCAAGAAGGAGTAAAACTTCTTTTTGGTAAAGCTTTTTATCTTTATATATTTTTTGTTAATTTTTTTCTAGAAATATATAGAGAATCTCCAGAAAGAAGAAGAGAATGTCTTTATTATCTTGCGCTTGGTCTTTATAAGCTAAAAAATTATACGGAAGCACGTCGATATAACGATTTACTGCTTGAAAAAGAGCCTGAAAATATACAGGCACTAAATTTACAAATACTTATCAATAAAAGTGTTACAAAGGGTATATATAGATTCTTTACTTCTTTTTATTCTTTTTTTTCTTATTTTTTATAGAAGGATATGTAGGAATGGCTATTGTTGGGTCATTACTAGCTATGGGAGGCTTGGCTCTAGGAGCTTGGGCACGTTGGAGACGATGAGGTTGTCATGGTAACGGTAACTAGGATACGGTTACCCTATAAAATTTGTCATGGCAACTATTGTCACGGTAAGGGTTGTTATGACAACCATCCTTCTCCAGTTATTTAAGAGTTGGGATTTTTTTATTTCTGACAAGTTGGTTTTTTCCAAACTTCGCTTGTCAGAAAACGCGTTGAAACCTGCAATGGAGGAGTCGGAAGCTCGGTATTTTTGTCATGAATGTACTAACGAGTTTGAGGAGGCAATACAATGTCCAGCATGTGGCAGTGATTTTGTAGAGAAGGTAAGTTTAAAGAGATTGATGAGAAAGGGGATAGATGAATCAGAGGAGTCCTTTATAATGTATAATAGAGGGAGGGAATATTGAGGAAAGATGTATTAGTTGAATGAGATTATTTGGGTGAATTTGAAGAGAGATCAAAACAAGTTTTTGAAAAAAATAGCAGAATATCATGATAGAGAGGGAATAAAGGATTTTTAGAACCAGTATATTGTATAGAAGGGTGCATATAGTCCATGTAAGACGCATATATAATGCATATATGAGGGGATTTTTTGAAGTGTTTGAATAAGAATGATTTGCAAGAAATTTTTATTTTATACATGGATCATGATTTATTGAATCATTTTTATATATAAATTATACATAGCTAACGATATAGATTGAAACAAGCGACGATCCTCGACAATTCATTCGTTCAAGACCAAGAATGATGGGATGGACATGGTCTTTTGGACATCGACCTATAACGGTATGTTCAAATAGATCAACATGTCAAGGAACCTCAGAAAACGCGATTTCAACGGAAACATTATCAGAGACGATATCAGAGACAACACCAGATACATCGGCCAATGCGGCGCCTAGTGAGACTGAGAATACTACGTCGCCTCCTCCCTCAATATCAGCTCAGTTTGAAAATATGCTTCAAAATATTCTTTCAAGTATTGTTGGAAATACAGCAACGGTAGATATTGCATTGCATGAAACATCGGATCATCAAGAATCACAAGCTCGTGAAGAAACAAATACGGAGGGGGGAAATCGTCCTCGTCCGGGAAATTTTATCTTTCAAAGATCATTTGTATGGTCGAATTATCCTTCGAGTCAAGAAGAAACACGACAAAGTCCCGAAAATACAACAGAAGAAACTCAAGAAACCACTCGTCCACGAGCAATTCCTGTTCATGATTTGGAAAGTTTTTTAGAAAATGCTTTTGGAACCGGACTTTCCGAAGAGGGATTACCAGTAGGACCTTTAGGTAGATTTTTTTCAAGTATTTTTTCCATGAGAAACCCAGGAGATTATGTTTGGGTAGGATTGTTTTAAAAAAGTGATATATTTTAATAAGTGATTATTTAGTCATCGACAAGTTTTGATAATATTATAACACAGTTGATGGAACAATATCCATCAACCAATGCACCACCACCTGCTTCAGAAGAAGTGATTAATGCTTTGCCTAGAATGGTAGTTGAAGAAGGAGAAGGTATTTTAAATAAAGAGTGATATTTTACATAAGGCTAATAAGGGAATACTAGATTTGCATGATTGCGTAATTTGTAAAGAAGTTTATGAACCTAAAGAGATATATATCACATTACCTTGTAAACATTATTTGTAAGTTTTATATTCATAAAGAAAATATTAATAATTTTAGTCATGATAATTGCATCATAGCATGGCTAAAAATCAATAATACATGCGCAATATGGTATGTACATTATATATATTTGTTTTGTTAAATAAGATGTAGTCGTACAACGGTTGGAACTAATGTATTAAATCAACCTTCAAATTCAGAAACAGAAAATAAAGAAGATGCATCAAAAAGCCCTGATTATAATGATAATGGTCAATTGGAGCAGGAACCCCCTGATTAATAATAAAAATCATAAATCCATAAACAATACGTCGTGTTTTATTTGGAAAAAAAAAGAAAAAAAACACAACATTTTAAAAGTATCAATACGACAAAGAATTTCACGTTTCTTGTCTAATATCACTACGCAATTTTTGAAGTTCGTCTGTTTTCTTGATCAAATATAAACCAAGGTTATCGATTTGTTGCTTCATTTCTAGAACGTCGGATTGAATACTTTCTAGATCATTCATTCCTGTGATAGATTTAACGTCTCCTTCTTTTAATCGCTTTAGTTCACTTTTTTTAAATTCAAGCATCTGTTCCAACTCGGCAAGGATAATACTATGTGGTACATGTTCATCTGATACATCTGACCTATGTTTTTTTCCTTGATAATGTATTTCTTGTCTCTTTTGTCTTATATCGTTCCAGTTACTGTCTTCGACATGTGTAGCATACATCTCTTTAGAACTATCATATTTTTTCATAGGACTTTTATGTTTTGAAGACTGAGGAAAATTTGCATTTTTATGATCATTTTTATAAGACGCTTCATTTATATTATAGTCTACTGGATTCTTTTCAAAAGTTGCTCTTAAATTAGCTGGAACAACATTTGGCACTCGAATGCCTTTGTTTCTTTGGTTCAAAATATGAAGAAAGTAAAATGCTTGATCTTTTTCAATCGTTTCTTTCATCCTAGGATTTACAAGTTTCCTGCTACTTGTTAAATAATGTCATAACTTTTATTAGATTTACCATGCGTTTAGAAGTTCCTCTTCTGATATATCTAAAATTGCATAAAAATCTCTAAGAGTATTAACTAAGATAGAATTAAATTATAAACAAGACATTCTACAGGCTTACATGAAATATTTCCATATAAATCTGCGTTGGATGAATAAATTGCATCATAATTTTGCTTATCAGATGGCTGTATATACCAGTCAAAGTTGTCACTCAATATCTTTAACAGTCAATATTATTTAGAATAAATACTATCTTCATATCATACTCTTGTTTTGCTTGTCTTCTGCATTAAATGAGTATTTTGTTCATTTTCATAAATTGCTTCTTGAGCAACAATAAGATGAGCCTTAGACGTTGGAATTAAAAAATCAGGAAGTCGTGATGGAACCTCCAAATAAACCTTCCCCGGTCAATTAACAATCAAACTCCTTCTTTCAAGACATACTTTGTTAATAACATCAAAAATTAACCTCATTGAAATACAAAATTCTTCAAAATCAAGATTTCCATCTTTATCAATATCTTTCTCCAATAAACAAAAATAAATACAAAAAAAAAACAAGTACCCGCCAAATTCCATATCTTTTCAAGCTTCTCATTTGGTAAGTTAGAATTTTTTAAAACTTTTGCTGCCTGATCTCCACTTAAATATCCATTTATTGGGTTTAAAGAAATAAAAATTTCCCTTCAAATGTAATACACCCATCAGTCTACAAATAAAAACCTTATCCAATTACTAACCAATATTTCTTCTGTTCTTCTGTGGTTATTTCTTCCATCAAAAAATTATAGATTTATTAAACTATGTTAAAATGTTAAGTCAGGTTTTAAGAGGGAGGTTGGTTGCCATAGGTAACCAACCTCCATTTTTTGAAAAAAAAAGATGAGTCCTAAAAGAAGGTTTTAGCTGCATTATTTAGTAGTTTTGAGCATTTAGAATGATTTTTCATGAGAAATTGGATATGAAACGTTTTTTTTTTCTTGAAAAAAGACTATCTCATACCTGTTTAAAGACGTTTTTTAAGTACGCAAAAAGGGTATCATTGGAGCCAAAATCAGCATATTATAAGGGAGTTTTTTATGAATATATAGTCCAGGATACATTAAGAAAATATAATATGGAATTGTGGAGAGTTGGAGGTAGAAATGATGAAGGAATTGATCTTCGAGGATATTGGTATTATGAAAGAGAAAAGAAGAAATATAAATTACCAGTGATTGTTCAATGTAAAAATGAAAAGAAAAAGATAGGATCAAGATATATTCGTGAAATGAATGGGGTTTTATCGGGGGAAAATGAAGGAATTTTAGGGTTAATTTCGTGCAGTGGATATACAGAAATGGCGCGAAAGCAATTATTAAAAGCATCAAAAGCCATGGGAATATGTATAATATTGTCTGAAAATGGGGAGGGATCTCTTAAAAAATTTATTTGGAATATGGAAGCTAGTAGACTAATTCAAGCTTTGGGGGTAGAATTTCGATATAAAGAAATAGACAATATAATACAGAAAGAACTTGTATTGACAATAGATGGGAAGCCAATAAAATATAAAGACTATAGTGAGAAGGAAAATAGGTGATAATATTGAGTATAATTGTGTATGATTTAAAAATGAAGAAATTGTATTGATAAAAGAAGTATCAGCATAGTTAATTAAAATAGATAACACAAAAAAAGAAGATGATAACCTTAATAGCTAATCGCCTTTTTATGTTGCATGAAAGAATGAATAAACTTCTGAAAAAAAGGTAAAAATGGAATAAAATGAAGAATCGATAAGAAAAATGAGAAAATGTTAACCAAATGATGCAAAAAATACGTATAATAAAGTCCATAAACAATCAAAAAAAATGAAAATGTTAAAAGAATGATATCAAGTGCCTTTGCCATTCTAATATAATATTAAAAAAAAAAAAAATTTAGTCCTTATTTTTATACTTAGGTTCTGCTCGCATAATCATTTTTTCATTAGCTAAAAACTCAACAAGAGTAATAATAGGTAAGATAGAAAAAATATTATGGTGAGATGAAAATGGTATTCTCCAATTGGCCGATATCTTTTTTACCCATACGACTAAAACAGGAATATTAAAAGGTAAATGCATTAACATTAAGATTAAAACAGAATATACATAGTTTTTGAAATTTTTGTAATGCAATGCTTTTTCAAAGCCCTAAAGTATAAGTTTTTTTTAATAAAAACATATGTTTACTATTACCATTTTTTGAATGTTTAGATATGTTTTGATACATGTAAAAAACTGTATAATGCATGCTAAAAAATATGCAAATTGATAAGGAACCATTACTGCCACCAGGGATAATAACGATAAAATTGCTATTAACCTTTGCTTAAGTTTTAAAGAAAAATTAAAAGAATAAAAGAAATGTCTATAGAAATTATTAATTTGAAAAAAAAAAAAAAAAATACCTTTTTTTTCTATATCTGGCTTTAGTGAAATGTTTTTGCAATAAATTGTACAGTGTTGCTGTAAAAGAAATAAGAAAATGTGTTAATTGTGTAAATATAATTGTAAATCCTAATGAAATAGTGACAAATAAAGGTCCAAGAAGCCAAAACAAAGAATCTCTATATCCAAAGAACAAATTATTAATACTCCATAACTTCCATGCATCTTTAGCCCATAACTTATTTTTCAATTGTTGATTCAATAAATCATCCATGTTTATTGCTCTAGAAAACTGAAATATAGATAAACAAAAAAACAAAAAGGATGGCAATATAGATAAAGTTAAAAAAGTGTCTCGCATAAAAAGCTTTAAAGCATTTCTAATGTTAATAAAAATTCCTAGAGACATTAAACAAACTTGAAAAGCTATAAATTATCAATACCATATTCATTATAGATTCTAAACTGTTTTCTCAAACATAAAAATATTATAACATACATAAATATTATTAAAGCTGTCCAGAACTTCATTATGAGCTTTCCAAAAGTACCATAAAGATCAAGAGATACTGAAATATTAAGAGGTTTATTGCAAGTAGGATCTAACCAGAATTGTATGTTCAGTCCACGCCTTGTACTATTTTCACTAATAGGTGGCATAAACAGAGCAGTTCCATGAAAATTGACATCAATTTTCGTTGTATTTACAAAATACTTAGACTCATATGAATTAGATATATATTGCCTAATAATTGGTGAAAAAATCAAATTATCTAATATGTTCTAGAAAAAGAATCAGAAATAAAACAAAATTACCGCATGTAAATGAATTCATTTTTAGTTTGTATGTAAAAAGACTATTATCAATATTAGGAATACTAATTTCAGAAACTAATGATTTATTAGCACCCAAGACTATGTGAAATCTATTCCATAGAAATTCTAAATCTAATTAGAATATCATAGTAACAATAAAGAAAGTTACTTGTAGTACTAATTTCAGGCTGAACATGTATTACATTTTTATTAGAAAACTCAGCTATCAGGAAACCATTTCTACTATTATTTGATTTATCTATTATTAAAATGAATTGGTAATCATTGAATTGATGATTTGAATATTCAAGATATGTAAGAAAATGGCCATAACCTTTAGATAACCCATTTTTTGAGGGCAAATGAATGATATTTTCTTCAGAATCTTTGCATTCAAGTGCCTTTAAATCTATTTCCATTGGATTTTGACGAGAATTTGAATCTTTGGTTAATGATACATGATTTTTACATAAAAATATAGCTATTTGTTGTTTACCATTTTCTGATATAGTCTTTTGATCAGTAAGCAATGAAAGAGTGGTAAAGTTAAAAATGTCAGTAGGAAAAATTGGTAGAAAATATATATGAGATTTGGATGATATACTTCCAAAAGATCTTAATATATAAATCCTTTTTAATGGGAAAACAGTATATTTTATATTCTTTCCGGAAAAAGGATTAATTAATGGTGCTAGTGAGAATTTAGATTATATTAAAAAAGATGAAAACTACCTTGTAAGAACCGTTTTTCAGAAGAATTTTCAGTAGGAGCAAGATAATATTTTTTAAAAATATCAATACGAGATGATAATGGCTTGGTTTGATTAATTGATTTGAAGTCAACAATTTCAAATAAAGATTTCACAATAACTCTGCGTAATTGATCACACCACAGAATTGCTTGATGATCCATCCCAGTCCAGACCATAGGGATAGACGAAGAAAATACAGTAAATCCATGCGATTTAGGAATCAAGGAAGATACATCGCAATAATCAGATGATACCATTGTATCCAAATTACCTCCCGTAATAGAAATCAAACTAACAGCATGCAATGGATTAGATTCGTTCTTATGAAAATAGGACTGTAGCCAAAATTTGTTAACAGAATCGTATATACTTTTCATTTTTCTATCAGAAAGAATAGGTGGAAGCAAATGTGGAGTTGAAAGTGTAATAATCGTGTTAATAGAACCAGAAAGATAGTTAGGCATCATTACCATAGTTCGAATCACAATTCCTCCCATCGAATGGCCAATTACAATTACTGATTTAGGTGTATAGCCATACTTATTATTTTTCTGTGCATTTTGATATAAAGATAAAATATACTTAACTGCTTCATTTGTGTACTCTACTTGATCAAGAAGTGTTTGGCCATGAAATGCTGTATAGTCATTATTAAAATCAACTAATCTAGATCAAAAAATATCAAAATAATAAAGAAATAAACCAGAAAAAAAGTCAAGATTTTTTAAATTATGTTTAGCCAATGATGGATCCATTTTAAAGAGCGAAAACTGATACGCTGCTTCTGATGCAAGGCTGCGCACTTGTTTATAGCTCCCTGCATTTCCTGGTATAAATAAAACTGGAATTCCTTGAAACTACATTCTTAACAACATAATAAAATACAAAAAAAAAACATACATTATGTACATTTAATACCTTTCTTTCTTTATATAGATACAGCCCATATTCTTTGCCATACTTTGTGTATTTTTTATCAAACCCTGATAACCTTATATACGATGGATACATAGCAGGCACAACGCATGTCGAATGATCTTTTTGAAGATATATAAACGAATATCCCATCATAATTAACATAAAAATAGAAAACCATGCAATTATCATCACTCCCAATGATACCGAATATCTTTTCTTGTATTTTGCTCCAATCTTTCTAAATATCCATAACTGACGTTGAAACATTTTCTTTAAAATTATTACCATACTTTTGCATGTTGCTTTTTTCATGCGTTTCTTTCTCTTATACATCCCCATCTCACCATTCCGTTCATCATATTATTCCTCATCATATGCCTATCTATCTATCCCTCAAATTCCTTCCCCCATCTTAGCTTAAAAATGTCTCTAACCCATCTATTTTCTTCTCTATTCTGTTCTTTAGAACCCCCTGACATAAAATTGACTAATTATTATTCAAATCCCTGCTTAGCTGCTTCTTCCCGGTAAAAACTTAAACACTTTAATTATTTCAAATTTCGACGCAGTTTTTCCATCTGACAGGGATCAACCATCTCTCTAACCTGTCAAATACCGCTTTGATTAACGTCTTGCTAAAATTAGGGCTTGTTTAGCCTCCATTTTTTCCTTCTAAAAATCTTCTTATATATTTATTATTTTTTCTATTAAATATATGTAAAATTCTACTTTTTTTTAACTCATTAATTCATCTTTATAACACATTTTATAATATATCTGTATTTACTATAGTTTATAAGTATATGTTTAACTCTACCCCTAACCCTAACCCTGAACTTACAGGGGTCATCCCTGTTAACCCTAATTTAACCCTAAAGTTACAAGGATCATCCTGGTTAACCCTAAAATAACCCTAGTAACCCTAAACAACCCTAAACAACCCTAACTTAACCCTAAATAACCCTAACTTAACCCTGGAATTACAAGGGTCATCCCTGTTAACCCTAGAATAACCCTAATCTAACCCTAACTCTTCACCCCTAACCCTCGTATAACCCTAGCTTAACCCTAGCCCTTGCAAGGCTCTATCCTTATAACCCTAACATATGACTTTCGGCTACGTCTCACATTGATCTTGTTTTTTCGGCAGAATTATTTAAGTCTCGAAAATTTCGAAATCATCCGTTAAAGCGGGGCAAAACCCTGAAATAAGTTAGAAAGATTAAATTGTCTCAGTAGCTTTTAATATGAAAATATCAAGCGGAAAGAAGAGTCTTTTCCAGGTATTACTAGGGGGAGTGGGGTTATTTGTAAATATAGTGTTTTTCTATGGATATTTTCTCATGATATTTAGTCGGATGGATATTTGAATGGGGTATCAGGAGTTTTAACAACTATTATGGGAAATATCTATCCTGTTGAATATACAACGCAGAGGAAATCGTTATTGAATTCTATGATATTTTTGGGAAATGTTATTGGTATGCTTGCATTTGGATATATGTGCGATAAATCGGGGAGGAAGATGTCATTAATATTAGCGAGTTTATTTCTGGTTATTTTTTCTATTTTATCATCTGCGGCGTATTTTAAAGGGACTAATGAGGGGATAATTGGTTCTTTGATTATATATAGATTTTTTCTTGGTATTGGTATTGGTGGAGAGTATCCGGCAGGGTCTACTACGATTAGTGAGGGAGCGCAGGAGATGGAAGTGAAACGGAAGCATTCTATAGTAAATAAGTGTATTTTTTATGTATTTATTTTTTTGATGTATATTTTAGTTTATTTTTTTGACAGATTTTATGATTTGTATGGGTTTTGTTATAGCAGCCTTTACAGCCTTTTATTTGACACTTATATTTACTGAGAAACGTCAGGAGGCTATATGGAGAGTGTTATTGGGTATAGGAGCGATCTGTCCTCTTATATTATTGATTGCTCGTTTGAAAATGGGAGAACCAGAAGCATATAAAAATTATGCGATAAAACATGCAGCTATTCCATATAGGCTTGTTATTAAAAAATATTATAAAAGGCTCTTTGTTATTTCACTTGTTTGGTTTATGTATTTTAATCGCTTTTTTTTTTTCATACAATACTTATTTGATTTTAGTTATAACTTTACAGCTTATTCATTTGGGATATATTTTTCTCCGCTTCTTCAATCTATCAGTAGGGATATGAGTTTGTCACAAATATTCGGTGATTTTTCTTTTTTTTTTTTGTAAGATTTGGGTGTTAATTATAAACTTAGGTTGGACCACATTTATTTATCTCTCTTATGTAGTTGGGTCATTTTTTGGTGCGTTTGCAACTGATTATTTTGAACCTAAGGATGTTCTTGCCTTTGGCGTTTTTATGCAGTTTATTTTCGGATTTATAATAGCAGGATTATATTCAAAATTAAAAGATACTGTGGTTGCATTTATTATTGTCTATGCTTTCTTCATGGCATTTGGTGAATTTGGACCAGGAGATAATATTGGTAATATTTCTGCCAAGTCATCGCCTACAGCTATTCGTGGTCAATTTTATGGAATTTGCGCTGCTTTTGGTATATTTTTTTCCTAATATTTTATACTTTTTCTTCAGATGTTAATCTTTATACAGGAAAAGTTGGTGCATTCTCCGGTAGCTATGCGTTTAATTATATTATTGAGAAATTTGGGGGACCTCAATCAGAAAACGGAAATAGAGGACCCTTCTTTATTGGAAGTTCACTTGCTCTTATTTCCGGTATCATCTCTTTCTTTTTCATCCCAAAATTATCGCATGATTGTATTCGTGAAGAAAATGAACATTTCAAGACTTGGCTTCAAGAGCAGGGTTATGATATAACTAAAATGGGTTTATCTCTTCCTAACCCAATTCCTGATTTAAACAAAGATATTGCAAACTTAGAATCTGATACTGAAAAAGTTGACACTGAAAAAATAGATTATATTGAGAATCCACAAAATCTTAATGATTATGAAAAAAATAAACAATCATAGGATTAATGTTTTTTTTTAATTAATTCTTTTATTTTACTATTGTATATACCTAGCCCTTTTCTTTGAATTTCGTTTTTTAATAAAACTTTTAAATTGATTTAACTTCACATCTCTAAAAATTCTGTTTAATATATTTTCTACCAAGGAAAGTGATGCTCCATCAAGACGATGTGATGCATCCTTTGCTGATCCAAACTTAAAACCACCGTTAATTGAAGATATATCTTTTAGAATATGTCGTATGTTATCAATTCTTCCAGGAAGCTACTGGGCTATCTATTTTATCTTTAGAAAAACACAGATAAGACGTATACGACATGTGCATATTGAATGCTCATGGGAAATTTGGATGACTAGTATCTGGTTTATAGTTTGTGCGTTTCTATCTTATAAATTAACAAGTGGGTTATTGTTGAGATGGTATTGGAATAAAATCCTGATAGCGGATTAATAAGGGATATTTAGGCGAATAAAGTACTCATATCCAGCTATATTAATCAGGTTAATGTCACTAAATTTAATGAATATGTGTTTAATTAGACTTTTTGTATCATCTTCGTCTAATAAAATTCAACAACTTTTATCTACAATTCTAGTTACATGTATTTTGGCATGTATTTATGCCATACAGAATTATATAACAAGTGATTTTTCGCAGTTTGGGATAGTAAAGACGCCGAGACGACCGAACTTAATAAATATTGCAATATATGTAATAGTACCTATTGGTTTTGCTAGTTTTATTACAATGCTATTTGCATTATTCCATATAGAATATACATAAATATTATAGTTAAATAAGAAAATTTAATAGTCTGATCTATACATGTATTTTTTCGTCTATTATAAATTGCATGTTTTCAACAATAAATCCACCATATACTTCATATCGATGATTTAGTTCATTTCTTCCATGAATATGATAATTGCTTTCAAGGCCGCCTGTTTTTGGCATATTAATTGAATAAAATATCCGAAAAATACGACTGTGTACCATCGCCATACAACACATTACACATGGTTCATGTGTAGTTATTACTATTAAATCTTTACATAAATAAAAAAAACCTTTTGTACTAGAATCTAGCGACATATTAGCCATTGTAAAATGTATATTTATACATAAGCATTCCTTGCTTTTCTAGCATTTTACCAATTTCTGTAATACAATTGATAATAGAGTGTTTTAGAGGATTTTTAGATGATAATCTCAAATCGATACTGCTTACAACCACATTCAAATCCATGTTAACAAAAATTGATGCAATTTTTATTTCCTTGCTTTTATTCGCAAGATCCCATGTATGATTCATTAACTCTTTCAATTTTAAAATTGTTGTATCTGTAAATTCAGCCAATTTTAATATATTTTTCCTAAAATGAAGCGGCCACAAAACTTTCCATGCATGAAATTGCTCATATGTTAACGGTGCATACTTAGACACTTGAACTATTCGAACTTCCATATTTATTGAGCGTTCTTTTAGCTTCTTTTCAAGTTCTTCAAAACTTAACCCTCTTGTACTATGAAGAATCACTTCTAACATATTATTCCCCTCATTTCCATTTATTTTTCTTAACCGCTTTAAATACGAAAGATCCAATGTTTCACAAGGTAAACATTCTTCAATAAATCTCTTTCAGATCAATATCTTTATTTAAATTAAAAATATGTTTATTACTTAATTATCAATTTAGTCTCTTTTTCTTTAATTCTACCTACAAAAACATCTACTTTACACAACTATTAACTTCTTTTTAACATAAACGCCTATATTTTAACCTGTTTCAAGCTGACGTCTCTCAAGATTTGAGCGTACTCTATAAAACGGCCATTTTTCCGCTCTGTCTGAGCAAACTTGCTCCTTAGAAGCCATCCAGTCTTAATATTTCTTAATATTTTTTAAGATTTTTTAAGATTTTTTAATATTTTTTAATATTTTTTAATATTTCTTAATATTTCTTAAGATTTCTTAATAACTTTTTTAACCCGTCGTTAATATTTCTTAAAAAAAAAATACTTTTATCTTTTTTCTAAGAAAAGTTAAGAAAATAAGCGTTTAAAAGCTATATTTTGAATAGATTTTGACATCTTTTAAAACGTTTTTGTAAAGAAATCAGGAAATTTAATGATATTTTATTGGAATTAGGAAGAAGCTTAAGAAGTTTAATTTTTTATGTTACCTCAAGAATTGTCATTGGAGTTTTTAGAATCAAATGATATAGATTTTTCATTTGAATTATACAAAGGTTTATATGAGAATTGTGCTAATCCGTCTTTGAAAGAAGGAAATGAGAGGGATTCATCATCGGAGGAGCGTTTGGATTATGATGGATCAGATGAAGATCCGGTTATGGATAGAAGAATGTTTGAGTCGTCTTTTAATAATAATTACGTGAGTTTGATTGATATTAATGATTTGGAGTATAAAAAGAATTTTTCTTTCCCTGAAACCCTATCAGTATATGATATTTCTATGCAAAAAAATAGTTTGAATGATATTCCTTTAAATGTGAGTATTTTTTACTTTTATATTGTATTTTGTGTTTATTTTTTTTTTAAAATAAAGGTTTATCCTGTATTTGATTCATATCAGGAAAATGACATAAAAAAGTGTTATAATGTGGTTGAGAATGTGCCTTCTCTGGTTCAAGATTTAGATGAGATTAATATTCCAGCACCATATATTTTAAATATTTTTGGAATACCAGAGAAATCAAGGGTTGAGACTCAGGTTAAATTAGGCATAAAATTGACGCCTAGTTTATCAGTGCAAGAGCCTTTCAATAAGGATTTTTTCTGGCTTAAACTTCCAAGTTGGACTATTACAAAAGAAAAATTGAAACTACCTAATTTAAGAAATCATCCCAAGTATATTGATCCGGAAAAGATATTAACACTGGAACCTAGTGTTGTTTGCGCTAGTGATATTACTAGAAATGTTTTGATTTGTTCTGCTTGTATTATGCGGGAGGTAATAGTTTAATTTTGTAGTATATTGTTTTAATATTTGTAAAGCGTAAACGAGCTATAAGAAAGAAAAAAACTAAGTTTGAAAATGAGTCGAATCGAAATCAAGATAGCCTTTCTCCTGTAAAAGATGAAGAAAAAAAGATTATTTTATTTAATTATCCTGAAATTTTTAGATTTAAGGATAATTATATAAATATACCGACAAGAATAACATGTTATTGTAGACATCATAGAGAAAATATAGGATTTAGGTTAGTTGTTAGTTTATATGAATTATTTCTTATAGTTCATTAGGATTCTGATAAACATAAAAGATAATAAAAACCAGTTGATTGCATCAACATTATCTAAACCATTTATGATTATAGATGACCACAAAACTATTTCGAAAATAAAAAAAATAAATGGTTAGATAAGAAATTGCTTTGTTGAAATTCTTTTAATAAATATTAGGATTACATTTAGTGCCTAGTTTACTACTACCTGTTCCTATGAATGATAATAATAGTAATCAAAATGGAAATATATTTTTTAATGGTTAGTTGTATATCAAGATTAAGAAAAATCTTACTTATTGACAGAAGAATTGAAATTAGCAACCAATTCCAGGAATTGTTCTTGTTCTGCGCTGGATCGTATGACTGATAGTAATATATTTTAAAACATGTCTATTAATATTTTATTAATTCTATCATAGAAAATATAATTCAGCCGGCTCATAATTCTATAATTTATCTTCAAGACGACACTTCTAATGAAAATAAATCTTTTGTAGTTGACGATAAGTTTATGGACTCTGAATCATATAATAGTTTGCTTTTGCCTACAAATGCTCAACAAGATGAATTAGCAGCCATGCTGAATGTACCATCATTAGTTTCTAGTCAAGTATCTTCACCAGAAATTGCTTTACAAATGCAATTTTCTATTGATTCTAATTTATTTGAGCTTTCATCAGAAACTCAATGGTCTAATAAAGAACTACATATGAATATTGATCAAATGGATTTTTCGAACCAAGTGAGTCTGCCAGTTCTTGATAATGACACGTCAGTGGAATTATCTGCAAATCCTATCGAGGTTCCAATAATTGATCGTTTGATCCCATCTGAAGGTCCTATGCATGGCGGAATTGAAGTTACTATACTAGGTTCGGGATTTCATTCTGGCTTAACATGTATATTTGGCGATAATCTTTCACCTTTAATCCATTATTGGAGTTCTACTGTTATAGTATGTACCTTACCTCCTAGTCCTGTTCCGGGACCTGTTGTTGTAGATTTTAAGGAGCGTAATTTGACTCAGTCTGATGTCAATGCAAAATATTTTATATATAAAGATGATAATGATCGTACATTAATGGAATTAGCTCTACAGGTTGTTGGTATGAAAATGACTGGAAAGCTGGAAAATGCCTTAACTATTGCTATGAAAATCTGTGGATTAATGCCTAATGACTGCAATGAATCCAATTTAAAGCAACAACAATCAAATTTAGATTCATATAAACAGTCTTTAATAAGTTATTTGCGTTCTTCATCGACATTTCATATATACAAAGCTTATTATTATTTTGAAACAATGTTTTCTGAGCATGATAATTTTCTAAATATAAAGTCAGATACTAATGCATTTCATTTATTATATCAAGATAGGCCAAATCAAACATTATTAAGTCACGTTTACATACAAGAGCTTCAAAGACAAATAATAAACTTATTTTCTCAGAACTATTATTTAAAACCTATAAAACGCTGCAACTATAATCATGTTGATTATTTGAATATGAAAAAGACGGATATCATTGAAAAGACTCTAGGAAATACCAAAGAAAACAGATGTATTTATAGGACATTATATAGGAAAATATTTAAACTAACATATCCAAATACTTATATTGAAATATCAAATCTATTGCGTCTAAATAGGGAGCATATGGATCACTTCATTGCTTCATTTGTTTTCTTATGGCTAAATCAAAATAACTTTATATTTAAGAAGCGCTCAAAACCATTACTACATGCTGCTGCAGACAACTTTGATGATAATGATTTTTTTGATACGTTTTTTTCATCTAAAAGAAATAATAAATCTTTCAAGAACAAGTTAAATAAAACAAAAAAATATTCTGAGGCAGAGAATCTACATTATAAGGATTCCTTAGCTAGTTCCTATAATACGAATAATGAATCAAAGGAAAATTCTTGCCATTTATCTCAATCTCAGAATAACTTGGATACTCAGGAAAATCAAACTATAGAATCAAACATCAAAGATGAGAAAAATGATGATGGGATATTTACGATGCAAGGATTTTCAGAATTTTTGACAATGACGTCAGCAAAAGCAAAATTCGCGTCTTTATCTATTCCAAGTATACTACGTACTTCTAGTTTACCTCCGATTTCAGAAATTAGTCAGTTTCATCCTATATCTGCACTTAACTCTTTTATTCAACAATACCCTTTTATTAACAAAAAAGCTAACTCCAAATCTTCTAATATAATGGAAAATGATATCCAATATAATTGGTGGCAACATTTGATATTTGGGCCTCCTCCTCCGTATTCCGAACTTTCAACAAATGAAGACGTATTTGAAACTTCATCTGATGCTTCTGAGGATTTTGAATTTCCTCAGGAAAAATCGCAATGGTATTCTTTTAAATGGCAGCCGAAAGCTTTCACTAGATCTCGTACAGCCGAAATAATACTAGAGCAACGACAGTTTATCAAGGAACATGCAAAGATAATACAGAAATTAGAAAAAGATAAAATGCTTTATTTATTTTGGGTAAGCTATTCTCTTTATTTATTTAAAATTAATATATATTAGCTTCCTGTTCTAATAATTCTTTCAATCTTCATTATTTTAAATTGGACGCAAAAGAGTGTTTCTATTGGGATTTATGATTTGAGAAGGACCATAACGTTTTCTATTTAAATTAATTGCTATAAAAAAAAGAGTTATTTGGTTTATTATTGATTAATATTTATTACGAGTGAAATTTATGCTATTTTTTTAATATTTTTTTTCTAAAATGATGTTTTAAATAGATAGTTGTGAATATTTTCTTTATAGTATTACAAATGTTTTGATATTTTTTATCAAATAAGATTTAAATATTGGATAATGTTAGTTTTTATAAATTTTATATATTAACATTAATTATATAGAGTAATATTAAGAGCAATAATGAAATTTATTAGTCGTCATTTGTTATTATATATCGTTTATGAATAATAATATATTATCTAGTTGTATTTATATGTAATTTAATCGATTCTATAATTTTAATATGTATAAATAATATTCAACTTAATCTCTTTAACCTTAGTTTTCTTTGGAATTAATTGACAAACTTGTTAAAGTCTCTAAAAACTTTTTAAGTTGACTCTAAATATTATAAATTGTGTATACTTAATATTATATTTTTAACCTACATTTATGTTTTCTATAATATGAGAAAACACAGTCTTCATAATCTGTTCAGCAGGAATAATTAAGTTTAAAGAATATAAAATATAAAATATAAAAATCAAGATAAAAATGAAAAAAAAGTATAAAGGATTTCGTATAATCATTACAATTTCATTCCAACCAAAAGCTAAGAGTAATACGTAAAAATAGAATGGTATTCGAGTAACATTTGTCATTATGCCACGTTTAGCATCAATATAGATTACATCTGCTACTCGTTTGAATTTATTATTAAGTTGTTGTTGCTTAGTTGAAGAAATGATATTCCAAAATTTTTTTAAATCACAATTCTAATATATTAGTATAAAATATGAATAATTTTAAAGCCATACATTTTCTAAAGGTATTTCGAGTTTAGGATATGAACCATCCTTACATTTAACAGTGGAATATAATGAAATAAGTTTTAATGTCTATACAAATTAAAATAAATCAAAATAATGAAAAGTATTACGTCATCAAGAAGAGTTTTATATATTCCATTGATATTATCACTCGATTTCCATATTCTTGGAACACCATCTTTGTCAAATCTAAACTTATCTTCAAAACTTTAAATATTAGATAAAATAGATATAAATTAAATTAAAAGTAATACATCTCTCTTAATATAAGAAAAACTGAGTCTTCTGTTATTTCTTGCTTAATTTTATCCTTTAAAAAAGACAATGTTTTCTGCTTAAAATCTGATCGACTTTTTTCATTTTCTTGTTGAGAAATACCAAAACCTAGTAATGTTATTAAACGTAAAAATAAACATTTATTCCAACCAGAAAGTTTTTGAGATAGTATCTTCTCAAAATCATTAGTCGTATTGAGATATTTTAAAATAACTTGGTCCCAGATATCATCAGAAGGTTTTTTTAGAATTAAAGAAACAGGCTCATCTAATTGTTCTTTAAATTCTTTTTCAAGATTATTAATTAATTTAAATTTCTGGTCCTTCTGAAGAGTAGATGCTACTTCGGTTATTTCTTTTTTAAGTAATTCTAATTCTTGAGTAAATGTCCAACCACTTTCACTAATACAATATTTTGACGCTTTAGTTTCAAATTCCTTTTCTACCTTATAACGACAATCATTTAGAAGATTTTCAAAATTAAAATCCTGATGCGGTTTGTCTAGCTCACTTTTCATAATGCTTTTAAATTGAGAAACACCCAATTTAACCAATGTTCCTATCTGTGTTACATAAAGAATGTACATTCTTGAATGAAGTTTATTTATTAACTCGAAACGTTTACAAAGATAAACATCCTTATGGTAATGCAATCCTTTTTTATCAAAAATTTCCAATGCAGACACTTTTATTTTCTCCATTTCCTGGTCTAAATCATCAAGAAACTTCTTAGTGTGTATAGATTTTTCTAAAGTTTTAATTGTTAGCTCAATACTTTCTAAAATTGCTTTAGAAATTTCATCACATCGATATTGAGCTAAAAGTTGTTGTTGAGTTGGCAAATCAAGATCTTTATTTGTAATAATTTTTTCCCATATTCCTTTGACATAAACGGAAAACCCATCTGCAGGTACTCGTTTATAATATTTAGAACGAAACACGAAATTAGCATTAGAACGATCAAAAAATCTAAAAAGATTAATATTATATAGCTAAATAAATATCCTATAACATACCTCTTCCGTAATTCTACTATATCTTGTTCAAACTCCTCCGGTGCTAACATCATATGAGAGAGGGTAGTAAATTGAAGATCAAAAAAATCATTAATTATAGAATTTTCCAATTTTTCGGGCTAATCATATTTCAGATAGAAATAACAAAAATGTATTAATATTTACCTTTGCTAGTAAATTCCAAATACGTTCTAGATCAGATTTCAAAATACTAGATAAATTTTTCAGAGGTGTTGTTCCCACATAGTCTCTAACAACAAATAATATGATTGAATTTTCTTCGTTTCTATAATATAAGTTTATACATGAAATTTCCTAAATTCTTAATTACTTAGATCTATTCTTTTGAAACAATTGAAGATTAACTTCAAATATCGTTTTCAATAATCCCATATTTGCTCCTTGATATAGTCCAATTTGATGTTCCCATAAATTAATAATAATCACATCGCTTATTGCCAATGCAAAAAGCGCTGACTTCCTTTCAAAGTCCTTATATACATATAGCTCTTAAATATATATATATATCTTTTTTTTCTACCTGATCATCTCCTCGTTCTCGTCCATCCATCCCTTCTACATCCATAATCAAAATATTCGTATCGCATGACTTTGAAAGCCAGATCCCTAACATAAATCATAAATCACCTCAAAATATTCCATAAAAAATGCCTTTTGTTGTTTGTTTTCTAACCAATGAATCCATAGTACTAAAACACGTAGAAAAAAGCTTATTCAATAATGTGCCTTGAAAAATAAATATTATATATATATAATCCTAAAGTTCCCTACTTTTCCCTGTAGACTGACTCCCTAAGACTGCCACAACATTATAATCAATGCCTTGGTTCTGCAACCCGCTATCCTCTATAAATTTCGCCAGTTCTCCACTATATTATATTAACCTTATATAAATATCTACTCAATTAATTCTACTTAAACTCCTTGTTCTCCTTTATAAACTGGATATTTGGCGATTCCTGTTTCATGCTGTCTGATGCCTTATTCAAAGAAATCTCCATACTTTGATAGAAATTTGAGGTTCACGAAGATGATCTTAAATTAGCTTATATAGTATAAAATTATCTGATTCAAATTAATGCATGAATAGATATTAAAAAGACGATAAATAACATTGTATAAAACTATTTGAAAGGTTTTGATATTGAAAGTGGTGAAATGCCTGATATATTTTTATTTGTGAAAAATGGAGTATTGATAAATAAAATGTATTCTAGAGAGGTTGTTTATGTTTTTTAATAGCAATTAATTATAAATATTGAATATCTGCTTTTAATTTCTTTGAAAGCTCTTTTTATAGATTAAAAACGCCTTTTGATCAATAAAAAAGAGTTTTGAAGGCAAAATCGACGCCTTCTTGACCCATACATTTTACTATACATTAGAATTACATGTACAAAATTACCTTTGTTGTTATTCTTTTCTTTTACCAGCTTATATATAAGTTTCAAGAGATATAACTAAAAAAAATAGATTTATCAATATAATACAAACTATATCTTTAAAAAAAAAGCAAAAATACATATATTGATCTTTCTAAATATCTATATATCTATATAATTTTTCTAATTACTAGCTATAAAATTTTCGTACTGAAAAAATCACCTCTCTAGAGATGAATTCAGCAAAAATAACAGTTACATGTAAATATTTGCAGTATTTTATATAAATAAAGCTAATATAAAGCAGATACTGATAATTTTAATCTTTGGCTGTCGATTTATCCTACATTACAGTATCATTTGCCTTTAAAGAATATACATTGGAAGAGTAGCAATGGAGTGGTTAGATATATTGATAATCTTGAGATTAATATAAAGCCGTATCATCAAACAAATTCAGATGGAAAGCCCCACCAGTTGCAGGGTCTTCTGGATAATCCATATCTGAACATATTTCTGGTAAAATGTGAGGACATTGATGTATATCGTAGTCATATTCGTTCAATGATTCGCTCCTGGTATAGCATGGTGACGTCAAAAAAGAACCAGGAATGGCTTATAGTACATGTAGTTTTGCAATTGGAGCCATTAACTATAAATAAAAATATTAACCCGTCAAAATTTTTAAGTATAAAGGCATCAGTATATGATAAGATTAAAGCTGAATTTAATACATCAAAAAGAGATAGGTTTGTAGTTTTATATTGTATAATTATGTATTTTATGGTTTAGATGTGTTCAACTCCGATTAGGAGATATAGATGAAATTGAGTCATGGCAAGATTTTGTAGTAAAGATGAAAGAAGGGATTGTTTCGAGTTTTAATGCTAGAATACTTCAGTATGAAGAAGATATAAAGAAAATTGATTCCCAAAAGTCTTTTCCAGGATGGAATTATTGTACTTTTTTTATCTTAAAAGTAATCTAGTATTTTATTTCTAAAGTTTAAACTGATAGATATATATAGGAAGGACTGGCCCAATCCTTTGAGCAAATGACATTAATTGAAGATTCGTTAGCTCAATATGATGAATTAGAGTCCTTATTTCATCAAACAATAAAAGGTTAATGAAAAAATACAAACAATTAGATATTTGTTTATTAATTTAGATAATCAATTAACTTGGTTTGAAAACATTGGAGGAACAGATTTAAATGATGACTCGGAGTCTATATTGGATACTTCTAAAAAACCATATCGTATGTTTATATTACAAAATACCATATCTCTTTTCGACTTTAGAATTTATTTATTTGCTCGCCAATGTCAATTGCTTCGGCAATTAGGTGAGTATGCTGATATTCTTCAAAGAGGAAGAAATTTCATTGTTACAATGGCAATAATATTACGAAAAAATGAGGAAACATTAATTCCTTGGTTTATTGAGAGTTGGATCTGGAGTAGTGTTCA